GAGACGGGGATGTTGTTAGATGCAGGAGAGGAGCAAGCGAGCATGCAATGTTGAATTGATGGGACCAGACATACCTAGCTGGTGCTGTTGTTGATTCATATGAATCTTCTCAGTCACCACACAATGTGATTTTGATGTTGGAAACCAAAACCGATTAGAACATAGATCTAGACCCCATCCAGAAGAATAAACGACAGAATGGCATATCTAGAGTATATCCGAATGTCAGGCAATCGAATTCACATTACTCTTTGCAGTGCCTTCATCTCCAACAATCCTCACTTTTGAATAACAGCATAAATCAGTCAATACACGATGGCCTTACCTCTAGAGCAAGGTGATGCAAGATCTAGTCGGCATCCGCTCTTCAAATATAGCGGCCATCCAATGCACAACTACACTTATCCGATATGCAATATGCGTGTATAGCGTCTAGGCGTTTTGCTTCTTCCCTGTTTGCCTCAGCAGATCACCTTTTTGGTTCAGTCCAATATGTCGATTAGGCTGGAAGAACAGGAGCAACTGTAATAGAAATCTTCTTTAACGCGTATGTCAACACGCAGCAACAAATCAAACACCGACAGTAGTAAAAAGTTGGTCAGTTTCCGAAGACAATCTCCGTTTCGTAACAAAACACATCATTGAATTCTGTAAAGACTCCAGTCATCATCTTCGGTTGAGCTTCCTGGTTCGCATAGAAAGTACAAACTATCAACGCCTCCTTCGTATCCGACGCACAGGACCAAAACACCAATGCAATGGCAGCTCTATTTGCAAACGCACTGGTGACAGTGTCTTCTAGATATGTATTGATTTCCGCAGCATGCGTGGTTGGTGCCATCTCTATGCTGTTGGCCATTGTAGGGAGTGTTACAACTTTGGGATTTACTAGTGGAGGCGTGGTTGCAGGCTCGATAGCTTCGTCAGCGATGGCTACTTATGGAGGTGAATTGAAGTTTGACCAAACCTTATCACAGTCTGGATATCTGCTAACTTCCTCCAATAGGAACGATTGCTGCTGGCTCTCTCATACCTGTCGCCCAATCCATTGGCGCTGTAGGACTTGGAACAACCGGGTCAGCTTTAGCTACTGTTGTTGGTGATGGTGAATCTGGCTTAATTGCAACTGTGACAACAAAACTTGCTAGCAAACTATCCCCAGTAGAGCCTCAAGTGCAATCACACAATACCACTGAGGAAGTTGGTCTTCCTAACGACCCTGTAGCCCAACCTAGAGCTAAAAGCTTATAGTCATTATCTTCTGTCTCTTCGAACAAATGATTTTTTCAACATTAAAGACTGTCTATCTCGCTTAGCCAAGTTGTATTGATCCCGTCCATGTCTTTTTGAATGCTCCCCATTCCCTACATATCTTTGTCTATCGAGTGTCGTATCGACACGTCCACATCCTTGTCATATCAGGCCACACCATACCACTCCAGACACAACAGTTCGCCTCAGACCCGCCAGACATACCAGTCAAGTCTGACACTCCAGACACGCATAACCAGAGACATCAGATTCCACCACCACCAGCACATTCGTCACCGAAGATCAGGCACCGAGGACGCAGGTCTGCCAATTCCTACTACTATGAAAGCTTGAAAGGTGCACACGCTCAAAATGGAGTGTTCAACCAATCCACCGGTGCTTGGTCTTCACCACCGCCACGTGCCTACTTTCAAAGATATCCTTAGCATCCTAAGCTGCGGTCTAGCTTTGCCCTGGTGTCAAGTCAGTGCGGCATCTCAGGCCGTTTAAGTGCAAAGCAAACTCGACAAGTATAAAAGGGCAGGTTTTGCAACTTCAAGTAGTCTTCTTCACCCAAAGTATGCGACACCCAAATACGAAGCAGAAGGGGGAGGAGTCCTTCCAAGACACTGACACATCCGACGACCAGGAATCTGACATTTGCGACGATACAGATGGCACGTTGGAGTATTCCGAAGGCACAGCGTCAGGATTCAGTGACAGAAGGCCAAGAGCACACAATCGACAGTCAAGACGACAGTGTACCCATGTTGTAAAGGATGCAAGCCCTATCAGTCCCTTCTCAACGACTTTGGGAGGAGCTTCAATGCTCTGGAATTGGGCGAGACGAGACACCCAACACCCCAGCAAATGCAAGATCGTCAACGAGTGGTAACTTCATCTTGTTCTTTCTCCTTGGTCGAGCAACACATTCACCACTCGGCTTATTATTCACACACCAATCAACCCTTTTTACCTCAACACTTACTCAACCAACTTTACAATTTCACATGCAAAACATGTCTGTCTCAAATGTCACCATGCAACACTGTCATGACTTGCAACAAATGCAAATCTGGCAACGCCACTCATGCATGGTGTAGTGATTGTTTCAAGCTTAATCGGTGTAGTGATTGTGGGTGCAAGAAACAGTCAACGATTTCATTGATAATGAAGTGACATTTCGAAATCGTTTGGCGGGAATTCAATCACTTGTTGCGTTGCAAGTTTGGCTGACGCTGATTTCCCATTAACGGGAAGTGAGCCTCCACCAAAGGACAAGGTGATTTTTAGCTGGGATGCGATCAAATATGTTCTTGAACGAGGTTTTGCACATCAAAGAAAAATACTCGGACTCAGTTAGGCAAGCTACTGAATGTGATGGGATCTCATGCCGTATCTGACGCTAGGTGAGATGCGAGACAGTTTCCTTCAGCAAGACGTGGCACCACGACAAACCAATTTCGGGGTAGCAGGAGGACCAGTATCATGGCTCAATCTGCGAGTCATTGGCAAGACACGGTCAAGCTTTCAGGATTAAAGGATACACAGACATGCTAGAACATGCTGGAACACAACACTGTGAGAGATCGTTCCAACTGGTGTCTACGAACTGCTGGAGACCACAAGTTTACAAAGCCCTATTGTTGCGAATCCAACATACTGGCCACTGAAGTACTCTCCACAATGAAGCAATGACGGACGTTTGTAAGAGTTTGCTGGGTGAAGCTCAAACCTCGATGCTACCTATTGCACGCATGATGATCAACAGTGTCAAGAGCCATCTTGCAGCTCGACTGCTTTGTGTCAGGTTGAAAGAACGATCCAAATCTATACTATAATCCTGCAGCATTGTTCAGACGTTTCAGCTACCAATGTTGGTATGTTGTGGGTGCAGCAGCATCATTGGATTTCAATAAGTGTTTCCCACGCGTCAAACCGAGTCTTCAAACGTGAATAAGTGAATAACTCTATATGTTGTATGTGACAGGATGCATATAACTCGGACTGAGCCAGCGAATCCGTGCATACATGCTTGCTCGGGATTTTGTGCAGGTACCACGGAAGCAAAATGATCATGTTTGGTTAGTTTCACAAACAGATGCCTCGTCCCCTCTGAGAGCCTCGTGAGCAACCATATCTATGTAAGCATCAGACCATCTATATAGGAAGAGTGTAACTAAGACGAGTTCGTCTCAATTTGAAAGTTCGAATGTCGTAAAACTCGTCATAAAAACTTAACAACCGAATTGGCCACTTAACGACCGAATTGGCTGAATTGGCTTCAATGAGAAGAAATTGACAGAGATGACTCACAAGCGTAAAACATCTCCGTAGTTCAGATCATCTATGAGATCCGTGCGTCCTCGACGGAATGGTTTTGCGAGTGTGTAGTGTATTATTTTAGCTCGTGGAAACACGATTGACCAAGCTTCTGGTAACCCCTTCAGAGCCACATTCAGATTATATTCGTATGGTAATGTAAACTGTCTAAACAACAGGGGGTAAGCAAAGAAAATCTAAGACTACACACTAAGATTACATGCGAATTCAAAAATCTCACCGGTATCGAAAGTAATAATTCAAAAAGTTTTGCTCAGCCCACTGTGGGTTATAATTTGTGGTATTCTGCGCCTCTTTCAGCAGTGTATGAAAGAGTGTGGCATTTGGACGAATATACATAACCCCAGCGTTGAAATCCCACGACAACTGACCAAACCAGATGTCCATGACCTATTCACATGTGTCAGATAGATGAAACTCTCACGAACACAAAAGAGATACAACGACGACCAGTGTAAAACACGTCAACAAACATGGCAGCAAACATGAGACTTACTACTGCCAAGTCTACGTTCAAGTTGAAAAGGTCATGTATCGGTCGCAACACCAGAGTATCCAAGTCCAGATATAAGAGTCCATCGTACTCGGTCATGTTCCAAAATGCCAATTTCGTGTACATGTCTCTAAAAGATTCCAAAGGCTTTCGGCCTTGAGGATCCATTGGCGTAGGTATCAGCTGGATGGTCTGTAGCTTCCATTGAGTATGCTTCAGGTAGCATAAGGCCTTCGACGATATTTTCTCCTGAGGATATAGCAAGATCATGTCTACATTGTCAGGAATGTTCTTTTTGTGTCGTAGGGAATGACCAAGGACTCGTGCTCCATCCAAATACCAATCGGAAGTCATCAGAGTGATTACAGCTTGCTTTTTACCAGTACCAACCGATGGATCAGTGCGATGCTCCAGGTTGCATTGAATGTCGTGATGTTGAAGTGGAATGTCTTTGCAAGTTGATTTCTTATAAATAAAGCGATACATTGTAAGCCCATTTCAAAGTTATCTCCAATAAAGCATCAGACAATTGCAAATCTGTTCTATACCATTGTTGCTGTCAGCCAAAACAGGCCCAAAATCACACTGACTGCCAGCAAAATTCGGAAAAAGCTAGATGGAATGTACGCAGCCATTTCAGAGACATGCGATCTACGTCTTTTCACGTCCTCGAGTTCTACTCGCGAACGCCCAACCACAACTCGAGACTGACGATTTTGTCGCGCGACAGAGTGATGATGACAACAGTCAGATCGTGTCTTCCATGAATTCAGGAGGCTGTTTTAATCATTGTCACCCGTTCACTTTGCGTGTGTCTCTCTCACCATATATACTACTCTAATTGTATGTTCAAATATATAGGTATGTACAGTCGCGCTAAATAGATCTAAAAAAATTGCAAATTCTTACAAGCCTATGTACAGGCAGCCGTATTTTTCAACACCCAAATCGAATATGACGGCTTATCACCATGAAACACCTTTTCTGGGTACACACTCTTAATTGCCCAACCTGCAAATAACAGGGGCAGTCTACCGCGTCCATAAATCCGGCCTTCGTTCCATATAAGAGCATCATCGCCGGTTGGGATGCCAACAAATGCTATTCCACCCGGCTTAAGAACACTCATAATGCGTCTCATGGCATACAGGTCACCAGCAGGTTCTAGACCTTCACCATATCGGCCTATAAAGCAAATGTAAATACTGTAAGAGACAGAAATCATTGTGCGAGAAGGTGCAGACGTAGCACTGCACCAACAGTCACAACACAGCTCTTACGTACCTAGCCCGGTATGCTGAAGCCAGCTGGTGACTAGACAACAGTCAAATGGCTGGAGACTACCTCTTTGATGAGCCTTCTCGAATTGAGTTGGGGTATACATTCTAGTCAGAGGATGTCTCGAGTCGATGCTGGCCATTTCTACAGTGGACACATGCGACGCCCCAAACTCTAGCAGCATTGCCTCTTGCCACGGTTCATCTGAGCCGATGACTAAACATCGTTTATTCTGGACAGCTGTCGATGCCCAACTTTCCAAAGCAAGGTAGAGGTCTGTTACATTCTGTGAAAAGAATGGCTTTCGAGAATTTACAAATGAACGGTAATTATTGATGTATGATGGAGACCAGAATGTGTTTTTGCGTGTCTACAAAGCATCCAAGTTCTTGTTTTAGCACAAATTTAAGCTTCATGCCAGACAGGGCACCAACACTTCTCACCTCGTTCATGAATTTCTGTTGGAATTCCAGAGCAGGGGAATTCAGAAATGCCTCTTTCAGTTCACGAGGAATGCTGTTTGGAGAAGGACCATCTTGCACTGCATGAGTTCAAATACTAAAAGTCAGGAAGTTGCCGAGGACTCAAGCATACATGTCAAAGAGATTTTACCCTGCTCAACATGACGCCAAGCCTCTGTTGCAGATACTGTTGGTGTCTCTAGAGGTTTGATGTCTGTGACGACGTCCTGGTAATAAAACAAATTCAAAGGTTGGCAATTGATTGAGAGAGAAGAGTGTGCAGCTGAAAATCAAAAACAGCGTGAGATACATACCTTGACACCGATATCATTACAGTAGTCTGGAATTTCTGGTTCTATAGCACAAGTTTGATGGTCCAAAGCCAACGTCCAAAGTCGATGATCTAATTGTTTAGGTATATCATTGAATTCGCTTGTTGGGTGTAAAGATCACTACTTCTTCGAGCAGCTTTGATTTCATCAGCCCTCGCTCTAGGTAGTTTCTTTCAGGCATACCTTCAAAAATTCTAGTCTTGTTGCGACTCCACCTGATAGTGATGGTTTGTGAGATAGCATTCTTAAATGCAACTTGACAAGGAGTGATTACCAGTTTGGGTGATAGAGCACACGTGATTCGCCTCGTTCTTCCAAGTCCATCATCCTGGAATGGAAATGCTCAGGTAACTCTGATGGCGAAGTTTGGTGAGAGAGTGCATTCATATAGGCAACTTGAGAAAGGATGAGTACACGGACTGCATCTCTAGCAATATTGGTTGCCCTAGCATTCTGAGGGCGATCTTTTCGACTTTTGATACCCAAGGGTAAGGGATTTACGAGTACCGAATCAAAATAGTTATTGAGCAAATCTACCATGCCCCATTGGTCGTTCATCTTCATGGCAAGAAGTGACTTAAATACTAATTTTGTTCTGCCATTTACTCTAGCATAAAAAAATCCACCACATAACTTAGGCACCCTGGGCTCGCCTTCGTAAGGGTCATCTAGGTCATCAAATTGCTTTCTCGCATCTGTACTATAAACCTAAGTTGTCCAAGGGGGCAATACAAACGTTAAGTGTAACCCAGGTAGCATTTTAAAGTTGCAATACTCACTAGGTCCGGGAGATCATTGTACAAGTCCTCCCACACTGTGATTTCATCCTCTTCCAGTCCATGTGCAAGACCAGGAACACCAAATGGAACATTGAGGGTTGTAAATGGATTTTTGAAGAAGACGACATCCCCATCGACAAATATTAGACTCATATCCAATATTTCGATAACACGAGCAAACACCTAGAGATGACAGTGTTACCAAAACTCCACCGCGGTAAGAAAAACGTATCTGCTGTTCATCCCAAAAAACCAGACCAGTATCAAACTCACTAGGCGACGAATATCCATGATCTCGAAATAACCGGTAGAATTATCCCACCCGCCGTTCCAGACTTGATTTGTTTGATACCTAAGTCATGACCCAAAAGCGAATGAGTTTATTCAGGTTCCTCATAGTATATACCTTCACTGGTTGACATCTGACATCTCAAAACGATACCTCCTGTCAAAATAAACACCAAAGCTGTAGCCAGTCAACCGAGTGGTTTCAGCCTCAAAGAGCAACAAATCCTTGGCGGCCTCTTCATCAGTTGCCCATATAATGATGTGTTGAATGACAGTAGGATCTGATTTTACTAGACTACATATCATATTCTTGGTAAACGGAGTGCCTGCCTTGTTTGTCTGAGACATCATTATAGTATTATTGCGAGCTCTGGCAGTAAACCAAGCCCGCAGCTCACTAGGATCGTGATCGTGTTTTGGGAGATGATCAAATCTACTATTGGTTGGAGCATTTGATGAAAGATCTACATTTGACGAAGCAGACCAAATCGTATTGGATGGAGATGATAATTTTGGGCGTATAGTGTCGGTCAGAACATTCAGATGTTTCTCCATGCCGATTTCTGATGTTGCGAAAGCCAGCCATGCCAACAAAAAGAGGGCCAACAAGAATAGCAATATTCCGAGTCTACGGGTGCATTCCAACTGTCCGAGTCCCTTCCTCATCGGCAAGAAACATGAGCTATGCTGGAGGCAGCCGGATGTTTTGAAACTTGTGTCAAAGAAGGAATTCCAGGCCTCCAGATAATCACGAGGATTGCGCGTTGGCAGCGACGCGAATCTACAAAATTACCAAATGCCCAATATTATGGAAATATTTGAGTTTATCAACAACGATCGAGTAGTATCGCGTATGCGTCTTAGGTGCGTGTCAAGTCCGTTAGCATTGCGACGCAAAAACCTTTGAGAGCAGCCAGCAGTATGAAGATGGAATGGCAGATGATTGGATGCTGAGTCAATTGCTCTCATGTTCTCTAAATGGGTGAAAATGGTACAGTGTTGCTTGAGGTGCTCGTGGTCTCCACTGGATTTGACAATTCTTCGAAACCTATATATAGATCGATACCAGACTCATTTCCGTCTTCGCCGCATCAGGACTCATATGCATCGTATTACTATTACTATATAATCAGTCGTCCATTCACTCGATTGACACTCTCCCGTGGCCAACTGTCGCTTCATCACACTATAGCTTGGCCAACGATTCCGGTATGTTTGGATCTTTCCGTGACAAATCCGCACTTACCAATACTCTCAAGTAGAATTCGACCGTGAATTTGCTTCATATGTACTCGGGCATCAGACAGCGCTCCAAGATCCCGGAAAAGCGAACTGGATCATCACTCATATAAGCACCGACATGGGACTAGGCAATCACATCCCGATGATTGTAAACGGATTTGTATTGGCTGTCATTACAGGACGCTTTGTACTAGTGGTAGCCACACTACAATGTACTTACTGCATCAACGTTGGACTCATTCTCCTTGTTTTAGGACTATCCCATGGCCAACAAAACATTCCAATTCAGTCCAAACTTGGATTATTCTTCTTATCATCACTTGCTGCCTAAAGAACGAGTAACCGTCTTGAAAAACTATGAATGGGAAAAATTCTCAATATGTGCAACAGAGAACTTGCAAAGTTACTATCAACAACCGGTCTGGGAATTGGAAGGCGTCGATTATTGGATACCACTGCTGCAAGCCAATCCTCATTATACAGCGACATTGGAAAGGCTCTTCCCAGATGGTCAAATCGGTCACCACGTATTGACGAAAATAGTACGACTTCAAACAGGGCTAGAATCTCGACTGGAAGTGTATAAAGCTAGCAAATTTGGTAAATTCAATGTAGGAATTCACTTTCGGCAGCATAAAAGATCTTCTACTGTAGGGAGTATACGCATGTATGCTTCTGTAGCTTTGCAGCTTGGTGCAAATTCAGGACGAAAGAAGGAAGACATTCGTTTCCACCTCGCTACAGACGACCCACTCATACGTCAGCGATTTCTGCCATACTTTGGTGATCGCCTCATACACTTATCTGTTGATTGGAAGGCCTCGAACTCTGCCAATAATCCAGGTACAATATTTCAGTTACATTGAATTTACCAAATTCTCTATATCTGTTATTTGGTCCTTAATGCAACTAGGTGGTTCTATGGATGATGCAGTATTGGACTGGGGAGCATTAGCTTCTTGTAACGAGCTAGTCATCACCTATGGATCCTCGTTTGGTAATGCTGCAGCTTCTTACTCTGGTTCGAAGCACTACGTAATAATGCCAGTACGCGACAATTTGGCCAACTCGCGGGAGGTTGCTTTTTGGTAAGAGGCGATGGGCAAGAAGCTCGCTGCAACAGTGTACGGAACAAACCGAAACGAATTGACCGGAATTGGTACTGTAGGGGTGGTGCTTCCTCAGAAATGTGTTTCTTCATGTCAAAAGGGTTTGTTGGCAACCCAAACACAGGCGATGACGCAGAAAAGCTCTGGGATGACTTCCAACGAGATAAAGAGAATGGTGTTTTTGCTAACGACGATGTAAAGTACAGTCAACAAAGAATGGATTTGGCAAAAGCACTAGTGGCAGCCCTGCCATCGTTTTGGCACCACACTCAATGCGACTACTCTTAGCCAAGACAGCCAGCATAGAGAATGCAGTGTGTGAAATCTCATACGATAATTTATGAAACATGCAATTGTTTATTGTGTACATACATAGATACAGTGTTACCTTTACATTTGGCCAATTCGTAAAGGCGGAAAATATTGCCAATTTTCCCTATACGGACGCTCTGGAGTGATGGCAAGATAAGATTGGAAATACCACCACGGGTTTTCATTACTAGCTCTATATGCGGGAATCACCTAGCAGAATTGGCGTTATGTATGTACTCTTAATAACCATTTGCAAACACCTACCATTATCCATTCTCGATTCAAAACAACCAACTTCCCCATTTGATTTTGATCTTTACCAACAAACGTTCCTCTGTTATATTCCTTTAGCAGCAATTCATAATATCCATCTGCATACCGCTGTACCTAGAAATTGTGTGATTTAGATGTCTACGAGAAATGAAAACAAGGACTAGTCAAACATTGCCAACACGTAAAACCTTACTTGTTCAGCATGACCACCGAAAAAATTTCCCTGTATATTGTCTATAATGGAGTTAGTACGCGTAAGTTTGTAAATGTGCAGAATTATAACATTTACCATTGGATTGACCAGAAAACCAGAGGTGCATCGGAACGTCATCAGTCAAAGCTTTCATGGCCTCCTCGCTCTGATATTGGTTGATGGTCGACATGAGAAACCAAGTGGAGGCATTTCCGCGGAAGATGTTTCGAATGGTTTGAATGCACGGCCAGTCTCGAAAATCGATACCTTGGGTAAATTGTCTGAATGAGTTGTTGGCGAGAAATTAAACACAAGGACCAGTCAAACACCTTGGCGCCAAGTTCCAAAGTCAGACTAGAGCAAATACTCGGTCATGAGTTTATGGGCTGAAGATAACGGCGCTTTCTAGCTTACCCAAAAGAAAAAGTCGGATCCGAACGGGTTTTGTGCTGTCGCATTTGCCAGAAACCATGGTTTCGAATTCCAAATTCCGTATAAATCAGAGTTCCGGTATATAAGCTCTTGATCCATTTCGAATTGTGTGGTTTCAAAGGCTGTCCTTAGGTCATGTACAATCGGCACATCCCAAAATGACATGGGGATGATTTTAACGGGAAGATTCTGACTCTTTCTAAGATCTATGAGCCATTTACAATCCTTGGGCATGCAGTATAAGACAATTGGACACTCTAGTCTCAGAAACGCCTTTCCCCATTCATAATATTCCTAGTTACGACAAGAAACCGACATTGTCAAAACCAGTAAATTCTAAAAATAACGTACAGACTACTAAAATGCATGTCAATTCACCTCGATTCCATGTTTTGATTTCATGCTCGTATAGTAGCTGACAAGAGTGACAGGATAAGTTTTCGTTTCTGTTGGCAAAGTAGTACTGGAGCTGGTGACTGCACTGGCTTCAATCGTGACTGTAGGGAGCGCATTAAGACGTTCAGCGCAAGGGGGACAAGCTTCAGCGCATGGTTGACAAGTTGAGTTTTGTTCGAGTTCTGGTGCGATTGTATCTGTTCTCACATCGTCAGTACCAGTTCCAGACTTTTGATAAACGTGATACACCGGATCACGTACGTCCAGTCAACGAGGCGAACTCCCCGATAAACATTGTCGCAGAAACCATCAATAAGGTGATCAAGACTGCTGCGATGAGTAAAATGTAAGAAGGTCGGAATTTGCCATCTAAAAACAGACAAAGTAGTGTCAATGACGAGATTTCTTGTTGGGAGAAGATCAAATTTCTTGCCAGCAGGCGTGTTGACAGTTTCCATTGTGTCCGTAATGTTTAATGTAGTGGATTCCAGACTGTCAACTACAAGCGAGAATAAAAAAATAAGATATTTCCGACATTACACACGAGAAATATAGTTAAAGATGTTTCCTCTTGTGTTCGTTACAACCGAAGTTCTGTCAGTTCAAACCAAACACTACATCCGACAGCAGGTGCACTAACCAGGAACTAATTGATTAACTTGATTCCGGCTAGATCGCCAAGTGGCTGGAAGCACATTAGATCCACGCAACGTATACCAGGTCCGGCTTTTGCTAAAAAGGCTTGTTTGGAAGGGACGCAAGCAATGACTTTGAATGTTGACATCTTTTGGATTACGAACCATGAGCAACGATTCTGAAACTGATTCTGTCACACTGTTCAAAAGCTCCTGTTGCTTTAATGACAATCTGGGCTCTGACTTCTTTTCATCAAATGTAGCTTTGACGCGACCAATGTATACCAAAAGGAACCATTGCTTCATGTATTTGGAAAGCAACTACTGACTCAAAGCAGATCCTTATTGGTGCTGCATTAGAATTGCCGAAAATGGGAATGGTGTGGGACGCTTACTATATTCGAAATTTCAGACCAACCTCACAACTCCATCTGTAGTCTCGTCCAAGGTTTCTTCTGGTGCTGATCTTGTCGGCGGCACTCATCTACATTACACTCTTGTCTTTTTATACCAATGTGTCGCAACCTGGAGACCAAAACGGCGACGGGAACAATCGGTCGCAAAATGGCTTTCAGACCAATGGCTCCCTAAACAATGACCCTACTGAACCTTTTGATGTAGCTTTTGCTGACTACAAGAAAAGGCACGATTGTGCTCTTTTAAACTTGCCTGAAAATGCTTGGATTTTGAGCAAACTTATGTACGGCGGCCTTGGGAACAGATTACCTCAGTTGGTTAATGGAGTGGTGCTTGCCCTCATTGCCAACAGAACGGTTTTGCTGGTACGTGGAAGCTTCGTTTTCACCCACGCAACAAACCCAGTGTGCATCCTTATTAGCAATCATTTTCGATTTGAATTGCAAGGCAGTCTTACATCATTCTCTTAACAGGAATATCCAGACTATATTCGAGAGAATTGGCAATTCAGTCTGGATTTTGATAGTTCAAACAGAGAGCTTGGTCGGCAGCAAGTCGTGGTCATGGACGAAAAGGCACGAGATCTCATCTCCATATCTATTACAGAATCATTGGACAATCACTTTAATGACGACAAGGTATTTTTTGATGTTCTTCAGTGTGGACTTTCCACTAAGTGAAATCCTTCAGTACCCAAGTCTGACAGTGTCTTGTTGGAAAACAGAGGGGTGGGATACGAACATGGGTCATCTTGGGGGCTGATTATCACGTTCCTTACTGGCAAGCAAATCCCCACTATAAAGAAAAGCTAGAAGCCTTATTTCCAGACGGACGGATTGCGCATCATGTCTTACGAAAGACAATTCGACTTAAGCCGGAACTGGAAAGGGCATTATCCGAATACAAATCAATCCATTTTCGCCCTTATATGATTGGAATCCACGTGAGAACACATAATCGACATTCAGATATTGGACTCATGAGGACTTATGCTGCTATTGCTGAGCAGCTGGCAATGTCATCGAATAGGAAACATGATGTCGCATTTCACTTGGCCACAGATAATATCAAAGTTCGACAAGAACTCGAAATGTGGTTGGGAATAAACAGAACGAGGCATCTGAACATAAATTTTGAAGAAGGAAACGCAATGAACAACCCAGGGTAAAATTCTGAATCATAATTGTCAAGCTGTCTCGTCTCTAACACGACATTGAACCAAAAGAGGCTCTGATGTGGCTGCAGCTCTGGACTTCATGGCATTGGCTACTTGCGATGATGTAGTTGCGACACATTCATCTACTTTTGGACATTGGGCGGCGACATTGGTGCATTTTTTTCCTCTTCTTCTTCACCGATTAGTACAGAAAGATCGATGATTAACGGTTATTATAATTAGGCAGGAAGACCGTATACAATAGTCAATCTCAGGCAACAGGATTATAGGAACTCGCGGGAGGTGGCCTTTTGGAGAAGCATTACGTCTGAACCATGTAGCTTCCTAGCAAAGTCTTTTACTCAATCACCGAATGCTGGGTCAATGAATATGTCGGCCCTAGAAGACGAATACCAGGCCGATTTAGCTGCTCACAATCTCACCGCTATTGAAGAGAAGAGAGAATTTCGTGCCATCTCGTTATTAATGCAGAGCAAAATGTATATTCACCATACCCAATGTCACTTTTTTGTAGAGTAGTCAAAATAAATTTGTAGTTACGCTGGAGAACTTTTTACCATCGTCGTTCTGTGCCGCGAGACAATTCACATTAAATTCCGATTTGTGCCAAATTGTATTTAGGCCATTTCGGTCGTTTTACATCAATTCTTATATCAACTTTTTCCTTGTATCAAACACTTTTGTGCATTCCCTTCGGACCACTTAGTCCCGAGAGGCTTCAATCCTAATGGTGATACGGTCTGAGTTTGATGCCTTCTCACACACGCACCAACGTCGAAAGACCACTGCGCACATACCAGCTTTCAAAGAAATCCGAAGCAGCAGCAGGTTGATCGTAAGGTACTAATTTAAATGTAAGTGTTGGCAGGTAGAACACGGCAATGGTTTGATGGTTTTTCATTACTTTCAACTCATTCAACACAAATGTTTGCACTCACCCAAATGACCTGCTTCGTAAATCTTGAGCCACGTGAGTGGACCAAACGTGCGATACTCGCCTGTTTCCTTCTGTGTCAACGATGAAGTCCAAGGTAAATCAGAGGCTGCGTTGAATTCTTCCTGTCCAGACCTGGAAGCGATGTGACAGCAGGGTGTTATTATTATTGACAGCAAGCGGTGAGCTCGCCGCAAAAAAATAACAAAAACACAAAAAATCAATTCGCGAAATCCATGTCCGCTGAGTTACCATTCAAGCTCCATCATCCATGCTTTATTTCCAATCCAATTACAGATGTAATCAGCGTCCCCTGATGCAAAGAAATTGATATATTAATGTAATGTTTTTTCATCACAGATTGGTTGCTACAATGGTCGTTTTTTCTACCTGCGTAAACAACTAGTTTGATGCCTTTTTCCAAAAGAGGAGGCAGAGCACGTTGATATGGTCGCATCCTATGTATTTTAGGTGATGTGGGTGTTAAAAAGCAACTAGTACCACTTATACCATCACATCTCACCAGTCACCAGCTGTCAGGAAACGAAGATTAACGTTTTGGTTGCAGCCGACGTATTGACGTTCAGGTACACCAAGCATGTCTTGAATATCTGGACGGTTACAAAAGGCCTCAATGTCCTTCAAAATTGGATAACTAAGAACATACAAACGATTTGAGTTGGTTGGAAAACTAATGAAAGACGCTCAATCCCTCGAGAGACGTACCAGTCAAGAGCACTACAAGTCATTCGGACATCATAGACTTACACACAAAAAAAACAGGGAAGAGCTTAGTTGAGAAATAATAAAAGCAAAGATAAAAACATACCATTTCGACCACTTTGCTGAAACGGCGAGAGCATGGCTTGATTACTGCGTTTGTTATTTGTTAGACCTCAAATATAGAGACGACCGCACTAAAGATGATAAGCTCTTACCAGTACAGTGCTCCGGGTGCGCAAAAAAACGCATTCTGAAATTGATAACAGGGCTTGACTGATTGAGGGAAAATGTGAGTGATCTTTGTTTATCATTGAATGCAAATTTGACGGCGTACTCAAGGACGAGCAAGTGCCATATTTAGACCTAATGACACAAGAAATTTAAGATATTGATTAGCCACGATTTTCACATGCTCGGGTTACAATATTTACCTCATCGTGTCACACTCTTCGTCGGTTAAAGACTTGCCATACTTGTCAAATTTAGGATATTGATTAGCTACGATTTTCACAAGCTCGATATAAATTTTTTACTTTATCGTCGCAGGCCATGTCTGCATAATATTTGTACTGTACGAGAGGGTCTGTCAAGCCGTTTCCGATGCCCAGAGTTTTCAAGTTGATTGGAACCTCGGCGCCATCATTATTTTGATCAATGAGTTCGGCAATCGCGGGAACGTAGTGACCTAATTATAATCGGAAGAGGCGTCAGTGTAGAAAAGCTGCGGATGACACTGGAGCAGCGACTGCAGGCGGTAGCATAACATTTGAAGATATCAAATCCAATGTAAGGACGAAGATCGCGAAAAGATGCTTTCCAAAGATAGGGATAGCAATGATGCTCACCTCCGTACGACTCTCCAAAGAGATGGAAGTCCAGTTTGGCGTATTGAGAGTACTTTTGCAAGAATAATTCTACATCAACGAGAGTGAGACATCAAACGTCATACCCAGATTCTGATAGCTCAACTTTGGAGCAGCACTCACGCAAAAAGGCATATACATCAACAGCGGCGGCAATTGAAGTGTCGACCTCCTTGCCATCGCCATCAGTGTAAGAATACCCAGTATTTACCGGCTGATCAAGGAAGAAGATGTTTGTCTTCTTGTTCCAAGAGTAAGGGTTCTTGGTTGTTCCATTGCCGCCCTCGTTGACTCTGCAGGGACCTTTAGTACGCATTCAACGGTTTAATTGAGGTTCAATGAACTGAGACATATAGGTAAATTACTCAGAGCAATTCTTTACCCAATTCCATGAATAAACCAGTGAGAGAGCTACAGCCAGGACCTCCTACGTGATATTGGACGATGCGATGTCAATTTAGGTGAAAACACTCTGATGCGAAGATTAGGGTAATCCACAGACCAATGCTGCTGCAAAAATAAATTACCATTGAGCCAGAGAACAAGAGGATCTTTCTTTGGGTTGGATCTTGATTCAAAAAACCTGTAGTGTTGCGAGTTAGACCGAGGTTTTGACCAAGGAATTTCAAACTGATGGACCAACCAGAAAAAGAGATGCTTTCCACCAGATTCATCAACGTCGAGGTAACCATAATACTGTAGATACAGAAAGAAATAAGGCATATGAGCTCAGGAATGTGACATTGCTTCGCATTTTCGACGTGGCTACCGACCTGCTTGACATCGTCACATATTTCGCCCTTGCGTTCTCTAACACGCACAGAGTACGTTGGGAACCTAAGAAATCATCAGGGATTCATTAGATATTGGATGAAACAATGAGTTTGGTCCGCAGTTGATGAAATGTTTGGAAATGGTTGGTTTATGCGGGAGATAGAAGAGTGGGAGAAAATAGAAATGGATACTTTGAGTTTGTTAGAACAGTCCATGCATCGACTTGGGGAAGTCTAGAGTATTTGAATTCCAGGTCGTTTTCATGTTGTTGGTCGTTTTGCAAGAGGATCGGCTGCTGTTGGTGAGAGGCAGCAGTGGCTCCAGCAAATAGAGCCAACAGCGCAATTAATAACTTGTGCATTTTGTAGCTCTCTTTTGTTTGTTCTTGTTATTTCAGTCTTCAGTGTAAGCGTAGAGTTTGTGAAGATATGCGCGATGACGTGGCAGCGACAAGTAAGGAGTTGCTCTGGCAGGACGACGCGTCAATTAGTATGTGGTCAATGTAGCATTGAATAATTGTATGCCGGACTCGTTAGTCTATCCGTAGTTTTTTCCTACTCTCAAACTCTGACTCTCAAAACCCACAAACCCTCGCGACTCTGCAATTGGCCTTTGGAGTTTTGTGAACAAGATCCGAATGCGTTCATGACTAGCTGGGAGTAAGCATATTGTATGCCATCTTGAATGTTTCTTGCTTGACTCTAATCGACAAGCTTCCTGGAATCTATCTCAGGCACGCATCTCGTCTGGAACATATCCTCAAGCAGGGCATCCTGGATCAGTCGCTCGCTGCTTCCACCAGATTGCAACTCCTGGAAACATATGACGACTTACTGCTCGGTGACCTATTCACAGCAATCGAGAAGAACGTCCTAGAGAGGCTATGGACCCTCGTCTACTACAAACCCATCGAAGCTCTACGCTCCCAACTTCGCTCACAACATCAACAGGTATTGTCCTGCATGCCATCATTGATTGCCCTCTTCTGTGTGCTGTCTCTTCTGACCACGAACACCACCGCCAACGACAACAGTCAACACCTCCCCTCACCAACTCACAAAACATCAAGCGTGAGCTCTCGCAGGAACTACAGTCCGCCTCAGCTACCTTCAACTCAATCATCATTGAACTGCAAGCAAGAGGAAACTTGGATCTGGTTCAACTTGCTGCTGGTAGATACAACTGCCGCTAAGCACTCTCGACCTGAATCCAACCAAACCACTTCTTAGACAACTTCTATGGTCAAGGCTATCCTCTACAACCACCTGCTGAGCGGCCTGCCATTGCATCTCCAACATTTCAGTCGATGGCCTTTGGCTGCATCCATCATTGTTTGATTTATTTAGGAGATCTTGGTATGTAATGATAGATGAAGTTACATAACAATAAATAATCCTTTTATATTTCTGCATCTGCCCAGGTTTGCACTGCCTTTTCACTCACACATCAACCTTTCCTCCATTCTAGCACGATATGGTGATGCAGCCTCAGCAGACTTGGCTCAACTGTATTACCGCAAATGCCTGGCACTCTCGCCTGCTCAAGGAAAGCCATACTCACAGTTAGCAATCGTCGCCTTGCACAAATCATTTTATTTAGATGCCGCATACTGGTTTTCTCTAGCCATGTCAACTTCGCAACCATTCACCGTCGCTCGTGAAAACTTGGCTTCTCTAATTGCCAAAGCCCAAGTAGCACCCAGTAGTCCGCCAAGTAGTACCAGTCCACTGCACATACTGAAATTCTTCAAATTTGCCCTTTCTCCCCACGATCAGGACATGTCGATACCGGTGGGATATCATTCGGAGGTCTGTACCGGCATCGATGCCTCAGCAAAGGCACTGGACTGTACTCGCTTGCACCAAGTCCTTGTCCTCATGATGGCTGCAATGCAGGAACTTGAACGAAAGTTTGCTACAGGTCTGAAACTCGTTGGAACTGGCCAATACGTAATGCGTTATGATAACTTGCACATTATATAGATTTGCCGTCTGCACGAACACGAATACGATCTGTACAAGTCTTGGTGTTGACAATAATAGTCAACATCATCGTGTCTTGTCTGTCTGTACTTGCTGATCACGTGGGCGGAAACAGTGATCATCTCGAAAGACTCTTTGTCTTCCTTCTCAAGGAGGATCAAGACCCTATCATGTCTTTACTGTCGCCTGTAGCACTAGCCGCCGCCTATCTAGCACATAACATTGACCTGTTCGCCATTGCTCTGAAATATGCCAATCCCGTCGAAGCTGTGAACAATGTACAAAGACTCATGTATGCAATTCAAAATATCCTAAATGCATCGCAATCTGTCTTGTCAGAAGACACGTTGGATACACAGCAACTTGCTTCAACATACATGGATGTCTCAGTGCTTCCAGAAGATGCAGACCTATTAGGCCTCTTGTCGATGGCTGGTTTCTATCGCAAAGTAGAGCGGGTGACATTGATTCAATATCTGCGGAACCTGGAGACAAATCAACAAGGTAGATTCTATCATTATTTTTTGTGTCGACAATGGTGATAAACCTCTAGTCTAACATTAAAATTTCATAGGAGGAAGGTCTATCTCTAAGGTCACTATCGAAAGACTAGAAAGAATACACTATCTTGCCAAGAGAATGGCCAATGATGAGGCGTGTCTCTTTGTTTCCCATGGCTGTGATTGATCTAACCGTCTTGCAATATTTAGAGATTTGAGTTGTTCAAATATGATAGCAAGAAGGGATTCCTTGTCATGGATGATTCAACCAAACTCCAAATACAGAGAGAACGATCAGAAGCACTTGGTAAAGAATATCAGAAACAGCAAGTGCAGGAAGCCAAGAAATCAGCACGAGCCATAGTTGTCGTTGATGCTGGTGTTCTACTAGAATACCTCTGGCTTGTCAAGAAGTGGGTTTCTCGTGGCCAATGTATTGTTGTGATCGCTCAAGAAGGTATGTCATGGTTACCATGGTTTGCTCCCGTTCTACTATTTACTCATACGCTCTCTTCTTAGTATTGGAACAGTTGGACAGGCTCAAGAAGGGAACATCAGAGCAATCCATTAGTGCAAGAGCTGCCACCCGTTTCTTGGAAGCACATACTCGAATTGAGTCTTCTCGTCAATACTTGCGCCTTCAGAGTCCCGTAGAGACAGTAGCCCCTGGCAACAAGATCAGCCTACCAATTCCCAAGCACACGAGGAATTTGGTGTCATGTGCACTGCATTTTGCTACAGTCCTTCCTTATGATGACACAGACATGTTTATGGTGGTTTGCACGGATGATAAAACCCGTGCTGCTTGCAAAGAATGCGATCTTCCAACAACTACAGCTTTAGAGTGGAATAGTCGGGTGGGATGATAATAGTATTGCATATACATAACATATCTTGCACAGGATGGCTTTCATTTGCATAAGCATAATATTTAAATCTATCTGTATACATTTCGTAAGTTGTGAAGGTATATATTACAAGTAGCCTTATTGTTAGTTATCTTTGCCTGTTGAATTGTATCAAGACTTGTTTCTTGAACTCGGTTTGATCCTTCCATAGTGTAGCTGCTTGAGAATTGAGTGGAGAGTCATTGTTTGGCTCAGCAAACAAGGACTGGATGGAAATCAAAACTGTTTGAACGTTGTAGATGGCTGACCAGTGTTCCTATGTGGGTTAAATTTAGTGGTCGCGCGCATGGCTTGTTTGAATACGTGGTTGAGTAAATGCAATGTGGATGTGTGCGGATGACATACTTTGAGTATATCCAAGCAAATATTGCCAGACATATCGACGTTTGGATGGTACATTGGGGTTTCAAACTTGACTGTTGGCGCAGCCATGGGATAGTTGTGGGGGAACTTCATGGAGAGTTTGTATGAGAGGCCTTCATATACCTAGAATTGAAAATGGATTCAGTCCTTGTTGTTGATGTGTTCAGCGAGAGGTCAGGTTTACCGTTCCTTGAGGTCCGACGATGGTGGCGGCCCAAGTGAGTAGAGAATCCGAGTCTGGGAATGCAGATATTCCAGGAGGATTGGATGTCTATACATACGAGCAACATATAAGAAGAGGGAAATCAAGCCTTCTTCGTCCACTCACCATCAACTGCATCAATTCAGATTGCAACCTATTTTCGTTTGGATACGGATTAGATGCAGATGACGATCATGTGGATGACTCCAATTCTGAAACAAGGAAACTGCGATCAATAGCCTGTGTACCGCTCGCATGTTGGTTGCCTCGAAACACGACTATACAAAATTACTAGGAAGAAGTTGGTTCAACAGGTTACCTCTTGGATACCGATTGTGTATCAGACTTGCTGCCACCGGGAGCCGTGCGCTTGTTCGGTGAGTTCCGTGCCTCAATCATGACTTGCCTGTCTAGATATGTTATGATTTTTATATGGGGTAGAGGGTGGTCATAAGCGCAACAAGGAGGGGCGACGTGTTATTCATTACTTGATTGATTCAATGATTCGATTGATCTATTACATCATCTTTATATAGTATATTTCATAATCGACCTTTGTGCGGTGACAGTAGTCTCACCCATGCTACCCAGATATTGAGGTACGATGAGAGTAGATGAATCGTACACAAACTGCGTATGATTTATGGCGTTTAGGTGCGCCATCACGGCGTAAAAGCCTTTGGAGACGGAAAAGTCATTTTCTGTGGCTGATCTTTTTCTCATGCCTTGTCTCGTGCTAAAGACTTGTTCCATAATAGACACCTTTAGATTCGACCAAAACCGCCCTAGGAGATACGAGACATCAAGACATTCCAACATCCACACCACTCATCAAAAAGCATGGTCCACCCACTACCTACTCCAATATTGACCTTCCAAATTGAATCAATTTCCTCGATGTCATTTGTTGGGGACCAAGAACTCTCAAGTTTGTGGCATGGTGCGTCGATATTTTCAATTCCTGACATTATAATGCTTTTGCCCCTGCTGCTTTGTCGTCCTTCAATCTTCCTTTGGAAGCGGTGAATTTTACATCGACCCACACATTCTTGTCATGTGAGACAGTTTCGAGTGATTGAAACCGGAAAATGAAGCTACAAGGCCCCATGTTGATCTCATTCGATTGATTTTGGTTGCCTTTTATGTGCTAAACTATCGTCGTTTCATAGTCATAAGTCACTGCAAGGACAATCTGGTAAATGGGAGGCGTCTCGAGGTAGGTTATCCAAGGCTATGATGAAACTGGCTGCAAATTGTATACAAACATTCTCCTTTGCTAGAATCTGTCTTGGAGATTGTGGTATCGGTCTGCACATCAGGAAGCACAACCTGCTTGTGAGACTCCGGTGTCTCCAAGTACGCACCAACACCGTAAAGCTACTACCTCGGTATCCCCATCGTCCTTCTCAAAGATTCTGCACACGACAAAGGACACAATGGAGCTTGAGAACTTCAAAAAGGTTATCGAGTCAAAAAGGAAAATATCCGCCCAACCAAACGACCCACCTTCTAGAGTGTTAAAAGCCAGACTTCAAGCTGCTGCTGCTCCACTAGGTAAGAAAAATTGGCATTCGCATCGTTAAAGCCACCAACAATTTTTTCTGTAGCTCCTTCCAGGGCTTCACCTCGTAATAAACAAATATATAGCGCAGGAAGTCCCAAATCGTTGTCTCCTTCATCTTCATACAACACAATGGATCGAGCCAGGACTCTTCAGGAACAAGTTTTACAAATCTCACAACAAAAACGAAATAATCCTCTGAGTAATACACCCTTTTTACCTCAACAACAACAGCAACACTCGCATCAGCAGCTGGAACTGCTGAATAGACTCCCTCAAATAGCGAAGCAACCAATGTGCATGTCGGATGACCCATCACGTAAAGTAAAATTCTTTATATCAGAATCATCACCAGACTCGCCAGAGCCTTCCACTCAAGACATGCATGGTAGTCAGGCTCTGGGATCACTGCAACAACAGCAACCACGTCAACAGCAGCAAGCAGGCCACTCATCTAATATACCACAAGAGCACGTCGTATCCGATAATGACGACTATAGTGACGAGGAAGACGAGGAAGATATGACCGATGACGAGTCTGACTACGACTCTGATAGCTCAAACTCAGCAGGTGCTTCGTACCCCACGAGGAATCGTGGTATGTTTCAAAAAGTAGATGTGTCACCATCTCCGATACCAGAAGAAACTATAGATAATAATCTACGAGCTCGAATTGGAGGTGGTGCTTCCAGAACGTCTCTACTCTCTCAGGCTATTGAAAACTCGGAGCTGAAACGAGCGAAACCTTCGGTTTTCTCGGGTCTACGCATACTGGCTGACGGAGGAGCAATACCGCATACCATACCACCATCACTTGTCATGAATGAGGCTGACTTGCCTCCACCACCTGTCGTTGGATCGCTCTCTGAGAGTTTACGCGAAAATATCAATATGGATAGGAGAATGCCTTTTGGTGCTGTAATACATTCTGGAAGATGGAAGCAGGCGGAGTCTGAGAATGAATCGAATGAATCATCAGGATGGTAATTTATATAGAAAAAAATAAATTTATGATTTATGAACAAATCAGCCAAATCTTTCGAATAATATTGCATTGCGAAGCTTATATTGATTGAATGTGCGGAATTCTCTTTTGTGTCTGGGTTGGGGACGCTGTGCCAAGTAAGGTAGGAAGAAAAAAAACTTGGGGAGTTACATACAAGCCGCAGACCTTGATCACTATTTTCATTTGACAGATAGCACGAATATGGCCGCACCTGATCGAAGCCATGTCTCGCAGAGGTAGACCAGTTGTGATGAGCTCTCTTTTGTTCCAACATTTGGTGCTGATTTTCGACGCACAGGAATCTCACAGTTTGACAAGGGCCGGATGCTGTATCTACTGTATCCATTCCATTTTTAGCTTCATCTTCCAACGGAAAGCTGTCCGCATCTGTGCTTTCACTTCGCGGAAATGGCCTCACAAGACAACCTGTAAAAGTTGGAAAGCTTGAAACGTCGTACTTTTGCTGGAATGGAGAAGTTTATCGCAGAAGAACAGCTGACGGCCATACAGCTCATATGGACGACGATATCCAAGGCAGCGATACACAGATGATGGCGACGCTGGTAATGGAACTAGGTTTCGAAGCAGCCTTGTCACAAATCCATGGCGAATACGCTACTCTCTTGGTAAACCCTGATTCAACTTCAAATCAGCATCTTTGGATGGCTCGAGATCGACTTGGTCGTAGATCTCTGCTGTGGCATAGAGAACCAGGTCTAGCGGTTGTTTCAAGTGTCGGTCCCGTCTTGTCAGACCGCACACAAAATGCTATCGACTGTCTAAACTTTGAGGAGGTTCCTTCTGATTGTATCTATTCCCTTCAAGTTACAGACACTGAGGTATTTATGCCGTTTTGCTGGCTTTACTAGTCAGGAGAGCTGATTTCTTTTTGCAGCTCGTTTGGACACAATGTCCTCATCCAGTATCTCTACCAGCTTTTAACCGAGTATTGCCAGAGCCTGAAAACATTCGAATCCTTCCGTCATCAGATAACGTCCTGCCTTCGGTCGACTACGAAGAGGCTCTAACAGATTCAATGAATGCGATCTCCTCTGCTGTTAGTGTTCGAGTACTGAGTGCTCCTACTGCATCATCGTAACGATCCTGCTTACATGATTTTAAGAATGATAACAACCTCATACAACTCTGTTTCTCTTAGGGGAAAAGACGCACGCATAGCAGTATTATTTTCAGGAGGTCTGGATTCGTCAGTATTGGCATACTATGCCCATGTGCATTTACCACTATCGGAACCTATTGACTTGATCAACGTCTCGTTTGAAAATCCTCGTACAGCTAACGACACAGAAGACATTTATGATGTGCCAGATAGGAAGACAGGTCGTCGAGCATTGCAGGAATTGAGAAGACGTAAGCAATACACATTTTGACATATACAATTAGAACTTGCATTTCCCAATGCTGATATCATTATTCAAAAGTTGCCCCAAATCGACAATGGCAATTTGTAGAGGTGGATGTACCGTTTGCGAAAGTGACAGAGTATCGGTCGAGAATTATAGATCTGATGGCACCTTTGAACAGCGTCATGGATTTAAGCATCGCCTTGGCATTCTGGTTTGCTGCTCGAGGTATTGGTCACCTAAGAGATAACGGGAATAAGTTGCATCCTTATACATCAGCAGCCCGTGTATTACTCTCTGGTTTGGGAGCAGATGAACAACTCGCTGGTTATAGTAGGCATGCTGGCCGCTTTCAATCAAGATCGTATGCAGGACTTGTGAATGAACTCGCGATGGATGTAGAGCGTCTGCCTTATAGAAACCTTGGCCGTGATGACCGAATTATGGCCGATCATGGTCGTGAGGTCCGTTTCCCCTTCTTGGACGAGTTGGTTATGAACTTGTGGTCGAGCCTCCCCATATATCAAAAGGCAGATCTGAGACTAGGAAAAGGGATTGGCGACAAATTGTTGTTGCGGTGGGTGGCCGAACGAGTCGGTCTTGGTTCTGTTGCAACTGAAGCTAAGGTAAATGAAAACTAAACAAAACAAAACTTAATTTCTTCGTAGTTGCTCAACCCTTTTCTAGCACTAACACTGTAACTGATATAGCGAGCAGTCCAGTTCGGTAGCAGAACGGCAAAGATGATGGATAATAGCAAAGGTCATGAGCACGTCATGAGTATGTCATGATGTGCTGGAGTGAACGAGTTGTGTTGGAGGACAATCTTCCCAACTGAATTTGAGAATCTGAGGAACATGACCCAACAAATTTCATGATGAGGTAGCAGCAGAAAATCGATAACGAATGGTACTCATAAGCTTACTCGGGCCCAAAAAAAAAAAACAAAAAAAAACCAGTTTCTTTCAAAGCTCATATTTTTGATGTAGAATATAACGTAATATAGTAAAAGGTTATAAGTATAATCTATGATATGGATGAGCAACACTGTACAAAGGAAAAGACCTTTACATTATTGCAAAAGTGCTTTTCATAGACAAAATAAAACCAAGCCTGCTTCAAAGCTGAACTGCAACGAGTCCGACAATATGAGGCACACACGATTTGTGGAAGCGAAGAAGTAGTTTCACTCGACCTCAACCGGTCTCATTACAGTTGCAGATACAGTAGCTGGATTGTGGTCATCTGCACCCGTGGATGTGGTAGCAGATGGGGGAGATGTTGTTGCAACGTTTAAATTTTCGAGGAGGGAAAGCGATAAGGGTCTTGGTTTATATGACGAATGAGCTTGGCGAGCAAGACGAGAGTAGTCTGCACAGAGAAAAAGGTCAAATTTTGAGTATGGACCATCAACGGAGAAAGAAACAGACAAGCTCACAGAGAACTTACATTGCTGTAGTAATTCTGCAGAGGCAGTGAGATTCCATTCGATCAGAAAGCACATTTCGAGTTCCAAGAGGTTCAATTCCTTTGTCGATAGACCTCCGACCTTTGCATACATTGTGTTTGTTCTACAGACATACAATAAAATGGACGATGGAATGAATGAAGGAGAGTTAGATTGATTGAAAGACAGTCAGATTTACTGATTAAAACCGTTAGAGGAAATAGGGAGGACAAGAAATGACAAGTGACGTACAGATACGAGTCACATAGTGCTTTGGAGGCAATAGTACAAGCAGTTATGACGAATCGGTGGACGGTAAGAGACGATATCATGAATGTCCGATGTTGTTCACATACACGATCGATATAAATGAGTAGGATCAGCAGACAGACACGTTCTACAGATGCGTACTATGATTGAGACACAGAGAAAGAGAGAGGACACGTATAAGTATGATTTCAGAAGATGCTGAGACAAGAGCGAGCGAGCACCAGTAACTAACCTTGACAATGCGTCTCAAGTATTCAGCTATGCTGATACCAGGTGGAGCACGAGAGTGGAATCGAGTGAGATTTGAGGAAGTGAGTGGTATTTGGTCATTATGGGCGACTAGAAGCGTAGAGAAATATGTCAGATCTAGTCGCTAGAGAGCACTTTTCGGGGCAGAATTTTTGCAACCCGACCTAGACGAGTCAGTACATCGGCTAGAATTGAAACAGAAGAGTGAGTTCATGAGGAGAGAATGTGCCATGACAGCAAAGAGCAAGCGAGCCCCAAAAAAGGATGAGCTGCAAGCTTGTTCCCTCAGAGTGTTGTAAACACAACGAGAAGGAGCAAGGGCACAACATGAGATCATATATACACAACAACGATGTGTTGCAGTGATAATGCACCGTTGTGCTGTAATGGCAGTTGTGCCCGCAGGCAAACATGAGAATAGGACAATTTGACATATCAGGCAAATGTGAGTCAATGCACATACCAATGAGATGAGTAAGAGATTGGATGTCTACGTTTACGAATGATTCTGGCAGGGGAGTTGTCGTAGAGGCAGGGCCAGTTGGAGTATTCCCATTCTGATTTGCCATTGGGTTGGATTGCCAACAGTGAGTCTAGGCACTCATTGTACGTACCCTTGTTACAATATAGTCAGGGTAGAATGGCCAGTCACAAGCGAGTAGTCTGCCTGCTGCTGCTTGTCTCTCTATGGCCTGTACTGTTTTGTTTTGAGGTTTGAAGGAATGAAACAATGCAATCTCGGTGCAATGTATACACGACTTGACGCGTTGGTCGCGTGCTCTATTGCATCAGCTTCAATAGAATTCCTTGTTGCTAGTGCCCTGATCTTGCATCAGCAGCATACCTTGCTGGTCTTGCTCAAGAAGGGTAGGTAGGGGTGCTGCTTCATCATTGAACGAGCGCTGGAAGCTCTTGCTGGAAGCCTGTAGATCAAGCTGTAGGGGGATCAACCTGGATCAGTCCTATACGAGTAAGCAGTCACTCTGTAGAGTCAAAGTAATGCGCTAAATTTGAAAGCAAGACTGGAGAGATTTTACAATATTTTGAAGCTAATTATTAGATCATGACGGGGCGCAAAAGACCAAAGAATGCCGGCATCGTCACTTTATTAAAGGCTCTATTGTGTATGTCCTTCATCTACGTTAATCCTATCACTACATTCAATTGCATCCATTACATCGCATCACATTGCATTACAACATCACATCTTTACTTTCGCATCATTCATCATCTCCTACTCCACAATTCCATCCTAGGTCGCAAGTTTTCTGCTTCAAGAACTGTCCTGCTCGCATTACTGGCAATCGCAATCATCTTATTGACTCTAAAGCTGCGGCAAAAGACCCCCATCGAACACCTACCGCCTCCTAAACTCTCGGCTGATATTATAGCTCATATGGACGACCTCATGTCCAAACAGTCCTACATTGCTAAATCCACTCCTGAATATACAAAGTCGACCGGCAAATCGTAGGTCGTGTTGCCTCTATCGCCTAACATTTTTTTGCTATTGGCTGACCCACTCTTCACGTCTCCCGACTCTCGTACTAGGCGTGTTAACATCGTTACTCTCCATCTGATCGAACCAAAGGACATTGGTCAAGTAGACCAGCTCATCAACATCACTCTGCCAAACAAGATCCAATACGCAAAAAGACACGGGTACCGTTGTTGATTGGTCAACTTCATGCTCTTGTGATTTAATGCTTCCTTGTCTAGGTATCGATTGGTGGAGGCTGCTGATTACCCACTCGTTCAGAAACATCGTGCTCGCGGTGTTCCGATTTGTAAGCAATTCTTGCACTAGGAGATTTCGGAACAACACAGTAAACCTCCACCACTCTATCCTATCTAGTCTTTCTCAAACTCTTGTGTATCATGTTGGCACTCGAGGATGAGAATCCAGAGTGGATTATGTGGATGGATGCCGATGCATTCTTCCTGAATCACTCCCGCTCATTAGAAGAGCATCTAGACACAAGATATGATGTTGTCATCAACGCGGTGGGCAAGGTATGTGTGTTGCTACTGTTGTCTTTTGTTTTGGTTTCTCGCTCTGCATCGCTCCAGTGTGGGCCACTAGTACTCACATAAATCACATTTCTGCTTTGAACTATATAGCCGCCTAATTTTGCCCGAGTACCCAATAATGGAGTCTACTTTGTCCAAAATACACCTTGGGCGAGAAATTTCTTTTATAGTCAATGGATTCATGCCATAACAAATCCCCAATCTTGTCCTTTTGATGTAAATGACAAGCCTGTTAACGAAAACCATCCTCAGGTAACTATTTGCATATGTCTGTTTCCACAATTCGAAGTCCCATTTTTCAGACGATTAACCTTCGAAACATCGCCTACGATATTTACTTTCGAAAAACATTAATTTCATGATCCTGAAATAGTCCAAGCTTAATGGCTGGCTCCGGATGTGCTGGGAAGATGGACGGTACTGGTTGTCTGATCAGGGATTGTTTATTGTAACAATGTTGGCTCCTCCAAGGTCACTAGCTTGGCGGGGCACTGTGAATGGCACTGTACAGTGCCACATCAAGTTTGTAGCAGTACGCATACATTCCACTATTAACGAGTATCAGTATACTGACAACCAACCCCACTTAGAATCGTGACTTCAACTCTATTTTGGGCTGGTATCAGTCGGGAGACTTGATATTCCATACACCTGGGCAGTATGGAGACGTCAGAGCAAAGATCCTTCGTGAGTTCTGGCGCTTGACAGACTGGAACACTGGAACTGTAAGATGGGAGGAATCCGAAGATCTTATTCTCAAACCTGACTTTAAGCAAGAAATTCATTCTGGGACACGTGAAACAGCCGTCCATCCACTAGATCCTACTGATTCATATCCTGGCAAACACGGCTGGTTTTATAATGAAGCACCATGCTCTGCTGCCGAGATCGAACTATAGTGTATTAAATCCGTGTATAATCGCGCAGAAGCCTTGTGTAATATATCCCATTCCATTATTGAAACAAACAAACCAACGTGTGTCCAACATTCGTCGACGTCGCCACAATTTCTTTTGATTTCGCATCTATACAAAGACTTCACCAGGCAGATTACTCAGTTATGACAGCTATTGCAACAACAGCAGAGGAGGACAACATCTGTGTAGTCGGTAAGTCTCTCATTAGCTCTCTTTGCTTGACGAGCTTTGGTTATCGTGATTCCGCACAAGGTTTTTGCGAGCTTTTGTCAAATTTCAGCGGCCTAGTTTCAAACGCATCGCCGAATACTATGAACTAATTCATCTTGTATTTGACTAGTATTTGGTGCCTCAGGTGAGAGCTTGGTGCTATTTCCATGAACTGAATCGAATGATTGCTGACGACATCAACTTTCGCAACTGCACAAACCCACCACGTTACGATATAGGTAAGCCATGAAAGATGCGATGAGGCTATGAAACATTCGTTTACCTACTTACATTAAACACATTTAACTGATTCTACTTATTCGAAGGCGATCTTGCTTTCAAGAAAACATACCCTGCACTTTATGGTACGAATATCTCCAAGTACTGTTAATGAGCAATTTCTTCTGTTTCATGACGGTCATGGATATTTATTGATCGAGAGACGTATTAATGCTGCTGGAAAGACAGTGATATTAATCAGCGTCAATTTCTTGATAGGCCTATACAAAAACCACTTTCTACCCAAGAACTTGCAGATCGTAGGCTATGCAAGATCTGCTATTGAACTAGATGACTTCCGCAAACGTGTTTCCAGCAAAATTAAAGTTCAACCTGGTGACGACCTCGAGGGGTTCATCAATCGGTGTACATACGTATCGGGCAAATATGACGTTGATGCGGACTATGAAAAGCTAGCTAAATTTGTGGACTCGGTTGAAGTCGCTGTCTCTGGAAAGCGAAACCGTCTTTTCTACTTGGCTCTCCCTCCCAACGTGTTTGCTGATGCTAGTAAAGGAATCAGCAAATTCCTCCATACTTCGAAGGGTCAAAATCAGTTGATTGTCGAAAAACCTTTTGGTCGAGACTTTGAAACCTCAAAAGCGCTCAGCAAGTCTCTTGCTCAATACTGGAAGGAAGATGAGGTAAAAAAAGTGTATACTTTTGGAATCCATATCAACGACAGTATTGGTTTATCATTGACCAACCCAATCCCAGATTTATCGCATCGATCACTACCTCGGCAAGGAGATGGTCAAGAATATCATGATTCTTCGGTACAGCAAAATTTACTTTACCCCGCACCTTCATACAGTGTAGTGACACTCTGGTCTTGTTAGATTTGCAAACATCTTTTTTGGAGCAGTTTGGAATCGCTTCTATATTCACAATGTACAAATCACCTTCAAAGAAGATATTGGTACTGAAGGCAGAGGTGGCTACTTTGATGAGTTTGGTATAATACGAGATGTGAGTTTACAATCCATCGTTTCTGTCTGTTCTATCAGCGTAAGGGCACTGACTGGAATCTGTTTTGTTCACTAGGTGATGCAAAACCACTTGCTGCAAATCCTATCTATCATTGGAATGGAAAAGCCTGTATCTTTAGATGCTGAAGATGTCCGTGATGAAAAGGTAGTCAACGTCCTTTCGATCGGCAAGACAAAAGATCTCTTTCTCACTCGGAAGTTCCAAATAGGTCAAGGTCTTGCGCTGCATCGCACCACTTACAATGGATGACGTGCTACTCGGCCAATATACCAAAAGTCTAGACGGTAAAGAAGAAGGCTATTTGGAAGATCCAACCGTACCAAAGGGCTCCAACTGTCCAACATTTGCTGCTGCCGTCTTTTATATTCACAACGAGCGCTGGGATGGAGTGCCATTCATCATGAAGTGTGGAAAGGGTAAGGATTCTTTGCCTTTCTGGATCGCAATGGATACAAGTCAATTTCACAGAGGCACACTAATTGCTTTCTGATAGCTTTGAACGAACGTAAGGCTGAAATACGTATACAATTCGCCGATGTTCCTGGAAATATCTATGGTGTCGATGTGGCTCGTAATGAATTGGTACTCCGAGTCCAGCCCGACGAAGCAGTATATATGAAGTTTATGAACAAGCAACCTGGCTTGTCCAAAGCAGCCGTCATCTCGGAGTTGGACTTGTCCTACAAACGTCGCTTCAATGAACATCGAATTCCAGAGGCATATGAATCCTTGATTTTAGACGCTATGAAGGGAGACCGCTCCAACTTTGTCCGAGATGACGAGTTGGATGCAGCTTGGAAGATCTTTACGCCATTGCTTCATCGTATTGAAAAGGATAACATAAAGCCTGAAAAGTATGCTCACGGTAGTCGTGGCCCAGAGTCCTTGGATAGCTTCATCTCTAAGCATGGTTACCAACGCAGTCATCTCGCTTATGAATGGAAAGCCCCTTCAGTCACCAAGTTGTAAGCACCATATTATAAGGTAGTTGTCGTTTCTTGGTTGCAATAAAAAATACCATTGATATTACACCAAATTGATACCACACCAATTCCAATTTGTATTATCTTCGTTGTGGTTACATGGTACCCAGGAGTAGCAAGGCACTCGCCTCCTGCTCCTTACAACTATGCTAAATAAATCCTCCTTTTTTTTGTGTCACTAGCGTGAACTGTTAAAGCGAAAACGATTCCTTTTCACACTTACACCACAATAAACGTAAGGCAATGGGCGATTACTTCAAGTCATCCGATTCACCGGGAGATGTTCCCAAAGATATCAAGGCCTACCTGGGCGTACTTGACGAATTCATCGAAAAAGAGATAAAGCCGTTACAGGCGTCCAACGACAACGAACGTTTCTTCGACCACCGTAGAGAGTGGGCCAGAACTGACTTTGAGAACGGTGGCCTTCCCAGACATGAGTGGGAAGTCTTGCTCCATGAGGTTCGTTTGCCATTCCACCGACCATTGTTCCATTGTCGAATATGTATGTATGACGCTGACGTATTTGTCGATTCGATTCTCCCATAGATGAAAGTCAGGGCTGACAAGGCTGGTCACTGGCGTTTTGGTTTACCTGCCGAATTCGGTGGTAAAAACGGTTCAAACTTGGCCATGGTGAGCCATCAACGCAACCTTGTTTGTCCTAGTACCGTTGTGACTGATTTCCGTTCTTGTCGACTAGGCTATTATTCGAGAATACTTGGCTCACAAGGGATTAGGTCTCCACAACGACTTGCAAAACGAGGCTTCCATTGTTGGAAACATCCCCGTACGTCGCTGTGTTTTGTTAGACCGTCTGTTTCGCACATCGTCTTGACTTCCCTCTTATCTAACTCTTGATCCGCTCTCATAGACTGCACTGATGCTCCGAGACTTTGGTACTGCAGAACAAAAGAAGACCTTGATGCCTGGTGTTTTGAATGGAGACATTCGCATCGCCTTCGGTTTGACCGAACCTTCTCACGGATCGGATGCTACCTGGATGGAAACTCGAGGTGTTAAGGATGGAAACGGTTGGCGCATCAACGGTGCAAAGATGTGGAACACTGGTATGTTGTTTTGTCCTGCATTTTGTAGCCAAACGTTATTTGAGTCAAAGACCATTTTTCTCACTTTGTATTCATTATTAACAATTCTCATTGTTAGGTCTCCACGTTGCCACCCACGACTTTGTCTTTGCCCGTACATCCGGCAAAGATGGTGATGCATTTGGTATCACTTGCTTCATCGTCCCAACCAACGCTCCTGGTTTCAAGATTGAGGAGTACTTGTGGACTTTCAACATGCCCACTGACCATCCCCGTATCTCTCTAACTGACGTTTGGGTACCCGCCGATGCCTACTTGGGCGACTTCAACAATGGTTTGGCTTTGGCTCAACTATTTGTCCACGAAAACCGTATCCGTCAAGCCGCTAGTTCTCTTGGTGCGGCTCAATACTGTATTGATGAAAGTATCAAGTACTCTAAACAACGACGACCGTAAGTTGTTTGTGCAATGTTTCTGTTTGTTTCTTGCAATCTAAACGACCTTGACGTAATTTTTGCTTCTACCAGATTCGGAAAGCCATTGTCTGTCAACCAAGCCATTCAATGGCCCTTGGTCGAACTCCAGACCGAATGTGCTATGCTTCGTCTGTTGATTCGAAAGACTGCTGCTGACATGGACGGCATGCCTAAGCCCCACGTCGCTGAATTGCTCAGTGACAAGGTTGCCATGTGTAAGTTCTTGAACTATCTATACTCCAGGCATCCGGAACGAACTAACATGCCTTTCATCTCTAGGTAACTACAAGGCCAACCGTTTGGTGTGCGAGGTAAGCAAAGTTACATGTTTGCTTTTGCGATTAATAGCGTCGTACTTACTTCTGTTTACTTGGTGTTAGGCTGCTGATCGCGCTATGCAAATCCACGGTGGTATTGGTTACTCTCGACACAAGCCTTTTGGTGGGTGATGACGTGTCACTTCTTCCTACGAAAATTAACTTCGCAACTCACCTTTTTTGTAATAGAACACATCTTCCGTCACCATCGACGATACAGGATCACTGAAGGATCAGAAGAAGTAATTGAATTTGATGGTTCTTGTCCTGTAAAAGTCTCGGAACCGAAAATCTCACACTTAAAACGTTCGTCTAGATCCAAATGCGTCGTGTCGCTCAATTCATGTTTGGATATGACGCCAAGAAAAAGGCACAGCTCGAACAGCGTTTGGCCGGTGCCAACAAGCTCTAAAAAACCAAATTTTATAAGTGATTTTTGAAAACTGGAATAATTCCTCTTCTCGTACACCGTCAGTGTCGGTTTATGTGCTTTAAATCTTTCAGCGTTCTCTGCTGCGTTCAGTACCGTGGTTCATCATCCCAGCTTTTGCGTTCATCATTCGACGTTCATCATTCAATCACAGTCAACAAGAACAACCGCGACAGACAAAATGACTGCAAACATACCCCTCTCTTCCAAGCAAATCATACTAGTGCTATTGTTTACTATGGCAATTTCAGTGTTTCTCTTGCTTGATACGTTTCGCCCATCAAACATCTTGGATTCATCAGAAACAACAACAACAACAACAGTTCCCTGCAAGTTCCAGTCTGATCAACCTGCTGCAGACGTAGATCAACAAGAGGAATCTGATAGCGTGCCGAGACGCTGTGTATTCTTGGATCTTGGTACGTGATCTGCTTGTTTTCGTGAAATTCAATCTTCATTGATTAAATCATCATGGCTGTTCACAGGAGCAAATCGAGCAGATACATTAAAGGTCTTCTTGAAGGAGCCAGATGCAAAATTCAAATACGACTTCCCAGTGCCGTAAGTATCGTATTGTCGTTTGTCTCTATGCTTGATCATTGACAGTCATCGTAAGCCACTGACTAAATCTTACATGCTTATTACGCAGATTCTGGGCAACTCATGAGACTTGCGAGATCTACTTGTTTGAGGTGCGCGTGACTTGTGTGGCTGCAAACCTATTGAATAGTCGCTGATTTTTATGTTAGGCCAATCCTCTTTTCACACCAGCATTGAAGAATGCTTCTGTTGAATACAATGCAAAAGGAATCAATGTCACTGTTTTTCCCGAAACTGCCGTCGCTGCGGTCGATGGGTCTATAACGCTACACTTGGATACTACTACTGTTGAGCACGACTTTTGGTAACCTAATGACTCTTTCTAGTCAAGCTCTACAATTTACTAACATCTCTGTCATGTTTTTAGGGGAAGGTAGAAAGCTAGAGCTCTATTTTGTACTTTCGGCAAAGGCAGATTGATGACACTCCTCGCTTTATATTAGTTCTATTTTGGACGAAGATTCCAATCGTCCGTCAGTGGTCATCTCGGCAATAGATATCTCCACATGGATAATGAAGAATTTCAAGCCTCGAGACTATGTTCTGGTCAAGATGGACATTGAGAAAGCTGAATATAACGTCTTGCCTCGTATGCTTGAAGTGGAGGCATGGAAGGTGATGGATGTACTGCTTATTGAGTTCCATGGTAAGAACTTTCGCATTTCTGACCCTTTGAATTTTGTGAAAATTGGAGCGAAATAGACGTAAGAGACGAAGGGAGCTTACAGCATATCCTCAACATCTTCTCGTGTTACTCAACGCTCCCACACCTCCGAAATATAGATCCTCCACGTCTTAACAACGGTATACGCGATATCGCTATGGCAGCAACGGTCAAGCTTTCGGAACACGTCTTCATCCCACACTATGACTCGCCATCATAAAACTGCATTCCTCCGGTTTCAGTAAGAACGAAACACAATAAGTTAATCTTCGCTGTTTTCAGAAATAACATACTAAGTTAAACCCTGCGTACAATTCTGTTCTCCAGCATATGTGTGCTTGCAAGAGTGTGTGCATATGCGAATTGAGCTATTTTGCTGTCCTTTGGTACAATGATTACAATGATACAATGATTTACAACCGGTTCACGGCTTCAGCTTCTCCCAACTGTGGCTCCAGTAGGTCATGACATAGGACTTTTTGCCGACTACATCCAGCTCCTTTTTACATTCTTCTTGATCAAAACTTTGAGCTCTTGCCCAACAGAACTTTTCAGCAGGCGACGGTGTGTGCCAATCAAATGGATAGATCAAGGCTATGTGCAACCATGTTAGCTTTACGATCTAGTGGGCAGGACTTCTCCAACAATGTAGAGCTTACAAGATGGAAGAACCTCTACTTTGTGAGTTGGATCTGATGTGTTTCGATACCGAGCCATCCACTTGTGATAAGCAGTGTAGAGCATTACCGGACCAGTCATCGTCTCTGCAGAGTTCTTGTCGATTTCGGGATTGTATCTGTTAAACATCATTAAACGTGCGGCAAACAACCAAAATTCGTGATTTGGCTGAGAAGCCATCCAAGCATTCGGTATGTTGTGTTCGTATTCATAATCTTCGGATAGGTAGCCTAGCAAGGCGTGTTTGAGCCTTAACAGAGGATCCAACGGTCTCAGGCACTATGTTTGGGAGAAAAACGACACGTGTAAATCATTAGGCGGAGGGAGGCGTCAGTTAAGGACTTCAACATTAAACGAAATACCTCGAAATCCAAGTCCATGTACACGCCTCCATATCTGTGAAGGTAAAAGACTCGCACAGAATCTGCACGCATGATATTGCGTTCAAACGAGTCATAAGTTTCCAAGAACCATGAATAATGAGTAGCTATTAGCGCTCTATTCATAGCATCAGTCCACAGAATGTGTGTCCTAGGTAGAAATTACAAAACCCAGTTCAGATCAAGTACCATGCATTGGGTTCAGTTCAAGGGTATACCAGGATGTATGGAGAGAACTACACGTTCTTGTCCACTTTTGCATAACAGTTGGAATGTCTGCATTCTTCCACGACTGGAAAGACAAGAGGGACTTGAGCTTTTAGGAAAATCCAAATTCACAAAACGTCGAGACGCACTCTGTGCAGTATCCTAGAGCTACCGTCATTCTTGTCCGGTAGTTCTGGTATGTCAGGCAGTAAGTTGGCTACGTCAGACGAGTCTAGATTGGGATTCTCGTGTGGTGTTGTTGAGGACGGTTGATGTTGATGCTGTGTGATTACGGGGCAGTGTTGGCAGTACAGGAAGCGCGTCCAGGCCAAAGCTACTATGATGACAAGCAAAATCGATCTTGGTCCTCTAATCAAGTCTTTCTGGGTCATCCCATTTAAGTGGTTTGTTTGCCCGGTTTCGCCTTAGTAGACGTTTCAAAGTAATCAGGGGTCAACTCGACGCATAGAGTGCAAAAATTTAGACAATGAAGCGCGATAACTCGATGGGTAGGCTTACCTCTTGCTCTCTGGGTCTGTTTGGGACGTGCTGGAGTGTTTCCTGCAAACGGACAAGGCATTGCCAAGGTGGGCGTTCTGAATAGATCCAGACACCCTCATGGCCGTGGAAGGACGAAGATGAATTGCAGAGCTGAGCTGGCAGCAGCTGGTGGCAAAAATCTCGCAAAGAAAATGGCGACCGCACGCAGACAAATTCCAAACATCGAAACAAGCATCTTCCGTGCACAGTTTTCAACGGGGAGGAGGGGCGACGGCGTCTGTCGCATGCTTTACATACATATCTAACGTATTCTTGTCATTCCAGGTCAAGTCTATTAGGCTGCTGTCTTCTGGAGTAGCTTGCCGATTGCAGGCCCTTTTGTAAGAATGTTTCTGACATCTTGGTGAATTGGTGCTTATTGCCGTCAGGACATCATGTTCTGAAACAACGTGGACTACAAGGACTATGCTCAAGGTTGGGGTTTGGTACTGGATCAGCTAAAACTACCAGCATATCCGAAGGAGAACTTGCTATATACATTAGGTATTGTTTCGTGAATGGGACGCATAATCTTATAACATCCAAATGTCTGAGGAATGATCATCAGTATCTATATTTGCTGACATTGCAGTCGATATGGTTGTTCCACAAGGATTTGGAAGAGATAGTGGTTGGTCTCAATAGATGCCTGCCTGAGCAACGTTCGAACGCAAACAACTGGTAGAATGTGGTGTGAGCCTGGTTTGAATTTGGTTGTATAGTAGTTCTATTTCTGCGAAGAGCTGTATACTGAAAGAGAAATGAATGATGCACGTCAAGGGCGTCTACCCCACTTTGTGGCCCTCAGAAATCGTCCGCCGACTTCCTGCCATTATCTTCTTTCATAAGAGTGTAAGGGATCTGTTCAATTGTCCTCAGACTCGGTTCAAACGAGTCTCTCCTGATGTCGTGACTCTTATTGAGTCCAAAGAGAGAATCAGCAGCTTGAATGCATATAGCAAGAGTGCGGTTGTGAGCATGCCTAGGGAAACGAGGAACAGAGTGAGGCTTCGAAAAGTCCAACTCAGCAAACGAAGGGAGCCACTCCAAAGCATCACTTTCATTCCACTAGTTTGCCAACTGAAGCGTCGATACCTTCATCAACCCTCCGTATTAAGGAAAAGGGTCAATGTCGGCGCAAACATTACCCTCGCATCCAAGAAATGATGCTTAAAGTCCCACCAACAGCAAGACCGATGCTCCCTGGAACGAACATCATCTTGTGTCGAGTGTTTTAACATTTTGGTTGAGATAAAACCAAAATTGTGGACGAGAGTGCGTGTAGGAGATGTCTTGGAGTGGATACCTCCTCGTCTCGGCTGAAACGAGTATCACCTGATGTCGTCCCGTTGAGTCCAAAGGAGAGTCGGCACCGTGAATCCAGATACGTATGAGCATGTCTAAACAAAAGGAAAAGCACAGAGTGAGGGATCGAGGAGTTCTAAGCAACAATAACAGTAAAAGCAAGGAGCCACGCCATAACATCACTCTGATTCCACTAGTTTGCCAACTGAAGCGTCGATACCTTCATCAACCCTCCAATTAAGGAAAAGGTCAATGTCAGCGCAAACATTACCCTCGCATCCAAGAAATGATGCTTAAAGTCCCACCAACAGCAAGACCGATACTCCCTGAAACGAGCATCATCTTGTGTTGAGTGTTTTAACATTTTGGTTGAGATAAAACCAAAAATGTGGACGAGAGTGCGTGTAGGAGATGTCTTGGAATGAGCTCCTCCTTGACTCGCCTGAAACGTGTCTCACCTGATGTAATTAGCGTCCTGTATCCCAATAGAGTGAGAGAAACACTTTGGTGCACTTGGTCTATTTCGAAACGGACGAGTTATTGTTTTCGGTCAGTTTGATGCCAATAGGCAACTTGGAGATGACGGTCAAAAACCATACAAACATGGCGAAGAAAGGCAAGCAATGCACATACAATGAGTGCATCCATCGAATACATACCTTCTGGCTGCCCCAGTCCTCACAGATCTAGAGTTCCAAAGTGGACAAAATGTGAGCATCAATGTGGCGCATATCAGGTGGATTAAGAGAGAAGGGGACAAGAGCCTACAAAATCAGAGAGCCTTGTAAAGTGCATGACCGTCGTCCTTGGTCTGTGCTTCATCTTCGTTGGGTATGTTGCTACGAATGAAGGCGTTGTGGGATTCTGTTTTTATAGGCGAGACATGTGGGAGAAATCCCAGGGAGAAATCGAGAAATACAATGTGGGGAGACACTTAATTCAAACAGCAAATGGCATTAAAAGCGTGTTTAAACAGAAATTACCAACCACGCTCTACGTGATGGTTGGTTTTGTGCGGTTCAAAGCTGGCTGAATCGCCTTCGCTCATTAACCTGTCTCGCTGCTCGAAAGTTGTATTGGTACCTGCTGCAGTTTGTTTAGTATTTAGTATACACGAGACTGATATATATGAACAGCTCCATTTTCAGTGTTTGTTGGAAGTCTCAAACACAAGTTGGCCATCAAACAAGTCTACATATTAAGGAGCTTTAAACAATGGTAGTCTACTTGGAAATCATACCAGTTTGATTTTCATCCTCCTTTCTTGGATTACGTCCCGCCATCGGGCTAGACCGACGACATTAACAATTCGAGTTCAGCATTTAGTCATTGTTTCCAAGCATCAAAGTTATCAAATCTACCCATTTTGACATTTAAGAGATCTGAAAAAGATCGTCTCACCTATATTGTGCTGCATCATGACATGGCTCGTCTTGAATCGTGCTCAAGTCGGGTCCGCTGTTGTTTTCGATGCCGTTCTTCAGTGATGCCTTTCGAGAAAAGCCAGTTTCAAGCTCTTTGTTGTCTCTGGCCCTTTCACTGGGCTTATCTACGGGCAACATGGATTCGGAATTTCGCTGTTCGTGGTTGATCTCTTGTACCAGCAAGTATTCATCAATTTTGCTGATCAAATGTTACTCACTCGTTAGGAGGTGTCTCCCACTCCTCAGTGCCCTTCGAGCCGTGGTTTCGACTGAAGGTAGTGACGCTTCTTGTTGTCTTTCACGGTTGCATCTTTGAGTTTATTGAAGGAAGTTTGAATCCCTACGTATTAGTACTCGAGACGCTGTTACGCTCTCATTCCAACTATACTTGTAAGATTCGGAGGAGAACTGACTCGCTTGGTTTCAATCGGTTAGACTCTGCTAATCATCTTGACGGAAGTCTTGACTAACGAGCTTACCTGTAGCATCTAGAAAGGAGAAAGAAACTCGACCTTCCTACAAATGAGGTGAACACACGTCACAGAACGCTCAAACTTTTGTTTTAAATCTAAACATTGATTGTACGAGTGTAATGCTCAGAACAAATGAGATATGAATTGCACGTTTTTTAACTAGAAGTTCGGAACATGAGCGATATAGCATCGGCGAACGTTCACGATCATGTCCTCCATATGCTTCACATACCAATAAAAGAAACAAAACCGAAACTACGGTTGTGGGCCGAATTGATTTGCAAAAGTTTAGATGTGTTTGTCGAGCCTTCGCCGTTTGAAAGTTGTAAACGACACAGCCTAACAAAGTTCGGCAAATTAATTCGGAGCTAATTGAAAAATTCGTCTTACATATGGCAGGAGCGACAACAGAAAGGCAGCGTCTTGAATGCCGGTCCGAACACAGAAGAAAGCATTGAATGCGAGCTATAGTACATTTACAATATATAATAATCAACTCAGAAACTTCCAGCTTTGGACGCTTCCCTTGACAAATGATGGTTCGTCACTGACGAATATCTGTTGTGACGAAGACGGGGGAATCACAGATACTTGTCGAGCTCCGAAAAAATGTATCTGGGCTATTGGAGGGGTATCATAATTGACAGGCTCGCCATTTACACGGAAAGGCGAGATTTGAAAGGTTGGCAAGGGGAGCATGCCATTCTTTAATGGTATAAGGCTAATCATACTCGTGAAGCCCTTTCCTTGCTATTTGAGATCGTCAAAAAGTCAGCGAATTCTGTACTCCGGAGCAACAGACTATTTAGCCTTTTACCTCAAGTGTCAGAATTCGTCTCTTTTTTCCTGAAAACATCCACAAATCATTTTGGACTACAGCTTCACAAACTACCTCTATAGCTTGGAGAGAAGTGCCAGCTGGCCATCTCGATTCTGAGATAGTCAACTTGCATGGTATAATATCTCCAATGACAAAATTGGTTTGAGAGCCACAGAGTCCAAGATCCGCAGTGAGTAGAATCTAATATAGGTAGAATCTAGTCCTATTGTCCGAAAATTTGAAGGACAACGACAATCACCTGAGAAGATGGCAAATAAACGTTGTAGATTATCGTTTTCGGTAGCATCTTGACTGAATCTCTGACAGCAGCCATGTCAATGGTTCTATGGGACTCTTGAAAGTCATCCACCAAATCCAACAATTTCTCACGAACATCAGCATCCTCCGAGCTTAACGACATTGCCAGTCCTGCTTTATCATATTCTACAAATGGCATGCTATCTAGAATGGCATAACTTGCATAATCTAGTCTGTGCAATACTCTGTCCCGCAAGTACTGAGTCAAGAACCCAATGTACTGAGCAGCTGAGTGGTTATGCAGGTAATTCTCGAGCTGGCTAATTATAAAGGCTTCGACCTCTATGTGTTGGTATAATGTGAGAAAACGATGCGAGTACCAAAAACCATGAAGATTGACTTGCCTTCTTGCAATCCATAATACTGTACAATAAATTGCAAACTTATAAGGTCATCTTTGCTTTGACCACGGGAATCTAGTCGTGGTCAAAAATTAGCATATTCTTTTATAAACCACAATATTTTGAACCGCAAAGACTTGCCTTCCGCCTGCTGAAGATGGTAGGCAAATGAATACTGCTGGTCTTGAAATAGATTCTACAAATTATACACGTCAAATCAATGGTTATTGGAAATATGGACCATTTTTAAATTGCTGCTTGGTGTACCTGGTTCGAGGCTGTAAAATATTCCTTGACTGAGAACGAGGGAGGAGCCACCATTTGAGACGAGACAAGCCGTGTAGGAATTTCTCTTCCTCCTACTGCACCGACAGAAACATGCAGCCTGATTTGCCCAGTATGGTCAGTATCACGAATTCACGCGGTTTAAGTTCAAACGAGTGTCGACTAACCCCTTTTCACTCTCCATGACACTGTGCCCAATGAGAAATGGAATTCCCATTTTAACCCTTTCCACTGCGGAATATATTCGGCGACGAGAGTCTGATGTGGTGTAGGGCATTGTAATTTTGATCAAGTGTTCCAACTCGTTGGTTCGAGGATCAACTCGTCCAATAGGAGATGTCATTTGAGATGGTGGCGGGATTGAGAATGGCACTAGAAACTCAATCACGTCGTTTTCTCCACAGCTAGGTACTTGAATGCGCCCATCGATAGTTTCCCTCGTTTGCTCTCGTACTGGGTCACTATGACGATCATCTGTTTGTAAAACAAATAGTCAGTCGGCACCCATGAGGAGACTAACGAAGAAATTATAAAGTACCATTCATACCAAGAGCTGAAAAAATACGAAAGGTGACGGATTTTGGTGGGAGGATGAGGAGCCCAGACAATGATGAGCAAGTGATGGTTCCAGATTCGAAGGCAGTCTGACGAGAATAAATTCTCATTTGGACGACACTAACGGGCTCGCCGTACACCACTATGACGTGTTTTAATGAGTTTTATTGAGTTTTTTGCTAGCGAATTTGAAAATGACTACAGAACGACAAAACTTACATTGATCAGGTAGAGATACAGTAAGTCGTAACGACGTAGCGTGCTCAAGAATTTTGAAGACATGCTTGCGATTGTCTTTGAGCAAATTGTAGGAAAATGTGACCTGACCAATATTCAACTTGACATTTTCCACTGCATAAGAACCAGGAACGCTAGTTTTCTATGATCAACAATATCAATTATTGAGGCAGGAGGGAGCACCATCACAAATACGCTGAAGTACCTCTGAGGACACTCGAATCACATTAGAGCCAGGTTTTATCAAGACATCCAGTCTCGTAAGAATAACATCTTCATTCATTTCACCACCGACCATGCATAGAGACGCCTTGTCCAGCAAAACTTCCTGTAAAAATCATTCAGTCGACCAAAAGTCAAACAACACATTCAGCACAATGCAAACCTTGGGGAGCGTAGAATGAATATTGATTTCAACATTCAGCCCGTCTTCATCTCCTACTTTTACTACCAGGCCCATCACAGAAACCTGGAAAAGCGTGTCGCTGTCTCTCAATATAGCTAGAAAAAGAAAGCGGGTTACCTGTTGGTTCTTTGACATATCTGCTATCCTACAGTCCAGCAGTTGACTTCGCTCATTTCTCGTTCAATAACAACAAAAACAAGCTCAACCAGAAACTTACGTCCGTCCATTTCCTTTGAGACTTTCTGTAGTTTGTTGACAAAGGAGGATAACTTTTCAGTTGATATTGCTGAAGGATGAGACAGAATGTGTAGACAGGACTGCACTAGTTGAGTCTTTTGACCTAATTCTTCTTGACACGTTGATAATTTTTCCAAAAGAATGGTATCTATCGACACCCATCCCGCCGCAGAATATTTGAACACTATAGACTCCCATTCCTTTGAGGCTTCGAGATATCGTTTACGGTGGCTAAGTAATGGATCAGGGTTAGAAATCATTTAAATAGGAGTATCAAATATCACCCATTGATTTTACAAGTGTAAATTGGCTGCGTCGTTGTGTAGCATCATGCTCTGCCGTGGCCGATGACCCAACTCGAAGCATTTGGCAGCGCGAGCCGACAAGTTCTATACAAAAGTGTGAGTATATTGCGCCTGATTTTCGTTGCACCAAAATGAAACAATTGTAATCAAGTACCAGATAGAGATCGTCAAAGAGTTGCTCAGACTGTAAAGCGCTCTTCAATTCTTCGTTTGTGATATCCGTTACGGATAGAGAAGCAGCGCCAGCCTTTGAAGCGCTTGCTGGACTTGAGAGGGTATGAGGTGCAATCAGACCAGCTAATCCACCAAGAGAGTCCAGCTATTGGACATCAATCTCAGTTTAACGATGTATTTTTTGGCTACAACAAGGGACGTATACACTCACTTGACACCATGCATAATGTAGTAAATCAGCCTTTGCGGCCTCGTATAAATCCAGAGCAACAGAATTCTGTTTAGCAACAGCGAGCACTTCTTCACAGTGCGATACAATATGCAAACAAGTGGAGTATATCCATACTTCAGCAAAGTGGGGAATAAGTGATGTCTGTGAAGAATGTTTCAATCGTGAGGTAGCATGAATCAAGTTTGATTTTCTAGCAAAAGTATTCTAATTACCTGATATTCTCGTAGAGTCCGGGAAAACATAGAGATGAATACTTTTGCCCGTTGGCATATTTCCGTAGGCATGTTGAGTTTGACGAGCATTTGACACTGTCGTCCGAATAGATAAATGCGAAAGTCGAATATGGTACAATTAGTTTGTAGGATGAGGTCACGATAAGGTTTTCTTTTGAGATTGAAGATGTCTTCTGAATCGTCGCCGATATCAGTACCGCCAAATGCTTTGAACCATGCGGCACCTTGATCTAGAGTTTTCACAGAACGATTAGGTAGGAGTTGGTGCACGAGTATTAAATCTAAGAGTGATTATTTTGTCAACCACTTGCCACTCTGCATTTGGGTAAAGAGTGCTTCTAGTTCATCATAGCATTGTAAAGCAGCATCGTAAATCGTCATGACTTCAAACATATTTGACAGAGATTCCTAAAATGAGAGGAAGAATTTAAGAAGGAAATTAAGCAGCAAAAAATGAGTAGATATCGCATAATTTAAGTACCTTGAGTATAAAGTATTGATTGTAATTCCAACCAGGCAAGTGCCGTTGTGTTTCCAGGCGTTTAGTATCTTCATCGCGCTGTACTAGTTGCAGCGTAAAACCAGCAAGAATGGTTTCCTTCATCTTGTTGAAGAAGTCGCCCCATATTTCTAGATCGGATAGGCCCGGCTGGAAGAGTTTTAGCTGAGCGACTCGATCACGTTTCGTGTTGAAGTCGGCCTTAATCTTGTCAAAGACCGAGCTTCCTACAGTGAGGAATCTCGAGCTTCTTTTTTCACTTGGACCAGGCAGGTAGACAATCATATATTCCTGGTTTCTTTTGGATGTGACTAGGTTTACCCAATCTTGGATTTGTTTCTTTACGGTAGCCTTGTATAGTTCGGCGTCTTCACAGCTAACAAGATACATATGGCAGAATATGGTGGAAGGATTGAGAGTGATTGGACCTTCTTTCGGGAATACGTCCTGGGAGAATTTCTTGAGCTCAATATCCAGCATGTCTATAGGTCTCGAAGCGGACATTTTATCGCGATCGGGGGCGGAAGAAGAGGGGTGATGGAGATTAGAGTTACTAGCAGCAAGCGTGGTAGGAGGCCTGTCAGATAATGGACTGGGTAGTGGTGAAGATGTGGAGATGGCCGATGTCGCCGAGGAGATTGTGGTATTTCTGGAAGGGATTCCTTGCCAGGACATGTTTCTGAGTGGCAACCTGTTTGACAATTCTTCAGACAAGTGAGTCCATATTTGGGCATCGTCACAATCTAATGTTTGGAGGATGATGATGAGGACAAGTAGATATTGAAAATACGAAAGTAGCAAAATAAATGAAGAGTACGCGACTTACAAGTGACAATGACTCTCTTGTCGGCCATTGCCGATTCTCACTGAATCTTGCTGTGTCTAATTCTCACACTTTCCAACAATCAACTTGGACGCGAAGGAAGAGTCGAGTCAAGCAGCCAGAGACAGAACTCAGTCGATTCCTGTGAACGTGTAAGCTGATTGTATATCCGAGTTCGTTTTGATAAAGCACTTAACAATATTGTGCTCGTAGATGCAGCCGCGACCAGGTCAACAGAGACCCCCGACTTATGGACAGTACGCTGCTGTACCTAGTCAACATCAACAGCCTCCACTCCAGCAATACGCACCTCCACTCCATGCGCCAGCTCCACAGCACGCCCAACATTCAACATCAAATTCATTGGGGGCTCAAAAGATTCCCTCCTTTGCCCCACTTCCACAATCTGTAAATGCCTACAATCCTCCTATTTCTACTAATCTCTCATATCGACCTGCTGCTGCTGGTATACCACAACAACTCCCACAACAAATGCCATACTCAAACAACCCAACTGTTGGCATCATGCCTACCCAGCAGTTACAACAACAGCAACAAGGAGTATGGGCTAGTGATCCATGGCAGGAATTGCAGGGAAGTGCTGCTGGCCAACTGGGCCTGCAGTTCGGAAGTCAAGCTCTCAAACAGGGTCATGAAATCATGCAAAACAATGTAGGCACAGTCTTGATGTCTGATCGTTCATACATTATTGTCTTGTGTCATGTCTTTAAACATTACATCCGTTGCTGTATCGCTCACTCACCCCTCCTGCCACCTATTAAATCAGATCAATCGATGGATTAACATACCCACTCTCAAATACTACTTTAACGTCAATAACGCATATGTTGCTACAAAGCTACTGTTGCTACTCTTCCCCTATCGACACAAGGTAAAGCATGGCCAGTTGATTCGCCATCATCCATGTGTTTTTGGACACTTTTATGTCAAATAGTCATGGACTAGACTGGTAAAGAGATCTGAACAAGATGGCCAACTGGAAGGTTACAAGTCTCCTCGTGAAGATCTAAATGCTCCTGATCTCTATATTCCTGTCATGTCCTTTGTCACCTACATCCTACTCGTCGGAATGTGGGCCGGACAGCAAGACAAGTATGCACGGCAAGAGTCTCATGTCTGCTTGGATTGCATTTATAACTTGTGTCATTCTCCCTTAGATTTCATCCCGAAGTATTAGGAATCACCTCAACTACAGCCTTATTCGTCGTCGTCCTTGAGGTCTTATTTGTCAAGTTTGGGTGCTATCTGTTAAATGTAGTAGGAGATGTGCCATGGTTGGACTTGGTTGCCTATTGCGGCTATCAATTCGTTGGGTAAGTTGTGATTTATTTTATTGTTTTCGTGAACTAGTCAGGCTGACTTTGTTCGCTCTCTCGCTCTCTTATTTTATAGTCTCATTTTTGTGGAAGGTGCTAGATTGTTGGCACCGTATTGGGTGGTCTATGCCATCTTTGCCTATGTCATGATTTCATTTGGATTTTTCATGGTATGCACGTTTGGCGCAATACCTGAGTTGATTGATTATTTTTCTGATATGTTTCGCAAAATAGCTTCGAAGCCTACGTTATATCGTCCAGCCTGAATCTACTCATACGGTGCAAATGGACGCCAGAAGGCGACGAATTCAATTCCTCTTTATTGTCGTCCTGGTACAGATTGCCATGGCATGGCTCTTATGCTGATCTAGGCTCGTTATGCATTTGAAAGAAGTCGGGCTTGTATACTGTCATATACACGATGGTCGGCATGTAGACTGTAAATACATTATGGAGCTCATCAGCAATAACCAGGTTGAGTTAGACGCGTTAAGCGATCGGAAGAACTGACTGATAACAAGAGACTCTCAAGATACGCGAGATGGTCCGAAACGTTAACGAGTTTTGCTACTGCGATCTGCCACAACTCACAAATCATCAAAACGCGATGCGATGAGTTTCAAACCAACGGAATATTGCAAAGAATGGTAGTATTGTTGACAGTTAATTTCCCAAAGGAGGGAGTCTTTTTTGCAGGAGAGGCCTTTACTTGTAGCTTGACATTCTCAAACGTATCTTCTGTTGTAAGTTCTACTAGTGGTGCAAGTAGAAATAATAGCATTGCCAGTCTGCCAAAGAGAACCGCTAGTCTGGTGCATTTTGGAGACTTGTCATCTATTCCAGAAGCTACGCAAGCCTCATCCTCGACTGTCGAAAAGCCAACATTAAATATTTTGGACAAACAAAACACAGACAGTAAACATGATGAAAACCGCACAACAATTCAAATGTCTTCTCTGAATACTACAGCTGGAATGCTGCCTGGATCCCCTGCTGCTATGGTGCAAACACGACCTACAGAGTTCTCAAACCGCAATGGCACGGAAGTCTACGAAAAGGAGAACACAGTAGCCCATTCTACGAGCAATGGTACCGCTAGAAATAGTCTCCATGCACCTAATGGAAGTATATCACATAGTGTCTCGCAGTTTGATGAGGTTGATCAGCGTAAAAGGCTTTACAACGTTGCTGAACCATTTGAAGGCTATCTCCCCGAATACTCTCAACCGTTTACTCCATTACTACCGAGACGACCTTCCCAACCACCGTCACTACCATTTCCTTCCCAAGTCGCTGACTCGGTCGTTGATCACAGTGCTAGTAATCCTAATAATCGTAGTGACAAACATGGAGGTGAACGTCTATATTTAAGGACAGTCGTATCCGAAACCAGCGGACATAATAGTATAATTGCATCTCCAACACCTACAACACCATCCAAAACGGTCATAGAAAATGGTGCTCTCCCTGTAGAAGACCATTTATCCGAGGCTACCGTATCGCCAAATAGACAGCATCGACCGTCGTTGACTACTAGAACGTCAACGGACTCGCTAGCATCATCACTTCCTGGACATGTATATCAACAATCGTCAACCGCCCTGCATCCTCCAACGTCAAGTCAAGTGGAAGAAATTACGCTCGGATTTGCACAAATGTCGGGATCATTTACATTAGATGGATCAACTGTAAAATTATCAGCTTTCGATGAACTCAAAAAGCAGATCATGTATAGACCAGTGAATGGGTTCTCGAGTGGTCCAGGTGGTGGTGGGTCGTTATTTCCTCCTTTGGGACCAGATAATAATTCACGGCCAACTGGTGCCAAGACTGGTACGTGTCTACGTCTTAAATAATATTTATTTAGGTCACTTGTAACCCTTATGTAGTTGCTTATAATTTTGTTTGAATTTCAACAGACAAGAGTCTACCACTATATACTACTCCACCTTCCATTTTATTTGCTAATTTGTCTCTGGCCTCTGGAGAAAGCCGAACGTGTAAGTTTGTCAGCAAATAATTCAAGTTGGGGAAATTGACAAAACGTTGGTTTGGTAATAGACCGATATGAAATCAAACTTCCATCAAGTCTACCACCATCACATCGTGGAAAACTGATTCGCATATCTTACAAGCTTCTGGTTGGAATACAAAGATTTGGTGGTGGACGGCGTAATCAGATTATACAATTGCCATTCCGTCTTTTTGGAAGTGTTGAAGGTAGTTGCCCCAATATTGCCATTCACGTGTGTTAAGCATTCACGTCTGTTAAGTATTTACAATTCTGAAACATGTAGAGGATGGAGTGAGGTCGCTATTCGACTTGCTGACTCCTGTGGTCAAGACCAAGGATGAAGCGACAATAATAGATGAATTTGAAGAATCTCGTCGACAAGTCAAAACAACGAGTAAGAGAGCAGTGTCTCGCAGCAATGACTGAGTGTTCTCACGTGTATTTTAAATTTCTAGGAAAATTACGGCCGCTCAAGTCTGCTTCTCAGGACAATCTCGAGACCGAGACACCGTCAATGGCTCATATTTTATATGTTTGTCAGGCAGCAGGCAGAGTATCATATCAAATATGTAGAGACACGCATTATATTGCTCATCTGCACCTACTGCGGAATCGATATCGTCTTGGTGAATCCATTATGGGTGTCTTGTCGTTTGCTTCCTCTGCAGTCCCATGTTATCAAGTATCTTTATATCTAGAAACTATAGAAGCAGCAGACCAAGAATTTTCGCTACGTAGGTCAGCGGATGGAGGAGGTACGATTCGAAAAAGTGTTGCAGAATCTCATGTGAATGCAACCAATTCCAAGAGACTTGGAATACAGTTGGCTATTCCGTTAACTGCTGCACCCGACTTTGCTACGTCTGTCGTATCAGTGTCTTGGTCATTACGTCTAGTTTTTATAATAGCCAACGTTGCCAAAAAGAAGGGCGAGGGTGATTTTGAACAGCTTGTCAAGACACCAGGACCCGAGGCATTTAGGCATTCTCAGGCACGTAATCGTGTAGATACAGAAGTGTTTGAGTGTATAGTGCCTATAACGGTTTATGGGACAATGTCGGGAGGAGGAGGAACGAAAGGAAACACCTTGTACTTTGAGATTGTTTGATGTTGTTTCTTGTAATACTATGTAATATACACTCAATCTTATTGTTTACCTGCTTCCAACTATATGAGGTTGTCTACCTGATATACATTTACTGCCGACGCTACTAATACTTTTTAGATCTGTTGCGTTCCAATACAGATTTGGCAGCCTGTAGAGCATATGCTGGTATCTGTGGCCATAGTGGTAGAGTGCTGCTAGACTGTGTCCTCCTGATTATCTTTGCGATTTTCGGATTCAGCGCACTACGTGTATCCAACACCAATCTAGCGTTATCTAACTGCTCTTTCAGTCCTTCATTCTTTGACTGTAACAATATAGAGTCCTCCTGCTGCCTCATCTTGCCTAGAGATTCTTTATAGTGTTTGGTGATGAGTCTCTTATACATGAGTCCAACCTCGTCCCCAATAAGTTCATCCTTTGTCGATATGACATACTCATCGAATCCACCTCGTTTATCTACCATCCTGAGTGCTTCTGTGGATATCCGCATGAATATATTCAAGTCTAGCACTCGCGAATACAGGTATCGAGTAGCAATGTTTGGGAATTTGATGGTTTTTGTTATGTTGCCCTTTTCAGTGATCAAGTCTCCAAAAGTCACCTTCTTGCCATGAGCGAATAGAGGTATTGCCTTGGCATATGGTCTTATAGGTAATGGTAGTCGTCTCCAATATGACGGTTCCCATTTGCTTTTGGTAAAGGCAAATGACCAGTTTAGTTGTGACGGAGCTCGTGGCATTATCTATCACCTGTCTATCTATGGTTATATATCAGAGATGGGTCTTGAGTAGTATTCAACGTTTGATGCGTTCTTCTTTCGGTTTGCTCGATGTTTTGGACAAAAGTGAAGGATATCTTTGAAAAAATTTCACACAGGCGAAGGGCTGCTTCGCGTTTTTCGTTCTGACATAATGCTATATCATATAGGATGAAGGAATTCCTGATTCTAGCGAATAAACGATGGAAGTCGCGATTGAAAGAGCAGCAAAAGTGCAGTCGGCAAGAAAGAGCAGTCTTTCAGAGCCAGAATTTGGTGAAGAACGTTTTATTGTAATGCAAACTAAAGAAAATAAGAGTCCTAGAAGCCACCTAATGATGAGGATGAATCTCCGTCAGGTCTTCAACGAGTGTGGGGTACGCAAAACAGATTGAGAATTTACCTCGACCTCCCCTGCCTCTTGGCGAAAATTGACCTCTTCCTGCTCCACCGCCACCTCTTCCGCCAAAACCACCACGTCCTCCTATTGTTTTTAGAATGTGATTTAGAGATACGATCATCACACTGTCGTGAAGCGCCAGGTTACTACCTCTATCCGAGCTGAAACCGCGTGGAGCAAAGCCTCCTCTGCCACGAGGTGCGAACCCACCACGGCCTCCTGATTTCAACGAATTTCATGAGTTTGCATGGAGAGACAGTAGTATTCAGTGGTTCTCATGGGACAAACCTCTTGGAGCACCTCGGCCAAATCCACCTCCGCCACCACCACGTTTTGGCACTTGGCCTATAGATAGATGATTTCTGATATGTAAGACAACTAGCGAACGCTGTCTAGTTCAAGCTTTGCGTGTCGTACCTTGTCGTCCAGTTTGTTTGTCAACTAGATGCAAGAGGAGCAAAGTGTAAGCATGTATAGCGAGTGCACAGTAAAATCAGCACGAATATGCATCAGATCCTAGGTTTCACCTCTGTTGCCAGTAGCCTTTGGTTTTGGCAGGAAACGTTCCAGTGGGAGCAGTTTGTCTGGAGCAATGTATACAGCATCTTGGGCTTTGAAGCTTGCAGCTTGCATACCCTCTTGTAGCTTGACAGTAAAGTGAACTTCTGTTATGGGGCCGAGGATTTCGTCGACTTTGCCTATCTGGGTCTTGTTTTCGAGGTAGATGGGAGCGTTGAAGTACGGTATCTTTGTAAAGAAACGAATGAGAATGATCCAATTAAAGCAGATAATTCGATCATTGTACGAAATTGCGTGTTGACTGTTATTTGCTGAGCTTGACATGCATTCAGTCAAATCACACGAAAAAAAAACACACCTTTGGATTTGAGCTTTTGCAGACCATTTCACCCTCGCAAGCATGGATGAATTTGCCCATTTCTGAGTCAAAGAATGGGATGTATGTCAGCTTGTTGCTTCATTATAGCTGTTCAAAGAAAAAACGCTTCAAGCCTTGCCAACAACATAATCCGGCGGTCCTTGAGGCTCAAAGCGATTAAATCCGCCTCGTCCTGCATTTCCAAATCCACGGCCACCTCTAGGTGCTCCTCTAGGAGCTCCTCGTCCTCTGCTCATTCTTGCTTGACGTTTTGACTTTTTTTGGAAGCAATCATTGATGTATTATATGATGAATGGACCAAGAACTTTTATGATTGTGGGAATTTAATTTCGTTGTAGTCACGCTCGCAACATGGCATTGACTTGGAAAGGTAATCGTGAAATCACATTCAACATTTCAGTCACCTACTAACTACGCAACACGTAGCATTCACTGGTACGAGATCGGTTTGCAATCTTGAGTGCTTTCGCTGCTTACTCCCATCTTCAACAAGACTGCTTTGTGGAATTGGTCGAAGTTTGCACCCACATCATCCTTCACACTCGCCATGTCTATCCAAGAGGTGATCAAATGACCCAGTACGCAGTATTCATCTTCAGTTCGCTTATACTCTTTGCCCAAATAGAACTGTTTGAGAGAGTCTCCATTTATGGAATTGCCATACCTCAAAGTCGGATGCCAAACGTGAATCTCTACATTTCTGACTTTTGTCAGGGAATCAAACATGATCTTGAAAATGTATGAATTATAATTGATCCTGTTGTGACAATTGTCGCTGTCGCTCAACAATACTCTCATGTGTTTGGTCAGGGTTTGCTATCGGCCATCCATCTGATGATTCAAAATCAACTTGGACCCCTCGAACTATTCAGCTTCCAGTTAACGCCTCTGGTGGTCCTGAACGAGAAATCTGTCATGTACCGTAAATCATTTATCTGGTTTTGATGAGTATTTGCTAAACCACACCTTACGGCATACTTAGGTCATGGACTGCCTCCGATCTAGAAGCGGAATTTATGAGTCTGTGTTCAACATTGATGGCTGATGCTGATAAAAAACCAACTCCAATCCAAAAAGGCACGTTGCGTTGTAATTGCATTGCTGGCACTCAGACTTTGTTAATTTGTTGCACCTAGATCGTACCTTCTCCTTGTATGTCGAGTATCGTGAGAAATCGACAAGACCTTCTTCAGGAGCACTGGTGCTGGCGCAAGATCGTGCGCTGTCTATAGAGAAGGCTCAGCTCGTGCCCTTCAGAACGCTCAACACTGGCCTCCTGCAGGTAGCTGAACGTTTACTTTCAATTATAACACATGATGGAAATTCGCTCACTTTTCTCGATAGATCGAAGTCATTAGCAAACAATCATTGTAAAACAGACACCATGTTGTTCCTTGTAAGCAATATATATTTAAAACAGCTCCCAACTGAGTTTTACTCAATGATTCACCCACCTGTATCCATCGGAATAGATACAGTTGTTGTCACTTTGGTTTACCGCTGAATCGATAATATATGTATAGAGTTGCTTAATACAGACGTTGTGGTTTGCCCATGGAAGATTTTACAAACAAACTACGGACGTTTTGCCAATTCTTCTTGAGGAGAGAGACCAAGAAGTTGATACTCAACATGGTGTTGTTTACCAATTCATCTTCTGACATTTGCACGTGACCGACAGCAACACCCAAGCATAATACTTTTTTGAGTTGGAATTTGATGGTAGCCTTCATTTCAGCGACTTTTTCAGCCAAGTTTTCAGCGTGGTTGACGGGAGTAGGGAATTTACCAGCCTTTGACAAACCAGGACCCAACAAACGAGGGATTTGTTTGATCAAGGCTTCGGAGGCCAAGAAAGCATCGTATTTCTTGGCTAGTGCGATAGAGACGAGGTTTGATTAGAATGGGATTGTCTTGTATTGTAAGTAGTAACAAGGAGCACCAGAATAGCAATACCTACCCAGCTTCTTGATGAGCTTCTTGTTCTTGTTGAGCTTTTTCAAGTCGTCAACGGACATAAAGTCCAATCCAATAGCCTTTGCTTGATCGATGTGAGCAGCATCAGCCAAGATACAGATGGTCATTCTGGGCTTTGGGATGTTGGGCAATCTAAAAGAGGTTGAGCATGAGTTGTGTGTCTCATTGCAACATCATCGTGAGGTATCAATTGAATGACGATGTATCGACAGCATCAATAATTACCTGACGGTACCCGAGAAACGCTTGTCACGTTGAGGATCATAGTTCTTGAGACCGATTTGCAATTCTACAGTTTCTACGAATTTTCTGGGTTTGCCTTCCTTTGAGTAGGTGACGAGATTACGGATGGAGTCACGGACAGCACTAGCCTGGACTTTGGAACTAGTTGTATGGGATGTATTGTGTTAATTCCTGTCTGTTTGGTTGAATTGCAGGAAGTGCTTGTCAAGACATCGAAGGCATCCATCCAAGTGTCATAAGTAAAAGGAAGCAAAGAAGGGCGATGCAACGTCCAGGAACGACATGGAAGCGGCGAATATGGTCCTCTCCTTCTTAAAACTCACCTCATGGCTGCTTCCTTGTGTTGTGGTTTTGGAAAGTGGAAGTTAAGGTCAATGGAGCTCCCTGTCAAACCCCTCGTTCACATATTATAATCACGCAAGTATCAACACACGACGGAAATGGACGACGACAAGAAGATCAAAGTGCTTTTCGTGTGCCTCGGTCAGTTGCAATGAGTATTTGAATGATTCCAGCTTCACCAATATGTGGGATCAACCTGTTAACGCAGAATAAATTTCCACGCTCACTAAACGTGTTTGTTGCTGATTACATTGGGACTAACGTTTCGATTCCTGTTAGGCAACATTTGCAGATCGCCCATGGCTGAAGCTACCTTTGCTCACATTGTCGCATCAAAGGGTTTGTCTGATGCCTTTGAAATTGATTCCGCAGGAACCGCGTCTTACCATGTGAGCCTTACATTCATCATCAGCCTAGCATCGAACTACGACATCTTATCTCCTGAAATGTTCTAGGTGGGGGAATTGCCAGATGAACGCTCTGTTTCTACCTGCAACAAACATGGAGTCGCAGTCAACCACATTGGCCGCCAAGTTTCTGCAAAGGACTTTCTTCTTTTCGATTGGATACTGTGCATGGATCAGGTATATCTCATATTCAACACTGTTTTGCTTCATCAAGTCAAATGTTTTACATGCCATCAAATAATATGGTTTTGCTTTTGCATGTCATCACATCATATTAACTCTGCTTGCATGTTTATCAAATGCTAACCTTTCCCTCAATTACAGTCTAACTATTCAAATCTGAATTCAATCAAACCTGAAGCGGCCAAGGCAAAGATGCAATTATTTGGTGACTTTGATCCTAAGGGAATGCGAATTATAAAAGATCCATGTGCGTATGAAATCTGTTTGGCCCACTAGTAGGGTCTGGTGTTGTTGCATGTGGTTGAATGGACCAAACTGAATGTGTCTCAAGTGTCCTGGTCTAACACTGGTTTCTCCATAGATGACGGCGGCATGGGTGGGTTTGAAACAAACTTTCAGCAAGTTTCACGGTGTTCATTGGGATTTCTAGACAAGCTGGGCTTGAAATAATTGGTACCTCAGTCATTGGGAACTCTAGACCGCTTGGGCTTGATGTAATAAGAGTTTTGGCGTGCCTCATCGTGATTTCTAGACAGTATAGGTGTAAATCATTCAGAGCAATATATGTACATAATCACGATTTCTTGTGTTGGTGTTCTCGCCTCTCCTGTGTATACGTTTATACTGTTCATCAAGCAATCGCCCAACAAAAGCGCAGAGGCCACACTTTCAACTCTCGTGAGGTGGATTTCGGAAAGACGATCAGCTTCTAATTTATAAACATTAGAGCAAAGATCGGGCTGAAAGCAAGTTGCTGTTAAGTAATGGCATCGACAAATCGCTCAGAAATGAGAACATTGGAATCCCAGATGAAGAATGTATCAATTAATGGCAAAGAGAATGCTGCCATGATAAACGGCCCTTTAAAGGTATTTTCAATCACCAGATCTACCCATTGCTGCACAAGAACTATCAAAACTCAAATTGGACATTTACACATCGCATTTGAATTTTGGGGTGATTTGAATACAGGTCATCGGTACTATGAACGAGACACAATGCACATTAATTCTTATACTTCATAATAGGCCCTTGCGGCTCGCTCAATCAAGCCAGCACCTGCTCAACGGGTTCCCTTGCTCAAGAGAACTGCTGCACCCACAATAACAGCAACAGCAACCACATCGTTTGCACTGGGCACATCAAACACAAACTCTACTATCGCGACTTCTACTGTTGCTATGCCCTCAACATCGTCGCTGGCTATATCAAAGAAACCAATACCATCTTCGCGAACTCTTCCTCCAACCAACACAACAACACACAATCTGCGACAACCCATGGTAGGACCATCATCTACCTCACCGAACCAGACTACAATACCACCACCAAAGATGACTGTCCCGCAGCGGGCAATGGATCAAGTGCATACAGATAGAACTACTATCGGTGGTCTTGTAGGTGCTCCGCAAGCTACGTCTAGTCCCAACAAGATGGTGCGCTGGAATGAAGCAGATCAAGTCAGATTGCAAGCTGCCGAAGCTGCCGAACCCTCTGTCGCAAGTAATTCTGTTGCTCCTCCTCCTCCTCAAACTGCTTCAGCCCAATCAGCGACAGACTCGTAAGATTCTTAACAGAAATGCCATATGTCAATCGGTTTGAAGGACAACGCTAAATTTCATCTCTTTTTAGATCTTCAACGAACGATCGTAGATGGTCTTTACGTGACTTTGATGTAGGAAGGGCGTTGGGCAAGGGTAAATTTGGTCGTGTCTACTTAGCTAAAGAGCGCCAGTCTGGCTATATCGTGGCATTAAAAGTCTTGTTCAAGACGGAATTGGCTAATGCCAAAGTGGAAAAGCAACTACGCCGAGAGATTGAAATTCAAAGTCACCTTCGGTAATCACATTGAAGCCTCGGGATTTTATTCGGTCAACTAACTCTTCGCATCTTGCTCTCTGTTGTCCTTTAGACATCCAAACATTCTCCGCCTGTATGGGTATTTTTATGATGCGAAAAGAGTATATCTGATCCTAGAGTTTGCTCAAGAAGGAGAAATGTATAAGCACCTGCGAAAGCTGAGCAAGTTCAGTGAAGACATTGCTTCGAAGGTACGTAACTATATGAATTCCTAACGTCATTCTTATAACCGATAAACTGATCAGGATTTTCAACTAGTACATAGCGCAAATCGCTGATGCACTTGGATATTTACACAGTAAACATGTTATTCATCGTGACATCAAACCAGGTTGGTAGAAATCATAGCTTTTGGGTTCTGCTTGTAGACGCAAAGCATATTTTCAACACCATAACCGCTAATGTAGAAAATCTACTGATTGGACGAGACCGAAACATGGAGCAAAAGGTCAAGATTGCTGACTTTGGTTGGTCTGTGCATGCTCCAAATACAAGGCAAGTCTGCACGATTTACGTTCCCGATTCTCCAATAAACTAGAATCTAACAGAATTTTGTAGACGTACGACGTTGTGCGGTACTCTGGATTATCTCCCTCCAGAAATGGTAGAAGGTCGTGATCACAATGAAAAGGTCGATTTATGGTCTCTGGGTGTGTTGTGCTATGAATTTCTAGTTGGAGTACCACCTTTCGAGGAGGTGTCATCATATAAAGCGACCTATAAAAGGATTGCTGCTGTAGATCTAAAAATCCCCGACTCTGTGAGTCCCGAAGCCAAGGATCTGATTACGAATGTGAGTGTGTAGTAGTCTTCTCTGAGCAACTTCGAAGGAATGCTCAATCTCCTATTTGTATTGCAGCTTTTACGGTATGATCCAGGACATCGGTTAGCTCTTGATCAAGTGCTGCAACATCCATGGATTGTGAAGTACAATCCTGATTTGGCCAACGCAGCTGGTGGTATGGCCATATAGATGTATTAAAGTGGTGTGTCCAAGATATGTAAAAGGTCCTATGTAAAGATTGTAGTTTGAGCAGTAGCTTCCAGTTTAAAACTCATGCACGTTATTGCTTGACGATCTGAAAACGAATTGCGAGTTGGAATTCTTATGCTTCGCAGAGTCAGATTTGCGGTTCTGGAAGACACGTGGCTGTCTTGTCGATTGGAGCTCTTCTATTGCACTATGAACAATAGAGAACCGGTGTCGTAAGTAAACGGTTTGATCAGTCGGTGACATACATTCCATCGCTTTTGCAAACCAACGATTGAAGGCGAAAACACTAGGCAATCGCTCAGCAGGTGAATGATCAAAGTTGTGATCCGTCGAGCTCCAAAACTCGTCTTGAAACTTCGTAATCCCTGCTTTCTTGGATACTCGACACGGCCACGACCAAGAATGGAGATCACGCTTTCGGATGTGGAGGAGAAGATATGTACTCTGCTGGATCAAGTAGCACTTGGAATCAAGACCAAAAATAACAATGCTGATGCTTCTGCTATTGTTCTCCGCTTTGCTGGAGGATGGGTTCGTGACAAGGTCGGCAACATTTTGAAGTTTGTCAAGTTTCAAAGTTGTATTCAGCATCAAGTAACACGCTTCGTCCTTATAGTTGCTGGAAATAGAATGCGATGATGTGGATGTAGCTATCGATACCATGACGGGCTACGACTTTGCTCTGGCTGTTGAAGCTCATTTGAAGGCATCAGGAGCCGAAACTGGGCTTCACATTGCCAAAATTGCAGCAAATCCAGATAAATCAAAACATTTAGAAACTGCGAATACCAAAATATTTGGAATGTCTATTGATTTCGTCAATTTACGAAGTGAAGAGTACTCGGCTGACTCGAGGATACCAACAATGGTAATTACTGCTTGCTTGCAAGGCCAGAACCTTTTGTTAGAAGCTATGGCGTTCTTTAAACAGAATCTTTTTGTACTCCAATAGAAATTTGGTACACCGTTGGAGGATGCTCTACGGCGTGACATTACCATCAATGCCTTGTTTTACAATGTCCATACACGAAAAGTTGAAGATCCAACCCAAATGGCATGTCAAACCTGCAAACCATTCTGCACACCTATCACATTTATACTCAACACGATCGTCTTGATAGGGACTGCCAGATCTAAAAGATGGAATGGTGCGAACACCGCTAGAGCCAATGCAAACCTTCATGGACGACCCATTACGAATACTACGAGTCATACGATTTGCTAGTCGCTTCAATTATGTGGTGCACGAGGACATCCCTCCTTGTGTTCGCCATCAATCCGTTCGCGTAACTATGGTGTCCCTTCAGAATGAAGGCCGTTCTTACCAACATTAATTCACCCACAGGACGCATTCATGAGTAAAATTAGTCGAGAGAGGGTTGGTGTAGAGGTAGACAAGATGCTCAAAGGGCCTCATCCTGTGAGAGCTGTTGAATTGATGAGAGAGTTTGGAATGTACGAACTAGTATTTTCCAAACCAGACAGTCCCAAGTCTGTCCCCCTTGATGCGAATCAAGCAGTGGTCTCCATGACCAAGATGCAATGGTAAGTCTTGTTGCGGTTGTGGACAATATCGAATTATGACTTCTAGTGTTTTGATATTGGTATAATACGTTTAGGATGATGAATAATTGCCAGGCGCTTTTACCAAATGGTTTATTTCCGTTAAATGGAGCAGAGAGGCGGCTCATGTTTCTGTCAGCTGCTGTCATTCCATCACATGGGCAAACATTTCCAGACAAGAAGACGTCTGCACCACTTTGCAAGCACTTAGTGTTGAATTCTCTCAAAGTGATATTATGGGGTTTTCAACACTATTTTCATTCGGTTGCGTATTGAGATTGATTATTCTCCTTGTTTATTTAGCTGAGTATGCACGATGTGGACATGGTTGCTGCATTATTGGGACGAGCTGAAAATTTTCACGATACCGCACTTGAAAACAAGAAACAACCTTTCACTCGCAAGTCTCTTGGTGAGCGGTTTGCGTGGTTTGCGCATTTCGAGACAAGACCAGCTGAATCAATTACGAAATTGTAGGCTTTGCCATTCGATCCCTCGGTGCCAAACCTCTTTTGTCAAATTGGCCATTATTGGCATTGACATCGCTGGTTATTCAAACAATCAAGCAATCCCATGGTATGTTCGCTTTTGCACCTTTGATGGAAGGCAAACGAGCTCAGACGCCTTTGTCCCAGGACTCGATGATACAAATGCAACACAATTACTGCTTGAAGACTATCAGAGTCTCTTCTTGCGAGTTCAAGATCTTGGACTGTTGGACGTGTATTCACTAAAGCCAATTATTGATGTGAGTTCTTGCTTAGCGCTGTTGCATTGTTTGACTCAAAGTGTGTTCATGGATTCCACGTCGTGGGATCCACTTATTCATTAACGTGTTTACAGGGTCGAGAAGTGAGTAGTTTGCTGAATCTTCGACCAAGTCCTCAAATTGCCGAAGCTCTTGAGCGCGTGATTGAATGGCAACTGGAACATGAGAATGGGACCCGTGAAGAATGTATTGAATGGCTGCGTGAACAAAATGTCGCAATAGTTTCATCAGATTTAGCTGTCCACAAAAAACCTCGAATGCATTGACTTCCACGGAAGCCACGCGTGAATGGTTTACGATAGTCTGCTATGTATCGTGTATATGTTTTAGTGCACAAAAATACTAGGTGACTGTTTTTGCTGCAGTTTTTGGCTTTGGTTGTGAGTCAACATCAGAAATCAGAAACCGAAGCATCTCGAACAAAGTTTACATTCACCTTACCCAAACTCTTCAAAAGACACCAAAAAATCAAAGTAAGTCGCTTGAATTATGCTCTGTGTTGTGTGCGTTGCTCGTCTGTCCTTTGTTACATGTCTTCTACCCAAGGTTTGTCCATCAACTAACTAAATACAACATCAACCAACACAGATGGCCACTACCGCTTCTACTCCTGCTGTTGCAACTACTGCTGCTCCAGCTGCTGCGACTGATGCTGCTCCAGCTCCTGCTGCCTCCGGTGATCATGAAGTTGCTCAACACACGAAAGAAGACCATGTCATCACACGCACAGTTGTGATTGCTTTGGACTCGTCTCCTTTCTCTGATCATGCTTTCAACTGGGCCTGCGAAGTAAACTTATTATTTGAAACCGTCAATATTGGAGCTTCGTTTGGACATGTCGCTCATATCCTCTATTCAAAACAGAACTTTGTCAAGTCTGATTCCGATTTGGTCGTCCTCATTTCTGTAAGGAGGTAAGTCATCCTATTTGTGCCTATCGTTGCAATTATCAAGACATTACAGATCGCCAACTCAAAGTCTTTCAGCGTCGCTACTGTTCCGGGTAAGTAATCAAACTTTTGCGTGTCAGTGCAATTATCAAGACATGGCAGATCTCCCACTCTAAGTCTTTCGTCATCCTCGACGGGTTTCCACCCCATCTTTGTGGCAGTACTCTTCCATCATCGTCGTATTGACCTTCTTCCTTTTCAATCACCAGGTCCCTATGGTAGGCCGTCATTGCTAGAATTACCCATACATCTGACTTAGATGTTAATGTACTAATACGGTCTCTCCTGCAGGTGCTGCCTATATGGACTTCACCGGTATTCCCAATACTTATGCCAGCAACATCGAAAGCGGTTCGTTTGGAATCGTCGTCTGCCAACTCTTCTAACGTTCTTATTTGTTTCTCAACATTCTAGAATACCTGACTCAAATGGAAGAAGCAGTAAGCAATTTTTCGAAAACGCCCCTTGTTGGGCCTTGGTATTGCATCCTAACGCCGCTCTTACGCCCATTGACAGAACAGGGCTGCCTCTCACGCTCTCTTACAACAATATGGAGCAAAGCTCAAGAAAAGCAACGTAAGTTCTTCCCAATCATAAGAAACCCTATTGTTAGATTGATTTTTTCGATTTGGAATGCCAGATCGCATGCAAGGCAATTGCAATGAGGGGTGATCCACGTGACGAAATCACACGCAAGGTATTCTTGAGAAGACCCTTTTTATTTATGTCTGCATACTCATCAAAGAGTCGTTGTCATCAACTTCCTCTGAAAAAGGTACAAGAGCTCAACGCGGATGTTTTGGTGGTTGGCAGGTGAGAACTGAAATCTCGGGTAAACTGCGCCATATCAATCTGACAAGAAGCACTTTTGTTGAAATAGCCGTGGTCTTGGAGCCATCAAGCGTACATTCTTGGGATCTGTCTCTGATTATTTGGTTCACCATGTCGGTTGTGCAGGAAAGTTGTGTCTTTGGATTCCAGAGCTACTAGGATTACGTTTTTAACCACTCTCCCTCAATAGTCTTGGTCGTTCGTGATCGTGAAGATCAAGCTCAACCTCCTACACAATCTGCTGCTGTACCTGTACCTGTCCCTGCCGCAAGCAAGTAGAGCAGCAAATAAGTCCAGACTGATCCACCATTGTATATCTTTGCTCTTGAATACAATAAGCATTCTTTGTTTCTTCGCTCCAATGCCACAGTGCGATCCATCCAGCAAAGTGCATCACGTCAGCATTTCTCTACATCCATTCTCGATCTTGGGATTGTCCGTTTCCAAGAGAGCAGAGATTGCGGAATCGCAAGGCAAGTACTGAATCGTGGCGGGCCACAATTTTGATCACTCATTTGCTGAGCGATTGCATAGTGCTTTTGTCTGCAATCACTCGTTCTGACAAAAAGATGGAATATGTGTTTATTGATTGATTAAGAGTCCAATATTCGTTTAAAAATAGTAAATCAAATGACTCTGGTCAACAGGACAAATGCTGGTCTCCCGGAACCCCAAAGTTTGGGCATCTGGAAAGTCTATCGATCAACTTCAACAAACTCAGCAGCAGCAATTGGAGCCAGCACGGTCATCGTATTTGGCTGGACTGATGGAACCTTATATCATATCTCCAAATATTTGCCGTTTTGGCTAGAGAGAAACTACACTGTGCTGGTGGTAACGTCGGAAATGAAATTGTTGCTTCATGGCTATGAAGCTATGAAACTGCAAATGCAGCCAATATTACCACTTTTGGATGAGCTAGGACTGTTAGATGGTGGAAGCAACTCAGCGATACTACACGTATTCTCAAATGGTGGATGTATCTCGCTCTACTCGCTGACACAGACACTAGGCAATAGAAAGCTGCAGGTGGAGAGGTCGATATTCGATAGCTGCCCTGGAAGGCCAAGTAATTAGGTTCTGCTTCCTCTTACTTCCATCGAAATCTTACACGGTACAATTCCATAGTCGCAAAAGATGCTGCCACAGTAATAACTATGAGTTTGAAATTAAAATCGACCATTTTGAAAGCACTATGCTGGTGGATTGCCTACATACTAGTCTCAACAATGCGTGCTCTTCGGCCTCTATTTACTCGGAAAAAGCAATGGACATTGGAGGCTATAGATTCGCTCAGTAAGCCAAAATACCTTGCAGGTCCGAGGCTGTTTATATACAGCGATGGAGACGAGCTTATTCAGGCGCAGGATGTTGTATCCCATATTCAAGAGATAACAGCAAATGGTGTCGAAGTGCACCAGGAACGATATGACAGGGACTCGCCCCATGTAAAACACGCACTCACAGACTCCAGTAGATATTGGAGTGCTATAAAGAGATTTATAGACGTTAAGTTGAGATAGGACTTCAAATATCTACTGCTGGTTTTCACCTGAAAATAAATGGGGTGGCGAAGGTTCATGATAGTACGAGTGTGTAGTGATGTAATGAACATAAATACGATAATGAGACGGTAGCTTGTAACTCCTCATATGTTTTGAAACGACATATTTCAAAAAGGAGTCCTCAGTTTGATGACTTATCTGCGATTACAAGACAGGGAGACGAAGATCACAGCAATGGACGACGTAGACTACAAATTAGCGACTCTCATTAGCATTTTCGACCAAAAGAACCCAGACGAACTGCTCCAAGCTCTGGGAAGATCGAACTCAAATTTGGAAGCTTGTATTGAAAGTCTAGTATCAGGCACCGACGTCATCAAATCAACAGGATCTAGCACCAAGAGAAAGAACACGTCGATTGAATCCTTCCTTGTTCGTGCTTCTCCCTCTACATCAGCACGAGAATCCAACACATTTGACCGTACCCACAAACAGTCACTGCCAACAATAAAACGTGCTAGGACGGATCTAGCTGGTACGGATCTTACCATTTTAGAACATAGCACGAGACAATCTACCGACAGTCTAGTCAAGAAGAATGCATTCGAACCATCAGACGATAGCACAGATGCGTTCAAAACGAATGCATTCGACATACTGAAATGGAATGAAGACAGGGTCATTATGAATAGCAAACTTCCGGTTAAGATATTGAAGCAGCCAGACGAAGTTAAATCATATCTGGCATGCTGTGAACTTGTGCTAGACTACTTGAATAAAGAACTGGCCAACCGGTTACTTAAATCCAGTCTAGCTGAGGCAAAGAGTTGGGACAGGCACGAATTTGTTATAAACGAGAAACCCGTCGTGAGCGAGCACTTGTCGTCGTTTTACGTATCTGGTTCTGGGTCTTTATCTATCGACTCAGTAATATATGGTGGAAAGGCTGCTCCAGACTCACGACTCATGACAGAAGATATGGTAAATAGAAAGCGACGTCGCAATTACAATTTGAAAGATCCTGACTTGAATGGTATCAGAACTTTATTCACAATGTTTACCCCATTTATAGGAAGAAGCTCGAGAGCTTGTCGATGCTACTGTGAACGAAAGATTATCTCAACGGACTAGATTCCCGGGCGAAATACCTTGTCGCTGGAGGTCAAATGCTCTCGTTGCAAATTGTTATACAGATGAAACCCAGAATGTCGGGTACAAAGTTGCGCATGCTAAATCATTTCATGTCAAGTTCTAACACATCCTGTTCTGAAAGGTTTCATGCTGACAGGTTAACCCAGATTGGTCCAATGCCAACCATTGCTAGTGTTACTCTTGGCGCAACGCGAGTGTTTCGAGGTACCTCTTTGTCTTGTTGAAGTGGTGCTGTTGACGAATTCGCGAGAAAGGTGGTGGTGCTTATAATTGATTGGTTTTTTAGTAAGAAAAATCACCTCTGAACCTGGTGCTCCTGCTCAAACTCTTGATATTGTCCTGCCTCACAATTCACTGCTCATTATGTTTCCCCCATGTAAGTTTACTACAAAAGCGTCACATCAAAGGACTTTCGAACTCTTCTTGCTCTTTAGGTCAAGAAATGTTCAAGCACTCCGTGCCATCTCAAAAGGCGGTGTCTCTCACTTGGAATGATATTTCTGGATCCGCCCGAATCAATCTCACATTCAGACACTATCGAAGTGATTACACAATAGCAGACACTCCGAGGTGTCTTTGTGATAACCCATGTGACTTGAAACCTGTAATGAAAAAGGACTATTCGCTAGGCAAATATTTTTATCAGGTAACAAAATTTAGTTCACCAAGGCGATGTGAACCGATCACCTTACTAAACCAAACATTACATCAACCCCAGTGTCCTTGTGCTGGCAATGAAGTCAGTTTTTTGCTTCAAGCTCAGCAAAGCGCCTGTTAACATTTTTGACCCTTTTCTTTTCAAAACCTAGTCGAAAGGAATCAAGGTTGGGACGAACTGTGGATTCTTTCAATGGTTGCCTTTGGAGGAAAAGATTACACAGGCGAAGCAGCTCCGTGTTGTCTGAAACTTGGGCAAGTTGTGGTGTTTATATGGCTTACAAACGTCCCGCAAAACCGAAACCAGGTAACATATAAATAGATAAATAGCTTCGTAATAGCTAGGAACCGATTTGAATAGAACGGTCCCTGAATGCAGGTCCAGTTGAGCGTTCGTGTTTTTCACGGTTGACTCGATCTTCGGTCTTGATCGTTGAAATATGGATGTATGGATGTAAATATAAGAACATCAAAATTGGTTTCTTTCAGAGTGGATCAGCAAGACGATCAGCTTTTCTAGTTTCTAGATTTTTAAAAGTTTTCAAAAAGCCAAGGAGGGATTGACGGTGGAAACTGGCATTATCTAAATTCGTAAGCATCTACAAAACACAGATCCTTTAATGCTAAAATGGCCGTTGCTTTCGTCGTTTCTTGAGGACTTTTAACATTTTGGATTGTGCTCTTGTCGAACACTGTCAAGACTTGGATTGCTGTCAAGACATTCATGGTTGGAGATGATTTATTAGCAACACAGTGTGAAAAGCTCCAATTGAAAACTGGGCTGGCTCGCCAATCACATCTGAAATCAAAACATGCACATCACAACTTTGCTTCACGAAACTAACATTTCTGTTTTTCAACCAAACTAGCCACACCTGTATATATCGTGTATCATTCATTTCCCATCATCTTGCCTCACTGAATATCCTCTCTGATGATAACTGTGATGGACAGAAGCCAATCGCAACAACCTGATAATGTAACACGGCCACTGCCTGGTGCTTCCGGTGCAAAATATTCGACTGCCAATTTAAATAAAGCCTTTAAAGGTACCCCACCTTCAACCTCAAAAGTTGGTAGGTGGAACGCAACGATAGCTCCCCCATTCGAACGCACTCCTACTACTTTATCTCACACCACATATCATTTTCAAATTACTAGTGCCACCACGTAGCGGGTTACAGTCCCTCGGAAGAGGTCGCGGAACGAGATTACTGTCATCGCTGGTGCCTACTCCCAAATACGTAGATCTACCTAGCATTCGTTCGGAATATGCAAAATCAGAACCGGTCGCTCATCCACCCAGGCCATCTGCTGGTTGGGTCCCAAATCTAAACGCAGGCATTCAATCTAGTAATCCATCAGGCTTCTCCGAAATGTCGAAAGCTTCAATGTCGAAAGGATGGGCAACTCCTCAGCCATCCTCAAATGCCTCCAACTCTGACTTTCCAACTGCTGCTGAATCTGCTAAATCTAAATCTACTCATGCTCATGTAAACTTCTGTTGATGCCAAATTGAATCTTCTTCTCACATACCAATTCTCAAATTCCTCCTTTTTAGGACAACACTTCTGGTTGGTACAGACCAATAGATTGGTACGCTTTCCCCTATCTGACCTGTTTTTTTTGTAGTTGCACACCAAGAACGGAGGAAAGTGGCTGGAAATCACCAAGAACTGTACGTAGTGTACCTCTGTGGCTTAACTTTATTTCGTTGTTAAATGCTTAAAATCCCCCCAATAGATCAAGCGAAGAATTGGATTCGACATGGGCAGATGCAGGTGATGAGGAGATGGATTTTTCTCATCCACCAGTATTTGAAGAAGATGGTAGCCTGAACGGGCCTGAAGACGCGTTAAACGCTGCACAAATGTCTCACAAGCCTCAACAATCAGCAGATTCACCGTCACAAGGAAGCACCTCGAATATAGGTAATATAGCTCCTTATGAACAGAGACAAGGTGCGCCACGAATAGATCGAGGAGAAAACTCAGTACCTGCTTTCGAACGTGCACCACCTCCGAGTCAATCAGCTTGGAAACCAGTGTCATCTAGAGATAGTCGTAATCCAATACAAGGATATCAAGATAATCTCTCAGACCCGCGTCACAAGCAACCTGACGTTGAAGGTCGTGGATGGCGTCAACGGGATACCTTGCACATGCAGCAACAAATGCCTCATCAACAATCTCATCAACATCATAATACCGCTCAGCCATTCTCGTCTTATAATAATCCACCATCTGCTGACCGTCAAGACCAGGACGAACGTAATAGATTCCTTGCAAAGCATCCGCCGCAGTTGTTGCAAAGGTCACCACCATCATCGCGGTCCGAACTACCAGTCGAGCACGAACCAGAAATAAAACCAGTAACGCAACCTCCACCAAATGTAGATAAACCTTCTGACATAGAGAACCAGTCACGTAGTCATAGTAGTCAGCCCTTGTCACACATCGTGCATCAGGAAATTGGAGGGTTGTCGGTGCGGATTCAGGTTCGTCGTCCACCACCGCCATCATCAGCAAAGCAAGACGACAACACTGCTTCTACGGCACGCCAAACCCCTGCCAATAACGATGCTATAAATGTAAAGAAATGGTCTGGAGGCCAACATGGTAGTGAAAATAAGACGACTTCTCCATCATCATCTGAAATCCATACACCAGCTCAGGTTAATATAAAGCCAACGTCAAGCATAACATCGATTTATCAACCGCCTGTACGCGTTGGTGTATCTCCAGAATCGATATTGGGTAAGGAGAAACAGACCGAGAAGGAAGCAGAAACAGTGGTGCAGATATTAAAGCACGAATCCCCCATCATTCCTGTTGTGCCACTAGTGACTTCTGTGTCTGTGCCGTCGTCGTCTGTGGCCCATACGAAGCAAACAACGACTCAGACAAGGCAACCATCAATGGCTCAATCGGACCCAAGAAGAGTTGTTTCTGATGGTAATAACAAACGTAGCATAGAATTGATAACAGCAAATAACCAGGCGACAGCTGAAAAGCATCGTCAGCAGTGGTTGGCGGAAGCAGCTAGTGAATCCAAAAGGCAGTCTGGACCAACAAGATCCGAGAAACCGGGTGCTGTACAAAAGAGGGGATTACCGCACAATCAGAACCATTTAGATAATAGTGCTAGTACTTCTGTATCAGCACCAATCATATCGGCTGATCGAAAGTCACCGTCGTTCGAATCCCATAGCACGGTGAAGCAACCTATATCGAATCAGCCTCATCCATTGGTAGATAAGCTCAAAGATCTGGACACGTTTATGGAACGCGTCAAAGGGCTACAAGATAGTGTAAAGCCGACCACTTCGCCCGAAACAAGCCACCCGGACAATAGACAAGGCACTAGTAGCCGAAATCCAACCACCAACCACCTTCCGAGTAATTGGCGTGCAACAGCTCCTCCAAGTGTCAGTCAGCAACCCAATAGTAGTAGTCAATCTCCGAGTAGTCAACCTTCGATTAAAAGCCCAGCTTCTCATAGCAATCAGCCAAATAATGGCCAGTCTCGGTATAGTGAACATGTAACGGAAGCTCTGCCTCGCAGTGACAAATCTGGTCCTAGAGATAATCAGAAGCACGGTCAAAGTGGTATGTTCGAGAACATCAGTATCAAGCATGAGCCTGCTGGTTTGAACAAACCGCCAGGAACAGGTGGTCAAGCAATTTTGCAGGCTTGGAAGTCGAAAGAGCATGATGCTCCAGAGACCAAGAAGTCAGACAGCGTAAAGGAAGGAGAGTCCCAAGGTAGAGCACTGGATCCGCAGAAGCCCGAAACTCTTGCTGCTGTGCCATCGCCCAAAGTCATACAAACTAGTAACGTAGAAGAGATAAAGGAGTCTGCTACACGACAAATGAGCTCTCAGAGTAAGTTCCAGTCTTTTCGCAGAAGATAGAACCTCAAAGGCTGATGGTGAAGCCATAGCGATTTTCCATGCTGTGCTCTCTTCGAACTGTTTCCGTTTTGTTCATTATTGATTAGTTCCTTCTTTCTACACTAGGTATGGTACCCTCTCAGAATGCATTGAAAAATGTAGCAGTGAGTCAGGATTACCGACCTTCTTACAACCAACTCAATATTCAGAGGCCCCCTCAACAGCAACAACAGCAGCCGCAACAACAAATACCCACGCAGCCAGCCGTTAGATCTCATCTGTCGTCAGACGTTTCGCAACAAATCCAGTCAATGGCACCACCGTATCGTCCTCCTGAAGGAATACGAGACCAAAATGGTCGTCCGTACATTCCAACCCGTAATATCCCATATATACCAACAGCATCAACAGCTGTTTGGCCAACCCAAGCTGTGGTCAGACCTACAGTAGCTGCATACGTCCAAGTCAATCCACAGATTGTGGCAAATTCTACTGCCTACTCGTCGCCAATGGTAAATAGTCAATCTGCGCCACCGAATGTAATACATCAACCGATAAATTCAGGACCGTCTCCATATGGAACGCAATTTCCAAGGCCGTATGGACCTCCAATCACCGTAGATCGTGACAAGGTTCAGGTAGTTGATATGAGTCGGTATGCAGTGGGCAGAGGAGCAGCTGAACCTCCCGGTTTCGTTGGGTCTGTTCGTACTCCATATAATATAGTCCAGCAAAGTCGCCCGCCTCAACAACAACAACCTCCTATGTATACATATGCGCCACGCACATCGTTGCCAGCTTCTGTAAATGCTATAAATGTAGCTCAATGGGGAAATCCACCATTGGTTCAATCAGTGCCCCCACCTCCAATCTCGTATGCTGCTCGAAGAGACGAGAAGCCGATGATAGATAGTATTCCACGAGGACGAGACGAGCTAGGGCGTAATGATGTAGAGCCATCCAACAAGCCTCCGTCAATTCCTTCAATTCCTCAGCGATCCATCACTTCGAATTCTCAGATTGTCGAGCTGCCTGTTGATAATAATGTTCCTCGCCAGAATGAGCAAACGACTCATCGTAGTGTGAAAGGACCTTCTCATCAAAGTGCTAGGCCATCCTCTTTGAATGATGTCGCAAAAGAAGCCGTAAAAGAGGTCGTTGCACCATCAGCAACACCTATTATTGGAGCCAAGACTGTTTCTCCCGCATTGGGTGCAACTGTAGATAGGAAAGAAGTTGAAAATATGGATATCCCATCATCTTTGACCGAGAAAGCAAAGAAGGAGGTAACGTTGTAGCATAATTACATATGGTCTCATGAACATACTAAATTTATTTTCTTCGCTCTAGGTCCCTAAAAAGAAGAGCAAGAATCTGCCTCCATCGCACTCGACGAGTGATGCTGTAAAAGTAGGCCCAAGCAAATTGTCCGTCACGTACAACAAGAAGGTGCCATCGAGCAGTGATACGTTGAGCAGTAGTAATGGACCATCAGCTACTCCAGTCTCGTCCAATGTCCTATCGAAAAATGGTGGTGGTGGGGTAAAGGACTCATACACAATCAAATCGCAAACAATGTCTACTCCTTCAGGTCCCTCGTCAAATGAGGTCCCATCGCCAAAACATACCTCATCTCAGAAGGTTGAACAGACGTCGATCGCACAGTCAGGAAGAGGTCGTGGATCGTATAGAGGTGGTAAAAAGTGATATATTTGTATATTTACTGTTTGTAAACCAAGATAGGACTTTTAAATGAACTCGCATACGCACGGAAAACGTGAGCTTGCTCTGTCTGTTTAAAATACGAGTTTCTTCTGATTGTTTACAAGCGCAAATGTCGGTTTCTATTAGTTACAGGGAAGGAATAGAGTTTGAAAACTACTATCTAATCTAATATGTAGAATCGAAGCCTTCCAGAGGAATCTCTGGCACAGTTGATGGTTTGGAGGGGATCTTCCCTCTACTTCCTCTACTAGAGTTGGGCGATTGGAAGGCTTCTAGTAAGCTTGACTGAGCTTCACTAGACTGAATACTGGTCCAGGTCTTCATATTGTGTGCTGGATCTGAGATGGTTTGTTCGTCTACGAGGAGATACTTTACATCGGTGCCTAGCAAATTGTCCTTTGTGTTGGAAAACTGATTCCGCTAGATCAAGTAAACATACCCAAACATGCATTTTACCTGGATATTCGTATAGGGCTTCTTGAAGAACGCTCTCCATTATGCGCCTTAGACCTCGTGCGCCCGTCCTTTTCTTAACAGCTAGTTCCGCAATAGCTCGAAGTGCACTCATGTGAAAGCGCAATTCCATCTATGTGATGTAGCAGAAGCAGAATAAAAATGTCAGTTAACTCTCTGCATGCTCCAAAGTTACCTGTGTAAAGCAAACATAGGGGAAACCAGCACTTACCCCAGCTCGTTTAAATATTTCTTCATACTGACGAACCAAAGCATTGCGTGGCTGGGTCAAAACTGAGATTAATTGATCTATAGTTAGTTGGGATGCAGCTGCAACTACTGGTAGCCGACCAACAAACCTACTCGCCAAAAAAAGGAGTGGCTTGTTAAGTATATGGTTGTGTAGCAAATGCAAAAAGGGATTGAGCAGTCCCTTACTCTGGAATATAGCCAAACTTGATCAAATCTTCAGGCTCCACGCCTTCTAATATGTTTTCGGTTTCCAGGTCGTTGGCAGATTCGGAAGATGTCAGTGGGGCACCAAAGCCAATTGACCCTTTAGATGAGGTTCGATCCTTGACGATCTTTTCTAATCCTATGTTTTTCGAAAGAAAGCCCATTGGATGTTTGTACATGGAGGAGCACATTATAAACCAGAAACACACATACCAACGAAAGCACCTGAGCAAATGAAGAGGATGTTTGACGTGTCTACTGAATAGACTTCACCGCCTTGTGCTGAATTTCTCTTTCCTTGCCCTGGTTTTACTGTGACATTGACCACCGTTCCCTCTATTTCAAAGAAAACGACGTCTAATTTAGATTTTTCTCTCAATCGGCGACACAGTTATTGCTTCACGATTCGGTTCCTGAATAATATCACCTTACCCAGCATTCTCAACAATCCCTCCTGTACTCCTTGGCCGGTAACGTCCCTCTGATTCGGATTGGAATCAATTCTTCGTGCTATCTTGTCTACTTCGTCAATGTATACGATTCCTCGTTCTGCACTGGCAACATCAAAGTCTGCATTCTGTAGCAGCCTAGTAATACATTCTTCTACATCAGCGCCAACATAACCAGACTGCGTATATCCAGTAGCTTCGTTCATTGAGAAGGGAACGTCCAAGAGTTGGGCAGTGGTTTTAGCAATCAGCGTTTTACCTAAAAACAATGGACAACTCCGTGAGGATTTGACCTTCTGGTGAAGCTAACATGAGCATGATCAGCATACCACTTCCTGTAGGTCCTATAATCAATATGTTTGATTTTTCCATGACAATTCCTTCATCTTCAGACTGCTTCCTGTTGTTGCGTCTTGCTGGACGACCATGAAACGAAGATCGTGATTCAGAAGTCCTCAATTCACTGCCATCGTGATCTGAATGGCTCGACAGATTATTATCGATCCGAATATAGTGATTGAAGATCTAACGTTGAGGTGGTGTTTGGTCAGACATGGGTGCTGAACTTTTGCTTCACAAAGAAGGAAGAGCAAATACTCACAGCTACAGATAATGCCTTCTTTAGTTTGTCTTGTCCAATAACGAATTCGTCCAACTGACTGCGGATCTGTGAAATTTAAAGAGCAGTGCAAGTAAGCAACAGCATCAAACAACCGGATCGAAACACAGTAAATTCAATTGATACAGAATTCCTATACCATTTTAGGAACAAGAGTTCGTCCAGAGGAGCGCTTGTGGTGTGTTTCATCTTCGTGCAGTTGTGTGTGTGATTGCTGATGATGTCGATGATAAGCTTGGGCTACAGTAGCGCCATCTAAGCCTACGACCGGTTCATTTCCTGAAAGCCTATCATATATTTGCTTTGGTCTTGGAATGCTTCCACCTCTTGTTGTTTGCGACTGAAAAGCATCATCACCAAACGCCCTCGACCAACAGAATGGCGGCTTTATTACGAGTTGCGACAGCCTGGTTCTCATCATTGCATGCGAAGACAAGATAACGCTCTTCCTTCCTAAGCTTTCGAGGTCTCACTGCAAACAATTGTTTGGATTCTTGTCGTCACGGGATATTGCAGCAAATAGAGTTGAAGCATGTGGAAATACGCAAGGAAAGGCGAATCGCCTAACACGTGTTCATTTCACGATGATTTTATGACTTGCAACGTTGGACCCATTGTTAATGCTCTAAATACAATTGTATTCTATGGTTTTTTATTTACTAGTCACTGCTTTTTTTGGTTTGACGAGCTAGGAATATCTCCTGTATGGCGGATACTGCTGCTGATCTTGTGGTGATGGCTGATCATGCTGCTGCGGCTGTTGTTGATGATGCGGATGAGGCAGTGCTATTGTTGTGGGCTGAGGAGCCTGATGATTATAATACGGTTGTGCATGAGGAGAAGGTGCATATTGTGGATTTATAAATGGTTCGTTCTGTTCTGGCGGTGATGGGACAGTCGCTTGTTCTGCTGCGATCCGTTCTCGTCTTCTAGCCCTTCTACTTCTCTGGCTTGGATCGCGGTTACGAAAAGAGTCTACTGCACGTTGGAGTAATCCACGACGACCTTCCAGCACTTCTCTGTTCAGATACGCGAGGGCGAATCCAATGGCATTGGCTCCACTCTAAGTAATGACCAAAACGTCAAGACTAAATAAAAAAACTTTGAAACTTTGTATTTCTTGCCTCATATTCAAACCGCAATCCCGTGTACTGTTGTCGTGGTACGTTCGCCCTATAAATCCGGTGTGTCAAAGATAGGTCAAACTTCAAAAGTCTTCACATTTGAATACCTTGGATAAACAGCGTTTGAGATGCGAAACTCTTCTGGTATACGATTCACATTAACGGACTCTATGTCTATTCGAATTCTGAATAGTGACTTGACTCCACGTTCAGTATACTTGAAGGACATGTATTCAATACCACTAATGAATACGCAGAGTCAGCGAGTAGCAGAGAACAACCCACTGACGCAAAGTCTTTTGAAAGTCTTTTCAAGTAGGAAATGACAGCAGCTCAAACGCTAATTCTTCAGCTTACGTTAGTGGATCACGTTCAACCGAGAGTGGCAAGTCCGAAAAGACTCTACTGTCTGCCCTACTGTTACTAGTGCTGCTCGAAGCAGGAGGTTGTATTGGCATTGGAGCTGGCATTGGTGCTTGTGGAGCCGGTAGCTCATATGGATTATTATTATAATGTTGAGTCATGGGTAAGGGTGGCAGTGACGGGGTGTATGTAGATGATGTCGGTTGTGGTATATAACCTGTTTGTAAGGAGCCTTCGATCAAAGATTGATGCCTAGACCGTTTCGGTAGTGAAGATGGAAGATCAGACGTGTCTTCGTATTGACGTTTACTAGAGTTATAAGATGGTGGAGAATTATCATGTGAGGTGGAAGGTAGTGGTGGGGCTGGTTGGTGGAATTCAGATGGATCTTCGTATAATGGTCCATCAACGAGTTGTAGCGCACGTCCATCCTGTTTTTTAACCCAAGAGTCTCTAGCCACGTCAAAAAATACTAGTGAGGATGCCGATCTAACAGAATCCACGGAGCCGTTAGTCAGTGGCAGGCTTTGGTCCTGACGAGGATCAATATGGATTTGGATTGGATCGTCTAGTGTGGCGTTGTCGTGCTTAAGATTTGCGAGATTGCCCTTAGGATCTGTTGTTGTCGACAGTTCCTCAATTTGCTTGTCATTATTCATCTAAAAATGCAGTTCCACCAGCTAAGATACTGTTCCGCGTAGTCAGCCCCTCGCCTCCTTCGTATACCTATATGACCTGTCTCCAACCAGATTCTGCTTTAAATTCGAACGGTAGGATGGACTACAAATGGACCCAAAAGGTCGGATTACAAAGAGGGATAATATGACGCATCAGCCCCATCTCACGCAAACGAACGCTAGAGCTACAGCACTAATCTCGTGCACAATCCAACAATCAACAATCACAGATATGTCAACTCTGGACGTCTTGTGGGCGAATGACAAGTTTGCCTGTTAACGTAAGTTGCAGGCTGAGTGGGTTGTTTTGGACAGATCGGTAGGAAAATGTAATTATAATTCAGATTAAAATTATTTACATGGGAATGACGGTAGATCTGTGAGAGATTTCCCCTACAGTTATACAGTTATAGTTTGGTATCAATGAGCCATATGCCTTCGTCCTTTGAGCATTCTGCGTCTGAGCACGATTCTTCCAGCATACGTCTTGACTCGTTTCAGGAAGCCATATCGTCTCTTCCTCTTCAGTGTCGATGGCTGGTATTCATCACCATAAGTAGGGAAGAACCTAACATGCAATGGACCTGCAAACGGTGATGGTATCGGTATCCTGCGATGAATATTACATACTTTGAATCAGCAAAGGCAACATTTGCATGAATGAATAATGTACAAGCTACCTTGGATGCCTCGTCCTAGTTCAAAGGATATGGTTGTAAGCTTGACAACAATTGCAACAACAAAAAAACCAGCACAGCTCTCACATCAATGGAAAAGGGCTAGATTGAGGCAGAGATGGCATCGTTCTGCTGACCAGACTGCCTGCTGTCGTGACTAGCTGCCGCAAAAACTGCATGGTTGCGATCGTAGAACTTCCTGATTGTGAAACTGATGTAAAAGTAAAAGGTGGTGGACGACGTTTTCCCTTTTTGCGAAGACGTATGTTACGAGACTTGTTTACAATATTTTATAGATATAGGCTTTCTTTTTTGTTAGGAGGATCCGATACGAGTTATCTAGAGGTGTCAAATTCGAAACATATTTCTTGAAATCATTACAGCATCATCTAAAACGACGAAGCGCAGGGCGTACACGCATCCAGTAATAGCCCAACCCAAAGGCTGCACCGCCTAAATGAGCGGCGGTGTCTACTCGGCCGCCAGTCTTGGTGCTGGTCCTGTAGAGATCATATAGAACGAAGCCTCCAATAGCAATAATTGCTGGGACGGGCACGAAAAGCAGATATACTATAAATTGGTAAAAACCCGTGTGAGTAATTTGCAATGCATTTACAGTTTGGTCGAATCCGCGTCCAAAAAGCGCCAAACAATGCGGAAAGAATTGCAGACATCATGAATGCGATAGGCCAATGAACGAATTACCTGTACTCCACGGATACGTCAGAGCATACACGAGGGTGCAGGCTGTTACTGAGCCTGACGCGCCATGAGATACGAATTGTTCGTTACGGTTTCTCAATCCCATGGTGAATAGACTGGACGTTAGGCCTGCTCCGAGATATATCAGTGCAAAAGCACGCCCCCCGACAATATCAATCACAGCTTGTCCAAAAGAATACAAGACAAACGAGTTCAATATAAAGTGCCATGGCTCATTGTGGGAGAAATTGCTACGGAACAACAAATCGTTATTTGCATCGTGCAAGTTTGATGGAACATTGACAAAGCGGCACACACCATGTCAGCATTGTCCATATTCGACCATCATCTATATTCTTCCATCTAGCAAGACGGAGAGAGTAAGTACTGGCAATTTCATACAGTTTTTTGAACGCCGCATACCCGCATAAGAAGTTCCGAGTCATGAATTGCATCACCGATGTATCTCCATATGTCTTGTAGACGCCATTTGCATACCACCATGCCGAAAACACAGCAGTGTTGATTCCTATGGATACGAAGCTTTAGCTAGGATGAAGAAATCACGACTAATAAACTCACCTAAAATGGCATAAAGCACAAAGTAATTTCCATCTGTATCGAATTTGCTATTCCAATTTCGTATTGTTCGGTTCCATGTATCAGGAGTCTTCATTACAGTACGTAGGCTCCTACATCCAACCCCCAAATTGCAATGTCAGTGAGAATCACGACCAACAGCATAAGAAAGGACTATCAAAAGAGCGCCTACCTTGATTGTAGCAACTGTTTGAAGGCATTTATCGATCTTTTTGTGGACGGCCTCCATGTCTGCAGTCCACGTTGAAAGTTCAAGCAAAACAAACTTTGATGATGATTGCAAGCAGCGCTTTTCACAGTTATGGGGAGCTTATTGTACGGGAGCTTAGATATTGCTCTTATTCTAAACATTATGGTATTACTGCCAAAAAACTCTAGTTCAGACTAATGCTCTATTCTGTGCAAGTGAATGAGCGTATATCGCATTTTTTGTTAAGAACTATGCAGTTCTAAGTGGTTGCTAACTTGAAATCCTCTGGGTCGTGATGCATTTCGGGCTTTTCTCCCAGAACGATACGTGACTCGATCTATCAGCAACGATCGTGTCAGATGATTTAAATGTACATGTCACTTCGTACTCACCTCCATTGTATCCGCATTCGGCAAGTGATACAGCGATATTTTGCTCTCAGTGTTTCGCTCGAGGAAATCAAAGATCCAGAAACGTAGTCGTTTCAGCCAACCTGCGTCCGGGTGCGATTGAATTCTTTCACGACCCAAGACGAACGTGATATCTTCATTTGGATTGTCTTTTTTCAAGATCCGCTTCTTGTACTTGTTTACAGCTCCAAGCGTGTCAATGGAACGTTCCGCGTACCCTATTGCATTCGGAGGTGAGTATTGTATTGTGCAATCTCGAATAGCGTGACTATACGCAGCTGACATACCATAAGACAAAACAATTCGATACAGCCCAATAGCAGAATCAACAGTTCGGAAAATTGTTCGTTCTTCTTCAGCAACAAAAGGTGAGGTGGAACAGACTGCAGAAAGGCAGATGATGTTCTCCGGTAGAGCATTCATTCGAACGGCCAGCAGAGTCAGAACGTGTGGTACTTCTTCATCAGAGTTGGCCACGAAGACAATGGTTCCTTCTGTTCTTGGAATGCTTCGAGCATGTAATCTTAGATCGGACATTGCTATCAATCTTTCTTGCAGGTACTCATTGATTTGATGAGTAGTTGTGTACCAAACTATTTGTCGAAAAGGAGATGAAATCCGTGCTCAACGACAACATACAAAAGCATTAACATACCATTCATTGTAGCAAAGAGCACAAGACTAATGGTGACCGAAATCCAACCTCCGTATGAAATCTTTCGAAGGCAAGATGCCAACAAGACCAAATCGGTGGTACAGAAGACTCCACAAAACACGAGTATTTTCCACGTTGGCTGCTTCCAAGTAAACTTGAGTACCATCACATAGAAAACTCCAGTCAGAGTCATGGAAGCGCTGACAGCAATTCCGTAAATGTCTGCCAAAGATTCAGAATGTTGGAAGGAGGCAATCAGTGCAACACAGCCACCCATAAGGAGATAACAGAAGCTAGGGATATAAACAGAACCAGCACTCGTTTCACTAGTGTGAATTGATTTGACATTGGGAAAGACATTGAGAGAGATCTAATGTTCGATAATCGGGTTAGTTTGTCGTTTTCACCAAGGTTTTACCAAATTGGTTGCATTTCTTACAGCCTGATCAATCAGAGTAAAGCAACCAGAAATTGTAGCTTGCGAAGCGATTATAGCTATTGGTAGAACGAATTTGAGTATGCAAAGAGTAAACACATGCGGCATCTCAAACAAACCTGCTAAAGTCGCCAAAATCAACATCGGCCATTCAACACCCCTAAATGGTTATGCATTGAGTTAACGTATTGTACAGATAGTCCAGTATTGAATCGGTTCTTACCGAGGAACAGAATTAAAGAAGGGATTGAAGGAATCCGAGTCGATGATTCCAGCATTTCCCAGCAAGAAGGCTCCTTGCCTATTGTTCAGAAGATTTGAAAGATGTTAGCCACCACAAATCGTACTCAGGTATTGACTTTCAGAATTCCAACAAGTCGGTTGAGGCTACATTACCCAAAGTAATTCAGTATGAGAGCAGGATAGACCAAACCCAAAAAGGAGAATCGAATGGGACGAGTTTTGAAGTGACCTAAATCTGCATACATGGCTTCAACTCCTGTCACGGCCAAGACACTGCAAATGTTCAATTGTGAGAATTTCGTGATGTTTTGAGTGCGAGTTGATTCAATTGGGACACTTACACTTGCGACAGAATGTAAAATCCTTTAATTCCAAATTTCATAAAGAAGATCACCATGTAGTGAGGGCTCAAAGCTGCAAAAATCCAAGGAGCTTGAATCACATTGTAGAGTCCAATAGTGCCGATACTCAAAAACCACAAGACCATCACTGGACCATAGAATTTGAGTGCCTTGGCAGTTCCATAACGCTGCGAGAAGAGCAAAAGAACCAATACGACACAAGCTAATGGCACGACAGCTGAAGCAATTGTAGGATTGTTCCTAATATTTAATAGAAAACGGATGAGGAAACGATCGTGACGTGAGCTACTTATACCATCCTTACGGTGCATAGAAATGTATTCCTTCGAATGCTGACAAGACACTGATGGCTGGAGCTATGAACTAGAGAAACAAAAATATATGAGCATGCTTCTGTAGTACTAAAAGCAGACACAACAACCTAATTCTCACCCCGTCACCAAGAAGGAATGCTGAAGCAATGATACCAAGCACAAATATGTGACTTTTGTAACAATGTAGTATCGAATCCGGTGAATCAAAAGGAAGGAGAGACAGCAGCGCAAAAACACCTCCTTCACCATTCTTGTCGGCTAATTTTTGAGAATCAGCATCACATTATTCAATACTGGACCAGGCGATTTGCTGAAGACATACCTTTGAGAACAAAGAAAATGTACTTGACACTGCAAACAATGGTGATGGTCCAGAAAATGAAACTCAGAGCACCCAATACAAAGTACTGTTGCGTAACGGGATCTGCGGTACTAAAGTCATCGAGCCCAACGGCCGTATCCTTGAAGATGGCCTTGAGCACAAAGAGGGGCCCGACACCAATATCACCGTAAACAATTCCTAGAGCACCAAGACTCAACATAGAAAACGTCTTCCAGTCCATTTTATCTGATAGACGAGGTGCCGGAGGTATGCAAAGTGCACCACCTATAGAGAGCGCTTTGGGCTTTTCCAAGATTGATAATGTTAGTTCTTGGTCAATGTGTAGGTACAAATTGATTCAATCGATTACCCCCATATTGGCCTTGTTCTTTTGGTTTGCTGCTGCAGAGTGCGACATGATGGCTTTTACACTGACTTTTCGATTAGGTCGCTTTATGGTTTCTGATTGTCCATAAGCAGAAGTTAGTGATGGTGAGGGACCGTAGGAAATGACAGATGGTGACGGTTGAGGTGATATGCGAGCACTGTTGGCTTGAATGTTGTTTTGTGGTGATAGATGGTTCGGTACCACAACTTGAATGCTCGAAGTTGATTCTTCTGTTACATTAATAGTCGGTGGTTGTGATGACATGTTTAAACTTGGCAATGCCGCTAAGCTGTCTCCATCAAGCGCAAGTGGAGCTTTCTTTTGATCATCAGACAGCATAATAGCTGGAAGATGGAGAACATCATTTGAAGGGGCGTCAGCTTTGATCGATTCTTCGGAATAATGATGGTCCTGAGCGGAGGCACGACTATTTCGTCTGCTACCATTGTTAAAAATCGAGCCCAAGATCGTTGAGCCAAATAGGGACGAGTTGCGACGAGTCCCAGGTGTATGCATAGCGCGCGTGGATCCCATGCCTGTTCGTGATCTGCTGCCGGAGGTTCTTGCCAGACCGTCAGAGCCAATGATGTTATTGAGTGAATTGGTAGAGCCAGGTGGATGACAGGCTTCGCATCCAACTGTTAATCGTGGAAGACGTGGGCTTGATTCGTCGTTTTCATTTTCATCGTTTTCTTCGTCACTGTCATCATGACGTTGATGTACATTCAAGACGACGGGGTCAGGTATACCAAGTCTATCATCTTCCATTGGTCTTGAAACGATTATATCACCGGTATTGTGATTTGTAGTTAATTGAGCGACTAAACACGAATTGCGTCAATTTTTTCATCAATACGGATAAGCGTTCATTTCGTGGTTTTACCTTGATGAGAAGCAAGCACTTGCATAGTTGTTGATAAGGAAACAGTAGGCTTGTCATCCGGATCCATTTATGTAACTGGAACAACACTCGACGCAAGTATATGATGTGGATAATTGGAAGACTCACGACAGGGGTTGTGTGAAAATTTTCCGATCGCTCACGAGAAACAACAAGGGTATTTCCTGCCAATGTTGCTATAATTGGCAGCACACCCTCATTCCTTCACTTGTTTGCTATATGGTTTGGCCGCCGTTCAAAGGAGATAGAGCATTTGTTTCAAGCAAGCCAAAGTTGACCGTTGAACATTTGGGGAATATAAAATAGTCATTCCGATCGGATCTTGGACTGGAAATAGGCAGGCATCCACCATCAAGGCGGTAGAGGCACCTCAGCGGTTGCTTGAATTTTTTCAATTATACCCGACAGCGGTCGCTCGGGTTTTGATAAAAGGACCTCTCGAAAATATTCTGTAGTATTGGAAGTGAACCATGCATGTCTTGATAATCGATGATAACGGAGGGCCATCCATTAACAACAAGTCTAGCTATTCGGCGTATATTGATGAACTTGATGATACCCGACTATCAATAATTACATCCAAGTGCGGAGTTTCGGAAGACGACAAATCAAAATGTTTTCGGACGGTCGAAATTGATCATATTGGTTCTAATGGAGCAATGGTATGTCGAAGGTCTCATTCGACAATGGGATTTCTGCTCACTATTATTTTCTTCCGCAGGAACTAGCGGCCGAAGCCATTCATAAACACCTACCAATCGATATTATATACACCAAACAAGAGGACTTAATTTTACGAGCTTCTCATTTGAGAGCGTTGCTTGGTCTCAATTCACAAGGTGGCCTCGTTGCTAAAGATGCGTTGCTATTTCGAGACAAGGAAGCTATGAAAAGACATTTATCCTCTACCATTATCGTACCTCCTTTCGCTAAAGTATTCTCACCAGCAAATGTGATGCAATTCGTAAACGAGCATGGATTTCCTGTCATTGTGAAACCAACGTTGGGATCAGCTTCCGCTGGAGTGGACGTTTTGAGGAATAGAGCCGACATGGAAGACTATTTCATTAATCGATTCTATGGCCGTATTGATGAAGAAGGCCGTTGTATGGACTATAGTGGTGATATGATCGTCGAAAAGTTCTTGGAAGTAAGTGATGCACATATATTGGGAAGCAATCGATTGAAGTACTTATACCCCAAAAACGTACTCCAGGGCGCCAAAATGTATCACGTCAATGGTTACGCAAGCGACTCCAAGATTGTAAACGTATGGCCTTTCTGCTATATTTCAACCAACTTGCAATTCACAACTGGGAATGCCTACGGAAATGTCCTCATTCCAACAACCGATGCCAGACATAGTCGCCTAGTCGAGATAACTCAACGTGTCCTGGACAATCTACCATGCCCTTCCCATCTGATGTTTCACTTGGAACTATTCGAAGTTGATAATGATTTCGTACTATGTGAAATTGCAGCAAGAAGACCTGGAGGCTCAATCGGGCCATTAATTGACGTATCCGAATCACAGCCTATTGGTTGGTTTGCCGAATACGAATTTCGGTCGTCTCTTGGATTACCCTCACGCAGGCTATGTCGAGCAAGACAAGATCAGATTCCTTGTGGAGACTTGCTAATTCCTTTGCATGTTGGAACTTTGACTAGAGTACCTTCTGAACCATGTCCCATACCGGGAATAGAGTATAAACAGATTGCACAAGTTGGCCGAGTCTACACAGGGTTTTCCATCAACACCATGAACACTTGTGCCCGTCTAATAGCTCGTGGATCCAGTGGGACTAGTGCGGCAACCATTCAAGATATGCTCGAATCTGCCAAGAAATGGCTTGATCATGAACTTCAATATACACCACCAGCTCAAGTCCCGAGTCGTCAAGCTCAACCCGAATCATAGTCTCAGCATAAAATATCTATATTATTTTCCATCAATAATAATTTAGGTCTTCTTGCAAACGGAATGTGTTGTATTATGTTGCAGTTGCTGTAATAGTGCGCCAGCCATACTCTTCTGCAATTCCAAGAAAAGCCAAAAGTTAGATCATCCTAGAAAATGAGACTATACCACGTTCCTACCGTACCTTGCCTAATGCCTCTTGCTGACAGGATGAACATACAGGGTGAATCTGCAGCTCGTTCTACCTATTAAATACAAAAATGTCTCAACATCGTTTCTCGGAAATCATACAAACACGACGCTCATTACTGTGAATAGCATTTCATCCAGGAAGAGAGAAATAGTCCTGTTGCCGCGAGTAATCAGCCTACGAAAAAATATGATTTTTAATCAATGAATATGAAGTGCACCATAATATGTTGTTCGAGCGCTAACAGGTTGCAAAACGCCGCACACTCACCATCGCAAGCGCTTGAGCCGGTCAAATTCTTCCGGTGGGATTTGGTTTGCTTTGTGGTCGAGAATCCCTTCACATTCTGTGGTATCTTTGCCTGTGAATCTCAATCCGTCAATATCGAAGCAAGCATCCAAAAGGTTTGACGAGCCTATATCGTCTTGCTGGAATCCTTGCGCGATAGAAACTTATGTAGTTGGAGTGCAATCATTGTTAGTAACAGACATAGATTTCGACAACAAAAAATTTCGTACCAATGGCTTCCTTTTCCTTTTCATGAGAGTAGGTAAACAGTACATGCGTAAAGGTAGTGCTTATATTCGGAGGTGCATATTGAGCTAAACTCAGTCTACACAGTACTTCTTTTGCCACAAACCTAGCTACGACAGGTGAATCATTTTCCTAAAGTAAACAGAATGATGAGTTTAGAGACACAGAGAGAGACAGAGAGAGAGAGATAAATACGTCGTTGAACATGACGGAATCGCTAAATCGAAGTCTAAGGGGATCTATATTTCGTAGAGGTAGAAGCAGCTCATTCCGTTGCTTCAAAGGGTTCCATATTGTTTGCGATAGCGGTGGCCCAGGATCATCAGGTTGTGGCGATGGATCTAGGAGTTCTATTAGTGCAGCGAGCCTGTTGGAAGAAATACGTAGGATAGTTTAATCGGGGTCATATCTGTCAAACCTCGAAACAATTGAGGTTGATGACAGTCTTGATCATCGTTTACCCAAAGTATTGAGCATCAGCGAGTAGATTTGCCTTGTAAGCTTCTAGTGACATTGAAGGTATCGGAGATTCTAAGACTGGCACCAGAGTATAGCCTCTCAGATGACGAACGATGAACTAGGGGACGAGATAAGGTGGTAGTGAGCAAGTAATGGCAGGAATAGTGATAAAATCAAAGCAACTTTAGTGGCAGACGGGCAAGGCAGTGATCTTGAACAAAACCAAAACCAAAGTTTCCACACCTCAAACAGCTCTGGATCTCTGTCAAAGAAGAGAGGCTGCTCCGATCGAGCTTCTACGAATGAGCCCAGCAATGCAGCCCTGCAAGTATATGAGAAGAGTCAGTCAGTTCTGTCAAAGCGATCAAGCTCTAAAAGCAAGATTGTTTCGCCAATAGGTTGACGCACGTGAAGTGGTTTGGAGCATCAGATTCTATCGAGTCTCGAGTCAACTCAAAGACCCGATGGCCTACTTTGACTCTGTACATGTTGTGATAGACGGCTGCTTCTAGTTTCGCTGGTTGTTGCCTGCTTGTAGTAGAAAATCAAGCAAAGGAAAGAACTAGCTACAGTGAAAACGCGTCGGCTGCCCGATTGCCTTGTTTGGATCACGACGTATACGCGTATTCTTCGAGTTGCGTTCGAGACGAAAACCTCAAATGCGATATTACTTGTAGAATAGTAATTCCACCTCCATCAGAATGCTGTATTTTGTTGGCCACAGCTCGATTCATGTTCGACTGTTATAATTCGAGGTACAGTATAGGCCCTACTGCGGTGCTGCTCGCTGCTGCTGTGCTTACTCTGCTTGTTGTCAAGCGCATAGGAAAAAAACGCACCTTAGAATCATATACAATTTATTTACCGACAGCATCACCTCATAGTGCAACTCGGCATCCTTAAGTTTTATATTACAGCTTACCATCCTTAACTTTCTCGCTCTGGATCTAGCTCAATTCTATCACACATTGCATTTGCACAGTCAACAATCATCTCTCATTATGACCACTTCAACCTCCATGCAGCCATCTACTGCTGCTGTAGCACGCACTCACCTCAATACTAGGCACGGAACTTATGAGCTGGGCAAGGTTATTGGCCAGGTATTGATTTGCGTACATTTTACACTTTTGCACAATATTGCACTCTGCACTCACGGCATCGTCATCTCATCACATATCACATCCTATTTCCATTCTATGCCACTCCTGCTAATCTATGATTCTTCTTCCCGACCTCATAGGGTGCTTCTGCAAAGGTTCGGCTCGCCACGCACACAACTTCCCACCACGTCTGTGTGATCAAGAGCATCAAGAGACCTAGACTAGAAACTTCTGACTGTCCCATTCAGCCCGCTGACGTAGACAAATTGTGGAAGAAGGAGTTATTCAACATCAGGGAAGCCTCAATATCCATGTTACTCGACCATCCAAATATATCTCGCATGTTCTCAGCCGTATTGGGCGAGCACCACATCTACGCACTATTTGAGCACCTCCCAGGTCAGGACTTGGTTGATGTCATCCGAAATTGTGGTTATATTAAGCCAAAACGTGCTCGACACATCTTTCGACAAGTCCTTTCTGCAATAGGTAGGATTCTGCGTTACTCAGGCATTCATGATATTTTGGATTCGATTGCTGAAACCTCTTTCATTTCGCCTAGACTTTGCCCACAGAAACAGTGTCATCCATCGAGACATTAAACTTGAAAACATCAGATACAACGCAGCAACAGGTCTTGCCACAGTTTTGGACTTTGGGTTTGCTACGTTTTACGACAAGACTGGGAATCGTCTCATACAAAATAATTGTGGAAGTCCAAGCTATGCTTCTCCAGAGATATTTGCCAACTCATTCTATCAAGGTAAGTACAAAGAAATTGCATACAGTGATGTCCTTGTACAAGAATTCGTGATTTTATTCGCTGACTGTATCTGTTACTATATCAGGTCCTGAAATCGATATTTGGTCGTTGGGAGTAAGCTTTGACTTGAGCGAGCATTGATTCTGACCGTTAACATTGACTAATGCGTCTTGCTATAGGTCTGTTTATATGGAATGTCATGTGGCACGTTACCATTTGCTGGACAATCATTTGCCGAACTCTCTGCTTCAGTGAAACACAGCGAAATTTCTTTCCCAGATCACACATCATCAGACCTTATTGACCTGATCTCACGCATGTTACAAAGAGACCCTGACCAACGAATTACCATGGACGACATTCTCGAACACCCTTGGGTATCCCCCAACATCATCAGCCCACGTCACAATTTGAATTCACAAAATACCATACCTCCCCAACTGATTACCGCCGTTTTGGGCAAATCCCCACAAGAAGAAGCAGAGATCTTACAGAAAGTCATGTTTTCGGAACGTTCACCGCAACGAAATGTTGGTGTTTCTCGAAATCCAATCAACAAGTTGTCCGCCACAAATCCCCGAAAATTGTCTCCCATTATCGCGCCACGACCCGTCAGCGATCATCATTTGAAAACAAAACTACTTACTCGTGTGCAAAGTGACAATGAAACACTCGTGCCGAAACAAACTTGGTTGAGTCGGTTGGCTAGCAAGGTTTTTGGTGCCCGGAGTAGTAACAATAGCCACAGCAGCCATAGAACTTAAGTGGAAAGCTATAAGAAAAACACTCCCACTAGACATTATTATAGACACTTTAGAATTATAGAACTGAACACTTCACACTAGTGGACACTTTAGAACTATAGAATAGAGCCAAACACTTCACCAGCTTTTTAATAACAATAAAGCATATTTTTCAGAAATATCTCCTATTGGTTTATTGCTGATTCATAACTCCACCGAGAATTGCGTCAATATTTCCGGCAAAATCAGGAGGCGACACGACTACGAAACGCGCAAGCTTCAGCAAAAAAAGTTTTACTGTATTTTGGATCATTCTAACATTCTACGCGTCCTCTATTCATCAAATTTCAGGTGTGAACGTTAAATCTCGTATTGCGTCCGAAAAATCATGGAAATTCACACTTTTCGCTTCGATGATATTAGAACAACAAATCGAGAAGCAGAATGTCTCCACCACCATTAAACAACGACACAACCAGAAGCATCACCATCTTACAGCAAGAGCCACTCACGGAACTTGGCAACCTGCGTTGGTTGAATCCAAATGTCGCTGCTCGAGTCCAAAACCAACAACCTACCTCAACAAATGCAGCCAGAGCTTTGTTTCGCATCACTTCAATAGCTGCCTCATCGCCCCACAATCCCTCGAATTCTGCAACAACTCGACAATCTTCTGCCTTTTCGCCTCTCGAACGTGAAGCCCTCATCAGGATTCAACACGCCTCGCAATTGCAAGAATCGGCTACTCAATTGCATCTACAAAGACCTCCAGAACGGAGAAGCAGTTTGGCAACTAGTGGGAATGCTCCATCGAACGTTCGGCCGGCTTTCAGAAGTAAATCAGTGTGTAATCTTGCCTGTCATGGTTGTGAATTCGAACTGTGCAAGCGTGGGATGAAAGGTGAGCTTACAGTCTGTCTGAACTTTCTTCATTTCAAGTTGGTTTGATGATTCTTGGATTTTGTTTAACACTCTCTCATGATTGTTCAAAGCTATTTTGCTGGCCGACACCAATGTAGAATTATTTTCAACTGATGCTCCTCCATGTGGTATGCTGATTACGATTTCTTCTGGAAGCTTGGTTTCTTTGGAATTCAACACTGCGTCGGTCCAGAGATGCTAGTTGAAAACAGTTCCATTCTCACCGGCTGCTCTTCAATAGGAGTGCAACTGGTTTGTGAGGACTACACTACTAGAAACTGCCATTGTAGAATACGAGATGTTGCATGCTTGCAGTGGTATGCTGTTTGGAATTAAATTCCGTGTCACCGGTAACATGCAGATTCTTAGTAAATTAACCGATTTTCTTTTAGTGGAAATGTGGTAGGTTATCATGTCACTCAGCCCTGCTCATCATGCTTGACTGCATGTAACAATGGTGAGTGAAAAACGGGTTGCGTTGATTCCCAAAACACATTGGGCAAGAAGCATTTCGAAATGGAGTGAATGATTTGACTAACCCTTATTCTCTTTCTTCCAGGACATTTCTGGTAAGACAACCATATTGTTGATTCCCAAAGACATTGGGCAGCTAACATTTTAACATGGAGTGAATCATTTGACTAACCGTTATTTTCTTCGTTCCAGGATGTTTTTGGTAAGAAAACCATCTTCTATGTGCAGATATAGTATCTCGACATTTCTTTACTTTGCAGTTGTCTATTGGATTGTGTCTTCCAGAACTCTGATTTTTGGGATTCCTTAGGTCGATCAAGTCACAAGCTCAGACAGGAAGCACCACGATGGAAAAGTTTTACTTTGGGCCGACCTACCTAGACAAGACTTTGATGAACACAATGAAACATTTTTGAATTATGACCTCATGTGTCGATAAACAATGGACATTATCGGCTCTGTTTCGCCAAGACAATGGACCCCTTTCACATACAAGCCTCGTTCAACTTTCAAAAATACAACTGCAGCATTTCTCCTTCCCACACAACCTTCATGCCAAATCAAGTTCGAATGCACCAGTTTACGTTTATTAAGAGATTTTAAGACATTCAGTGTGACAATGGCTCAAATTCAATTCCTCTTCAAAGGCCATTTACTTGTCTTACAAACGAGCTTGTTCTCCAGTAGCCTTCAACTTGGCCATTACTTCTTCCTTGACTGCACGTTTAAGAACCTTGTTGGTGTGGCCTTGAGTTAATATTTCAGTACGTAAGTCAATGTAAACGGGGACCTGTTCAAAATAGTATTTTAGTTGAAAAATTCTTGTTGAACACTGAGAGAAAGTCAGTACCTTGTATCCCGCAATCTTTGCCTTCAAGAACTCTCTCAAGGACTCTGAAGTAACTTTGCCGACAAACTCTGGACGGATCTGAGCAGCAGCATAGACTTCTTCACCTAGTAAGTGCAGAAGAAATATTTTCAGCTGCATGATAAATGAAATTCTGGCCAACAGAAAGAACATACCCATAATACGATGTTCAACACCGAAGACAGTGGCTTCAATGACGGCTTCATGTTGAGCCAATGCGTTTTCAATTTCGACACAGTAGATGTTCTCTCCACCTCTTATTATCTACAGACGAGGAGTTACGATGATGCCAATTTAGAACCCTAACAAACTAAGGTCCAGTTACTCACCATGTCCTTGGAACGAGACATCAAGAATAGGTAACCGTCTTCATCCACTCGTCCAACATCTCCTGTCTTGTAAAATCCATTTTGGAAGGCTTCGTTGGTAGCCTTCTCATTACGCCAGTATCCTTTCGAAACTGAACAGCTCTTGGTCCAAATCTCTCCAGGTGTTCCACGTGGCATGATCTTTGTTCCCTCAGCATTCGTGATTTTTACTTCAACATAGTATGGGGGTACACCAACTGATTCTGGTTTCTTCTCGTAACCTTCCAAAACGTTAGTAGCAATGCCGTGACATTCGGTGGCTAGGAAGACGTCGATAAGGACTGTGTTAAGGGATGTGCAAATTTGAGTTACGATTTCGAAAATTTACCTCCGTAAGAGTTTCCTTTGAAGGTGGAAACTGGGAACTTTTGCTTGGTCTGTTGTAACATTTCTGGTGATGATGGGCCGCCACCAAATGACAAACCAGTCATTGCAGAAAGGTCACGTTTCGAGAATGTTGGCTCTTCCATGAGCTGCCAAACCATAGATGGAACACCGACAAAGGCTGTCAATCTGAGAATTAAATAAATTGGTTAGAATTGTAATATGACTAGCATGGTTGCGCATCTTACTTTTCCTTTTCCATCAATTCAAGAGCAGCGGAAGGATCCCTAGACGACGAAAATCGATGCTTTCAGATGGAGGCAATGCCACGACAATTTCTCAGACTGTGTACTAACCACTTGTACATCAAAACACCTATGCAGAGATTATGGTTCAGAAACCGGTATTGTTGCGATCAGTGAAAATCGTCGTACCTTTGCCTCCACGTAGCTGAACCCCCAATGTGAATGCGTATGCGGTAAGATGGAACAAGGGCACAGGTGCAAGTATACTAGGAAGGGGAGAAAAGTGAGTTTCGAAAGTCCCAATGCTGGTTCAATGTGGTTAGCTACCTTGGAAGAGGTACCGTGGCTGGGTCAGGCATGTCCAGGCCTTGCCGTAACAAAGCAAGCATTCCACCAGCTAATCCAGCCATTGTTGTAAAGCACCACATTCCGTGATGAGTTATAACACCTTTGGGACGACCAGTTGTACCAGACGAATACATGATAATCATATTGTCGTTTTCGTGCAGAGGAGGAGTGATTTGAGGGTATTCCCTTGTTGAGCCGTAAGCGTCCAATAGATCGTTGATGGAGACCGTTCCAGCTGGAGCCTTTCCCTTTCCAGCAAAGATTACAGCTTCGAGGCCTTGGGCTTGTAATTCCTTCAAGTTGGGCAAGAGACGCTCGTATCGGTCTTGGTCGACCAAGATAACTTTACAGCCAGAGTCCTGCACACACCAAGCCATTTCTTCACCAGTCAACCAAGAGTTTACTGGTACAGAACAGCCTCCTGCGACAACACTGGCCCAATGGAATGCATACCACAGCTGATTAGGTAAGAATGGTGTAAGACACATGAGGATGTGCGAGATCTTGGGATTCTGGGAGACAAACTTACAGGATGATTACGCATTGCGAGACCAACACGTTCACCACGCTTGATTCCATAGTGTTGTACCAATGCAGCAGCGAGTTTCTTGACCATTGCATCAACGTCGCTAAAGGTCATTCGAATTTCCTCCTTGTTGACATGGTCATAGTACAACACGAACTCATTGTTTGGGAAGCTCTAGGGAATGCAAGAACAGTGAGGATTTGAAAATATCGCTTCAACGTGCCAGCCATGAACTTTGTGGGTGTACGTACAGTAGCCATGTTTTTCCATAGCTCGGTACCATTTTGAGGGGCATTCTAGATGATAAAGTCAGATTAGCACCTGACTGAGAGCGATCAAACCAGCATTTAAAGGGGTTTACCTTGAACTTCTTCACTGGGGTCTTGAAGTGTGGATGCAGACCATCGACCATGTAGAATGGACTTTCGGGGTTTTCGAAGACGGCTCTGTTGGCCTCATCGATGGTGAGAGGGGTAGGCATTATTGAGAACACAAGTTGACTCTTTTTTAATGATGTAGGAACTTTCAGTTGATAAACTAGGTGTTGCAATGAAGCTCTATGTGTGTGACGTTCGCCCTTTTATTCGCAGAAACAATTCATCCCAAACCGAGGTATTCCTCTATCGGTCGTTCTAGCAAAGTTATGCTGAAATGAGAAGATGTTATCTTCACCGTGAGATTGTCCTTGACGTCGTGATTGCAAGTGTTCATTGCTCCTCTGCTTACAGAAGGTCAACAAAACAATTCCGTCACCGAGAATGAATTCTCGACAATAGCCTTCACCCAGCCACGGTGGAGAGTGCCATTTTCTAATGGAATTTGCTGCTTTTGGTGCGTTGAACCTTCGTTCTGAACATCAACTCGTGGTTTGGGTCAAAAATCAAGGATTTCCCTCACAATCACAGAGCCGTGGCAAAGCTTATAAAGCTCTGAGACGTCACTCAAAATTCCGAGCTACTCTATGTCCACATTGTGTACATCGAATACACTCTGATCAAGTCAAGGAACAGGTTAACGACGTTCCGAAACAACCATTTACTAACGTGAGCCCTTGGGTTTGTTTCTGATTGTCGACCTATGAAAGCTCACCCTCCCGCTGTAGATGACAGATGCATACAAGGCAGGGATGGCTTCTATCTCCACATTATCGTCGCTACATGACTTGGTTACCAGGTCGACCAAGCTTCCAAACAATACACGAAGGACAAGCAACACCTTCCTGGAGTCTACGAATATCACACGGTCCCTTACAGCACTCTTACCGGCACCCCCACTGAGCAAGTCCTTGCCACAAGGGCTGGATGTCCCGGAAATGAACGATATTACCAACATCAACGACTTCCTAAGCACCATACGGTCTCGAACAGCTGATCTCCATGAAAAATGGAATGCTTCTGAAATGTCACGAGTGACGACCAAGAGTAATCTGAAGGGGTTGATGGAACATCAAGAAACACTACAAGCAGCCAAGTTGCTATGTAGGCTACGAGAACATGGTAGTTTACCACACCAAAAGCATCATCGGCCGTCGTCCAGACACGTATGGAATCCCTCTGTAAGAATTCAGGAGCCTAAACGAAGCAAAAATACGCAAACCCCTCGAAAGCTTGCCACGGTGTTTGACATCATAGTTCACGACATAATATCTAGTTCTTTGTAGATACCTATATATAGCCAAGTTACAGTTTATTGTAGCTCTGAGTCGCAATTTTTTGGACCTGTTTTCGCGAACCGCTATGCGCAAGGAATTGTTATGTCGTGCTGGTTGCCGACGGTATTTCATGTTACGTGTCCTAGACACGTTTTGACCGCCCGCAACTCTTTGTTAACCTGTGTGTGCCAAGAAAGCGAACCCGATTTACTATCAAATTCCAATTCGATCAAGATGACAAATTGAGGAAAGATTAGTAAAAACCCATTACTAGCAACCAATAACATGCCTCGAAGCCGACCCAGCGTTTGAACGCTATCCTGCTCCTTCCTTGCTTTCCATTTATAATACCATGACACTTCAAGAAACAAAAATGACATCGTCGTCAAACCAACTCCATGACGAAGACGATTGCTGTGAAGCATGTCAAGAGAGTTCAGGCGACATTGATATGGATCTGCCCGAAGAGAATGAACACATTAGAATGCTCTCCCTCGCCTGGGAACGCTACTGTGCTGCAAAGGGCATGGCCTCATCAAATCCTCACTTATTTAAAGAAGAATTGACTCATGTCGTCGAAACCGTCGAATCTGTTGCTTCGGCCATTTGCAAAGACCCTGAACAGAGGTATGACATCTCGCTGGTTCTTTGGGACTCTCCAATTCCAGATTGTCAAAACAAGTCAAAACAGTTGTCAAATGTATTGATCGCTAACTATTTTCCTGTCATTACTCTACGCTGTGCACAAATAGAGCTATACTGGGCCGAACCGATATATGGCCTAGTCTTAGTAAGATGCTGATAACGATCCGCAACGAACTGTTTTCCATCTTCAATGGTTTGGGCCAAGCTGGTGTCGAATGCCGGCACAAGTCCTGTCTCATCATTGCCATAACGGGTGCCCATTTTAAGCTTGTTAGAAACTTGTGTGCCTCAGTTCCATACAACCAGAATTCATCATGGTGTGTGTTGTCAATGGGAACTACTTTCGGTATATAGCGCTTTATTTGTCGAAACTGGACTCACACACGTTCAAATACTAGCCAATATCGAATTTATATACCCATCGAAGAAATCAGCACATATTTATGTAGCTGGTTGATATCGACAACATCCCCATGCCAGAACCTCAAACCACACGTTTTGGCTTGTGTGCATTACGGTTTCCAAACTCTCGCCAACATGATGACTTGTAATTCCAATGTCTGCAATCAACTGTGGCCATTCATATTCAAGGAGTCGGATCTAGTCAAGTAAGTTTTCATGGCTTACAAATTGTCTCCTCCGGCATGACGCTGACAAAAGCACCCTTTTTAGGCAATTACTAAAAATCAAGGACACGAAACTGTCTAAATTGATTGTTATGTGGATCTTCAACTGTACCGTTAACGATGCTGCCCGTAGTCAGTATTTGACTAATACCAAGCTGGGGCAAGAGTTGACTAGAATGATGTTGGAAATGTTGACGTTGTCCTTGAAACCTGTTGCCGATCCCGGGCTGTTGGATAGCATGTACGTACACGGACATCTCGTTTCGCTGGGTGTCAGCGTTGCTATCAACTCTGGACTGACTGGTCGAAATTCAACTCTTAGCATCCTCGTCTTCAATAATATGATCAAGTTGGGCTTAACTCGGGATATAATGGATAGTATAAGTCGTATGAAAGGACCTGGACCAAGTCCAACGCTATTAGATCCGGTGCATGTCACCTTTTTGAAAGTGTTGGACGAGTATATAGAAACCAAAGTCAATGATGATACCACCACCCTTCCGATCTCCTTCGATACCATGTCATTCCTAGCCAAAGTGATAAACAAATTATTAGATCGAGCACCGGTATTAATGGCACCAATGCCTCCGCAGTCAGATGCTTCATCAACCGCACGATGCCATGAACCAAACATACCCGATCGGGACGGTCTCGGTCTATTATTACGAATCATGAGTAGATTGACTCTGGTATTGAGGAGTGAAGATAAATCACGACTCATGTTGAAGGGATTGGTAGAATCTGTCCTTACGTTGCTCAAGATTGCCGACGAATATCTGCCTAGACAGACGCAGGCACCCTCTTCGAATACGTATGGTTTGACGGCTCTCAACCAGGGCTTGTATAGATTCAAAGTGAACATTGTCGGTGTACTGGGCAATCTCTGCTACGAGTGTCGGGAGGTGCAAGACGAGATTAGGAGACTGGGTGGAATACCGTTAATACTGTCTCAAGCTCATATTGATGATGCCAATCCTTGTGAGTATACCCAGTCCTTGCTTTGGGCATGATTTCCGTGCTTGAGCTCTTGTCGGTACTGTGCATAGCAAACAAGAAACCTTGGCTAAATTTGCTAAATACAATGTTTTAGGGCTAAGAGAGTATACTATACTGGCCATTCGGAATTTGCTAGAGAAGAATACAGAAAATCAACAGGTTGTGGCGTCACTTAAAGCTCAGCAAGTCGTTGATCAGGAAGTGCTGAAACCGACAGGCTTACATGCCTTTGTGGACTCTGAGGGACGAGTAAAAGTAGGATCTGCCGCATCGTCATCATCATCATCATAATTCTTGGTTTGTTCAGTTTGATAGTTAGTTTTGTCTGCCTCCGTGTAAAATAAAGTACTGAATCGAGAGCTTTGAACGATATTGTATCCGATGTACACGTTGAGAATATTGAAATGCTCGACCGCGTACGGTCGCTCTTCCGCGGTGAGAGTTTTGCTGTTGCGAAGAAGTTTGAACGTTAGCTCTTTCTGCAACCACGGATTTCAAATTTCAAGCTTGACGAAGAATGGTGGTGTTGGCTTTGAGGAGCGCTCCCGTTCCAATGTGTAAGTACAATACGTATATAATGACCGATTCGAACTTCTCATGTCTGCCTTGCCTTCTTCTTCAAACTGACAAACACGCAGTCCTAACTGTTACTTTTGCTGTAGTAGATCCTCGCTTGAATCTGTGAAGATATATCAGTCCAGCCTTTATTTATTTATCAATTTATTGGATTACAAGTACGTATTTTCTTTACGATCACGTTCTTGGGATGCAAATTGCAAACATTCCAAGCACCATTAGACAGAAATGAGGAATCAGAGAAAAGCAACCAAGTCAACGCCTCCCAACTCTACGTCTTTACCAAAGCTCATCGTACGCAGCAAAGAGCCTTTGAAACAAGATCATCCCATCGATGATGATGATCCTATTATGTCGGATGACGAACAAGGTGCTGACGGTGCTGCATCTCGTAACAGTAGTCGGTTGACTCCTATGGAGTCGTCTACTGTTGAAGATGATGTAGAAGAGGACGAGAACGATACAGATCAGCCACAGGATCAGGTCTTTACCTAAAAGAAGCTTTACGACCAAACCCCTCACGTTTAACACTCAAAACAAATTTAATAGGCTAAGGTGGAAGAGAGTCAACCAGTCCAACAACGCTCAAATAGCATAAACACTCCACTTGCAGAAGCGGCTAGAGCTGTTTCAACAAGTAGTAGCGTCCACACAAATCAACAGCCTTCTCACAACCCAGTTTGGCTGGCTGAGAAGAGTCCATATCAACAGAATGAGAATATTGCTCAGTTAATGGCACCAACTCTAGACACGTCACCACTTATACCGCCAAACTTGCCAGTTGTGCAACCAATGCAGCTCGAATATTTGTTTGAGAGCCAAGAAACACCACAACGAAGACTCAGTAATGCTACTGGTATGGAAGACATTGACACTACGAGTAATGATATCACAGACACGACTGGAAGTAGTAATGGTGTGATTGACTCGGCCGTCATGTCACTGTATAATCCTAATCCAGATTCATCGCCATTACGTGAAACACCCTTTGGTGTTGAGAAGCGACTTCCATTCGGATCTCATGGTGCTCTGCCACCTAGTAGGGGTCTTCGATTCTCCCTCTTCTCGACCACAAAACCAAACTCTCCAGTATACGGCTTTTTGCAACGGGAGGGAGCAGTGACTGCTCGACCGGTGACTCCCATAGCTCAGCAGCAGGATCCGCTAGATGGAATATCTCTGGATGAGTGGTCTCAACAATTGGAAACGCCTGCGCCGCCAGGCAATGTCCCTAAAAAGACTCCTGGTGCAGTCATGGAAGCATTAAGAGCAGGGAATGGAAGGAATATCAGTCTGCAAAGTGGATTTGCCTTGGTCAACTCGGCTTTAAACACTCCTTTTAAGTTTTCGTCGGCCAGAACCATGCCTCCGCCCCAAGTGTGGCGTTCAATACCTTCGCATCCCACTGGTATGAGTATGCCACCCATGCATCGTGATGGTGGACCGTCTGTAACTGCTATAGTTGAAGATGCAGGGTTGCAAGACACTGCCATAAAAGGACTTGTGGTAATTCACCAATTTATTTCGCTTTTGTCCATGATAACTCAACTCAACATATTGCGTCTACACTAGACTGAACTCGTTGTAGCACGCCCTAGTCCAAAGAGACCGCTACTAGTAGATGATGAGTACGGTGATGCCGATGCCGGGTCGTCACCTACTTTATTCGAAACAGTCCGCAAATCATCACCATACGGAGTCAAATTGTCAGATACACAATCCCTCCAATCTCCATCGCACAGAAATTCGCCACGACAGTCAGAACTCACTAAACGATTCAAAGCCATGTCGGACAATACAGACATTCTGCACAGTAATGCAAACGATGTCATAACGAGTCGTGATGAGACGGACGACTTCTTTTTCAGGGAAGATCTGTTCAGTAAATCTAGGCCACTCACCGATAAACAACCAGCTATGCCACCTCCACTACCGCCACCAATAATACAAGGTCCTGTTGCTGGTACTAGTAGTCGATCTAATATAGAAGCTACACCCCGGATCCCATCAGATGGGGTCGATCAGGTTCCTCGACCACCTAAGAGGTTGGCGACACGTAGTCAACTATCCACCAAACCAGTAGAAGTCGTCAAGCCACCAACGTCATCTGTGTATGAAAAGACTCCCAAAATGCCAAAGGAGAAAAAACGGGCTGCACGAGCCAAGTACGCAGAACCTGTTATGAACGAAGAGTCCATGAAAACTACTGCAGTCGTATCAGCTGATGGAGACGGCTCTGTATCACCATCAAGCCTTAAACGCAAGATGAAGGATGATAGCGACACTGTAGACGAAAACTACAGCAAATCGGCCAAAATGGACGACCAAATAATAGTCTCCAATGGTCAGTCTGACAATAAGGGTAATTCTGATAAACTACATAATGATGATGTCGTCTCTGTTGTGGTCGGCCACAAGCCAACTCGTAACGGACTGCCTTCAATTATGGGAGGAGCTGGTAACCTCTCTGTAAATAATGATGACGGTCAGTCTGTAAATGCTACTGAGAATGCTGTATATGATAATCAACCTCTCGCCTCTCTCGACCGAGTTGAGCCTTTGATTGACTTGCAACGACATATTGATTCTCAGAAGAGATCTGAGTCGTCAAGCTCAAATCAATTCGAAGACTTCTCACCCACACAAGAACTAATGATTCATGACTTGACTCAGAAGTTTCGAAATCCAGAACACACAGCCACTCTGCCCGCAGCTGTAGCTCCCACCACCGCAGCTGCACTTCCCGCCCCTAATATTAATAGTGATGTACCATACTTCATGACGGCATCTCAAAAGACCATCAATATTTCAGAGGATGCACTAGCCAAAGCTTCTGAAATGTTCAAGACAGGAGGAATATATTCAGGTTTTCCTGGTGGTGTCTCGTTAAAGGAGATTGCAAAACCTCCAGGAGTATCCGACACGTATTTACCTTTATCATCACAGTCTGTCAAGACCAATCGTAATACAGGTAGTGCCTCTAGATCTATGTTTGATGATGACAAGTCGATCTTGTCTCAACATCATACTCGATCTCAGCTACATCCTAATCGATCCCAGTCGAATTTTGCATCTCAGCAACAGTTGCAAATGAATAATCGCCAAGCTCAGCTGTCTCAGCGAGCTAAGTGGCCAGCTCGTATAGAAGACGAAGGAGCTGAAGAACTGGATATAGTAGGGCCAGCTGTCGTAGAACCCGCTGTTAAAGATGGAATGGAAACAACAGTTGAGCTTCAAATAACAACAGCCTCAGAAGAGGCGTTTTTCGCTCATGATCAGATAGTCGAACAAGATTTCGTTGATGCAGAAAATCAACTAGCTGCTTCTAATGTTATGTCTGAAATCACTGATCATGAAGAACAACAACAGGCTCGCTTGAGTTTAAACAAGTTAGCATTCGATAATAATAGTGGCTTTGCTGTACCTCAGCTTCCAATGCGGTTTGTTGGTTCTCGAACTGCAAACTGCAAGCAATCACCGCCAGTATTGGAAACTGCCCATAAACGAGCTATGGCACTAGTGCATGCAACTGAAAATGACGTCAAAGATGAGGAAGTAAATCATTACGAGATCGATATATTTGACGACAATCTATTAGACATTGAATTGCCCGCTATAGAGTTTGGTGGTGTAAGCAAGGATTCAGAGGATGAATCTGCTCCAGCAGTGGACATCCCGCCTTTCCTTCGAGGCTTCTCAACTGGAGCTGGAGCACCTACAGCCGCAGATGCAGATTTAGCACGTAAGGCTGAGAAAATAGGAGTCAAGCATTTTGGTGGTTTCGCAACAGCCAAAGGTGCACCACTGGCCATATCAAATGCAGCTCTTGCCCGAGCGAAAGCTTTATATGATGCATACTGTATCAGTACCAATGAAAGGACTGTGGAACACTCAATAGACGTCAAACAGTTTGGTGGTTTCGCAACGGCTAATGGTGCACCACTGCCCATATCAGATGCAGCTCTTGACCAAGCAAAAGCATTATATGATGCAGACTCCATCACTACCAAGGAAACTAATTTAGAAAATGCAGTAGAAGTCAACCCTTTTGGTGGGTTTGCAACAGCTAAAGGTGCACCACTGCCCATATCCGATGCAGCTCGTGACCGAGCAAAAGCATTATATGACGCAGGTTCTATCAATTCCAATCAATCGAATGTAGAAAGTGCAATAGAAGTCAACCACTTTGGTGGGTTCGCAACAGCCAAAGGTGCACCACTACCAATATCCGATGCACCACTACCAATATCCGATGCAGCTCGGGACCGAGCAAAAGCATTGTATGATGCAGACTCTATCACGACCAGTGAAACGAATATAGAAACTGCCATAAGTAAAAGCATACGCTCCGAGGTGGTTGGATTCCATCCGCCGCAGATCAAAGGAGGTGGAGCCTTGGCCGTACCATCTGGACTGCCTCGAACTTCATTGCTAAATGCTGCTCCAGGTGCAGCAAGTAGTAGTGCACCTAGTAAAGGCAACAGTCGTAGTGCACCTGTCACGCCCGTAGGGGTTGCTCGAGGAAGAGCACCATTCAAGTCTCCAATGACGCCAGCTGGTCTACAAAAGGGCATTGTTGGACCTCGTCGCGGCGGTGGTCGACGACGATTTGTAGAGAACTCGGTCAGCAGTGAGAACGCAGATCCGAACGAAAGTAACAAGAAGAATCTCACAACTTTGTTCGATTTGACTGGTGAGTTTTGATAAAGCAATGTCTTTCTTACTTATCAAACGCCGAGCAAATCATATTTTTGTGCTAGCTCCTGCTTCGCGACAAACCTTGAGAGAAGCGATTGGACGTGAACAGAGCTATGACTTTGATGACTTGATGGCACGGAATGTGTAAGTTGATGCCAGTAAATGCATTCGAGGGATCATTCTCACACGTTGGTGGATAGGCCTATCGATGTCATTGCTTGCTCAGTTCTGTCAGCCTCTACCTATGCCTTCAATCAGAATTGGGCTAATGTTGAAGCCAGAAAGGCCTTGATTGATGCTGGTGCAGACACAACCCTAGCAAGCGAAGAATGGATTTCGAATCACTATAAATGGATTGTCTGGAAGTTTGCCTGTATGATTCGGTCAAAGCCTGATCTGCTGCAGGACTTGTGGAAGCCGTCTTCTGTAGTTGACCAGCTTTGTTATAGGTGAGATTAAAACCTTCAAGACTGTGATGAAATGTAAGGCAATCTCATTCTTTCCTTGGCCATTAGATACGAACGAGAAATCAATCTTGCGCATCGGTCTGCTCTCAAACTGATTATTGAAAGGGACTCTTCGCCGTCTCAATTGATGGTTTTATGCGTCTCTGCTATTTACTCTGAAGGTAGATGACGACGTCATTTTCCAATTCTTTCGGCCTAGCCCTTAATACCTTTTCAATGTAGGTGCAAGTACATGTATCGAGCTCACAGATGGATGGTATTCGATCAGAGCTTGTCTGGATTCTACTTTGGATACCTTGCTTCGTCAAGGCAAGATTTATGTTGGATTGAAATTGCGTATTTCTAGCGCCAAGGTGAATTGCGGATTCTTCAATTGCATCGATTTACATTTTCTTTGTTTTGCTCACCTCTACCGGCTAGCTCTTGGGTCCACCAGAACCGTGTCCGGCTCTAGAAGTTACAAGCAGTACTGTTCTTCAACTTCAGGTCAACTCAACTCGTCTGGCTCGGTGGGACGCTAAACTTGGATTCCAAGCAAAGAGAGTAGATCCAATGGCTTTGAAGTGCCTTATACCTGAAGGTGGTGATGTCCCTTGTATTGATGTCATCATCATGAGACGGTTTCCTGCTCGTTTTATTGAAAAGAAGAGCGATACTGTACGTATAACAAGGTCTGAACGAGAAGAATCTTTGGCAGTAAAGGACTATGAGGCAAGTAATACGACATGATTTTCTACTGCACGTCGTTTTGTGTTAACACTACCGTTCCTTGTTTAGAATCTGATGCAACGAACGTATTCAGCACTTGTCATGGAATCTGAAATGGATCCAAGAAAGTTCGGAGATAACCCCACACCGCCCAGGTTTTCAAAGCTTCCTGGTGAGACGAGTGCCATAGTATCTCAGTTTTGGTTGCTCTCATTTTAACCACGCGCTCTTCTTTAGGTGATTTGAAGCACATCGAAAACGCGGAAGACTTGTATGATTGCATGCGACTACATACTGATCAGCAGTCGTTCATGCAATTGTTGACCAGCTCGCAACGTGAACGCCTTCAAGACCATGTTCGTCAAAAACAAGAATTCAAGAACTCTAATCTGATGTCACGGATGCAGGACGAGATGAGGGTAAGAGTGTTTGAAAACTAGGATGAGCTTTGCAACAAAGCCCGTCATTAAAGCAAAAGCTCCGATTCTTCATCTTTTCAGGAACGAATCAAGCCTCGCGATGTTTCCAAGTCAGTGAAGTTCCGAATTTGTGACTATCCACCCGAGAATGCTGGATTAGAGCATGTTCGAGAGACGTTCCTAACTATATGGAATCCTGATAACAGTGCTTTGTCGTCTTTGACAGAGGGCAGACGTCTCCGAGTAAGCTCCATTCGATGAGTTCACATAGCCGTATTCTTGCTTATTTTTTTCATTTACACTTTTCAATTGAAAATGACAGATATTTGGTGTCTCGGCAGGTAAAGAGAAGGCTGTCAACCCAAATCGGTATCGTGGTGGCAGTATGCTGTCCGTTCCGTTACGAGTGTCAAAGAAACTGATGGCCAAAGAAATGCCGTTCTCGGAAGGAGAATGGCACCGTACGCTGTATCAGCCTCGACGATGGGTGAAATGTCAAGAGCTAGATTGTTTGGAAAAGTTTGAAGAGGCTGACTTGCTCGCAGTCATTATTGGTAAACTTGTTCTTTACGAAAATTATATTTGTGCCCTTTAAGAGAATCTGACAAGCCTTTTACGTCACTTTTAGCCGTAGATGAACCAGTTCATTTGCAAGGGACCTATGATAGGGTTACCCAGCGGCTTGTATGTACAGATCCATCCGGTGGTATAGTGGTGGTTCGGACATTTTCAATGGACATTCAGTCATTGCCAAGAGCATCGTTTCTCGTAAGTCTATGATCAGGTCACTTGGTTTTTTCATGCTTCTTGGTGCTCAAAATCTCTCATTTAGCCCAAGACACCTATTGCTTTCATGAATCTAGAATTTGAAGAATACCAGGATGGAGCCTTCATTTTCAGAACCAAAGAGGATACAGAGATCAAACTTTCTGCTTCTCAAGGCGTCCTGAGAACTAAGTTCGATGAGCTTTTGTCCTGGATTAGCAGGTATCTCTATAGTTCCCAATTTAAGTTTGTTAGTTTTTTGCTGATCCAAGACCATCTCTCAGTGTTGAAGATATAGAGAGTCTCGTGAATCAAGGTCGCTCGGCTCTCGCTCGCCCCACAGCATATGGCACTACATATCAACAACAGCAACCAATAATCACCACACTTGATGAAAGTACGAATAGTAAATCAGACGGTGCTGCACTTCCACGTCTGCCTGGGTTACCACCTTTGTATCTCCATCGACCTACTAGACCATCGGGATTACGAAAGAGCACAAGTCCTGATCGAAGACCTGTGACTGTATTAAACCAAGCGACATTGTCACCACGAGTCAAGGATTCCACTACGATACGCAAACAGGCGTACATAACGCCCTTTTCGTCATGTCGAGTCGTCATACTCGACAATGGGACACTTGATTCATCTTACATTTTATTTGAAGAAGACTGTACGGGTTTCGTAGCCAGCATTCCTAGTAATAATAGTAACAGTAAACTAGTGCATCTTCAGTTGGACGCAGGTGGATTGATTCGAGTCAAAATGGATCAGGCCATATTTGATGAACTAGTCGAGTTGGCATGCCCAGGCAAGAAAATGTCTCTGAATTGGTTGATGGCGGATGACAAGGATGGTGACAATCGAGGTGCGAGGTTGAATCAACTATCTGAAGCGTTGTGCTATCAAATCGTCCAAGTGAGTATATATATGTGCTCTACAATTTGAAGCGTAAAGGAAGTTTCTGACAAACCCGTAACCATATAGTTTGAATTGACTCCAGAATCCACAACAGACAAAGAGGCCAGCATCACCTCAGACATATTCGAAGTCCAATCCGTTTGCATGCCTTCAGTAGATGAATCTTTATAAACAGCCAGACCTCATTTTGTCGCACATAAGATGTTCATACATAAGCTTGTAAAGTATTAGTAATTTCTCTTTTGAACAAATTGTATTTAGAAAGATGGGGTTTCTGACATGCGAATTTATTAATGACCCTGCTGTACACTATGTTTCCTAAATCATGTCCCTATCAGCATCATCACTCCTCTTTCGTTTCTTATCTTCACCAACTGTTGTAGCAGGCTCACTATCAGTCAGTGGAGACATTTGGGGACTTGGATCTTCAGACAAGACTTTGGCCAATGCTGGTGCTACCTTTACACCTGTACTATTCGCAGTTACTATACTTGGCTTTACACTACTGCTGTTGCTGGCACCAGTCGATTGCCGATTCTTTTTATCGGTTGCCGATGATGATGGCCTTTTTGATGGAGGTGGAGGCAGCCTCTTACTACTGCTACTACCACCGACAGCACCAATAGACTCCTTCCTTTTATCCTTCTTGTCGTCAGTATATTTAGAAGGCATCCTTAAAAACGTGGCTGTAGCGACAAACGATGTATACTTGGGAGGATAGACGGTGTGCAATTCCATTTTTGAAGCTAATTCATGAATGGTTGCATCTAATTCTTTACCTAGCGAAGTAACCGTCCATGGTGGTATGTATTTCTTCTTATTGTTATCGGGCAGTGGGAATGTATACATTCGTTCGCCTGGTGGTGGAGCTGTGCTTGCTATTTGAGATGGATCATATTCCCACGGCTTTGGGCCCAGTATTGGTGTTGGGGGTGGCGGTGTGATTGATATAGGTTTCATGGGTGCAGAGGTTGGATACACATGAAGTGCTTGCTGTTGCTGGTTGCTGCTGCTGGCGTTATGGTTGCTGTTGTTGATGTGGTTGTTATGATATGGTTGCTGCTGTCCAGAGTTCCGATTCAATCCTCTCTGCGAATGAGCACCGTGTCCATGTCCTGTCCATTCCTGCTGATGCGATTCTACAAATCCGCCATTGTTGGCTGATGAAGATCCTACATTATTTGGCCATCGTGATGACTGCGATTGCTGATTATATGATGGTGGTGGCGGTGGCGGAATGAATGGTGGTGATGGAGGAGGTGGCGGCGGGACGAATTCTCTTTGATGACTGCTGTTGTTATAATCATTATTCTTGTTGTTTGATCTAATAGAAAGCATCGGCTCCCCTGATGATACGCTGTCTATAGACATTTCATCGTCCGACTTGGTGAGATCGAGCACTGGAATAAAATTCGGGTTTTGATGATTTATGTATTTCTGCTTCTTTTTCTTCTTCCTCTTACCAGTGGCGGATGCTATTGGCTGTGGAGGAGGCTCATCGCTGGTGTTTCTGGGTTCAGAGGGTACATGTCTGGGTCCAGAAGCTGCTCCTCGTATACGAAACCCGACAGGGCTGAGTTGCCTGCGTGGAGGAGTATTATCCACTATAGCCCGTTGTTGATGCTGCTGCGATACTGGCTGTTGATGACCGGAGGATGATGCACTTGTCTGGTTTGTTGCAGATGCTGGATGAGTATAATTGTTGGAGCCAGGAGGTTGCTCATCAAGTAATACGCTTTCATATTGCTGCCAGTCGAGCCCCTGATAAGGCTTATTTCTATTTCCATACGACATACGATGGGCCCTAGATAAAAATCGATTTAAGATTTGGCCAAAACTGAAAACAATCGCAAAGGAAGAGAGGACTTACATGATGCAGTTACCGATCGAATCTAGTTGAAATTACAGCTATCTCTGCCAAGGCCTAATTTACAATTTAACAAGGAAAAGGCGTGAGCTTCAAATGTTTTATGTTCAACAGCTTTCACAAAGGACGACGAGATTCCGCGGTTGGATAAGTAGCCGTTATCTCACGTATAATACTGTAACTTGAATGCAGTAATGCAACAAGTGACTATGAACTGCTTCTTTACTCGACCAAACAACAAAACACACAAAAGCAGCAAGAATGCAAGGAAAATGAATAATCAGAGTGGCCAGCTCGATAACATAGCTCAAGTACCTGAAGATGACTTGACAGATGTGTCCTTCATCAATCCAAACTTTCTCAAATATGTAAGAGCTTGACTACCCAAAGTTCGAGAATGTTTGTCTTACTGGCAATTAACGTGTTAAATGTTGAAATGGTATTGAAATCTAACAATATCGTATTCCTCTTGGTTTTTATTATAGTATGGTCAGCTAACTCACGACAATGTGCTGGCCTACTTTGCCGAATCGCAATTCTATTCACGCGACTCCATCAACGAAAATATTGTCATGCAAACTCGATACAATCCGCTCGAGGCTTCCCAGCTGAATGTCAAGGCTCTCACTGGAACTGTATACGATATACTCGATCACGTCGCTGATGTCGGCTTGTGGGTCATTGGCAAGTGGAATCGAGTTAATGAAACTACAGGTACGGATGCGTCGCGTTATCTGCATAGTATCTGGGCTCTATCCTATACTCTGTTATGTCTGAGGCAATCATGTGCTAACTCAATCCAATACTTAGATGATTTGGTAGCTGTCTATTATATCGTCGACAATACAATCTACCAAGCTCCTGACATACACACGTTGATTGCCAACAGAGTGGTGAGAACATCCTTCAAAAAAGGCTTGTTTGAAGCTTCTGTTTCATTCGCATCGCCATATCTCATCCCAAATACACCAACACGCGCTCATTGCCTTTATTCATCATACAATAGTCATCAAGTCTACAAGCACTCTCTGAATGCTTCTCGTCAATACTACCTGAATCGGCGTTCATACCTTCTCGAGGTCACATGTGGAACTCTGATGTAGAAATTCTTGAAAAACTCGGAAAAGCAAACACCACCAGCAACAACAAGCCATCACTCGAGGAAGAAGCAGGAGCTATAGAGAGTCTGGCTACAGAGGACGAAGATGATGATCCAACCGTTGCCGCTATCCATAATCCACATCTTATGCATGACGAATTGGTTGCTTCGCAGCATCTTCTAGACTCGATAGTGTTGCATGGTGGTTTACTGGAAACAAGCAGTGTTGTTGGAGCAAGAGGAACTAGTAGGTTGGCAAGTCTGGCACCCTCTGCAAGGAGAAACACACCTCCAGTCAGATCGAGTAATGTATCGTCGCCTGCACCTAGCATGGCTAGTGCCAGCAGCACTGACAGGAAACGAAAATTCACATGAAGAAATGTCACACCTGATGCTCGCATTTGTATAATAGTACGAAATAGAATTACATCAAATCCTCTCGACAATCTTCACTCAGTTTCACTGGGAATCGGCTCGTTATCGGTTGAATCAAGTATGTGATTGAAAAAGGTTGAAGCTCTGTGGTGGTTGACATCTCTGTCCGCACATTCGACAGACATTTTCAAACTCTCCAGCATTTCATGCTGATGTGTATATTATATTGATGCACAATGCAATTCTAGTCATTTACTCTCCAGGAGCCTCAATATGCCAAAGAAAACAGTAAAGACCCATAATCTATAATTTTACAAGCGACATCATGCCTTTGGGGATGGTGATATACAATGACCGACTTGCATGTAATCGCATTGGCTAGAGGCGGGACACTTCCACGCTCCATTGAGCCCTATAATTATTGAAAACGAAGGGTGTCTGTGGTCAGAGACACGTGGCAATATCAAAGATGTGTAACAGGTCCAGGTTACTTACTTGTGCAGCATATGTAAGACTTGCTATCGTAACAAAATCCAGCAGGTTCTGCTCCTCCACAACACGACTTTGATCCACAAGACTTGGCAGTACATCCAATTGGTGAGTGCATTGGCGATGGAGCTGGTGATGGAGTAGTGCATTTTCCAGGGTTTTTGTAGTCACAAGAGGAGTCATGTGCGCATTTCCATGAGAAATTCTCATCTATACTCAGAAAAGAAAAAATGATCAAAATTGACACATGGGTGTTGTTCGGTCTGAGAAACTTACAAGTACAGCAGTTCCAGTCTTTCTTGCTCATACAAAATGCGTCCTAAAAGTGATTCATAATGAAGAAATCAGTAATGATTCACAATAATATTAGAAATGACATCAAAAATGATCATGACCAAAATACATGCATGATGTTACGTACTTGTCGACTAGCACCACAACAGATGTCAGCCTTGCCAGCAGCTGCACATTCTGTATCCTTCTTGCATACTTCTCCGTATACGACTGTAAGCAAAACCGACAAGAGTAGGAGTTGTTTTAACATGCTTGCCATTTCCTTGGACGTGTCTGGAGTTGAAATATTGCTTTCCTCCGAATTTCGTTTGCTACGAATATTTTATATATAGGAGTCAAAACGTTTTTTCGTCGTCGACGTTTCGCTGTTTGTTCAAAAGTCAGCGAGGTGTTGAGGTTTTTTGAATTGCAGTGTTCTGACGGTTGACCTCGATAAGTTCTGGCCGACAGAAAGGGGACAAGTGCTAGACAGTATCCTTATTGCTTTCACAATGTGATTTCAAGTTTTGCCAAAGTGCAGAAAGTTTATTTAAGAATCGCGGCACTTAAAATAGAAACACGAATCATGCTCACGTTTTGGATGTTTGTAACAAGCTTCAACTAGTTTAGCCATTTCAAGTATTTTGACGCGTTAGAATTTATTGAATTTATTGTTACGCACTTGTTTATCTACTGGAAGTAACATTACCGGTCCTGTCTATCAAACGCATGCCTGATTATCATTCCACCATCCACGACGAGCGTAGTTCCATTGATATAGCTTGCTGCAGGCAGGCACAAACTCAGCGTGGCATGAGCGACCTCTTCAGGGTGTCCAAACCTCCCAATTGGAACTCTTCGTCTCGCATATCGTTCCTTCTCGTCAGTTTCCAGGAATTGTGTCAGGCCGGTGTGTATCGGTCCAGGACAGATAGCGTTGAATGTTATATTTCCCTTGGATCCCAATTCAGCAGCCAGGGATTTTGTCAGTCCGACAACACCGTGTTTTGATGCCGTGTCTACCATGTACTTGTGTCAGTTTTTGTACGGCTGATGATGCAAAAGTGCGCACACGTACAGGCTGCAAGATTTCCGGTTCCAACGAATGCTTCTGTAGATGCGATGTTGACGACTCTAGCACTTGGTGACTTTAATAAGTGTGGTAGTGCAGCGCGGATCCTAGTTTCAAACATCTCAGTGTCTTAAAGGGCGAATGTCGTAAACGACAAGGATGCTTACAGGAAGATGTGAGCATTCAAGTTGACATCCATGGTTGTATTCCACGAATGCAAGAACTTGTCCTCGGCAGACTGAGCACCACCTGGAATCCCAACACCGGCACTACAAAGTACAATAATACATGAGTTTGACGCAAGATCTTCAGAGATATTGCCAGGCAACCAGCCACTAACTTGTTAATGATAATATCCAATCTATGCCATGCCGACACGACATCCTCCACAAGCTTCTTCAAACCATCCTTGTCTCGCACATCCAGTGTGAAAGCAATAGCTCGATTTGGATGAACCTCGTTAATTCCATCAACAACTTTCTGGATTTGATCAGTATGCAAGTCTACACATGCAACGAAGATGCCCTCATCAGCAAATAGTTCAGCTGTAGCCTTCCCCATTCCTGATGCAGCTCCAGTTACAATGGCAACCATTCCTGCACATGATCGAGATAATTCTAATGAAGAACCCGGAGTTGGGTTAATGAGAATGTTTGAGAAGTGTTCATTGCAGGGTGTGGAATGTGATTTTGCGTACATACTTGTTAAACGTTTGCCAGCAGCACACAGATTCGAAGTAGAGCTAACCGCGTCATGGCCATTATTTTTATGAGGCTGGAAATGAGCGAGAGTCTTTGAGATACGGCTATGTGCCCTTGAGGAGTCCATTGCTACTATTAGAACCTCACGTTTTTGGTTGGAACACAAAGTTTCAACACGTCACATCCGGGTCAAGATCAGTATCAGTACTGCATTTAGTAAATGCCATTTACGTGATATGCAGTCGAAATATTCAATAATCTTCGTTGCTTTATCTTCTACCTTCGCTTGACACGTCTGCAAACAGAAAAAGGAGTTATCATTAGCAAAAATGCAAACAACATCATCCATATCCAACGAGCTTCAAAAACGAGGTCTCCCTGCTTTGCTACCACTTGGATCATCGCCATACCCAGCTCTAGCAAGCTCTGCTATCTGTAAAAACACCAAAGTTTCAAGCTCTTTTTTGGAAACTCAGATAAAACCGTGTCAATTGACTGTTATTGCTTTACAATAGGTGCGATATCGACATTACGAGTTTTACGAGGTGCATCAGGGTATCCGAATCTACTAGCTTCAGCTGGTTTTACCTTTCTCTTTGGCGGATGTGGGTAAGCAGACACCTACAATTTTGATGTTCAATTCATCACCGATTAATTGGGTCTCAACCACGATAGATATGTATTGACTCAGGATGTAAATAATGGACAGTCAACTGCTGTAGCGTGGGGTATATGCTATGAATCCTTGTTTCTAAGGCAAGCGCTTACAAGCAGGAAGCCAGGCCCAATAGCCGGAGCTGTGTTTGTTGGAGTGTCTAGTCTGATGTACTTGTCAGAGGTGCTTACTCGGGTGGCTGATTGAAGTTTGTATATCCTCATACGAACGTTGAGTCGTGAACCTCGACGTCAGCAATGTAACATATAATAACCACATTAACATTAACCACTCCCCGCAGACAGCATTGCCATCATTTGTATCTACTGTTCTTTATTATTATTATTTTCTATTGTACCAAAAGTTTTGCACCCACCAACAAACGAAGATCCAGTCCCAAAAAACATCAATAAAATAGGGAAGCCCCGGGCAATACCCTCCATCACCAGCTCATTAAAATAGTCTCCATTTCCCTCCCTCCTTTTTGTTGGTTTGAGTAATCAAATCCTCACTAGCTATATAATAATGCAATCACGACTTCTTTTAGCTCCAGCTTTACCGCCACTGGATGTCCTTTTTACAGATCTCGAAGCTTGACTCTTTGCAGCCAGCAGCGCCGTCTTTACAGATTGTTCAAATACTTGATCTACACCGACATTTAAGCGAGCAGAGCATTCTAGGTAACCAGCAGCTCCAACTTTACGAGCTACATCATAGCCCTATAAGAATTAAGAGTTAATACAGAGCGATTGCGACCGATCTATCAGCTGCAACTGCTAGACTATAATATTTCAATTCAACATTATCCACCCCCCAACAAGTTCTTGCCTGATCAGCGGTAATAGGAGACAACCCACGACCCTTTAACCTCGTTATGGTTTCAGTATTATTCCTCAAATCCGTTTTGCAAGCCACGAGGACATATGGCAGGCCCGGACAGTAATGCCTAACTTCAGGGACCCATTTGGTCGGAATGCTTGATAGTGATACGGGCTCGTCGACAGAAAAGCAAATGAGAACAATGTTTGAACCGGGGTACGAGAGGGTGCGTAGTCTGTCGTAGTCTTCTTGGCCGGCCGTATCCCAAAGGGCAACGTCCATGGGTTTTCCGTCTATTCTGAAGCCTTCCTGTGTAGATTGTACGAGGATGCGGTTATGTATTGAATGGTTGCAGTTTGCAAAGGAAACAAGGTTGTCCAGGGGAAATATCAGTGTCGCTATGGGTACCTTGACATAGTTTTCAAACACTGTTGGGGCGTATTCCTGTAAGGGCGATTTTGAAAAGTTCAAGGTCAAAACAGTGACAGTAAGAGAGGAATGAAGTTGTGCTGATCTGCCTACCTCTGGGAATACGCCCTGTGAAAAGACAATGAGCAGACAAGTCTTTCCACAAGCGCCATCGCCGACAACGACCAGCTTAGGCCTTGCTATTGTAGGTATGGCAGCAGAGGAAGCCATGCGATTGTAGCGGAGTCCGTCCTTGTTCAAAGTCGAGTCAAGATGGTTGATGCCCCAATGATGATGTATGTCAGGTAAGGGGGACAGATAGGAAGCAAGTAGCTGTAGTAATGTATTCTATAGTGCAAGACTGGTATGCAGTTAGCTTTTAAGAAGAAGCCGCATCAATTGAGCAAGACGGTTGGTTTCGGGACTGAGTGATTGTAACCCGACAAGAGTGATTGACAAGAACAATCGGACGTTCCGATTGCATGGCGGACATGCATTCTTGAAGCTTACCACTTTTATACTCTTGTATCCCAACAAGGCTGCTGACGGCTGTCCGGGTGTTGTATTCGCAGAAATTGTTTGATTTCGGTCTAGATTTGTTGGACAAAGACCGCAACATGCAACGCTTGAACGGAAAGTGGTAGACGTTCGAAGCTTGCAAAATCTCATTATATACACATATTCAACCACCATGGCTGTCAACAGTTAGCTATTCCACGAGAGCGCAGTTCTGAAAAGCGTGCGTGATGGATTCTTTGATCTCCTTCGTGTAGGCTCTAAAACAACTCCAACTTCAAGTCTCATTTGCGCGATCAACCGCATATCCTATTTTTGACAAACAGTTCTAGTCATCAAATGCAATGTATCATTCTCGATGGCTCACACTCGCTTTTTCAATTCCCGACAATCGTGCACCAAACTTGAAGAGCACACGAGGGACGTTCATACAATGAAGAGATCCGACTTTTCATTACAGACTGTTGTCAGGCATGTATTCTGATACCCCTTTCGCTTGATCTAGTGCATCCTACTCAAACCGTCATCTTCTACATTTTTTTGCTGCTCGAAAGCTCCAAGCTAACACACTGTACCATCATATAGGCCAAACATATGGGCTCTCCAACCATACAGAGCCGCAAGAGACGACTACTCGGACGGAATACTCCTCGATGCAAACGAAAACGCTCTTGGCCCTTCACTCCCTCCTTCATCAACCACACTCCAACCCATAGTCACAAACGCCATCGCCTCTCCTTCCTACTCGGACACCCATCTAGAACGCTATCCTGATCCCCATCAACAAGATGTAAAGGATCTCATATCCAAGCTACGCAATGTTCACCACTCAAACATATTTCTGGGGGTGGGATCCGACGAGTGCATTGATTTGGCTATACGAGTCTTCTGTAAGCCTGCTGCTCAAAAGGTTCTCATCTGTCCCCCTACGTATGGAATGTACTCGGTCGCTGCTCAAACTAATGATGTGCAGGTTGTCAAGGTCAACCTGAATGTCAAGGACGGTGCCTTCCAACTGGATGTTCCCAAGGTATGTGTGGGTCAATGTGTGAATGATTAGTTGGTGTGTAAGTGTATTAGCAATGTTTGAAAGTGGGCTGTAGATTTGTGACAAAAAATACAAAGAAATATACGACATGTATGCAGCACAAGCAACTCACACTCCTTGACCCACTAGATCCTAGATACAATAACAGCAGACCCATCAATAACACTTCTGATACTCTGCTCACCCGGAAATCCAACCGGAACACTATTGAAAAAATCAGACATTCAACAAATACTCGACTACACACCATACAAGGGTATCGTCATGGTCGATGAAGCATACATAGATTTCGTAGAACAAGAAGATGAAGAATGGGGTAGTTTCGTATCTTGGGTCCACCAGTATCCCAATCTGGTCGTCACGCAGACATTATCAAAGTCGTTTGGGCTGGCTGGCATAAGGTACGTAAACGTGAAAAATACAAAAAGAATCAGCATGAGGGAAGGCTTTGATAAATTCGATTTCTTGCACACATCCGTGCCTCTATCTTGGACACACATTCCCTCAACCACATCCACCCACCACATACTTACACTACACCCACTCTAGGTTGGGCCTATCCATCTCATCACCCGAAATAGCATCCATATTCAACAAGACCAAAGCCCCGTACTCGATATCCACACTAACATCCGTAATGGCCCGAGCAGCACTATCTCCAGACGGCGTATCACGAATGAAGAAATCAGTCTCAACCCTCATAAACACCAGAACCAGACTCATTACCCAATTATCATCGCTGCCACGGGTTGGCAGAGTACTCGGTGCCAATCATGGCAATTTCGTACTTGCTGAAATGCTGGATGCAAGTACGGGCCTGCCTAGTAATGAGGTTGCGTTGAAGCTGTACAAGACGCTGGCGGAAGTGGAGGGTGTTGTTGTGAGGTTTAGAGGAAGCGAGTATGGATGTGAAGGGTGTTTGAGGGTTACGGTGGGTACTGAACAGGAGAATGACGTGTTTGTGGCAAAGCTGACGAGGTTGCTTGATGCCAAGCTGTGATTTCATATCAGTACATGCAAACAAGGCCACGCTGCGATTTCATATCATACGTATAAAACAATAATTTCAAATAAAGGTTGGAAGTGTCTCACTGAATACCTTAATTGCAAAATGTTCTTTCAAGTATTTTTACAAAACCGGCGATTATGAAAATGCGAAAATATATAATCCAGCTAAAATAGCACATCACTTGCAAAACTTGTCACTTTTAAGCTTTTCTCGCCTCATGACAAGGACTTCGTGAAGATTACCCTCTCGTTCAGCCTGTTTTAGCAGCCCAACGTCAGAGACGACACCTGGACGATGCTTATTCCATGATTGGAATCGTTTCCTAGATCAGGTAGTTTGTGTGAGTATGTATATACAAGCCAAAAACAAACATGTTGTGAAAACGTATGAAAGACCATTCGAGTCTCGTCACCAACTTACATGTCTTCAGCTTCAGAAGCAGCCAAATCTTTCTTGACATCATCCTCTTTAGTCTTCCTTCTCTTTGACCGTTCAGCAGCTTGTACCTTGAAACCAAAAATATTAGTAAATACATAGCCATGTAGATTGACTTGACAATGGTATTAGTACCTTGACCTTCCAAACTTCACGAAACCCTACAGCATCTACATCACATCTAACGACTCCCTGCTTTTTCTTACTAGTACTCTTCTTGACTAGTGATTGTTTCTTTGTCTTGACATCCACGTGCTCATCATCTTCCTCATCCAGTATATCCTGTTCCAGTTTATCGTATTCGGCCGACAGGTATGTTCCATAGAATGACTTGAATGCAATTCCATCAGGGCGTAACAGCACCTCCCATTCCTCTTGTTGTCCCGCAGCCTCCGACTCACTCGATACAATCCCGAATTTATCTGCCGCGAGATAGCGTCCATATGCGGATTTGAGGGTTATTTTTGAAGAGCCTGCTACCTTGTTGCATACGAACACTTGGGATACGTCGTATGGGGTGGATGATTGCAGTGTTATATCCTTGGTATCGTCGTCCTGTTGTTCCAGCATTGACAAGTGGGTCTGGAATTTGGCGTTGGATGTGATTACGGAAGGGGGAGTTGTGGTGGATGATATGATGAATATGGGGCCGAGTAGATCGTCTTCTGTTTCTGCGAGTATCCAAGCAGCATTTGGATCAGCTGCTTTGTCTGATGATGGGGGTGGTTTACTAGAGCTTGAAGATGATGACTTTGGATGATCAGGGTTGTCTGCCTTTCTCTTTTTCTTGATGCTACATCGGTAAAATGTGTGAGAATGTTTGCGATGCACACCATGATATAGATAGTGGTGCATACCCCACAGGAGCTTCCCCCTTGAATTTAAGACGGTTTGGTTTGAGTCCCGACATGTAGTCACTGCCTGCCTACTATAGATGTAAGAAACGCAAAGTTGAATCTATCGCGAGTTTGGATGTTAGTGGTGGATTATCAGAGGCAGTCGAAACAAGGATGAAGGCAGGAATGAGTTTGATCAATGGCTACCTGGATATGGGTGGGCCTCTTATCAGCTGGCTTTGTCCTTCTTTTGCACGCTGCCTGGAAACCTTGAATCTATGATTTGAGAGAGCGAGCCGAAGAAACTAACATTGTCTATATGTCACGTAGATTAAGCTTTACATCATATTTATATACGTGTCAAAAGCAAATCTACTGTGTTGGAATGTCTAAGGAATCAGGAATATCACGAAAAGAAGCAACGCGACCATAATGTTTGGAGTTTGAACATTTCCACATACGAAAATCAAGGTAGAATCTGACCGCATAGATCCTCGCATAGATCATTCAATTTCATACAGCTATTTCGTTTTCAAATATCTTCATTTGAACTGGCTGGATCTACCATCACGCAGCAACTACCAACTTATGATGATCAAGAGCAAGAGCAGCGCCAATAATCTGTCAGAGTCCATCTACAAGGAAGAGGTCCTCCATCTGACTCAGCTCGTCCAGCAACTGGCCGTCCTCAACGATGCCACATCCACATCTGCAAACAACAACCCATCACCACCTACAAACAATACAAGTGCTATCGACTCGTCAAAGGAGAACAATTTAAACACTAGTACTAGTAACAATAATGGGCCTACCTCTGCAAGTGCTACCAACGTGGCCCAGATCGACAACTTTGACACCATCTCGTACATTGTATGTCATGTAGCAATGTTTACTCCTTATTGCTGATCAACAATTGAAACTTGGATTCCATTCTTCATCATACACCAATTCATTCCACACACTGGATCTAACCCGATACGCTCTAGATCAAGCAAATCTTCCAGTCTGGAAAACAAGAGGCATTCACAGACCAACTCAACCTGTTCATGCATCGCAAGGAAGGCGAAATTGAACGAATGTGTAACTTTCACTACCAGGAATTTGTACAGTCTGTAGACCAGCTACTCAAAGTCCGGGCGGGCGCTGTCGAACTCAAGAACAAGATACTCGAACTCAACCAAGAGTTGCAGGTCGCTGGTGGAAAGATGATTGAAAAGGTTGGTACTCCAGAATTGGATGTGTTGCTGTTGGTTGTGGTCAATCATTGTTCGCACTTGGCCAGCTCATCACCAACAATACACTCCACCCCATGTAATTACCCCCTCTTTTCTATGTAGAAACGTGAAGTCATTGACTACAGACGAAGAATGCTCAATGTAGAAACCACAATCGAATCATTCCAGAAATCCATGTTTGTCTTGGAAATCGCAAACAAAATCAACCTCCATATTGATAATCGAAAGTTTTATGCGGCTCTACGAGTTAAGCTTTGAAGGAATTGGCATTTGAAAACGATTATTATACGCTTGAAAACATTATTTTTTTCTCGTTCGGCTGACACGTGAGCTTTTTCTTTCTAGTTGCTTGACGAATTACAATCAACACATTTGAGGACATCGAGACAGCATGAGTTTGCAAAGCATATGTGTGAGTGATTGCGTACCTTGCAAAGATTTCCTTTCTTCGCTGACATATTCGCTCTTCACTATATAGTGGAATGTATACCGAACTTACGTGAAAACATCAAGGAGGAAATATCAAAAGATATGAAGGATTGGCTAATCAAGTAAGCACCTTTTTAATGCGTGGACATGAGCCAAATGAAGCCCGTATATATATGCCTACAACTAGTTGAACGATTTTGATCACATTATTCAACCAACACCTAATCCATGTTCTAGTGTCAGAGAATCAACGCGCAAGATTGGAAAACTGTGTCTCGAATTAACTGCTGTCTCTCAAGTTCGAAATCGAATGAGGAAATCACCCTCAGAGACACTGCCTGCCGCCAAAGATATAAGAGACAAGGTTGTGAGTGCTGAAATGCTGGCTGTTGATGATGGTGAAAGTGAGTGTCAGTATTCGATTGGGCAAATTCTTTGGGAGATTGCAGTCCAATATTTCGGTCGAATGGATCATGGTCAATTGTGGACGAGGATGTAGCATTATTTTTTGTCTCAAAGTGTTGGCCTGGTGCTTCCAAACCTTGACATATTAGGATTTGAACTTTTTTGGTTTGCTGGCTTTATGAATAACAATTTTTCTTGATTAACAGTCTAATCTTTTGTTCATAGCAAACATACTGGACAACAAACACGTCAAATTGGATTTCAAACCGTTGCATTCCTGTTTGCACATCTATGATGCACTTGGAAAAAGGAATGATTTCAAGAGAAATTATGAAGACAGTCGAAGGGTACGTCCCTGTTTCCCAAAAACTCTGGGCATTCGAAACAAACCACCATAACTATTCTCCCGTGAATGCCTGTATAGTTACAAGCCAACCTGACCATCTCAACACCATTCTCGCTCAAAAATGATGATTTGGCTGGATTTGAAACCTACTTGCAGGATGTCATTGGCTTTTTCGTCATTGAAGCTATAGTCATGAATACTACAGAGAATTTCAGATCGAGAGGGAGTGTATGTGCTTGAATTAATTTGTCATATATTAAAGTTGCTTTTTTTAGCTTTCTCTGTACTTACAATCACTTTCTCTACGCAGGTTGAGGCATTGTGGGAAACAGCCATGGAAAAGATCAAAACAGTCATTCGAGACTCGTTACAGGATTGTGAAAATCCTGAATTGTTTTTGACAATCAAGATTCGATTGACGATATTCATACAGGCCCTTGAGGTAGGCAAGGAGGCTTCTGCTCGTTTTCTTGCGATTTGCTTTTCTCATCATGAAAGTTTTGGAATTAGAATTATGGATACTCTGTATCGAAATTGACGGACTTGATCATATCACTGTTTGATCGATATTCGGAAATGATGAAGACCAAGTGTAGTGAAAGTGTTTCTGAGGTATGCTCCCAAAACAAGAACCTGCATATAATTGGCATCCATATTCAAATTTCGAGATGATAACTCAACCCTCCGGACGTAGCTGATTGACTCAGACGAGTATTCACCACTGACAATCAACAATTATGACGAGTATGAGCAAGTCAACAAGGCCTTTACGCTACGTGAAGATATTCAGAAACAAAACCAGAGGTATTTGTCACAAGCATATCGCGCTTTTTGCATTAGTGATGCTGACCTCGAAAACAACAATTGTAGATTCCCAAGAATTGTTCCATTCTCACGAGGCTTTCCTCAATGCTGTGAACGAATACAGGCCTTCATCACTGGATTCTACCGTTTCGCTGAAGGATTTTCTACACAGTATGGCGAGATGGATGACTTGCTAAAAAAAGTGAGATCATTCTGATACCTCGTACAGGAGAAAATGTCGTTCGTTACATGTCTGATACCATTTGATTTTCTAGTCTTTGGAGAGTCTGCTTATTCAGCACGTGAATGGGGCTTTGTTACGACAGCTGAGCTCGAATAATCTTTCTGCTGCCGTCCAAATAAGAGTGAATTTGGATTATTGGGAGATGGCTTGTCCGCAATTTGAAATCTTGCTTCAAGAGAGGAGGTATCAAACGACTAGTCCAGAAATATGAATTGATGCTGGATTTTGATGACTTGTTGACGCAATCTAATCGAATCATTCCACATTTAAAAAAAGGTCGGCACATAGAGGTGGTCGAGTGGTGCTACAAGCTCAACAAGCATTCAGGAATTCCAAGAAGGCAGCTGAAACTAGGATAACAGAGTTGATTAATATCAAGATTGATCAGTTGTTAGAGTTGGCCGATTATGAATGGCAAGTTTCCGTGTGATACATTTGAGTCCATAGCAGTCGTGTTTTTTGCTGACCATTATCAATTTGCGTTTTGCTCTCAGGACTCCAGCACATGCTCCAGCTCAACCTAGCTCATATTTGTCAGACGTGGCTGATATCACCACCACCGTCATTGCTTCTACCGTCACAAATTTACCTCCTGATGTCCAGGCTTTGGTGTATCTGGAGACATTTACACGTAGGTTCCTACTTGAGCAAGACACTTATCCGTGCGTAATTCAGCATTTGTTGACGATTCTATTTTTTTTTAGATTTGGCTGAAGCACTCATGGCAAGTCCCTTTGATTACACGACATATGCCAAAAAAAGTTCCGACTTAGTCATGGTGTCTCTAACCACTTCTTCTCACATTCTAGCAACTCATGTTGAATCCAGGTGTCAAGAAACTGAATGTGAATTTTATTTCGGGATTTGCTGTGGACGTCAACTTTCTGAAACGGTTTGTGTTGGGCTTGGGTATGCCTAATCTGGCCGATGCGTTTGAAGAGTTGATTCAGGTATGAATCCGTGGGACATAATCAGAGTCTTTTTTTTTGTTTTAGACTGATCAAAGCTAACCTCTATGATTTTATCTGGTAGACTCTATCATTCTTACGCGTCGACAACTATGAGCCATATCTGGTTTCAGGAGTACGAGAACAAGTGTATCCTAGGATGAGGACATCGAATGCTGTCGTCTTACTCGAAAAGTGAGCCTTGTACTGTTTCCCTTCTTCTTCTTTTTTCCGGCACAACAGCACATCTCACACATCCTTATCACAAAAAGGATTCGTGGTGAAAGCAATACAGTATTTGGTACCTTCCAAGGCACACCTGCAGAAAAGGCAAAGAGGAAGACTTTGGAAACTTTGATCAAGTTGATGCGTGAGTCTATGGCTCGTCACCAGTCCAGTGAACCTAGTACTCCTGTTACGATGAAGAGTCCAGCCTGGTATTCTTGAAAAGTCAGGGTTTCAGTAGTTACTTGTGTTTTGTATGTACTTAGCAATTGCTGTATATAAAAGAGCATCATCAATTCTCTGTTTACGTGCCACGGGGGCTGTCGATTCTTCAAAGGAAGACAATATCAATACTAGCACTGTATGCAACAATAATGGTCCTAGTGCTGCAAGTGCTACTGATGTGGCCCAGATCGACAATTTTGACACCATCTCCCACATTGTATGTTATCAACACAGTGTCTGTCTGTTGATCAACTATTGAATCGTCTTCAAAATACATTGTAAGCAATTTCAGCATAAGTCAAATGTACGCGTCGTCGAACGTATACTGACCAGACCATATTGCCACACTTTGATCTTTGGATAATCAATGACAAAGAAATTGGAGTACAGAGATACTTTACGACCTTGTGTGCCATAATTTGGGCATTGAACAGCTTGGCCGAGAGTTGAATCTTGCGATGCTGGTTGTTTGTGAATTGGGTTTGGACTCTTGGCAAGCACCACCTGGATGCCGGTGCCAAGCATGCTTTGATTCTCTTTATGTAGTAGTGAAGGTAAGGGAGTATGAGGTTTATATGTCGACGTTGTTTTGTGAAGTTTGAAGCGTTGATGTTGGGAAGTAATCGACCATAAGGTGTGAGAAACGACAAATAGACGACATAAACACGTTTTTAAACGACAGTTAAAAAGATGCCGTCGTGTTCAGCAAGTAGTAGTACTTGAAAGGCTACGTGATCGGGTTCAACTTTGGTGGTTTGTTCAAAAGTCATGTTTCAAAGTCTCCAATCTTGAAAGAATCGCGTTTGGAGCTGGGTTCACGTAGTTGCGTGCAAGGCGTGCAAGATGCAAGCCAGCTCTCAGACGTGGTCCGTCTTCGATTCACCCTCATGTATCGTCACTCTCTGTTTAAGCACATTTCACAAACCAAGTCAGACTCACTGTATCAAATTTACGAGCAGTTCTAACCCGCGCTTCAATGATCCTTAGATGGTGCTTCAATATCGACACGTGGACTCCGTCTGAAAAGGCAAGTTTCATGGAATAAATCGCAAAACTGTGCCTCAAAACTCACATCTTAAATTAGGAATTCGAGACCATTCTAACATATATTGAACCTGAAGAATGCATTCGAATCCGCAAATTCATGTACAAAATTGACGCTAGACGTGCTAGCATTGGCCGATTGCTACTCCGACAAGCTGTGGCAACAGCAACATCAAACATTACCTGGAAGGAGATTCTCATTCAGAGGAGTGACGCTGGGAAACCGACTCTGGTACAGATACCTGGTTGTACTATGACTCCAAAGGTATTAATCTCGGAATTAAATCAACCTTCCTTCTGTTAGATCTCACCAACACTCCCAACATGGTCATTCAACATCTCACACCACGGATCATACGTAACACTATCCGCTTCAACAACATACCCAGAAATAGGAATAGATATTACCAAAGTAGAATTCCCATCCGGCGCTTCCAACATTCCAGAATTCTTTGACTCGTTACGTGGAATCTTTACGCCGTTTGAATGGAGTGTTATTGAAGCTCCACTTACTGGAATAACAAAAGAGGATGCAGATTGGCATCACTTGCACCTGTTCCATTGCCATTGGGCTTTGAAAGAGAGTTATACGAAGGCTAAAGGAATGGGACTTGGTTTGGATTTGAGTAGGATTGAGTTTAGGAAGCGGGATGGTGTTTGGTTTGATGGACGTGTTATTGGAAGGAATGTGAAGGATTTACCAAATACTATGGTATGTACCTGTAAAGTTGTTTGAGGTGTTTTGTTGAAACACACACTGGAGAATCTGTACCCTTCCGGTTTTTTTCCAACCTTTAAAAGACTCCTACTGTCAAAACAAACTCATCTCTCATAAAAACTAGGCAGACATCAAAGTATATCTAGACGGTAAATGCGTCACAGACTATTGCTTTGAACTCTCATATTTGGACCCTACTCATCCTGTATCTATCGCATACGGACCAACATCTACACTCGAGCCTTTACAATCATACAAAACACTCACAATTCAAGATCTGATACATAATGCACAATCACTTGTAAAGCAATGATTAAATAAAACAAATCATATAAACCTGCCAAACCTATATTTCTTCGCTACAGAATCCATTCGCAACAGCCAATAATAAGTAAACACCACAATACAATATAATTTGTACACGTTTTTGGTTTATATTTCGTTAAAGTCTCTAGAAATTCTTTGAATTTTTTTTGTGTGTGTTTAAGTGAGTATGCATGACGCTTCAACAAGACCAAAAAAATCTTCTCTTTTGCATCGAATACAACTTAAAAAGGCAAAATCACGCATGGTGAATGCCATTGCCGTTGGCAGAGGAGGGTATGGGCTCATAATCGACCTCCCAGCGATTTTGAGGAGTAGGACGATAGAGCAAGTATATGGGAAAGGCAATCATAGATACTTGTAGTATCGTTACTACTAGATTCACTCCCCAATACTGCCCATGCATGAAATTAAGAGCAATATATGATAACAGATACTGTGAAAATGGAACAGGAGAAAGAATGTGTTAGAAATTCGACGTGATAACACACCATCCATGGAAGACTCAACAAAATAGGCAGAATATATGTCGTTTATTGCTTACTTGTATCAGATTGAAGCCACCTGCTGCCAAGTTCATGGTTCCGTATACTCGGCCAAAAGTTACAAATCCAAACCTATGAAAAACGGTCGTGAACACTTCAAGATAGCATACATATTCAACGGGGGTGATTTTGCTAATTTCCAACTCGCATTCAATTTTTTCAAACACTTACGTTTTACCACAGTAATCATTGCCAGTGGTATAAACTAGCGGCCTCAAAAGAGTAAAGAACAAGGCGGTGACATATTGTAGTTGCAGATTTGGTATTATGCTGAGACGAAGAGAAAAAAAGAGTCGTCAGTCTGCAACGTCGTGCGAAAAAAATATCGATAATTTCAGCTGCATACCCTAGTATTCCAAAACTCAGACCAAGGCCTGTCAAGACGAATATCACTGTACTTGGCGTGTAGTTATCGAGTAACAATCCAATGAATGGAATGGCCACTGAGAGAAGAAATAGGGTGATTAGCATGATAATTAGTCTCGACGCACTGATCAAACAACAGCAAGGTCGAATGAACAAGCAAAATGTACTTACGTATACCCCCAGCAGGTAACGCCACATTGAACAAATTCAAGATGGAATCCACTACACAGATAAAATCCAGCGTGAGTTTTAGATTGGTGGGTCTGCTCAGGTCCAATCATTTGTTGAAACTAATCTTTTTTTGCTTAATCCACCACAAAAACCCTTTAATCTCAAATTAAACATACCAAGTTTTGGGTTTTGTATGGCACCAGGCTTATCCAACAACTGTTCTTCCAAACTTCCAATAAAAAAGTTCATCTTGAGCATATAAATGCAAGTCAAACTAGCAATTCCAATAAACTCGGCACTCCTGAGTTGTTTGAAGACTAGAGCCGTGGTAGTATCTTTACCAGAAGCCTCTGTCCGGTCAATAAGGGGTCTCGTTTCATCCTCTACATTGTCGTCATCACCCAGCGGTGTTAAGGGGCGTGGAGTAAAGGACGTTGTTGGCATTAAACAGTTCATTGTGATTCCAATTGCGATGGGGACGATGGAATAAAAGATAAAGAAGCGTTGAATGGGTATCGTTGAGCCTAGTGCATAATATATCCACTATAAATGGTTTGAGATTTAGAGGTCCAATGAGAAAAAGTTCGCAATTTGGCAGGTTTCAAAGCGAGTAGGTTGCAGTGTTTAGTCGATCGAAAATGCTGTGAATGCAACTCACACTAAAGATGAGGTAGATTAAAGAGGAAGCATCGAATGAGCCAGTCAATGCTGCCATGATGAGACCCGCTCGAGCTGGGAATGCTTGTGACAGATGCATACACTATGAGCGATTTGGAAATGGTTTGAGACCCTGCAAAAAAATACAAACTTGCATTCAGATGATTACCGAAATGTACATGAATGGGCCTCCAACAGCCAAGAAGGCATATCTAGGATGATTGAGTAGGGGTAAACCATGATCAAATGCGACGAATGGCAGCAACTAAACAGGGTGCACATACCCGACAATGTAAAAGTCAAAAGTAGGACTGGATATGCCAAACAAGACACCTCCGATTAGAAACAGGAAGGAACCGACGAGGATAGCTAAACGTGGACCGAAATAATCCAAGAAATGACCAATCGGGAGTGCAAAGACCTAGAGCGAGTAGTGTGTGTTTGGATGTATGAGTGACTTGACTCTTTCTTCGAATACGAGGGTCGTTGTCATACATTTGTGCCAGTTGAGGCGATGGCAAACATAAGATTGAATCTTAGAATTTGAGCGGTACATGGCTGGTTGGATGATGAAGTGAGTGAACACGTGAGTTGGGAGTGAGTAATGATATCGAGTTGACCGATGTACCTTTTCCTCATCAGCGGCACATAGATGATCGTATACGCCATTTTCGATAAGAATAGGGCGTAGTGCTTGGAAACTGTTTGTGTGTGTGAGCATTGAGTGTTTGCCAAAATAAACTGTAGATGTGAAGAATTGGCACATACCCAAATACGACGCCAGCAGTAGTGAGGGCAGAGAATACGGCCAAGACTGGGTTGAGGAATGAATGCAGATTAGCATCATGAGAAGTGTCTGATGACAGTAGACCAGCATTCTAGCATCTAAACATTAGACTTGTTGAGACAGCTTACCGACAAGGATGAGTCTCTGAGTGGGACTGTAGTCTTCAGCGTAAGCCATGGTGATGAATGAATGTCGCTTCTTCAAGGGCGACGCATTCTTGTCGTTCGATATCGCTGCACTAATTCGAGTCGGCAGTTCAAAGGGAGTAAAGGGAGAGAAGGAACGTGTGAGTTGTTATCCGCTGCAAAGCCTAGCTTGGAGCCCAGCTAATAAGACTTAATATTTGTATTTCTTACATAATAGAATCAGCTACATTCTACGTACTCTTACGTGATGCTTGCTTCAATCTATTATTATACACTATTTGTTCGCCAAGGCATCCACCTACAATGAGCAGGCAACGCAAAGGTACACCTACGGTCGAGATCGCTGGAAACTTTGGCACGGATCGCCGCAAAACTGACGATCATGTCACTGTTCGAGTAAGAAGCTGGCTAGTTAGCCATCATTGGTGCAATGTTTTGACTTTCTAAACTGAGTCCCTAAAACATTCATGTTACATAGCAATCACATATTAAAATCGCCATTCCAAATTCCCTCAAAGTACGACTCGCTACTGATTATGACCACATCCATTCGCATCGCAAGGTACATCAACACATTCTCCAAAAATCGGATTGCCATCACAAATGTCAATGTCAGACTCATTCTACCGAACGATGTCTCATAAATACACTCATTTCATACACTAGGTCATGGCTCTCCCTGCAAAGCATACCGTAGATGACATCCTCGAAGCTTACACAAAGTCAAAACCGACAATCAAAATCGACCCCGAACTCCTCGCTGAAGCCATCAATGGTGTAAGGCTCTACTTTGATAAAGGACTGGCTACTCAATTACTATACCCGAGTGAACGCAAATATCATGCGAAAATCACAAAGAAATTGTCGGATCAGGAGGCTTCTTCCATATGTATGTTCGGCAGCTTTTGGTTACAGGGATCAATGGCACCTCCTTGTTGTTGGAATTCATTAAAAAATCATATTGGATAATCCTCACTCACAAAACATCATTGCCATCCAGATGGAGCTGAACATTTACTACGATTGTTTGTCAACCTGCCCACTCTACTCGCCGAAACATCTATAGACTCTGAAACCATGGAGATACTGAAGGCTCAACTGTCTGACTTGCTGGCGTAAGCACTTCAACTTGGTTCCGTTAACTTACAGTTGCTGATTCTACATCCAAAAACAGGCACATTGAAAAGAAGGCAGACCAATACTTTGCCGCAGAATATACTATAGCTGCTTGATTCTATACATGGGCAATGCCCATGCGGCTCGAGTTGTAATATATAAAAATTTGTATTTAATGAAAGACAGAATAACACTTGAGCTTTGGAAAAGCAGACTTTAGACACGACTTTGACTCCAAACTTGACTATACACCACAGAAAAACCAGACTTCATGATGAATTTACAATCTAGGAGATTTTTTAGGTGGAATCCAGGACGGGACATTGCAAAACATGTCCTACAGAAAACGAGACTTAATGACGATGCCCCAACGAACCCATTTCAAACATTCAATACTCACCAACGGGTCATATTTCGCCTTGATCTCAGCAAGACGATCCCAATGAGCCATAATGGTCTTGGATACATCGTTCATTGTTGCTGCTCCTGGCGTGTTGATGACATCTCCAATAGACCCTGCGTTGAAAAGCCTTGTTAAATTTGAAGTACGCAATGAAGCTATAATAATTGTGGAACAGACAAGAAATGCACACATTCTTACACTTTTGCATGGATTCATAATACCCATTAACCCAAGTTGAGACGTCATCACGATAGTCCGGAGAGTCAAAACCACCCATAATCAGCACCCAATAATCAGCATTGCGGTGAACTAGAGCACAAGCATCCGATGGTGTATCCTGTATTCAACGTGACTGGTTTGGAATGCAGGACAACCAACGCTACAATGCCGCAAGAGTTACATACTCGGATGGCACCATCGAAAGGCAACAGCACAATGTCGCAATAGCGACCTTCCTTCCAGGGGGCCTTCTTTATCCAGTCAGCACACAGTTTCAAGGCTTCTGGAGTCAGATCTTTAGCCAAGAACGATTTCTAACAATGTGAAAGTGTTACATTTATAGAAGAGATATTTAAAGAAACGATGTAAACATACTTGGTAATATCCTCGTCCACGTGGATGCGTTGCATCACCTGCCCGCTGGAATTCTCGATACTGGCTAACCGCAACCATATCAGCCAACGGCTTTTTCCCTGGCAAAAGGTTTCGCATAGGTTGCAATAGTTTCTTTCCGTCCTCTTCCGAATCGCCAAAGTATGCGGGAAAGACACCAGCCATAGCGCTTCCTTGGCCGTCTGGTCGTAACATGGCTCCAACAACAAGATTCCTTGGAGCGTTTTGAGATGCTGGTAGCCATTTGTTTAACAGGGCTTCCGCGTCCTCGATCGAATACAAGATTGGGCCAGCAATCACGGTGCGGAGGGGATACAAGCGTATAGTCATACCTAGCAGTGCGGAAAAGCATTTCAGTCAATGAGTTCGACATATCAATGTAGACGGACTTACGTGTGCAGACTCCAAAAGTGTGCCCTGCGCCTCGAATACCGAAGAAGAGATCCGGATTGATGTCGCGAGAAGCAATCTTGACTGAGCCATCGGCCAAGACAAACTCTGCTGAAAGCAGATTGTCTATGGAGAGGCCAAACGAGCGCGCAAGCCATCCCCAACCACCACTGGAAGAGAAAACGAGAGTTGAGTAAAAGCAACGAGTATATTCGAAATGCAACGCTCGTACCCTAAGATCAAGCCTCCAACACCTACAGAATGAATATTGGGCAACGGTGAGTAGCAATTGATTGACAAATAAGGATTGTGAGAGTAACGAGCAAAGTACCAGTATCTAATACAACAAACGTCAGTAAATGAAAAATAAACAAACCGAAACGACACTATATACCAGAATTCGTTCCAGCGGTAGTGACCAAATTATACTGCGAATTAGCATGATCCAAATCTCCATTGCGAGCTCCTGCCATTACAGTAGCAGTTCTAAACAAACAATTTCAATTCAATGAGCATGTCAAGACGTACGAATGTTTGCAGATTACACACTTTGCGACCGGATCCACAAAAACTTGACGCATCTTGGACAAGTCGATACAAACTGCGCCGTCCTTCATCTAGTTGACAATGAAATTGTGTCAGTTTGTCCCATGTCACTGTGTTGCTTCTCATAGACCTCACGCAACGAATGCCGTGACGACCAGCAGCAACTGTTACATCGAGATTGTGTTTTGCACAGACTGTAGAAGATTAGAGGAACAGTTAGGTTGGAAAGATCACTGTCTAGAGTCAAAGCTGTCTCATAGCACTCACATTTGACAGCAATTGAGACATCATGGGTGTTGGTGCATTGAATGAAGGCGAGAGGACGAGCAGTTACATCCGAATTCCAGACCTATAATCAAAAGATTTAGGACAAATATGCAAAGATATAAAGATTAAATCTCGTCATACATCTTTCTGATTTGCTTCATACTCTGGTTCTCCAGGAAGTTGCACAGATGCCGCACAGTTTCCAGCACTGTTCAGGTGAGATTTCAGTTCGGCGATAGCAGCGTCTGAGGGAAGCGTAGTAGAACAGTTCCTCATCGTGGAATCTAGAGAATTTGGCAAACGGTCTCAGGTTGGAAGAGACTGAGAGTGCAAAAGAGAGGAGACGCTGCGTGCGTCGGTTTAAACAAATTTGTCCAGAATCTACAACAAAGGAGGTAAATCAAGAGTTCATCCAATAGATAACAATTTACGCGTATCCAAGGTGTCCAACGCTACAAAAACACCTGGGAAAACTCGCGTGAAAATTGTGGAACCTCAAGTTTCTGAACTTTCATTTCCATCTCCAGTGGGCACAAACAACTTGGATATACAATACGAAGCCGTTTCGTTTCATTCGTGATGAATTATGTCACAATGCAATCAAAGCTGCCGATCCAGATACAGTATTAGGATATAATTGACAAGACAACAAATAAGCCAAGCACTCTGACTCACGCTATTGATGAGAGTATGGAGAACTTGAGTTGGTTATACGATGCCATCGAGTGCTTGAATAAAGATTAGGCATACAAATCACATTTATAAATCAAATGTATACTAAAATACAAAGCAACTAGTGAAACTAGGCGCTAGTTGTGCAATTCCATATATAAGTCCCATCCACCGCGCCGTTGTCCGGCATCCCATGATTTTTTTTCGCCAACACCAACTTCGATACCACAACCCGATAGTATCTGATCGACATATATCCAGAATTTGTAACTCTCATCATTCTCAAACACTCTATTCGACCGAACGATAAAGTACACCTCAGGTTCTGGGTTCACTGCTCTAAGCCAGATGTTGGTCCGTCCATGTCTTGTCATGAGATGTAAATGATAGTTAATGAAGTCGGCCACTACGTTGGCCATGTTTGTGTAGATATTGTTAGGAGTAAACTATCATTCGTTTTTCTTACCCTTTTCTTTCAAACCAATTGGAGCCGCATTTCCAACTGATTTTGAGACAGTAATGATGTTAGTATGCTTTGGATTACATAGAAAACGACACGATAATACCTTGCGTCATATCTGTCGCGACTCGCGTAAGTTATATAGTGATGAAGTGCGTGTTTGGAGGTGCTTAAGGTTGTTGGCCAGCCAAAGTAGGGAATCTTGCTAATGATTTTAAATTGCGACTCATCGCAATACCAACTTGCAGATAGACGCGATATTAAGGCGCTAATGCCTACAAATTTATTATGGCAATACTGAATATCACATTGAAACTCACTCAAATCCAATTCAAATACGCTACCTGCAGATCCCAAGATTGCTGCCATCCTCAACGAATGGGCCCACGAAAAAAGGCAGCACGCCCAAAATTGCCGCAAATATGATATTTGAGTAGTAGAGAGAGTGGCGAAGAAGGCGGAAACCCGCACGGCAGAAAATATGCTGCAATACCGGCGCTGCAGTGGTATATTTCAATCCTAGTTGAGAATTGCAACTTGCTTCTTGAAGGTTGTAACATTCAACGTCCTTCAAAGGTCCACGTAACTGCATCGGACAGCAATTTGCTCTGAACGAGGAGAAGGTCGTAGTAGCTAGGTAAGATTGCATCTACGTTGTCTTGAACCTGAACTCTAGTCTCATCAATTCCTCAATTCTAGCTTGCTTCTAAAGTATCGATTCTCTGTTGACGATGAGTATCCCGCACCAAAACCATTCCCATTGCTTGTGCTGAGGTCGATTAATGGGATTGTAGTCAAGCTCCACAAGAGATAAACCATTGCACTCACAGTCGCTATCTCTCGGCTTAGTTTTGTTGACGGCTTTCGAATTTTGCAGCATGTTGGATAGTGCTAGAACTCATTTCCATTTGTATTGAAGAGAGAGAGCCGAATATAGTCTATGTGGTTGTAAGCATTCGGTATATCGCAGTGTTGCACCACATTAGCAATACTAGCAGGCGTTCATCGACCACGTCTTTACTCGTTTGCGGTTGACGGCTTCACGGCTTCCATTCGTGGCATTCACGAAAATCACCTGGAAAATCACGAGATAAATTCTTTATATGCGTGCAATGATCTGAAAGAGCGGCTTGTGTTTGACACAACAAGATTCACCAAACACGGACAGTTTTGCTACACGGTCGGTGCTTTCTGACTACGTGTACATAATATAAAGCCAGGAAATCGCTCTTCTGCCCCCTTTGGTTGATTGAAACGCGACAAACCTTACAAACTTGGGTCGTTTTCTTGGAGACAAGGATGGGAACTCAATCTAAAGCATCACAAGTAGCTGGTGCCCTGGCCATTAGTCTAATTAGCTATGGAATCTATTCATTCCTTGTGTTTTGGAGGAACCGTTCTGCGTATATGAAGGAAATTGACGGAATTCCGGGGCAGGTCGTAAGTTTTCAAGCCTGCCTGTTTTTGATAGTATTCATTTGCACTTATATTGATTCGTACAGATATTCATTAAACTACTCTCTTCAATCCTACTAGTATAATGACGTCTTTGGAGAACTTCAAAAATCTAACTACGGTGGTCCTGAGACTGAGCTCGAAGGAACACTGTATGCCGGCAAAAGATTTGGTGGAATCCGGAGAACGTGGACCGGACCAATCCCGAATATTAGGTATTTTGATTGATCTCTACGACAAAAACAGGATAGATTTGCTAGATTGCTAAATTGTTGTCCTTTTTGTTATTCAGCTTATGTAAAGCTGAAACGATCAAGGAAGGCTTTCGGGTCGCAGATCCAAAGTCGTTCGTTTACGATTACCTGAAGGAGTGGTTGGGTCTTGGGTTGCTGACATCGGAAGGGGCTCTGTGGAAGACGAGACGTCGTCTATTGACTCCAGGTTTTTCTTTGTGCTTCTTGCTCCCTAAACTCCCAATTCTCACACAATCCAATCATTCTTGCGTAGCTTTTCACTATGAGATACTCCAGCCGTATGTCGAAACATATCAGCAATGCGCAGACGTCTTGATTCAAAAGTGGGAGGCTACTGCAGAGACGAATGGAACCGTAGAATTGTTTCACGATATTTCGCTACTTGCTCTGGACATTATACTCAGATGTGCCTTTTCGTACGAATCTGGCGCCCAAGATAAGGAATCTGAGTATATAAAAGCCATTTATCTCTGGTCTGAATTGCTGGCCAAACGAGCCGAGAACCCTCTGACCATCTTCAATGTCATTTGGTATTGTACTCTTGATGGCCAACGGCAGAAAAGAGCATTACGACTTATGCACAAGACTGCTCGTGATATTATAAGCATTCGGCAAACGGCTCTGAAACTGAATGGGTTGGAGGATGTGGTTGCGGGACGAAGGCACAAGGACTTTTTAGATATACTTCTATTAGCCAGAGATGATAATGGGAAGCCATTGTCGCAGAAGGACGTTGAAGACGAGGTATGAAAACGAGAATGGAGTTTGGGTGACTTTCGAGCTACCACAAAATCAAACCTACTTCTTTTATAGGCCAACACCTTCTTATTCGAAGGTCATGATACCACGACGGCTGGAATCAGCTTCATCTTGTATTCTCTCGCCTCTCACCCCGAATATCAGGAACGAGCCTACCAAGAAGTGAAAACTGTATTTTCAGCAACTCCGAATAATCGTCTATCGCACGTCGACTTGCAATCATTCCCATACCTGACTCAATGTATTAAGGAGTCAATGAGACTCTATCCACCAGTACCCGGAATAGCAAGACGCTCGACCGCAGATATGCATATAGATTATGAGGGCAAGACTTATCGAATTCCTAAAGGATCTAATGTGGATTTGGGAATCTTTTCCGTGCATCGGCAGGAGTCACACTGGCCTCATCCAGAAGTCTATGATCCGGAACGGTTTAGGTAAAAGTGAAACGATTTGACGGTGTTGGTGTTTCAACTTTAGCGGCCTTTAACATGAAGCTTTGATGATTAGTGCTGATGGCCAGCGTGGTCGGGATCCGTATTCCTTCGTCCCGTTTGCAGCAGTTGAGTCTTAACTGTCAGCTTTGGCGTTTCGTATTTGAAGCAGATTGTTTTTGATAATCTATTATGGAAATCTTATACCCAATCCTTTTTATAGGTCCACGAAACTGTATAGGACAGCAATTTGCGCTGAACGAAGAGAAAGTAGTCGTCGCTAGGTACGTTGTCGTGTAGAACAAAATGGTATCATACATAATATTCACAAAATCTAACCGGCTCATTCACTTTAGCTTGCTTCGCAAGTACCGATTCTCGGTTGATGATGAGTGCCCGGCACCAAAGCCCTTTCCGTTACTGGTACTGAGGTCTTTGAATGGAATTGTGGTCAAGATCCACAAGAGATAAATCACGCCAGCTACTGGTTATGACCGTTATGGTATCGATCGAAACATCTTGTTGCTGCACTCTTTACAAGTCGCCTCGTGCTGTTTGATGTGGGGTTGACGTGCTGGCATCTTAACCTAAACAAACTGTCGCGTTGGGCAATTGCCGGTATTGAAAATGATCTCGATTGTATTGAAAATGGTCTCATATTGCATTCAATACACCTATAATCACGTCTCTTTTAACATTTTGTCTGTTTTGTTAGTTTAACAAATTTCCGAACTTTCAAATATCAAAAGTCGAGCTAAAGTCAGTGGTTTTGACGTATTTGACGCTTGAAACACTTGCCAAATGATGGGAAAAAATTAGTTGAATTCCTGGTCACGTACAGCGCTTCCACTGCAACTCGAACTGAATTTTAGCCTTTTTTTTTCAGGAATTCCAACGACTACGCAATTCGCAACATACACACCAATAACCCACAAAGAGCCTCTTCAAGACAAGTAGCAACTCTGTAGAGACCCAATACAGATAAAGGCATCAATAATAATCGAAACAAGCTCTTGGAACGCATCGAGTAAGACCAAACAGAATGGGTGATCGTGGATATGGGCGAGGTGGATATGACCGCGGATATGGCCGTGGGCGTGGAGGTGGTGGCGATCGTGGTCGAGGAGGTGATGAAGGTCGTGGGCGAGGCGGTGATCGTGGTGGGTTTCCTCGGGGACGAGGTATGGGTTTGTCAAACATGTTACGTTTGTTTTTGATTTGACATCTCAGCGTACGCTCAAAACAAACTTACTGCCATTGATAATATTTGATATAGCAATAGGTCGAGGCGACTATGGAGGAATTTCTCGAGGCGGTCAAGGCTACTATGGTCCATCGACTCAGATGATCGGTCCTCCTCTTCACGCTGGTGCTATTCCTGCTGTCCAAGTGAACGTACCGCCTCAAATTCAGCGTGGACACCTTACCTCTACGATCGGTCAGCTGGCGATAAGGCCAAATTATGGAACTCGTGGTCGCAAAATCCAACTATTTGCAAACTTCTTTCGTATGAAGTTTCCTCATTTCGAAGTATTCGTATATGACTTCGTGAGTGACGGAACTGAACGTTTATGATCCTACGCTTTGCTCGTGTGCTCATAACATCTGTACACTCTAGGCCATCACTCCTGCTGCACCGAAGCATGTGAAACGTATGGTCTTTGAAGCATGGAAGGAACAGTATTCTGCTACCTTGAATGGCACCATGCGCAACGTCATCAATCACATCATTTTTGATGGCGAGAAGAACTTTTACTCGATGCGACTATTGCCCTTCTCACAACACGAGTTTACTGTGGAGGCTGCTGATGGTCCTGAAGATATTCGGTAAGCATTTCTTGCTTCGGGTTTTTTTTGGATAGTATGAACGAAATGATCTTGAGCTAATCATGCAAATTTATTTAAACAGTCGACGCACGTATGCACTTAAGATGCAGTCTACCACTCGAGTGAACTTGGACACTTTGGAAGAGTTCTTGAATTATGATGGAACTGGAATACAGCCTGAGCTTTCTCGAACGGCCATCCAAGTGAGTATCCGAGATATCAATGATTACATTGATTTTGGCTTATAAATTGAACCCGGAATCTAGGTTTTGGAAATCCTGATCCGTCATGTACCTGCCCTGCAGTTCACTACTGTCGGTCGGTCATCATACTATATGAAGACAACTCCTGGGAGGCCCATTGGAGGTCATTTTTGATCAACGGCATCTATGTGTTCATGAATTGAGGCTTACCAAATATTCTTTTCTCAGATGGATTGTTTGTTCACTTGGGATGGTTCCAGTCGATTCGTCCTGGCTTTACTCAACTATTGTTGAATCTGGATGTCTCAGCTACTGCTTTCTATGAAGTCGGTGAGCCTGGTCAACTTGGTCGATATTTTTTGGTTCAACCTCATTTGATCGCGAGTCTATATCCTTCAGAAACAAATCGCTCACCTGCTGATTTATTTTGATAGATACCGTGGCAAACGTCGTGGCACACTTCTTAGGAGGACAGTCAATCGCCGTTTGGCACCAGTTTGAAAGACGACCCAATGCGATCAAGGATGCTGGAAAGTTCTTGCGTTATGTTACCGCAGAGCTGAATTATCAACCAGCTGGAAGTCGAAGAAAGTACAGGATTACTGGTATTGATACTCAACCCGCTGGCCAACGCCGTGTACCCTATTCGGATGATGATCCTTCAGGCCATCCTCCAAACGAAACGGTCGCTCAGTACTATCTTCGAGTGAGGCGATTGAATTTCTTTTTGATGGACTTCTAGTCATCGTGCTAAAGAAACTTCATCAATCATATAGGTGCACAATATCACACTTCATCACCCTGATGTACCTTGTGTTACTGCTGGTACCAAACGAACAGTGTATTTGCCAATGGAGTTGTTGACTGTCTGTGCTGGGCAACGTCATTTAGGTAAATCAATTCGCGGTCTTAGGATTCAAATCAATGTGCAAAAACAATTGTTTACCAAAAGGTCAATTAAAGCCTTCGCAACTTGCTGAAATGAGTAAGTATAGCATCGAACTAGTCTTTTTCATTGTTTGAATGATATCTAATGATGTATTGCTTCCTATAGTCAAGGTCACTTCTACTACTCCTGATGACCGATTACGCCGAATCGTTGATGGTGATCGGTATGTAATTTCCTAATGTTTCATGACAAAACCTTACGTTACAAAGTATGTGATTGATCTTACTGATCTCCGATTCTAGTGCACTACACGCAGATTCCAAAATCGCTGCCTTCCTGAAAGAATGGGGCCTTCAAATTGACGATAAGATGCTTCAAATTGAGGGTCGTATTCTTGAAACACCTGCTCTCACAATCGGGCGAAACCAAGTCACACCACGTGAAGGTAGTTGGCATGCCAACACCTTTGCAGTACCAGCTGGATCGAGCATTCAAGGATGGTCTCTCACGTATTGGTCGATCTTGGTACTCGAACGTCCTCAAAGCCATGAACTTCGAGCTATTGAGAATGTTCGAAGGATATTGGTTGACGTCTTGACAAAAAAAGGAATGGTTGTTGGAAATCGTGAACCGCAAATTATACAGGCAAATGGAGGAAATGTCCCAAACGTCCATGGTCTTATATTGCAAGCTGGAAAGGCCGCAATCACGTCCAATCCAAATGCCCGTCCTCAGTTGATTGTCGTTGTGTTGCCAGCAAAGAACTACTTTGTAAGTGTTTCTGCTGTTTTTTGGATTTGATGGTTTCACTTCTGAAATTCAGACACTGAAGTATAAGTATTTACTTTTTCAGGGTTATTCGGAAATCAAAAAGGTCGCAGAAACCGATTTGGGTGTAATGACTCAATGCGTCGCTCTCCCCAACTTGATGAAAGATCGTGGCATTGACATGTATTGTGAAAATGTCTCACTCAAAGTCAATATCAAGCTTGGAGGTATCAACAGCTACTTGGATCCTGAAAGAGAGTTGACCTCGTTTGTTCAACTTCACCAACGAGTTCCAACTATGGTAAGCTTTATTTGTTGTTGGAGTCACGACGATAAGTTCCAAGAACGATATTAAACTAACATGAATATCTTCGAATAGTTGATTGGAGCAGGTAACACAATCAATCGAAATTCCAGGTGGTCTTCATTATGTTTCTCATCGGATTGTCCCTAGATATCACTCATCCAAGGCCTGGCAGTCAAGGAAGATCAATCGCTGCTGTCGTTGGAAGCATGGACCAGAGGTATTGCTTTCGTGTTGCTTTTCAAGGAAAGAGGACAAAAGCTGCTCACGCGCTACATCGGTTTCTACGATTAGATACTGTTACTACCAGGCAGCTATTCGCTCTCAGACGACTCGTGTAGAGATCATCTCTGACATGAAAGAAGCTGTCAAGGAACTTTTCCAAGCTTTTTTCAACAGGTCAAGAGTCTTCCCTTCTCGTGTAGTCGTAAGTTACAGCCTAAGCATGGACCAATGTATCATCATAATATTTTGAGCATTCTTGCCTAGTATTTCCGAGATGGAGTGTCGGAAGGACAGTTTACTGAAGTCGTGCTGAATGAGGTCCAAGCCATTAGGACTGCTGCTGCAGAACTTGGAATGGGAAAGTTGACCTTGAGTTTTATTGTCGTCACAAAAAGGCATCACGCTCGGTAAGGTATTCGCATTTGACTTTCATGAAATACCATCTATGGAGAGAACGATACTAAGACACTTTCTGATCAACATATAGTTTTGTTCCTGTTAATAAAAACGATGGTGATCGAAAGAATGGCAACTGTCTCCCAGGCACCACTGTAGACACGACGGTCGTACATCCATTCTCTTTCGGTATGTCAGGTTGATTCATTTGATGTGCATTTGGCTTGATCTCACAGTCCACTAAAAAACTAGACTTCTACCAATACGGCGGTCAAGGCCTTTTGGGAACTTCACGTCCTGCGCATTACACTGTCTTGTCTGATGAACACAAAGTAAGGAACTTTAGTTGCATTGATATGCGTGTTTTTATTTGAGAAATCTAAACACACTTCTCAACGCAGCTTGACGCTGATACTCTTCAAGCCTTCACATTCCGTCTCACCCACTTGTATGGACGTTGCAACCGATCCGTCTCGTTGGTTGCACCTGTCATGTACGCTCATCTGGTTGCCCAACGGTAATACCAAGAGTGTTTGTCCTTCCAAGGAAAAGTCTCTGACACTCCATTCTTTGAACATCTCAACAGTGCTCGATGCTATGTTCCGGACGTCGGAGCTCAATCTGTGTCATCTGAAGGTGCAGAAGGTGCCGAAATCCCCCTTCGAGCCGTTTTGGACAGTGTGAAGGGTACAATGTTTTTTGTTTGAACTTTTTTTGGGACTCTTTGGTTTTGCAATGAAGGTGTTGATGGACTTTGGCAAAACTTGTTTATGCACATAGTATTAGTAGTAGTAAATTTATAAAATTGGAGAAATACAAAAAATACCCCCCGCTGAATGGTCTTGTGCTGGAGCAGCATTGGGCTTGAAGTTGTAATATGAACGGAAAGTTTGTGGAGGAGACAAGATATGCTGAAACTTGTATGAAATCATTGAAAGCAGCTTTTGATGTGATCTTGCAGTTCGTGCAACAACAGCAGCAGAACTGAAACGAAGTTGCTACTGGGACACATGATGGCTAAGTCAAGCGCGGCGATACTGTAATGAAATGCGAGTCTTGTATTGTTTCCATGGTTCCAGAAGGTACTTTGTAACTTGGCTGAAAGCAAGTTGCCTCCATACAACACGACGACAAAAAATCACGTCCAAGATCCACCGCGAGCATACCAAATAATGCATCAGGATTGCTGGAGTACATTGATCCGTCGATTTTCTCCAGAATGGGTTGCCTCGTTGACGTGTGGGCACTTTACATTCTCACTTGCTTGTTTGCATGTTTTCCAGGAAAAGCATAATGAACAACGAGGAGCAATAGCTTTCCAGCTGCAGAATAAATCATTCAACAGCCAAAAGACGTTGATATAAAAGGCCTATAATTTTGCGACTACAAACAAGAATTTGAACGTCTTGCCCAACATGGGCGATCGCGGAGGAAGAGGTCGAGGAGGAAGAGGAGGCTATGGCGATAGTCGAGGCGGTAGTGACAGAGGCTATAGTGGTCGAGGTAGCGTACATGGCTGTTTCGCCAACATTAAACACCTGCCGTTACACACTTATCTTTTACACTAATGTGCTACATTTTACACTGTGAATAATAGGTCGTGGTGACTATGGAGGAAGAGGCAGCTCATTCTCCTCTCAAGCAACTCTGGCTGGTCCCCTTCACCAGGGGTATGTTTTCTCAACTTTTGAATTTGTTGCGTCGAAGTTATATGTATATTGACTGGTGTAAAATTGTAGCCCAATTCCTGCAGTCGCTATTGCTGTGCCAGCCCAGATTTCGCGACGAGGCATTATTACTAATGTTGGTGAAATGCCCGTTCGTCCAAACTATGGTGCTAGAGGTCGCAAAGTCCCCTTGTTTGCCAACTTCTTTCGCATGAAGTACCCGAACTTTGAAGTATTTCAATATGACTTTGTACGTAAGGCGACAAGGCTTTTTTCTTTGTGCTGTCGAGCTAAATGTCTTTTCATCATGTAGGCGATTACTCCTTCTGCACCCAAGCACGTAAAGCGCGTCGTATTTGAAGCGTGGAAGGAACAATATGCTGCCACGCTGACTGGTCAGATGGTTAACGTTGTAAAGCATATCATCTTCGACGGCGAGAAGAATTTCTACTCCATGAGGCCCCTGCCTTTCCAATCTCAGGAATTCTCGGTTGAGGCTGCTGACGGTCCAGAAGATACGCGGTAAGCGTTACATGCCTTTGGAGTCAAACCGAGGATGTCCGGTATGTTCCAGTAACGATGTTAAACTAATACGAATATCTTCAAACAGTAAACGAACCTATGCTTTGAAGATGCAGACTACCACCAAAGTGGATATGTCAACTTTGGACTCGTACTTGAATTATTATGGAAGTGGACCACAGCCTGAACTTCCTCGAAACGCTATTCAAGTGAGCATCTTCATGATTTAGTCCTTCACTATAGCGACTTCTCTAATACGCATTTCTAATGAAGGTGCTCGAAATTTTGATTCGACACGTCCCTGCTTTGCTTTTTAACACTGTCGGACGCTCGTCGTACTATTTGAAAGAGAGTGTTGGAAGTTCCATTCGAGGTTGGTTTTACAGAATTGATCATATGTTCTTTCAAAGCTTGATCATTTTGAATTCGTTTCTTAGACGGACTCTTTGTCCACCTTGGATGGTTTCAGTCCATTCGACCTGGATTCACTCAGCTCTTGTTGAACTTGGACGTCTCTGCTACCGCTTTCTATGAAGTTGGTATGTTATCAGTTTCGCTGTTCTGGTTGATATGCCATGCTTCGCGAAGTTGCATTCTTGAAGCCTACATATTTCTGCATCCGCTTGGTATAGATACCGTGGCAAATGTGGTCGCCCACTTTTGTGGACAGCAGTCTATCATGCCCTTCTGGCGTAATGCGCGTCCCAATCAAGTGAAAGACGTCAGCAAGTTCTTGCGTTATGTCACTGCAGAACTCAACTATCAACCTGCCGGAAATCGCAAAAGGTACAGGATTACAGGTCTTGATACACAATCTGCTGCTCAGCGACGTGTACCATACACTGCCGAAGAAACCGACCACCCTCCAAATGAAACCGTCGCTCAGTATTATCTTCGAGTAAGTTTTTATAGTCTTGTCGCAAAATCGCAGGTTGAATGCTTGACATTAAATCTCATGACTCTATTTAGGTTCACAATATCACATTGCGATATCCAGATGTGCCTTGTGTTACAGCTGGTAGCAAGCGCACAGTCTATTTGCCAATGGAATTGTTGTCAGTCCGTCCTGGGCAGCGCCATCTTGGTATTTTCGTGTTTCACAGTATCATTTCAAATATTACGTTCAAATTTGCCAAAACAATGGTTTATCAATAGGTCAATTGAAGCCGGAGCAGCTCGCAGAGATGAGTAAGCACATATGAGCCAGCCATTTTGATTCTTGGAATACATTTACTCATCCCCTTTATTCTTCATTTAGTCAAAGTTACGTCTACTACTCCTGACGATCGTTTGCGTCGCATTGTTGACGGAGATCGGTGTGTTTCGTCATGTTTAGATTGTTGGATCTCAGCTATGTTATTGACTTCTGTAAACTTTAGTGCTCTCCACGCAAATCCAAAGGTCGCTAGCTTCTTGAAAGAATGGGGTCTTCAGATTGAAGACAAGATGCTCCAAATTGAAGGGCGAGTTATTGAAACACCCAATCTTACAGTTGGTGCAGGCCAACGTGGACAAATTTCGCCTCGAGAAGGTTCTTGGCAAGCTGGAACATTTGCAGTACCAGCTGGTGCTGGCAATACTGGTTGGTCCTTGAAGTATTGGTCGATCTTGATTTTGGAATCACCACGAGACTACGAGTACCGGGCTGTTGAGAACTTTACGAGAGTTTTGGTTGATACCCTTTTAAAGAAAGGCATGGCGGTCAGCAATAAGGAACCACCGATATTACAGGCGAAGGGACAAAACTATCACGCTGCTATTTTGGAAGCAGGAAAGGCAGCTATTGCTGGCGCCCAAAAGGTGGCTCCTCAACTGATTATCGTCGTTTTGCCGAAGAAGAACTTTGTCGTAAGTTGTGTTTTCATTGTCTTTCCATTCCGATTTTCAATGATAACGAGGTGTTTTACGTGACTTATAAAGGGCTATCCGGAAATCAAGAGAATTGCCGAAACTGCTCTTGGTGTAATGACACAATGTGTCGCATTACCCAACTTGACCAAGGATCGTGGCATCGAAATGTATTGTGACAATGTCACCCTCAAAGTTAATGCTAAACTTGGTGGTATCAACACCTTCTTGGATCCTGGACGTGGAGAGCTAACGGCATTTGCCAGTAATATTCCTACAATGTTAATGGGAGCCGACGTTACTCATCCAAGGCCTGGCTCACAAGGCAGGTCCATTGCTGCTGTCGTCGGAAGCATGGACCAAAAGTATGCTCAAGTACTCATACGTCAGAATGATGAACACAGTGCTCACATGAAAGTCTATAGGTTCTGCTTTTACAATGCTGCTATACGCTCCCAAGGCGCTCGTGTCGAAGTAATTTCCGACATGAAAGAAGCCGTTAAAGAACTCTTCCAGACCTTCCGAAATCGCTCGAACCTATACCCTCAACGTGTCGTCTTCTTTCGAGATGGTGTCTCGGAAGGCCAATTCACAGAAGTTGTGCTTAACGAAGTCAGAGCAATCAAGACTGCTGCTCAGGAATGTGGCATTCAAGGATTGACCTTGACATTCATTGTCGTAACGAAGAAGCACCATGCTCGGTAAAAAAAAATTGAAATTTATTGATGGAAAAGCAGACGGCCTAAAGTTTTGCATCCTTTATTAGATTCGTACCCGTAAATCGAGGCGACGGTGATCGCAGGAACGGTAACTGCTTGCCAGGAACTACCGTTGATACGTCAGTAGTGCATCCTTTTGCTTTCGGTATGTTTGAGTCGCTTGATTTTCATTATCTCGTTTTGATTTTACATAAACAACTTTCCAAATTTAGACTACTATCAGTTCGGAAGTCAAGGATTGTTGGGTACTTCGCGACCGGCCCACTATACCGTGTTGTTCGATGAGCACAAAGTAAATATGCAGCTTCTACCCTGTTTTGTCAGTCATTTGAAATCTGGACCAAGTTTCTTTTCGAATATCTAGTTTGACGCCGATTCCCTACAAGCTTTCACCTTCCGATTAACCCATCTTTACGCTCGTTGCAACCGCTCCATCTCGTTGGTTGCTCCTGTTATGTATGCCCATCTTGTAGCTGCTCGGTAAGACCCATCCATGCATCGGTTTCTGGTTTGTTTTTTGTATTTTCCAGTGTAGTTTCGGAACTTACCACTTTTCCTCTACCACTTCTCAGTGCGAGATGCTACGCTCCCGACATGGGCTCCCAATCTGTATCCTCCGAAGGTGCAGAAGGAGCTGAAGTTCCTTTGCGCGCGGTATTGGACACAGTCAAATCCACCATGTATTTCACATGAGAGGGAAGTTTAGAGTTCTTGGACAAAGAAGGAGGTTTGACGAGATTATGAAGGGACATTTTGTGTAGTTAAGTTGTAAAGAATACCCCAAACAAAATATATCCCAAGTTGAAGAAGTATGCTTTGATGTTGTGGAGTGTGTGAGCGCAAGAACAAATGAGGTCAAATGACTTAATTACACTTGATGAGCACCAAGCATCATTTCACAGCTGCCTTTCCACCGTATGCCGAAACATCAAAGTCAAACCATTTGTTCTATGCTAGTTTGTGCATTTATTGGTGCTATAGTGCTATACAAGAAAGTGCAAAGCAATACAATATTATGAGCTATAAGCTAAACCACCTCCAAGCTAGCAAATATAGCAAACCCCACAACGCTCCTTTAGCTGAAATACATGTGTTGCTTCAAGCCTTTTGCAACTTCAAGCAAAGGTAATTGACCATGGTTGGATCCATCAGAATTCATGAGACATTGATGAATTGGAGGGATCAGGAGCATAGCATCGACCTCGTGCAGCAGCAAGGTGTGCGTATTGCACAGGAGCGACTAGAGAGATGGATTTGTTGCTAGTGCAAGAGAAAGATTTTACTTGTAATTAACGCGAGTGTATCAAAAAAAAACACTCTTTTTGCTTTCTACATACCAGCGAGAGTATACAAATGACCCAACGGAAGGTCAAGGCGGTAGAGGTTTGAGTGATTTCCAATATTAAATGGATTGAATTCAGTACATGCTCAAGGAAAAATAGGACGACTGCAAGAATTTGAAGAGCATAACTAAACCACAAAGACCATAAATTCCAAGGTCATATTGTTGGACTTTGGTGGATGGGAATGTCAGCTTCATAGAGTTGGTAGTGACAACGATCTTGCGACCAAGAGTTCCATAATGTGGACGTAACGTAGGTCAATTTGGATGGTTATACGGTTGATTCGAGGTACTTCAGGAGCAAGGATGACTGGGAGAGGACCTTGATGCTTGACTCCAGAATCAGCGGAAGGTATAGTATCGTAGGCTCGTTGCCCACCATAATCACTGCGACGAGAGTTTCCACCAGAATAGCCACCACGATTATCTCCGTTTACATATGACCTTCCTGAATTTCGATCATTGACATAAGTCCTCCTTGACCTCGAACATTCAAAGTTGTTTTGTAGAGGATAGTCTCTACCCGACAGGGTGGCCTGGACCAGAGAGAGTTGAGAGTGGATGTTTGAGTATGGTTTATATAAATGTCGTTTCGGTTTGGTGAGACGGATATTGCGTAGACGATGTTGTCGAGTGGTTAAAGTTTTGGATTTGTGGAATTGTCCTTGTTTGAAGGATGATATGAACATCGTGGCGTGATATTTAGCATATAAAGCGATGGATTGATTTTTCCAACAGGATGCTCCTCCAAAGTGGTCGTTTGATTTCTTAAAGCAAGACCTCTGGCCACCACAACCGTATTAGGGCTTGAGAAGCATATGAATCAGCACCATTAATGAGCTCAAAAAGCACGTCTGTAGTCCGTGATACAGTCAAAAGCCTGCATGGGCTTTGGCAGATTTTGGACACTGACCAAAAGTTGACGCCTTTCTATCAGCGAGCAAGGGATGACACGAATTGTCTGCTTCATAGAAGTATCCTTTATGAAATGGAATCACAGCAGTGGTGTCTCTTGATGCATACAAACTAAAGATTGTCATTGAGATCTATGTCAAATTGAAATACATTGGCTTATAAAACTGATCAGCTCAGCATTTACATAGATCCGTCATAGAATTTCATCCAAATAAAGAAGCAAAGAAGTTGAGGTATCTCACGCGTCACAGAAGGTTACTGGACTCATAGCGAGCGAGGGTTTAAATTATATCACGGGTAGCGTTCTTTTTCGTCAATGACTGATGGTCCGTGACTGAACTGCGCATCTTACAAAACCCCACATCTGCATCCAAACACATCAAACAGCAACAACAATAACCAAAACATATAGATAGGCAACCCACTACATACATCATCATGCTCGGCGGCCAACTTCCAAGCGTCGCTGCTCCAGTCCCACAACCAATCACAAAACCAACCAAAGGAGGTCAACAAGTACTTCGACCTGGCTATGGTACCAAGGGGCGCATGATTCGTCTTCACTCCAATTTCTTCCCAATCGAGTATCGTGGCATCAAGATTGCACAATATGACGTAGTAAGTGCAGCAACATCGCAGACATAAAACATTCTAGAAAAGGTTTGAAAAACCACCGTACACTCTAAGCAAGACCACAAAATATTATTAAAATACTAATAAATACTCTGAAATCTTCTTGTAGGACATATTCCCAACCAGCAATGTAACTGTCAAACGTCATATCATTGAAGCTTGGAAAAGGAACTATGCAGCCTCCTTTCCTGGAAACAACAATCTCCAACACGTTATAAAACGCATCATATTCGATGGCTCCAAGATCATGTTTGCCTTGGAAGCACTCCCGTTCAACACTCAACAAGAGTTCGAAGTCCAAGTCCCTTGGCATGAAGACACGCGATTCCCCTGGCCTCAAGACACTCGGTACGTGCTGCTGGACAAAGTTAATAGTAAAAGTCTCTTCCTAATTAGACAAATCTCTTCCAAAATAGATTGAAGACCTGGAGCGTCAAGGTTCAACCTACTACTATAGTAGACTTGAGGTACAACGAAGATTCAAGTTTATATAGTTCTCAATTTGTTTTATTATTCAACTGTTTTATCTTCAATTTTACATGAATCTCACATTCACCTCCCAGCTTGTTGAATTCATACTTGACGTACAGTGACGTTGGTGGGCAACCAGACCTTCCTCGGGCAGCATTCCAGGTAATGTAAGATGAAAAGCCTAACATTTTCTTGTAAAGCAGTATTCTAAAAGTTATCTTCTTCCTTTGCCAACAGGTCCTTGAAGTCTTGATCAAGCACCAACCAGCTCAGCTCTTCAACACTGTTGGTCGAAGTTCATACTATCTCAAAGACGATCCAGATGGCAGACCCATCAAAGGCAAGTTTGGATTGGTGTTTTTTGCTTTTACTCACTCGAAACTAACTCTTTCCGAAAAATAGATGGACTTATGGTTCATCTTGGATGGTTCCAATCAGTTCGAGCTGGATATCAATCCTTGCTCTTGAACCTGGACGTGTCTGCCACTGCATTTTATGAAGTCGGTATGTACTGGTTGATTTCAACTTGTTCGCTTGTTTCGCAAGTTTTGTAATTTCGTCAAGACTCATATCTATTTGACATTACATTTTAGACACTGTATATAACGTTGCCAGTCACTTCTTCCATCACCAAAGTCTCATGGCTATTTGGCATCAGCTCAGCCAAAGGCAAACCAAGAGCTTGACCAGCTTCTTGAAGGGCGTCAAGGCTCAAACAACCTACCGAGGTGGAATCAACGATGTGAGATATCGTATCGTTGGTGTCGATAGCATCTCGGCTGCTCAACGAAAGGTTCCTCAAAATGGTAATGATGAAGATAGTTCTCCAGAATCCATTGTGCAATACTACTACCGAGTAAGTTGATTTACTAAACTTCCTTTTTATGACTTTTCATAACTAACTTGACGCTTCTAAACGATAGATGTATGGTATCCGATTGCAATTCCCGGACTTGCCTTGTGTCATTGCTGGAGGAAAAACTCCAAAGTATCTTCCAATGGAGCTCTTGAAAGTCAAGTGAGTGCTTGCTCTATTTCTCTATTCTTTGAACGAGCGACGAATTGATGCATTTCTCCATTCTTAGGTCTGGACAACGACACACCGGACTTCTCAAGCCAGAGCAATTGGCCGAGATGATCAAGGAAACTGCCAAATCTCCAATGGATCGTTTTCAACGCATCATCAAGGGAGAAACGTAAGTATATGCCATCCTTTCGCAGTTGCACGGAGAAAATCACGTCTGACGAATCCGTACCTTCCACATTTTAGTACTATCCACAACAAAGAATTCAACGATTTTATGCTCGACTGGGGTTTACAAGTCGAGAAGCGCCTTCTACAAGTCCAAGGCAGAATACTTCCCCCTCCCAGTTTGACAACTGCTGGTGGTCGAGTGGTCCAGCCTAGGAACGGTGCCTGGCAAAGTCAAGGTACGCATTGCTCTTCTTTTGATAATGACTTGCGAGCTGGATGACTCATGATGATTTCACTATTATCCCAAGGCTTCTTCCATCCATCCACCGTACAGCTCAAATATTGGTCCATAGTAACAGTCGACACCCAACTCCGTGACTTTGAACGTCGAGCTGTCGAGAACTTCCGTGGTGTCCTCTCCCAAATGCTCAACAACAAGGGGTTGACGGTACTCAACCAGCAACCTGGTATCATCGATGGTACGCGATTTGGTGGAGACATACAAAAGATGCTCCTTGAAGCTGGAAAAGTTGCTATAAACAATGCCCCAAAGCAACGACCTCAGCTCATCATTTGCATTCTTGCACGCAAGAACAATCCTGTAACTACTACTACCTGACATATTTTTTAAACGTTTCACAATTCACTTACAATTCACTTTATTTTCTATCTAGTTGTATCCCGACATCAAGCGTGTGGCTGAAACCACATTGGGAGTGATGACACAATGTGTTGCACTTCCCAACTTGACCAAAGATCGTGGTCTTGATATGTACGTCGACAACGTCACGCTCAAGATCAATGCCAAACTTGGTGGCATCAACACCGCCCTTGATCCTGCTCGTGCTGAATTGCCAGATTTCGTCATGAGGAAGCCTACAAGTATTAACATTAGTCCTTGCTTGGAACTTAACCTTTGTTACTAACCCTTTTACATTTAAACAGTGTTCATGGGTGCAGATGTCACTCATCCAAAGCCAGGCAGCACTGTACCGTCTATTGCTGCGGTTGTTGGATCCATGGACAATCGGTACGCAGAACAAACGATTGGATGGAATTCTTTAAAACCATACGTTGCCTTCAAGAACTTGGGACTCACTTGAATGAAACCTTCTGTTTTAGATTCTGTGTATACAACAGTGCCATCAGCTCACAAACCACTCGTGTCGAAGTCATTGGAGCCATGAAGAAAGGAGTAAGAGAGCTTTTCGAAAACTTCAAGGTCAGGAACGGAGTCTATCCTCAAAAGATAGTCTTCTTCCGTGATGGTGTCTCTGAAGGCCAATACCTTGAAATTATGATGTCTGAAGTTCGTGATATCAAGCAAGTATTCCAAGACATTAGGGTCGAGGGTACTTTGACAGTAAGAAACATTTTGTCCAACAAATTACTAGCATACAATTCTCTGACACTCACGTCCTTCATCATAGTTCATTGTGGTTACCAAACGACATCATGCAAGGTATGGTATAGCAGCAAATAGTTTGTGCTTTCACATATTCCTACGAAACTTGGTTCATCTAATAGGTTTGTACCTGTGGAGGAGCGAGATGCCTCACCTCGAAATGGCAACTGTCCTCCTGGTACCACTGTCGACAGTTCGGGTAAGTATTAATATTCATGCTCACTTGGAACTTGCCTTTGACTAACCTTCTACATTTACACAGTCGTCCATCCATTTGCGCATGGTATGTAAATTGTGGTACTATCTTTTCTTCGAAAGGAAAGGTCACTAATATGTTCCTGCAAATACTTAGACTACTATCAATTCGGCAGTGATGGAATCAAAGGCACTTCTCGACCTGCACACTACCGAGTCCTCTTCGATGAACATGATGTAAGACTGTTTGCGATGAAGTTTGGCGACTTTGTAAATCTCAAATCTCATATTCCGTCTTTCCCGTGCATAGTTGGATGCTGACTCTCTCCAAGGGTTAACTTTCCGACTCTCACATCTCTACGCACGCTGGTAGGTCCATGTTGTATGAGTAAAAGTATGTTCTTGACGCTAAAGATCAACTCTTGTTCTTGTTCAATAGCAACCGTTCAGTCTCTTTGGTTGCTCCCGTGATGTACGCACACTTGGCTGCCGCGCGAGCTCGCATGCTTCTCCCAGATTATGATGGAGGCTCCTCTGAAGGCTCTGCTGGTGCACCTCAAGCTCCGATGAAGGAGATTTTGCCTGGTGTTCGAAAAACCATGTGGGTATTTGAATGACTTTGATATCCGTACTTTACTAGATTACTAACAAACACCTTAAATATAGGTATTTTTGTTGAAAAGCAGGTGTACGAATCTTGGGTGGTGTACAAATTCATGGGGATCTATACATAAAACACATTAGCACGTTCAAGTATTTAAACATATAGTTAGAAAAGCAACACACTTCCAAGAAATCACAAATCAATAAACCTCAATACAAAATCCAGCTCTGTGTCTTTGATGCGACTTGCGCGTTTCAACAGCTTGAACTTAAGCATCCAAAAAACTTGGTCCGTTTGATCCAACACATTTTAACAGCTATACCTATAGACGCCAAGCATGACGAAAGAGAAATGTGTTCTGCAAGCGCATGCATATGCCAAAATAGTTCTCCACGCTGCCAAATACCCGATATTCGCTGTGAATGGAATTGTTATTGGAACTGTTGACAAAGATGCTAGCACTCTACATATAGAGGACGCAATACCGTTATTTCACGGCACCGGCGTGTATCTGGAACCAATGACTCTGGCTGCATTGCAACATGTACGTGATTCGACTTGGCTTGAAGTACTTAAAGCTTCCACATTTGGTGCTTTTTTATGTTTGTGCAAGACTTCATCAGAGGATCGATATTCGTCAAGTAGATTACATCTTATTAATACTTACTAGGGTCCTTACTGATTTTCTATTTCTTTTCAATAACACAGATTCAAGAATACTGCAACCAAACCAGTCGTCAAATCGTTGGATGTTATGTTGCCAACGAATCTCACTCGGATACATCCATACCTGAACCAATTCATAAATTGGCGACTAAGATACAAGAGAACTTGAAGGGCCATGGTGTATTGATGGTGGTATGTTGTTTGATCATAGAGGAGAGAGGGTGTTGTGTGTTTGATCAGCAGAACCGTTTGAAGAATCGTTTCCTGAACAGCAGATCCTTCTTTAATCTAATTTGCTTCACGTTGTGTGGATAGGTGGACAATTCCAAGCTAGGTGAAACGGAAGTCGCTATAGAGGTTTGTCTTAGCAAGTTCAAGGTGTTCTCCTTTTTGCTCTTGACTTACACGTCTTATCCCAGCCTTATACATTCCACGCTGGCTCTTGGACGGCTCTAGACACGTAATTACACCTTCACCATTCATTCAATCGAAAGTTTACGCTCGCGAAAACGACACCTCACACTCTCTCCATAGGACCCTATGGAAGACCGAATACCCAGAATCATTACCCAAATTGATTCAATCATCCGCATACGATAAATTATACGATTTCGATAATCATCTGGATAATGTCACGCTGGACTGGTTGCAGAACCAAGAGCTGGACAAGGTCTTGAAGAAATGAAAAGAGAAAGCTTGACGCCTCTCCATGATTGTTGGGGTTGATTGTATATATTTTTTCTCATTCAACACATGATACTACATGGTAAAGGAATTGATGGTAATGAACTTTGTGTTGTTCAATGTTTCGACGATACGTCTTTTTTTGCTGAGTAAGGACTAAGATATTATATTTGAGCTCTATCTGATTGTGTATTTCAGCATGGTCGATCTAACATGACTGTGAAGGTCTTGGACGTCGAAAAGTCTTGGTTCAAGAAATCCAGCAACAAAAAACCAACAAAACTTCACCAATTAAATGAAGTAGACAAAGCCGCACCACCACTATATGAGCTGAAAAGTCACGCCACAATTTCTCATCACTCGACAAACGACCAATCTTTCATTGACACACCAAAATTTTATTTTCATCGACATCCCTTAGTACATTACCCGTCCTCCTCGTACACCAAACTACATATAGAATCCTATAATTACTACCCTAATCTCACTGGACCAAACATTCATCATGTCTGGTCGAGGCCCTCGACAAAACTTTGGCAACGGTCGAGGCCAAGGACGACCTTATATCAATGATCGAAACTCAGCACGACCTTATACAACTGACCGAGACAATCGTGGTGGTCATTCTGGTGGAAACTCGCGTTGTGGGGACTACGGTGGCCCTGGGCTTCATATAAGGACGTATCTCTTTTATCAACTTTCATACCTTTGCGGATCAAAGCGTCCACCAAAACTTTGCGCAAGCTCTCAACAGCTCGATATTCATGTTCACCTAGAGGTTCCAAAGCCAGAATCGACCAATGTTTGAGAGACCATCTTGGAATACGACTAGCTAGTACTACTGCACGGAAAGATCTGAACCAAATTTCTTTTACTAACAAATGTGAGGTATTTCCAAAAAAGGAGTTATTTGTACATGGTATAGTTCTTTAAACTGTCTCGACGTCTACTGTAGATTTTTGCTTTTTGCTTTATACACTTCCGACAATGGCCCGCATTGCACTAGAGAAAGGCTTGTTCTATAAAAACGGAGGGAGTCTGTAAGCTACTTGCACAATTGCAAACCATGAAAGTGAGGACAAATGTACTGTAAGACATGTACTTACACTGACACATGTACTGTAAGACACCGAGTTCTGAGCATCTTGGGTAACATCCCACATTCCGACGCCACCAAAGTGGCCTAATGCTTTACTATATGCAACAGCTGAAGCCAAGACAGAAGGAGCTGCATATCCTCCTGAGGGTGCTGCTGCCTTAGAGGCCGGCACCAAGATTACAAGTCTTGGAGGGTTGCTTATGGAGTTTGCCCAGTTGGCCCATGTTTGGTAGTTGAATGATGGTTGGTATGACTGTCCAGGAACAAAGCTGGAGAGACCGCAATAGTTGTTGTAGAATTGAATCTGGGAAATGCATTGAAATGGTTTAAGTACTAGTGCTTGGAATTTTCCGTTTTTTTTTCAATGAAAGGTAACTCACTCCAATGAAGTCAACAACTCCAGTGCTAAGAGCTGTGCCAGGTCCTGGACCATCTGAGGCGTCAGGGTATGGGCATTGAGGAGCAGCGGATATATAGTACTGTTTAGAGGTATCGGTTTTCATTAAGGCTCGTAGTTTAGTTGCGAATGAACCCCAACCGGATGCTTGGTTTGTCTACGATGACGATAAACATTGTAAGATATCATTACTCGCACTGTCGAGGAAGAAATTTCTTACTTCAATGTCCAGGTCAATGCCGTCCATTGAAACAGATCCGAACGGTCTGTAACTTGCATACGGCTGTTGATTACCTCCCAAGAACAAGTTCCAGATGGCCACTGCTAGAGCTCCTGCCGCATCAGAGGAACTTGATGCGGGAGCCGCTGTACCCGCGACAGTGTTTACAGTGGTTGAGAATCCTGGTTGGCCGCTCAATGATATAGATGAGGCACCGCCACCGATAGACAGCAAGATCTTCTTGCCCAGAGATTGGCATCTTGCGATTTGAGCACCGAGTGACGGGCATTGGGTAAGTCCTCCTGGTCCAGAGTTGGTGCATGGGAAGCTGGCAAGAGATATATCTGGGAACCAATAGTTTTGACCACCCTAAGCAATGAGTAAACAGGTGTCAGAAATGAATTTGACTACACGAAGGGCATGCGCAAGGCGGAAAACTTACATATTTCACATTGACTTGTGGGAAGACGTCCAAGAATGAAACTTGTAAGACGTCAAACTCTGTGTTTTGGCCACCCAATGCTGGATCACAGTAGTAATCTAGTAAAGAACACAATATCAATTCTACGCCCTGGAAACCACATCCACACACTACGGAAAACGTACTCAATGCCTTTTGACCAATTCCGGATGACGGATTTGTTCCACTGTACGAATCTTGGCCCCAGTAGCCGACGATCGCAGTACCGCTTGCCAATCGAGTATTAAAATCTGATGTGAGCTTGTTTGAGGCGGTATTACATCCACCAGAGCTGGAGCTGGTCACAATGTTGTTGGATGTGGTAGATGACGACGATGAGGAGGAGCTTGACGTAGTGGTCTTCACGTTACCAGTACCACAAGTACCAAATCCGGATTGACAACCAGTGTCACAATGTTGGGTAGTTGCACCGCCTGAAAGTGTGAATAAAGGTCTTAGTACGGGCCACTTCTGCTGTTTTTCATTTGATCACGATACTTACACCAGCCGTATTGCGAACAACACGGAGTAGCGCCTTGGGGATCACAAGTTGCTTGAATAGTAGAACCACTAAAAAGATTCATCGAAACCGATTAACAAACTTCTGCGAGTGCGGTTCACAATTCTTAAAACATACCATTGACCATCATATCGGATGGGCAAACCGCTTGAAGTCCCAGAACTCGTAGTCGGCACAACAGAGGTTGGCGCTGCAGATGGAGCAGCTACAGCAGCCGGCGATTGGGCGGCAGCAGATGATGACGAGGTAGATGTACAGGTACCATAACCAGCCTGGCAACCAGAATCACACCATGAAGATCCTTGACCACACCTACGTAGTCAGAACGGTTAGCACCGATGCAAGCGATACTACGTCCCAATAGGCTTTTTTTTGTGTACCATCCGTATTGAGAGCAGCAAGGTATGCCACTTCCTACGTCACAGATAAGTTGGGACGATGGTCCACATTGTCCGGTAGTTGTGACTGGGAGGCTCAAAATTCCGTTTGCTGATGTTGTCGTTCCAGACGACGAGGAGGTTGATGTCGAAGTTGTGACTTTAGAAGTGGACGTGCAACTTCCAAAGGCAGATTGACAGCCGGCAGCACACCAGTTGTCACCGTTACCACTAGAGTATGATTAAGGTCATTTTACTCGAATTCGTCCAACAAACAATCAAGGATGAGAGAAAACAAGCAAGAATGTACTCCAATGGATCCACAAACATACCAGTAACCATATTGACTATTTGAAACGTGTTAGAGTGACCGATCGCTATGATAAAAACATCCAAAACTCAGAGGCACTTACGAACAGCAAGGTGTCGCTGAATTTGGGTCACAGGGAGCTCCCACACTCGCACCACACTGTCCGTCTGCTCTGTACGCTGAAGATGATGTTGTCGTTACTGCTGCAGCTAATTTGGATGCACCGCTCTGAGAATTGTTGGAGAGTGTTAGCTTCTTGCAATCCCTTACCAAACACCCTGATTCGAACTTACAGCACAGTTTCCGTATCCGGCCTGGCAACCTGACGAAAGGATCCACGTTTAGTATACCATGATCTCAGTCGCTTTGGGTTATGAATTATTTACCTGAACCGCACCACTCGTCCCCAGAGGTTCCGTCACCGTGCTAGAATTGAAAAGGCATTAAATCGGCTCCCTACGAACGGCACAGATTCGGCCCCCACTTACTCCACACCACCCGTATCTATAGAATAATAATTGCTTTAATACCCCAACCTCGTTGCTCTTGTTGAAATCAAAGTGTTTGACGTGTTCGCTTTTGGTGGTGGGCCTGGGCCAGCAACCACAATCACGAAAACAAATTCTCTGAACAAGTGTTTCAAGAGGAATTACACGTACTGGCTGCAGCAATCATATCCTGAGGAAGATTTACTACAAGAGCTACCTCCATTCAGCGCACCACATCTTTTTCGTCAGAGTGAGGCCAAAAAAATAGTTAGTTTTTGGTATTTTCAGAGTACACTCCAAAGCTTCACGAATACATACTTTTGAGCAAATGCAGCCGGGCTACATATAGCGAGCGCTAGGAGGATGCCATACATACGAAAACGTGCCATGGTATTGACTTGAAAATGATTGTTGAATGTTTCGGAATCGTGCCTTGCTCCCAACCGTTGAGATGTGGCCCCGAAAAGAGGACAAGGGCCGTAGCTGGCTGAGACAGGCTGAAGCAGAGTAACGTCAAAAGAAGGTCAAGGACCCAGTTGCCTAGTGACGAGGCCCTTTCATCGCGGTCAAAGACAGCTCTTATTCCTTACTCTAGTGCCACATCATCACATAGATTAGTGGCCAACCTAAGTGGTCCAAAACCATAAAGCAAGTCCTTTAATATGAGAGCTTTGAACATACAATTACAAGGTTTAGATAGTGTTATCGAGAATTACAAGTCATTTGACCTTTTACTGATACGTTTCATACGAATAACGTGAAGCGTTTTGCACAATTGGATAAGTCATGACATGTGGTGGAGCTCCCATTTGTGGTGTTTGAGACATGAATGGTTCGTCATACAAGTCGTCACTTGGTGACAGCATCTTCTGTCGTTTGGATCTATTGGAGGGATTATGTCAGTAACTTCAACCTTGACAATTATTCTGCAGCTTGCCTTGTATCGTTTCTGACACGGATCTTGACTCCTTGGTCAGCAAATGTTCGGCTCAAAAAGGTCGATTCTACAAGGATGCCGAAGAGTTTCAGTACTTGGTTTTATACTGTTGCAAACAAGATCAAGCATACCGAATGGACCAGGGAACTGCCTAGGGCTGTAAACGATGAAGGGATCCGAGAAGATCTGAGCTCGAGGGAGCACCATAGATCTACAGTGTTGCGGGCAACATTGTTAGCTCACCATGTAAACCAATAATCATAAATCCATGTAAACCACCGCACCCATCAATCTCAAACAAGTTGAATCGTATTTGGAAAGTCCCTTCGACCTTCACTCCCAATTGAGGAAAGACGAAAAATGCACCTTCGACATTGTCTGGATCTTTGAGTCGCATCAAATTGGCAGCTAGGGATCCCGCTGCATACTTGTTTTGCATTGGGCTGCCACGTCTGAATTCTTCTGGCGTTCCAATGCTGGCGTAGAGAATGAATGACGAGGGTTCAAGAAATGCTTGATAAGGACGACCAGTGTGACGGTTTTCGATGTGTACTGTTTGTGAATTGTTGAAGCTCAGTTTGATTGATTTTAAATGCAGGAGTCGAAGGCACTTACGTTGCAGTATGGGTGGTGGATCAATGACTCGTCGGTCGCCTAATTGTGAAGACGGGATTTTAGCACCTTGGAACTAAAATTGTCAGACTTGAAAAAGAGAATTTCACCCTTATCAACGTGACCACAAGTCCTTCCAATACGTGGCTGTTGCATTATAACGAGGCGATACATCCTAAGCGTCAAACGCGTCAATACTCCAAAGATCCAAAACTTGAGTGTGAAACTGGACCAAACAAAGGTTCTAAGCGACGCACTTTTCATCAGATGGAGATATTGATGGCCTTTGTCCTGCGAAATCCATTCTGGAACTGTCCAGATCAATTGCTGCTGAATGGGTGTCGTTTTGGTGGGAAAAACTTTAAATTGAAGGTGAGCGAAGGTCTCTTACGCGACAATCAAGCAAAAATGGGCGTGAATGATGCTCGAAAGATGCTCCAAGACGCTTGGTTTCCTGAAAAGGGGTCTTGGCGTGCGAATGGCTTTTTGTGCTTTCTAAAAATCACAAACACATCCACAAATAAGGAGTTTCTCGAAGAACGGCCAAGTACCGCTCAACAAACCATTTCAACATAGCTTTCGAGTGTACGGAAACCGCATATAAGAAGAATCAACCCTCACCGCTCCAACAATGAGGACATCTACAGCAATCTTTGCGTTCTGTCTCTCGGCATTGATCTCTTTATCACAGGCCCAAACTACTTGTGGAGGAACAACGATTGGTGCCGGAAGCATATGTTGTAGTAAGTTTGTTTATCTACTGACTCAAGGCCCTGCTCACTCGGCCACTCTGCATGGTTCCAAAGTCCAACATCATGTGGAAAACCACCCAACATTGTTGGACATCAGAGTCATATCTTAGACTAGCCAACCCATTATCCAAACCCGTGGACATCAGACTCATATCTAAACTAACTAACCCACTTTCCGAACCCCAGATGGCAATCAAATATGTGGAGCAGGATCTTCTTGCGATCCCGTGGCTGGTATGCTGGTTGAAATGCTGTCTGAACAAAGGTCGTGTCCTGACGATTTATTTAGGTTGCGTAACTGGTCCATCGTCAGGCCCGTCGGCTGCTGCTGCTGCTTCGCCTACAGTAGCCCAAGCATCTCCATCGTTAGGCGCTACTCCTTCGTCTTCACAGAAACCCACTTCATCTGCCTCGTCATCAGCATCCAGTACACCCACTGCAGAATCAGCCGCCTCTGGTGGATCTAGCGTGCCAATTGGGGCTATTGTAGGAGGAATAGCTGGTGTAATTATCATTGCTGCCATCATAGTAGGAAGTCTCGTTTACTTGGGTAGAAGATCGCGTGCTCGAAGATTCGATTCTGGTATATATGGACCTACTACTGCCAGTGTAAGTGTCAAAGCGCTGGTCCGAAGGTAGCCTTAGTTGGTGACGGTGAAATTGATTTGGACGGTGGAGACTCAATCGGTCACATTTAACCACACCTTTCTTCCCTCACAAGTCACACCAGCTCACTCTTTTTTACGTTTATAGGGACGCGCTGATGCTGAAATGGCTTCAGCAGCACCTCCAGCAGCACCTCCAGCACCTCCAAAGTCGTATGCACCAGCAGCTCCATTAAATCTTCCCGTGACAGGTGCCGCAGTCGCTGGAGGCGCCGTCGCAGGTGTAGCAGGTGCCAGTGCGTATGAAAGATTACGAAATCAAGCAGAAACTCCAGCACCTAATGGAGTCGATGTATTGAAAGTCAGACTGGCTTATAATAAGGTCCAACCAGACGAAATTACTGTCGACGTGGGTCAATCTGTGCAGGTTTATGAAACGTACGGCGATGGATGGGCTCGTGGGGTGAGTGGTCGCATAATGTCCCTGCACTGTGGGAAGTTACAGTCAAAACATGACTAACAACCACCACAATACAATGTTTAGATAAATATCACAACGAACCAAGAGGGATTCTTCCCCGTGGATTGCATTACCTTCGCGCCTCTTCAAGTCTCCAATGGGTCTATGCCCAGATCATCAACAATCACACGCACGTCTTCGCTAGATGTTAATGGGCATAACAGTTACCAGTAGTTGCACTGATACTAGAACAACATAGCTATTAATCTGTATCAAATTAATGTGTAGTCCTTTTAGAACATTGGTCGTTTTCGGAAAATACATCGTGATGATATAATAGTTGCTTTTTGAACGCCTAATCACGTAAATTTTCGTGACTACACGCTATTTTAGTACAGATTTCACGTCTAGACAGGCGATAATGACAGTTTCTCCTTGTCGCTTTCCCCATCATACTTTTTCGGCTTTTTGGGAAATCTAAAACCTATTCTTTGACCATACAGTTCGCCGCAAAGGTGAGCAAAAAGGAGCAACGGAACTTACATTTTACATCTAGGAACTAACTTCAAACTATCGGATCTATGTAGGAACGCCAAGGGAAACTCCCAAGAATGAGATTTCCCGTATTGGTTTTAGCATTTATTGTGATCTGGATAACTCTCATTAATGCACAGTGTCCAGCCACTCAAGAGAAATGTGGGAACGGCTGCATGGCAATCGGGGGCAGTTGCTGCAGTACGTATGCATGTTTTGCTAGGACATTAGAGAACTATCTAAACATGTTAGAGATTGCAATGGACTCTGACTTTTGGATGTTTTTCTGCATACATAATTATCTTGCAAACTCATTAAAATATCACGATTTTTATAGGTGATAATCTCCATTATTGTCCACCAAGCACTATCTGTGATCTGGTCGCTCAGACGTGCAATACCTCAACGACAAGGTGAGACCTGCATTAATCTCCACCGGATGTGAAATATCTTGCTCTAACATGCAACCTAAATGAACGTAAAGCGTTGCTCCTTGTCCGGTTGGTTGGACTGCTTGTTCCACCAACGCAAACAAGTGTGTTCCAGAGTACGTCTATTCGCACAGACGCTGAACGGGTTGTGGATTGAACTGATCCATCTTGTGTATGTGTGATTAGAGGTGCAACGTGTTGCAATGACGGCATCCATTTCTGTGGAAAGGGCACTACCTGTTCTGATGATTCATTGAAGTGTCCTCCTGCAGCCGATCATAGTTTGTCTGCCGGTGCTATCGCTGGTATTGTAAGTAACACTTTCATTGATCGGTACTTGATGGAATCATTCTTGCCCAAGTGCCATGTACTCAACTATACGACCACACCAATTTTAGGTGATTGCCACCATCGCAGGATTGATTCTAATATGTGGAATCATCATAATGATATACCGAAACAGGAAAACGTTGTGCTGCTGTGGACGAAGAAAAGTAGACCAAGCCGACAAACCAGCATCTTCACTGAATGAGGACCGGGAATCTAAACAGGATCAACACAAACCCACTTGGTCAATCCCTGCAGCCATGAAGAAGCACAAGAAATTGTCATCATCGATACATAGATTTCCGTTTTGGTCGGTATTTAAATCACGTAATCCTCAGCCTGAAATCATTGGACCCAATAGTGGATCAGGGAATATTTGGAACCCAGAAAATACAAGATCTGAATCACGAACTATATGGATTGTGAATGCGCCGTATTATAGAGAGCAAAAGGATGAGATCTCGCTGAATTTGGGGGATCATGTGGAGGTTTTCGAGACATTCAGTGATGGGTATGTCGATTTTGAAGACGTCCATGATTTGACACTGAAAGAGACCAATAATGACTGACGAGACTTCTTGTAAAAACAGGTGGTGTCGTGCATTGAACGCAACAACTGGACAAGAAGGCATGATACCTCTCAACGCCATCGAAGAAATCAACCTCGACGATTACACTGACGGAGACCTCTCGCGACAACCAACCACCATGTAATTTTATTAGTTTAGATACCAGACAGTGTAGTTATTATTGTTGATTTGATTATTCCATTTTGTAACGTTGATATACCAAGTACAGTCCACTAGTTCCAAAACACACACATTTCGTTAGTTCTGTGTCGTTCTAGCTACGTATCAGCAATGAGTAGCAACGTTGCTACATTTTCAGGTCCAGATGGAGTCGTTCAGAGTGTATCTGTGGCTATAAGTAACTCTGAAAGCCTCACAGAGCTTGTTTCTTCAGTTCGTGAATTGCAAACCAAGCTGAATCAGGTGAAGGCTGTTTGTAATTTTGATAATTACGTGCATCGTTTTGATACTAGGTACTGACTCTTGGAATCTATAGCTCTTGACGGATGAACTGGCTAAAACCTCTACTACTTCATCGACATCAAACTCGGCACCAAAAGCCGTTACCTCAGATGAAGAAGAAGAGGAGGAAGAGGAATCATCAGAGGACGATTGAAACAGAGTCTCTCAACGAACATGTAAATAGGTCTAACATACAAAACTGTGAAACAGTTGTAGAATACATCGCCATTAATCTTAAGCCTCTTCGTACATTTTGGCGAACATGGACCCGCGGATTGCTGCTCGCACGAATTGCACGAATACGTAGACACGAGTCTCCTACATTTTGCTGTCATCTCTCGAGGTTTCGAAGGGTCGATGGTCTTGTTTTAGATTAACTCAACTCTGCCACTGAGTCGACCGCAGCAACGACAAACTCTAGAAAGACAAGGATCAAGATATGCTTGGGAACCAGACGTAGTTCTTGGAAATTCTCCACTATTTATTACCTCAAAGTCCTAGTTAGAACGGTACGAAATCCTGAAAGAAACTCGGGGCACTTTTATCGGAACGATCTCACTGGAAGCTAGCAAGCTATGGACCGAACTTCAACATTCCCACGTGGCTCTCACAGTAATGTCTCGACGGGGTCGTCACAAGTTGATCCAGATTCGGTGAGATTTTAACACATTCGAAACAATTCAAAATCCAAACATTTGTGTGTTGTGAACTGCACAGTTTTCTTTGGAAGCAAGTCAAGGTTGATTGAAATGGATTTCTGACATGCTGAAAAACGAGAATTCGCGACACAATTCCGTAGCATGTGATCTTGAATGAATGAATTTTGCAAATATCTGTCGGACATGTCAAACACCCGCAACCAATTTGAAGACCAAACTGACACCCACCAATACTCATAGGTCTATTTACAAAAGCTCCGTGACTCGTTGGCGTCTTTACACTCCATCAAGCAAACAGCGGTATGTTTGCAATTGAGAATGGGATGCTTTGACGTGCCAAGATCACGAATCTACATATGAACTAGGTTGCAAATGAGAATTTCATACTGGCCGAGCAGACATCTGCCAAATTACAGGCGTTGCGTGTACAAGTCGCAACCTTGGAGCACAAGTTGAACGCAGACGTCCTTACCAACCACATGACACAGTGGCAGAATTCTCTCGCAGAATCTCTTGGAAATCTGCTGAAAAGTGGTGGCTCTCAGAGTGTTCGCAAGGTATAGGAAACTCGCACAGTTTTGCATGTTGAGTGTGAAGACCAACTTTGTTTTGCGTAGGCTTCCACAAATTTTAATTACCCTTTAAACGAGCCATTCCATCAGTCGATGCTCTCGCTGCTTCGATTAGTACCACCTGCGTATCTCGAAAGCCTCATGAAGGCCTTCCTTATTATACTGCCGCTTGATATGCCAGGCCTTCAGAAATCACCGTATGGATTTGATTTCTTCCTCAAAAAGCTGCCACCAACCGTACAAAGTAATGCCAGTCACGTCGAACTTGTCAAGAGTGTTGTTCTACTTGGCGTTTTGGATTGCCTGATAGTCGTGACGGAACACTCTGCGTTGACCAGGCCGTTCAAGAAGGAGACGAATCATATGCTTCTAAAGCATGCATTTTATAATATTCGGCTGGCTGGACAGACTGTTTCAAAGTACGATTCAAACAAGAAAACTGTCTTTTTTTGCCAATTCGCTCACCACCTTGAATTAGACGGGCGGCTTCAACTGAAGGTCGATTTATGGAGCAGATGATGCTCAGATGGTCTATTCTCATTGGAGACGTTTCTTCAGTCGAAAGACACGGTATAGTATCAACCATTTTCGGTGTGTTGGATCCGACGCGGAAAGCCTTGTCAGAAGAGATTGTGTTGGTTTTAGCTGCTACTCGGTATCTTTCAACCAAGGTGAAAATTAATCAAAAGCCAATTCACTTTTTTTGGATTCCTGATTCTGTCATACACAATAGCCTGTGAATCAACAACAAGCCGAACAGCTGTTTCAGCTCATAAGAGAATTGTCGAATCAGATAGATAGGACAAAAAAAACTGTGGTACGAGTGGCAGCGATACAGGCACTCGAGTATATCATCAGACCGCTGGATTACACAAGTGCTGGTGGAAAGCCACGACAGCCTTGGGAAGTGATGCTAGTGGACGAGATATACGAGCTTTATAAGAGAGCAAGGAGATGGGCTGTAGATGAGCAAGTCAGACGTTGCTCCTTCCGACTGATTGTGGCCATACTAGTCAACAGCCCGTATGAATTCTTTCGCTCCCATATAGACAATTTTGTCTTGAAGGACTTGATTATCGCTACCACCGTAAATCCACAATCTAAACGAAAACCAGACATGTTTAGACCATTCGTGTATGAATGTGTCTTGCAGCTTCTTAGAGGAAGGTTTTATACAGATACGAAAGATCAAGCACGACAGAGGATTGCAAGGACGTTTTCGCAGTCTGCGTCATTCATGTTTATGACGAGACCGTTGGGAGAAGAGCCCGCTGAGGTGATAAATCGACGGCTGAAGGATATGGCTGATGCGCTGTTTTTCAAGAGAACGAGAACGTTTGGAGTGGAGAATTTGGATGTTTGTGTGGACCTTACTGTGCAAATGGGTGTGCAAAAGTGAGTGGTGTTTGCCAGTCTTACGTGTATATCGCACAATATTGACGGTCCCTTCCTTTTTGCAGCTTGGCAATCGCATTTAGAGTCATCCAATCTTTGATGGAGAACAAGGTTTCTCAGGACTTGGAATCCCAGTATATAGGAGTGAAAGCCCTTCGAATTATATTAGATCCAGAATCATCATTCGGAGCTGCAGCTCAGGCAAGAGGCGACCGTGATTTCGATGCGGTAGTAACAGACTTGCCGTATGAATTTGAAAACCTATTATCTCAGATATTACATCAATGTGATTTCCAAGCTGGTATAGCGGCTCTAGGAAAGTCTCAAAATGTATTCGAGCCCGTGCCCTTTGGATCTGGACGTTCCAGAGGGATGGGTAGTATCTCTGAATCGAACGTAGTAATGTCCGACACGTCCTCACAAATTCAAGACGATGTCATGTCGATATACTCTGATGTACCGGATCGGGAAGCACAGAATGTGCGTGCATCGTATCATTCCGAATATACAGGATCTGTTACCATGTCTATGGCTGGTGATGCCATTGACCATGATGCACTCTCTAGCACCTTGAATCGTATTCCTCTATTTGCAGCATCGGACATGTCACGGCCTGATTCAACTTTGGAACGAGTCGCTACGTTGGATCGAGTTGTGACTTTAGAGAGGTCTCGTAACTCCTCAGCTGCCTCGTCGCCGAGAAATAGTATCGCCATGATTCCAGATGAAGTATATGTGGCACAGCAGAAAGCTAATGATCATGTTGCGGCCTGTATAAAGACATGGTCGCGTGCTTACGGACAGAGTGCTGATGTCGGAGAGCGGCTGGGAACGCCCGTTTCAATGTTGGCCAGACCGAGCCCTAAACTCAAGTCGCCACGGCACAGTATTAGGCCTGAGATAGGGTTAACGCTGCGTGTGTTTCGAGAAGTTCTTCGCTTGGTGAGTTAAAGCTATGTTAGTTGCCGAATTTTTTTCATCAACATTTCCAATTATTTTAGGTCCCGCTTATCCCAGCTCCTTCGATAATAGGAGGCGAATGGTTTGTTGGAGTGTATCTAATGAGTAATCAAGAAGAAATAGCATGGGAGGCCTCTTATTCCATCCAACGAGTTTTTGTTCGAAATCCAACATTGAGACTGAGGCAAGCAACTGATGAAATTTTAGGAAATGAAAACATGGCTAACAACCGATCATTATTTATTAAAATTAGCGTGATCAACGGTTTCATAAATTGTATTAAGAGCACCGAACACCAGGACGAGGTTTCTCTGTTGACAATCATTCTGCATCTGCAACACTTGATCTCGGGCTGGTCCAAAGAATCAAACGTGATTTCTGATCCTGATGCATCGTATAGAGTATCATGTAAATTGGACGCTGCGGTGATAGTGTTGCTAGCACATACGGATCCAAGGATACGGAAATGCTCGATACAATGTTTGGGAGACTTCCTCAAAATAACAGGCCGTTTGCAGCCTGGGTTAGATCAAACAGACCAAACTGTAGAAATGCCACTCTACTCTGTGCTAGTACGGACAGAGATCTCTATAGCCCGAAGAGCATTGTATTCATTCCTGGAACGAGATTTGGAAGTGACACATCTAGTACAAACCGCATCCAATCCAACACCACCAACGTTTTCGGACGTCGCTAGTTCCGAATATATGAGTCTATATCGGGCCTTTTTGGGTGAATTAGCTAGACAGTTTGCTAGGTTAGGAAGATCGAAGGCCCTACGACATACGGCCAAGTTTGTGAGGACTATTGCCATCCCAATGCTCAATCCACCACAGGGAGATCCAGCTGAAGACAGTGTAGAGTTGTATTCATCATTTGCCATACTGCTCTTTGCTTTTGGTGGTATACCGTTGAAGAGCGAGCATGAGTTTCCCTCTGGAGCCACTCAGCAGGTGCAGGATACACTGCTCAATCTCTATCTTCGCCTGCTTGCACCGGTATGTTGCTTTTAATCCGATTTCTGTTGTGGGTGGAATTAAATTAGAAATTGCCTTAGATTTTATGCTCTGAGAAAGAGTGGGAAGCGAATAGTATAGCGCGAGCATCCTATTACACACATCCAGCTATATTGCAGGTGGTGGTCTTCGATACCTGGTCGACATTTAAAGAGAGCGAGACTGTAGGATCTCAGCCATCTTCAGCGAAATCTAGCCCAAATCGATCAGGAATAGCACCTCGGGGACCGCCTTCTACACTACGGAACCTGGCGAATTTTGTTAATATGCTTCGATACATATGCCAGTCACCAGACTTTACCATCTTGGCTCGAGAGCCTTCTGTCGTCCCTACACCCATTGTAGCTGTGCTATCAGAAGTGCTCTCGACTATAGAAACTATACTTGGATCCGGTGCTGAGGTTGCTGTCAGTACTATGAAACTTCGGATGACTTGTAATCATTGTGTAATAGTAGACAGACTGTCGGAAACGTTGTTGTCGGGACCGGCCAACTTGTCTGAACTCTGGCCGCCTGCTATAAGAAATCAGACTTTTAGACATCTACTTTTATGGTCATCTACTTTACATGACACCACAGCGCCAACAAGTAATAAAACCGGCCAGATACGACCTTATATAGGAGTTGCCGTGGAATCTTTGCTAGATTATGCTGATGTATATGAAGGACGTGCTTTGCCAAGAGAAAATCTACAGGCCCTAGTTAGAATGGAGAGCGAAGGTCGACGTGTCTTTGGACCGACGCTTTTATACAACTTGGATCACGTAATAGGTGTCGTGATGGTGCAAGCATACTCAGGTCGAGCAGCACCACCAGGAGCATTTGCTGATGCTATTTTTGATTTAATACTCCCCCGGCCACATCGAGAGTCACAGATGTTTATGTCTCTTGATGCTGAATCACGAAGTGCTAGTCTTCGAGATTATATAAGTTTACAGCACGCTCTGCCTCTGAAGCCTGAGGAATCACATCTCATATATCCTAATCTGACACCTGAACTTGAAGCCCAGATAAAACGACACTTGGGAAGCATCCTCTTTTTCGGCTTGTATTCAATGATGAATGCCTCGCGCAGTATCCGTAATCGGGCCTTTTTATTTGTGCTAGAGCTAGTCCGACTCTTTGGAGCATCGCCGATGGATGAAGAGATGTCAGCAGCTTTTGCATCTTTGAATGGGTGGATGGCTACTTCTATAGGACACACACTCAAACCAAAAATTGTAGCTATCAATCGTCGTGCTGCCGCATTGTTTTCTAGCCATGTCGCTGGCTTCACTTGGGAAGCTGTGCGTTGCTCACGGTCACAGTCTAAAGGAACTCCAGAACACGTAATGCTGACTTTAATACCACCAGGGAGCTGGATATTAGATTTGCTAGCGCCTTGGCTTCATCAGGTGGACCTATCTGAATCAGCACCAGGAGAAGGGAAATATGAAGAGTTGCTTCGGTTCTTATTGGAGACGGCGTTTTTATCTCCTCAGATGTCCCGTAGTGAGGTATTATGGGAAGAATTGGCAGCTGGTCATGAAGGAGGTGAACGGTCAACCGTGCTGCTATTGGATATATTAGTACATGTGCTCTCTTTTGATGGACCTACTCGAGAGACAGCTCTGAACTTACTAGGCCGTCTACTGATGCACCGTCCAAAGCTTGTAGCAGCGGAACTGTCTCATTACCTCAGTCATCGGGCGTTTCCATGGTCTAAAGCTAAAGAACACAACGAAAATCTGAAAGCGCCACATAGCGCAGCTGTAGTGAAGAACTTGGTTACGTATCTCCATACCTCTTTATTTCCTCATAAGACATCTCTAGCCGGCAACGATTATGTGGTCACTTGTAAATCCGCCATTGTATGTATATCGGAGCTTCTGATTCAGGATTTCGCAGCCACTGTGGCACAGCAGCCCATCTTGCTTAATTATGTAATTTTACACTTGCCTGATACTTTATCTACGACCTCGGCTGCAACTTTTTTGCTTGGTAATCTAGTGGAAGGATACGTTAGTTTCATCACACGCGCTGGCGCGATGAATGATGATACGTATGATACACTAGCCAAAGGGGCTTCAAAGTTGCTGGTTTTGATGGAAGGTGCTGTCGTTCGTGTCAAGTGGCCTGACCCTCTGCATCTCAGGTGAAGCTTTGTTTTGTATTTGTTTTGTATAGATCAATTGGCCTTCGTCTTTGACACTCACACAACTAGTGCGGATGCTGAGAGCGGGGGTAATGAAATCACCGTGCAAGAACTATTGGACTTGCTATTGGCTACGTTCGAGCCTGAATCTCCTGGCCTGAGAGAAGCCATGGCTCGTGAAACGCTACACTGGGCGTCAGAAGGATATTTGGTATGGAATCAACTATCCCTCAGTATTACTTTCATCGTATTAACTCTTCTCGCCTATTCACATAGCCTGCAGACCAGACGATGAGGGGCGTGGAACTATACAATATGCTGATATCATTAGCGCCACCACCAGCCGTGAATTCTTTGGATGCTTTGGAATCGAGACTTTTAGATCACGTTTCAGTCATTGGAAGCATAGAAGTAGATTTGCGAGGAAACACGAAAGAGTCGTGGTCGTACATGTCTGAAGGTCAACGACAAACTCAGCTTGGAAGCAGACAGGTTTTGGCGAGCATACTCACACTACATCAGACATTAATCATACAATATGGACGTAATGGTGTGTTGCATCAGCATCCACACCTGTTTTGGGATTCTCTCTGGTGAGCAATAAATCTTTATCGTCGCTTTTGTCATTTTTTACCTCCTGACCTCAAAGAACTCCGATAGTATAATCAACTTTCCTGTGGATGTGTTTCCTGATCTAGTCAGCAGAGCCATGGATAATTGCATTCTCTACATGACGAATCAGGGGGAATCCAGAGCTTTAGCACCAAGTGCCCTTGATGAAAGCTTCTTAGATTCCTACGACAGAGTAAAGAGTGGGTTTCCTGGACTGCAGCAGCTTCTACTGCCAAGCCTGTTTGCAGCGTCCTCAGAGACTCAAGTGAAGGCATTCGAACTCTTGTTACGTGGATGGTGTCTGCTCCCTGACTATATAGTGGATCAACACCCTTCAATCGCCATGCTCTATACGTTGCTTTATAGCGTTACATTCTTGTTTGGACGACTGCTTGAAGACGATGGGTCAGAGCCGGGCCATTCGAGGATTGTTGCTGCTTTGCTCGCCCAGGTGCTGACTACAAAGAAGCCATTCGACTTTACCGCAACTATAAGAAACTTGGAAGCCTATGTTGAGTCGCCAGAGAATCCTGATCCCGCTAATGCGGACGATTTGCTTCAACGAGTTACCGCAAACTTGGCAGAAGTCTACGAAGCAGAGATTGCGACTATAGCGGGTATGTATGGATCTCAGTTTCTTCACACAATCATTGTCGTTTATATGTCCTCATGCATTTAGATTACTTTGGATTCATTGTCCGAGTACAACCACGATATGCCAAAGTCGTGTATCGAATGACTGAGACAATGTGGTCGTTTGGAAGGCCGAAAAGTGCTGCCTTGAAAAACTTTGTCAAGGTTTGTCGTGCATCTTTTTGCCTATCACACCCTTAGTGCAGTAACTGACTGGTTTTGAATTGATAGAAACTGCCTTTTGTAAGTGAAGGCGCGGGTGCATCATTAATTGTGTCGGTGTTGCACGATACGCCAGACGGTGGCGATGCGGTAGATGGCGAAGTGTTGGACCTTTCCAGTCATGGAAAGCAAGAAGTAATGAATGTACCAATAATCCCGTCATCTACAGTGAGACACGCTCAGGCTATGCTCTCTAATATGGGTATTGCACCCAGTAATAGCATGTTTGCATGGCAAACTTAGTAAATATAGCATTTATATTGTTTGTAAGCAAGGATGAAGTTCTATTGTAAGCAAGAATAGAATGTTTGTTCTTGTTGCCGCAATGCAAAAGTGCTCATACGCCCTACAAGAAGAATAAAGTGGAACGTAAGAGAAAGTCTTCCGAAATATTCCCATTCATGTGATTTCTACTTCACTCTTTCGTTTACTGCAAGAACTTCCTTTTGGCGTACCAATCACATCAGTTTTCCTTTGGAACGCCACTCAGCTCGTACTCTGCCACATTCCAAAGGACTCAAGACAAGATCGAATATCGAATATCGAATGGAGCCTACAACAGTATTGAGCCTTCCATCTACAATTGGAACTGATGAAAACAGCTTTGGTACAGCAGCAGGTGTCTTTGATGAATGTTGGATTGAAGCAGAGAGGAAGGTCAACCATTCCTTGAGGAACGCAGCTTCTGCTGGACAGCTCGATACCCAAATTATACTCCGTAGTCCAAGTTTGCTTCAAGCCTTTCGACAACTCACTCAGGAAGCCTGTACAGAGGAGCATTTGGAGTTCCTATTAGCTGCTTCAAAGTTGGACGACGACTTCAGGTACCAGCCCTTCAACACCATTTTGTCTCGAAATGTAAAAGATTCTAACGCTTGTTGATGTCTAGATTGTATGAATCTGATCCTATAGCTCAGAAATACATTCTCGCCGTCGGGCTTTATACAATTCAAGCACTGTATCTCGAGAGGAATAGTGCCAGAGAGCTGAACATAACTCAGACTGCTCGCATAAAAGTTTCAAAGGGCTACAAGCTGTTGAAGAACTTGAGGAGGCCTGCTGATGAGTATCTTTTGATTCTGAGGCCAGTCATTCTAGAAGTGGAGGAACTGCTGGTAAGAAGTTGTATCGGTCGCTCTAAAATAAGGTTTGCATCTAATTTTATATCATTGTAGCAACCGCTTGTGAAGAAATTGGCTCGTATGGAGCTCAATGATGCTCAGAATTGGTCATCTGATGAATCCACTGTTCTGAAAAAGGCTCCACTCTCGAATCCATCCTATACCCCCACCTCTGGAAAGAATCTATATCGGAGCTCGAATATAGGACGAAAATGGTACGAAATAGACTATTTGAACTGATCCTTGTCCCTTCAGTCGCAAGTTTGCTGAAACGCCGTTTTTCTCTAGGTCTCTGGATTTGGGAATAAAGTTGGTCCGTAGACAACATTCAACAATATCTGTGACTGTGTCGATTTAAGACATGTCTTAAAGCTATAGTGTGGGGTTGGGAAGAGTGGTTGTATCTTTTGTTTGGGGGGTTTTCATTCGTTCTTTGTAACTGCTAGTATATCATAAACACCTCATCTATAATCGCTAAACCGTCATTCCAAAGTATTGATACTGCTTCTTTCGTCGCAGATGGCCGAGATAACGTCACAAAGTTCCAGAAAGTGTTGGGTTTCAGGATTTCGGAAATTGGTCGGAAGCTTTAGAACGGATCTTAGAGTTCCTGCCAAGAGCTGGGTCCAAGAAACATGATACGCGACCTTACGCGACGGTTTAGTTCAGAAAACCTAGTGTCGTTTGTTGTGTTGGGCTATTGTTAGGAAGAAGAGAAGAACCACCATCACCAAAAAGGAAACCCCGCAAATTTGTCTCCCAACCTTCATAGTCCATAATCCGACAGATCGGACGGGTGTGCCTATTTAATTTTCTTGGCTAGTCTTGCAAGTGAAGAGCAATTCATAAATCAAGGCCATGGCACTGCTGATAAAGAGCTGGATTCTGGCATCAGTGGTATCTGCCGTCATTGCTCAGACATGTGAACCGTACAAGCCTTTGCAGCTCTTGGTCGCAACGACTGGTTAGTGCAGATCGATTTAATCGTTATCCTTCTTGTCGCTAACGTTTTGCTGGTCATTACTTTCTAGATGATTCACAGAGTTCTAGGTAAGTCCTCAGCGCAGTTTTTACAGCCGATCGAACCGTTACGTTGAACTCAATAACCTTTTTTCTTGTTGAATTGAACAAACAGTTCTAAAGGTTTGTTACCATGCGGTCGCTCCATTTTAAAGCTGAAATCCAATTTTAAACCTAATTTTTCATAGTTTGGACCGTGAAATTTGACGAATGCCTCCCTTCAAACACCTCCACTCCAATCGCACTCACGTTTCGATTAAATCACCGTGTGGCAGTGGACTTTGACTTGGCAGTGACAGGAGGGATAGCTGATTGTAATGAGCCATCTCAGGAAATCGTACATGGTAGGCCTTTACTATCGGAATCAAGCTATCTGGACATTTTCTTAACCAGGGTTGTACCTAGGGACAAAACATTTCGCACGAGCAGTGGAGGGCACAGATTCTTCCTTTGGCAAGTCTTTACCGAAATTTGTGGCGTTCAAAGGCCGCTTCTAAATCTTATATTGATCCTTAGATTACGAGATACCACTGAGTCTGCTACAATCAGGATACATCAAGCAGGTTAGCAATTTTTTCCAAACGTATTGGTGATAAAATTGATCGTAAAATCAAATTTTGTCTCAAATTTTAGATAACGTTATTGAACTGCCCTGATTCTGCTGACACGTATATCCAGTAAGTTTGTTGTCCACTTGTTTTGTCGTCATGCTCTATCTCACCCGTACTACCTTAGAAATTCATTCTTGTCAACGTGTCCCGAGCCCTTTGTGCGAGAGCAGCCTAAACTGTCAAAGAGACTCCCTGTTAGTACAACTGGAAAATGTGGGACTGCAGTGGGACTCCAATGTGCCGCAGGATACTGTTGCAGCTCGGCGAATTGGTGTGGGACAACCACTGCTGTGAGTATAAAGATGTTCCTTACGATTTTTGGATCTAACGAGAATTATTTTATAGTACTGTTCGACAGGATGCCAACCACAATTTGGAAATTGTAGTAGTGTTCAATCAGCTACCTCGCCGACCTCGAGCAAATCTGTGCTTCCGCCCATGGATACTTCGCTGCCCGTCTCTGTCGATTATGCTTGTGGTTTAACTGCGGGCACCCGATGTCCAACTGATTACTGTTGTAGTACCGTAAGCAATCGATCTCACAACACAATTTCCTTTTCGATGCTGACGCGTTTGCATTAGGCCGGATGGTGTGGGAAATCGAGTGCTTATTGTGCTGTATCAAGCTGCCAACCATTGTATGGTATTTGCGGTGTTGCTTCGGTAAGTACATTCAGCGGAACTGCATATTTTATGGTTTAATTCCATACTAAACATGAAATATTTTTCCAGCCGGCTGTGGCGGGCACAAGCAGTACAGCGACCTCTGCGGCTTCCTTCACTACCACAAAATCAGCTATACCATCGTTCACCACCAAATCGACATCCACCAATACCCCAATCGTCACGTCGACAACCAAAGTAGTTACATCATCGCCTTCTACAGCATCATCGACGTCGACAACTACCAATACCCAGGTTGTATCCTCTATGACCACAGTAGCTGTAGCGGTACGGTTTGCCTTCGCTCGATTTCGACTATATCAGACTAAGAAAACCTTGAAAAATAGACCTCTGTACAAGCCTCGGTCACATCCCAAGTAGTGTTGTCATCGCCGTCTACAACTACCAATACCCCAGTTGCATCATCTACAACCAAAGTAGCTGTATTGGTACGGTATTTCTCCATTCATCTCCTGTCGATTTATGAAACTAAAAACCCCATGAATAATAGACCTCTGTACAAGCCTCGGCCACCTCCAAAGCTGTTTCTGCTTCTCCAAAAATCTCTACCACTGTAGCCCGAAGTCCTACAACACCAGCTCCAGCGCAATCACCTACTCCAAGTTTACCGATTTCAATTAATTACTCTTGTGGTCCCAGCGCAGGAACACAATGCCCTGTCGGTTACTGCTGCAGTATAGTAAGCTCTTTTTCGCATTGCTTTGAAGTGACGTTTTACAATCCTGAACAAATTATCTAACGTAGTACGGATATTGTGGAACTTCGGATGCCTATTGCGCGGCGACAAACTGTCTCACAGGATACGGTATTTGCAATGGTGCCACATCGCCAAATGTAGTCCCTTCAAGTTTGCCATCAGCAACGAAAGCTCCGGTCGTGGGAGCCAGTGGTGCTCCAAGTCCAGTTGCAAGCATCGCTCGTAGTGTCGCTCCCAGTGCAGCTGCTAGTGTAGCTCGTAGTGCAGCTCCAAGTGCAGCTCCTAGCCCCGCTCCTAGTTCTTCTAGCACTTTGGTACATGTATATTATTTCGAAAGATCAGAAATGATTTCACTCACATTGACATCTATAGACGTTTGACCAAAAACTGTCTCAAGGAAAGGTCATAAGTCTGTACTGGGGTAAGTTTATCAGGTCTTGGCAGAAATCGCAAGTTGTTCCATCAGATGCTCATGATTCAATATAGGTCAAAACACCCTCACTAAAGAAAAAAGCTTGGTTTATTACTGTGATCCCTCGCTTGGAAATCCAAACACACAGGCTGATATTCTCATAATATCCTTTGCGTACATTTGGCCCAGCGGAGTCCTGGTAAGCTTGCACATTCCGCTAAACTTTCGATAGTTTTGCTGACCATTCTATTATAAATAGCCAGGAACTGCGAGTCAAATGCCGCTTCTTGATTTAGCTGGTCATTGCGGCTCTACCTATGGATCCACAAAATATCTAAACTGTCCCAGTTTAGGCACTGAAATCCAAACGTGCCAGAGACTTGGCAAAAAAGTATTCTTGTCTCTTGGAGGAGCCACCGGGACTTTCGACTTTGCCAGTGGGTCAGCTGTAGCTTTGGCAACAGCCGTGTGGAATCTGTATCTGGGTGGTACATCTGCACCATATAGCAATTACCGACCTTTTGGAACAGGTGTTGTGCTTGATGGAATCGACTTTGATATTGAGCAAGGTTCATGTAAGGCCTATTTTCATTTCTTGTTTGTACCTTAGCTAAGAGCTCATTGAAAAACACAGCTTCCGGCTTTGCTCTGGTTGGATCCACACTACGAACCTATATGAACTTCGATACCAGCAAAAAGTATTACATCTCTGCAGCTCCTCAATGCGTTTACCCTGACGCCTGGGTGGGTCCTGGAACCGGAACCCTGCTGTCCGATCCAACCGTCAAGATCGACATTGTTGGAATTCAGTTCTACAATAAGTACGTCCTTCACTCACTGCGCGTTCGATTGACGATATTGATTTCAATTTTTTGTTTAGCTATTGTGGTGTTTCGTACTGGCCATCCGTGACAAACAAAGTTATTGGAAATTCGTACAATTTCGCTTTATGGGTTGACAGTTATGTTGCGAGCGTGAGCTGGCCCGTCAAACTAATAGTTTTGGTCCCTGCTACCACCGCATCGGCTGCTAATTATGCCTCGCCCGATGTCCTCAAACCACTATTGGCCTACTCCAAGGCGCTCAGCTCCTCATTTGCTGGGGTTGGAATGTACGTGTGCTTGCGAGAGCAGCAAAGCAAGATTTCGTCCAAACTCCAGACCGATTTGTAAGGACTAACGTACCTTATATCCTAGGTGGGACGCTGGAGAGGATTCTTCGTCTAGTGTCAGCTTGGCCGGTGTCAGTGGCCTCAAGTTCTCCAATGCCATGAGGTTGATATTGAACCAAATATGAGAACGGATGTGCAAGTATCGGGCTACAACAAAGACCTCATATACTCAATAATTCATCTCGCTGCACACGCAACCGCCTCATGGAAACAGTATTTCAGTTGATCATTAATAGTAGTTTAGTTACCAGTTATAGTACCAGTCATAGTACTAGTCAGTTGAAACAGTGCAAATATAGAATGGGCTTGCCTTTTTCAGTCATTCACGTATTTCATGAAGATGTTCAGTGCATTTCCAGTTTTTCCTCGCAAGACGATTCCAACGTGTGACGCGGAGTGTGATATCTGAGCGATTGTAGGTTCGATCTGACACATATTCTTGAACGGTTCAGCGTCAGAATGATGGTTTATTACAGTCGCGATATCTTAGAGAAACACATTCAGTGTTATGGAGGAGGTCAGTTTATGGCAAAAATAGTCAAGTATCACGGCGTTCACGTCTTTATAAATTGGTCGATTCGTCCTTTACGACGAGCCACATACTGTTAAGATAGTTGGTCGTTAGTGACACCAAAACATCAACCTCCAATGAAACAAATTACCTGTTCATAGCCAGCCATTGCAGAAAATTTGGTGAAGCAAGGATTCCCCTCGACCTCAATCCATGTCAGCGAAGAGTTTTGCAAGATATCGGGAAACACCACCAGAGAGTTGTTTGCAATACGTAATATTTTGAGCCTAGGTGGCAGGCCCAGCACTCGAGGAAACTCAGCAACCTGATTATTTGATACATTAATCTCTTCCAAATCAGGCAAATTTCCCAGTGTAAATGGAAGCTCTTTGAGCTTGTTGTAGGAAGCATCGAGGGTGACGAGTTTTCTGTTCCATCCCAGCTCTAGTGGTATCGAAGCTAGCTGATTATTTGAGACGTCCAGTGTCTTGAGATACCATAGCTGTACGATGAAGAAAGAGAGGGCTTGCAAACGATTATTATGAAGATCCAGAGTCTGTAGTGCTGTCAAAGACCATATTTCGTCGGGAAGCGTCGATAGTAGATTGTTTGCCAACGTTAAAGTCTTAAGCGAGTTAAACCTGCCAATGTCAGGAGGCCTTTGAGGGAATAGGTTAGAAACCTCCTCCCAGAGCAATTGGACATTCATTAATAGTCATGATTTCGGGACTTGGAAGGGCCGTTCATCATAATTGTCAGTGTGATCCAAAGCTTCCCAAAACACAGCCTCAGATGTCATTAAAACTTACAATGTTTCTAGTAGATTGCTGGACAGGTCGAGGATTTTCAGGATGTTTGGATCAAGGTTTGATATGACCAAAGGCCATTCTTTCAATTTGAGCCCTGATAGAGCAACAACTCCTAAAGAGGTCAAGATTTGAGCAAGTTTGACATAACACTTCGAAGCGAAGAACGAGCAAATAAAGAGCTGACTTGCCAGTTTCAGCACTCCGATCTGCCTTTTCTGCCTTTTCTGCGAGGTGCTTCTTATCGCCAAAGAGAGCTTTCAGCCACTTCATGATCTGTTGGTTTTGCAGTAGAAGACAAAGCGACGCAGCTATGAAATGCTTTGTGTATTTGTGGTGCAACAATATTCAACTACAATTGTATTACCAGGGAATGACCTTACGATCTTGATCCAAGAAAGTCCCATTTTCCGCCTCTTATATGTGGTGTGTATTAGCCCTGATCAGCGCAACGTTCATAACATGTTGACGACCTTATGCAGCTCATACCTTGAGAGATTCAATGGTATTGAACATGAGCTCAGCAGCTTGATCAGGGGACATGTGGGTACCACATATTCTTGAACGGTTCAGCGTCAGAATGATGATTTATTACAGGCGCAATATCTTAGAGAAACACATTCAGTGTTATGGAGGAGGTCAGTTTATGGCAAAAATAGTCAAGTATCACGGCGTTCACGTCTTTATGAATTGGTCGATTCGTCCTTTACGACGAGCCACATACTGTTAAGATAGTTGGTCGTTAGTGACACCAAAACAGCAACCTCCAATGAAAGTAATTACCTGTTCATAGCCAGCCAATTCAGAAAACTTGGTGAAGCAAGGATTCCCCTCGACCTCAATCCATGTCAGCGAAGTGTTTTGCAAGATATCGGGAAACACCACCAGAGAGTTGTTTGCAATACGTAATGCTTTGAGCTTAGAGGCCAGGCCCAACTCTCGAGGAAGCTCAGCAATCTGATTATTTGATACATTAATCTCTTCCAAATCAGGCAAACCTCCCAGTGTAATTGGAAGCTCTTTGAGCTTGTTGTAGGAAGCATCGAGGGTGACGAGTTTTTTGTTCCCTGCCAGTTCTAGTGGTATCGAAGCTAGCTGATTCTTTGAGACGTCCAGCGTCTTGAGATTTGATAGCTGTACGATTAAGGGAGAGAGGGCTCTCAAACGATTACTATGAAGATCCAGAGTCTGTAGTGCTGTCAAAGACCATATTTCGTCGGGAAGCGTCGATAGTAGATTGTTTGCCAACGTTAAAGTCTTAAGCGAGTTAAACCTGCCAATGTCAGGAGGCCTTTGAGGGAATTGGTTAGAAACCTCCTCCCAGAGCAATTGCAAATTCATTAATAGTCATGATTTCGGTTCTTGGACGGGCCGTCCATCATCATTGTAAGTGTGATCCAAGGCATCCCAAAACACCACCTCAGATGTCATTGAAACTTACAACGTTTCTAGTAGATTGCTGGACAGGTCGAGGATTGATTTCAGGAGTTTTGGATCAAGATTTGATATGACCGAAGGCCATTCTTTCAGTTTGAGCCCTGATAGAGCAAGAACTCCTTAAAAATGTCAAGATTTGAGCAAGTTTGACACTTCGAAGCGAAGAACGAGCAAATAAAGAGCTGACTTGCCAGTTTTAGCACTCCGATCTGCCTTTTCTGCGAGGTGCTTCTTATCGCCAAAGAGAGCTTTCAGCGACTTCATGATCTGTTGGTTTTGCAGTAGAAGACAAAGCGACGCAGATATGAAATGCTATGTGTATTTGCGGTGCAACTACATTCAACTAAAATTATATTACCAGGGAATGACCTTACGATCTTGATCCAAGAAGGTCCCATTATCCGCCTCCTATACATGGCGTGTATTAGCACTGATCAGCGCAGCGTTCATAACATGTTGACGACATTATGCAGCTCATACCCTGAGAGATTCAATGGTATTGAACATGAGCTCAGCAGCTTGATCAGGGGACATGTGGGTACCCTTCACAAACGGCCTGCTCAAATCAGTGTCGACCGTACCAGGATGTAAAGCAACAGTTATGACTCCACGTCTACCCAGTTCAGCGGCCAAAGTTTTTGTAATTTGATTTTGAGCTGCTTTGCTTGCTCGATCTAAAATTCCATCGTGTTATAAAACACTCTCGTCAAAACTGTAAAATCACGATCTGAGCTTACAAGAATACCATCCCCCGAGCTTATTATCAGCTATACTTCCAGTTCGAGCGCTGATCGACCCAAAAATTGACCTTGACCATGTAGCCGATTCTTTTGACACGGAAGCAAGAAGTGGAGTAATATGCTTGGCCATGTACATGACACTGAAAGTGTTGATCATGAAGTGCTTCATGATATTCTGTTCTTCAAGAGCTTTATAACTCTTTTCTGGATTCAGATACCTAGTAGAGTGGAATAAACCACGTGAATGACAGTATCTTACAAAATATCGCGTTTCTGATGCAAGACAAACCCAGCTGAATTGACCACCAAACGAACAGATCCAGGACCGAATGTTTTGCCGACCGTACTGGCGACACTGGCGATATCTTCTTCCCGAGTAACATCACAAGGTAAAATGGTCAACCTGTTTGAATTTTCATTTCCAAGATTCTGTTGAGCAACACCAACATCCCTGCAAGTAGCCACGACGTGAAAATTCGTCCTTGCCAATAACTGTCTTGCCAAGCTAGCTCCTATTCCCTTAGATGCTCCTGAAACTATGGCGACCGACATATTAATTTCAAAGTTTCCTAAGAAATCATTGACGGACGCAAACAAACGTTGACAGTTGGGCAAGCAACAAATTCAGATAGCGTACATGTATAAAATCTGCCACCTACTGTTATGTCGACATTTCCAACCAAAGTGTTGCGAAAAGGAGTTGGAGGTCACGTCTCATACCGACGTTGATCAGTTGGAGTGGCATCACGTCTAATACCGACGTTGATCTAATACTCAACTTACTATTTCAACACTGCCGTAACGAAATCGATGCTCTCCGAATGTGTGCTGGCTGTGCTGGCGGAAATAGCGAGAAACAGTTGGGCTCATTGGATCTTTCACTGCGCAAGTACGAAGTTGCTACAAAGGCCTTTCCATTTGAACCGGGAAAGAAATATGCGATCAAAGCTGGTCTGTTAGCTGTAAATACGAGTCCTTTGGATTCATTTCATTTCGTTGCAACGAAGACACTCACACACATCTCCACCATCCGAGGGCTGGCTTGGAGAGCATGGACAAGGAGATATGTACAGATCTCGTTTGTGGAATCGAGAATACTTTGTGGCTGCATATGTCTCCAAAGCTGCTTTGTGACAGGAAGAAATATTACTGGTTAATGCTTCTGATCGGTGGCTGATACATCAGTTCACTGATGTATCGTCGTATGAACAAGAGGTTGGGAATATGAAAGGTTTTGAGATGGGCCATTGCTGTCTACGGTTTGCGATGTCTTTGAAGCGGGATGGCAACTCCTCAGTGGCGGTTATCCTACAAAGTAGAGAACACAAACCGAGATGGAGGTTGAAGTCAGTGGTATTAAACTGCTTTAGTAATGATCACGATTTGATGTGTGCCTAAAGACATCATTTCAGGTTTGGATGTTCGAAATAAAGACACCTCTCGAGGTAAATTGCTATGTGTTTTTATTTGCGTTTCTATCATTGTAAAGTTGGGTACATATCAGACTACGACAACTGTCCATTTTAAGTCTCTGCGTGTTTGATGAAGATCCAGCTGGAGATTGGCAATATCTACATCAAGGTCCAAAGATATCGCAGCTCAATCAGTAACTTCCCTTGGTGGATCAAGAGTATACTAAAATAACTCACGTCAATGTACCACTTCGATGTACCACTTGGGTTGAAGAGCTTGATAGTAGGAAAGAATGTGTTGAAAGCATGCCGTTCCGTTCAAGAACGTACCGGGCATACTATGTCAGCGCGAAGATAGTAAACTACCACCACGGGACCGTCAATACGACTCAGTGAGTGACCAGAGAGTGTATTGGAACACCTCATCATTCCGTATAGAACAATATGACTCGGTGTATTGATGATCTCAGTGTCTTTGATCACGAGAGATGTCAAGACAAAGGACCTTTGCTCCAGGTTGCCAAGGAGCCCAGTGAGAGAGCCAGTAGCATCTAGCAAAACCAGTTTCTTCCAGAAGGCTCATCAAAACAACATGGGAGTGGTGATGGCAGGAGGTAATCTAGCAGACGATTTGAGGAATGTTAGCATTCGATGTGAAAGAAAATATTGAAAGGAGCATGCTAAACAGGGCGAATGCAGATTCATAACACAGCAAATGATTGTAATTCGATACTAGACTCGATACCTTTGTCTCTTGGATTGTTCGTGGTCGAAGTTGAAACTTGAAGGCGTCAGGTTGATGTTGGGAGATCCAGGCCATGACAGGTTCTTGATGGAGAGGAGGAGAAGCCTATGTAGTGGATGCATGATATTAGTATCGGTTAGAGTCCATTTCAAGCTACAGTCACAAGAATACATACCGTTTTTCAGCAAAGGCCAACTTTCACTTGGCGCTTGTTTCGAAGAATATGCTTGAAACAAGCCCGACCAGCAGATGGATCTGACTGGCAATGACTGGAATATGTTGGCCATGTATGCATCCATGTCGTATGAGGTATGCCTCCTCCTGCTTGTTGATAACTGTGTTGGGACTAGGTGTGATTGTTGTTGGTAGTGCCATCAGTGTTTTTGAGGACATAGGCTCGGACATAAGCACACAACTCGATTGACTAGCTATAGTAAGAGAGGACCATCACTCAAATGTAGAATGTGTAGATAGCACAACATTCAACAGCTTGCAAAAATATGATATCTTTAGAACCTCTTCTGATAATTGTTTGATGTCTGCACGTCTCTTGACTTTCTTCTCGTTAACTTCAATAAACGCAATTCAACATTACTAGACACTTTTTACTTGTTTCCTTTGGACTGGACAGAGAATATCGAAACATTGGACGTGCTGATTATTTATCCTATACAGCATCACAGCATCCACGCTACTAATGCCAATCAGGTTGGTCATTAAGTAGAAATCCGTGTCTCGAGCATAATCAGAACCAGCAATTGCAGATGGCATACACATTTCAATTATGATTACATCGCCATCTCTAACGAAATCTGCTCGTATAGGCTTACTGGATCGTCATAACCAATCCAAACATCACACTTGACGATTCTCATCGTCCCAACTGGTCAAATGAAGACCGTTTATACGGAATCTCACAGTCTGCATAGCCCGAAACATGAGTTTTCTTTTGGACATTTCCTTCCATACCAGGAGACTCCAGCACGAATCGAAGCCATCCTGAAACATGTCAAGCAGCTTCAGTGGAAGGTGTTCTCACCTTTAGACCACGGCTGGACTCCTATAGAGCAAGTCCACAAGGCGGAATATATCGAGTATATCAAGAGAGCTTATCATGACGTTGGTGCTTTGGGTTGAAATGGTTTGCAGAGCCTACAGACATTCATACTGACACATCTTCCAACGTTAGTGGCTAAAGCTCAAAGGCAATCCAGACGGTGTATTCCCAGATGGAAGCGCTGTCAGAGAATTTGGGAATCTGCGGCGGCAGAAAACCATCAGTTCTATAAGTGCTGTTAATCCGACTGTATACGGAGGAACGCTTGGCCAGTTTGGCTATTTTTGTGCTGACCTGCAGACAGTCATCGTTGAAGGGACGCCAGTGGCAGCATATCAGGCATGTCAGGTTGCATTAACAGCTGCTGATATACTTATGACGGAGGGTGATTCAGCTGTTTTCGCTTTGACGAGGCCTCCAGGTGATAATGCTATAGCTAATATTGAATACTGCTTGCTAACTAGAATTTTTTTATTGTTTCAGGTCATCACGCTCATCCAGACATTTGTGCGGGATACTGCTTTTTCAACAATGTGGCAGTTGTTGTCGAATACCTAATTACACAGTACAAGCAGAAAGTAAATGATTTCCTTGCTTTGCTTGGAACTTGAACCACTTCTCTAATGGTACACCATCACTAGGTCGCAATAATAGACATTGACTACCACCACGGGAACGGCACGCAAGACATCTTCTACACCAGGAAGAATCCACTCTACATCTCCATCCATGGCCTTCCCGACTATCCATATTACTGGGGCGCATCATCAGAGACAGGAGAAGGTGACGGCGAAGGATACAACATAAACCATCCACTGCCGTTAGGATCTCAAGATCCAGAGTATGTAGAAGCACTTAAAACAGTGCTGTCACGGTTAGACAATCCGGATGTGATTGTTGTCTCCTTGGGTGTTGATACGTTTAAAGAAGATCCGATAGGAGGCTTCTTTTTGACTACAGAAGGGTACTTTAAGATTGGACAGTGTTTGGCAGCAAGCAATGTAAAAAAATGTCTGTTTGTGATGGAAGGGGGTTATAATATTGAACATATTGGTGTGAATGTTACTTCGGTGCTACGTGGATATGAAGATGGACTGAACTTAATATAATACTACCTGTAACACATTGCACTAAACATCTTCGCATTGACACACCTTTAAAGTTACAAGACCTGTATATGAATTTATCTTCAAAGAAGCAGCAAATAACAAAGTGTGTGAGAATTTCTATGGGTTATAAGGCGAGTATTGACCAGGTCGTGGTGGATTATTCGAGTATGAGAACCCACCAGGCAGGTTTTGTTGTGGCTGATATGGTGGTGCACTAGGCGGGCCGTAATTCAATGCTGAACCAGGCTGCCAGACTCCTGGCTGAGGTGCAGGAGACGAAGTACCATAATTCAATGCTGTACCTGGTTGCCAAACGCCAGGTTGATGACCACCTGGCGGGGTTCTATTTCCACTGCTACCACTACTACTACTCGTTCCTGGTCGCGGTGGTAGAGGTAGAGGATGCTGGTCTGATGTGGATGATACTGATAAACCAGCTATAGCATTTTGTATGGCGGTCAGGTTATCTCTGCGATCAAGGCTCCTAGCATAAACGAAGTCTGTGCAGTTGTCCTTGAATCTTGTCAATGCTAGTTGTATATCTGTATAGAACTAGAAATAAAAAGATTTCAGCGAAGTCATGTTTTGGAAACTCACAAACGTCTGTTTTTTCATCATACCTTGATTCCTTCTTGCAAATTGCCAGAAATCTCTTTGAATGTTCGATAAGCAGCCTCTAAATTATTCAAGGCACTTTCACGTTGCTTTATCATGTCATTTGTTTGTCTGGAATCCATGAATCGTTTGTGAGCAACCTAACATTTGTGTGTTAGTGATCATCTGATCCAAGTGATTTTTTTCTACATGCTTTGAACTTACTCTGACATCTTCCAATAGCTTGGTTTGCTCTAGTATAGACTGTTTTATCTGTGACACTAGTGGGTCATACTTTTTCAGCTGTTGAGCGAACAATGCTTCATTGTCTACTTGCTCTTGTTTGCTAGTAGCTTCCATGAGTTTGGGAGCTACAATACAATTTTGGCATTAGACATCTACTTGATTTCCAACTTTTCTCAATCACAATATTCTTTTACTCACCAACATCATCATCCTTGGAAAGTTTCTTGATATCCTCAACCAACACAGCCCTCCTCTTTATAATATCATTCAATTGAGCCAAGAGAGCTTTAACTTCCTTGACTGTTGGATCTGTTAAAGCTACCGTCGTCGATACTTTGCTAGAAGGTATGGCAGCTTCTAGCTCATCTCGCGATGATGACAAGGAGGTCATGACTGCAAAATTGTTGTCAATCTTGGTTCTGACAACCATGTCTGATTTGCGAGCCATGTCGAGCTTTTCACGGTATAAGCGAGCTGTGTCTCGGAGATTGCCTGTCAAATCTCTGGAAGGTGTTCGTGTCCAGCGATCTTTTCCAAATTGGTGACGAGCTTCATCGTCTTCTTTGGCTTCATTATCGAGCGCTTTCATAGCCTGAAGAAAACAAAAGAGTAGAGTGAGACGTGTAAATGGGATTTTGAGATGCAAAAAGTGGATCTGACCAGGCAAATCAACGAAGATAACTTCAACAAACATATTTTCAATTAACATACCTCGTCTAGCAACGCGACATCTGCGACAGATAGTGCTAGCACTGTCTCATAAGTTGACTGTAACCCTGATACACCACCGCTTTTTCGAACCTCTTCTGAGCGTTGCAAAACAGCAGGTGGTATACCTATTGGCTGTTCCAAAGCCTCAATAGCGCCAGGCAGATTGAGTGATTGCAATGTGCTATGTTCGCATACGGTTGAGTATATGAGGGAAAAAGAACCCAGATCGTACAGGGCGTTAATACCTGTGGCATGTAGCAGTTGCTTCCTTTGCTCTATCTGCTTCACCATTGACAAGATTCTCCTTTTGGCTTGAATATAATGATACCGCTTGGTGCACTGCGAATGGCACGAGCTACATCAACAAGTACGTCAGACAGGGGAATCAAGAAAATTGGCCGAATCTTGTATCGAGTTCAAATATTACAAACCTTGGCAAAGAATGGCTGCCCAACAACTTCACTCATACTACCCAAATCCGGAGGAGACGTTGGAGCTACCATTTCGGCACGTGCTATTGCAGCTAGAGCATCAGTTTTGGGTATGATATCGAGGTATATAATATTGTTATCCTTTTCGGCTCTTTGTAGATTGCTTTGCAGTACAGCAGCAAGGCCCTAAGTATGTGTATTCGTCAGCAAAAGATTCTACGCGAAAGACATGTGCTCCTAAAGAAATACCTTGAGATCATTCAACACTGCAGGAGCCATTTGCTTCTGATATTCCATGGCCTTCTTGACATGTCCTTCAGCAATTTGTAACCTCGCAATCTCTTCTCCATATTTACCAGCAGCTAATGCTTCACATCCTCTTCTGAATTGAGCTGCGGCATTAAAGTGCAGTGATTTGACTTGCACATGTATAATCCACTGTTGTGAGAACACGGCTGATGCGACTGCAGAGAAGTGAGCTGCGTCATAGAAATCAGAGACTTTGGCTGCTAATTTGGCTATTGTGGCATCTGTTTTTTTGTCTGTTATAGGCAAGAAAAGAGGTATGAAGTTGCGTCAATTACTGCATCTGCACAGCAAACCTTAAGTTTAGTTTACCTCCAACAGCCTTCTGCCAAAACGACTCTTGTGCTTGAGCGAGCATCAAGTTCATCAAAGCAGTAAGAGTAGTGTTTTGGAAATCAGGGCAAAATGGAACTTTGAGCTCTCCATTTGCGATTTGATCTTGAATGGCTTTGAATACGCCAGCTGCACTTTGGTAATATAATGCTATGAATAAAGAAAAGCTGTGAGCACAAAACAACGTTCAACGATGGTCACACATTTTGCACATAGCAGCTGCAACCTTACCACTCCTCTTCAGCCCTTCTGACGTTTGCCTTGACTCTGCCAATCCCAATTGAGAATACAGGGATCCCATATTGAAGAGAATGCAAGCTCGTTCGTATGATAAACTGAATGACGAGACTATGAAAGTAAAGAGGCTTAAAAACATTCATACGGCCATAGAGTCTGAGACGCGAGAAAGCACACATACTTGATCTGCGTTCCTTCCCAAAGACACAATACCACGGAAAGCATATTCGAATCTGATCAATGAGACAGATATGAATTGTTAGATATTTTCGCTATGACAAAGAGTGCTAAGAAACAACTCACCGAGTTCTCGTTGATGGGAAACTTTGCGCCCAAATAGATGATTTGACCATAATATCTATAGTAACAAGGCTGCGTACGTAAGCTTGTCCTCAAAAACAGAAATACGAGCAAACACACTTTTGTAGTCTAGCCAAGGAGGCCGAGTGAGACTCTAGTGTTATAATCTCATTTCTTAAATTATCCAGGGAGCGAAAATCGTCGAGATAAACTTCAGGATCTTCACTGTATGCCTGTTAGATTGCAAAAGTCGAATTAATGAGGGCTGATTTGTAGCATTGCAAAGTATTCAGGGAAGCAAGATAGAGGAGGGCTTCATCTTAAAAGTACTTCTTTACTACTTGTCAAAGTGAATAGAGCATTGTCGTCGATGATCAAACTGTCAATATCGTTGCCGTCTCTACTTGCCTGGGCAATGTAGTTCCTTAAAGACGACGAGACGGGGACACTTTCTGTTTTCTTAAAGTCCACTGATAGGAAGTTGGACGTCTGATTATTCATCCTTGTTTTTTCTGTTCAAGCACGCGTCTTGAAAGTCTTCAAGCTTGCGAAGAAGTGCGAGTGGGGAGTTGCAAATCAAATGTTTAATGGCTGAAGACATAGGCGACAGGCTACAGAATGCAGACCCCTTACGTGAAACGCGTCCCAAACTGGATATAGACACGTCGAGGTTAAGTAATCGGTATTTCTATTTGTTCATTGACAAGAAAATTACAGTTTGTTTGTTGCAGTGATTTCATAGTATGAGGATATCTTTGTAGTTGTTCTATATATTTATGTATCAGAGTTCCTTGAGCACGTCCACAGGCATCTTGTCAAGGGAAGCATCTTCAAGCGGCACCACGGGCGCAACCTTGACAGGCCGCTTTCCAAATTCGAATTCATCCCAATCTTTCAGTTGTCCACCAGCCTTTCTACCATCAGATATGTTTTTGAGACATTTGACTAGCTCGGAAATTAGACGATGAGAGCGTTTGTCGCCAGTAGTTCCAAACTCGGCAGAGTTCATGACATAGCTAAAGGCAATACGACGTTCTTGATTCCACCAAATCATACTTCCACCCGCACCTGCCCATCTAAAGAGTGAAATGGAGTGAGTACTGGACGACGGAAGAACAGATGGCAAATGTATACGTATGACATGGAAACAAGACAAGCTTCTTACCCTGACTATTGTCCGAATGAGATGAAACAGAATGAAGAAATAAGAGTGAGTACTCGTCGACAAGGCACTGTGAAAAACTTCAAAACGAAAAGCTTACCCATCCAATGTCTTCAGCTTCAGGAAAACGCACATCAAGAGCCCAACCTCCAGTAGCAAAAGTCAAGTTACGGTGCAATACAACATCAGGCAGTCGAGGCAATGGTATCTCGGTAGACCTCATTGTGGAGTGGTTTTTAATCAGTGTAAACCCATCAAAACTACCTCCATTAGCCATAACCGCAGCCAGACGGGCCAGACTTTTCGCGTTCGTGATTCCGCCATATGACGGACCTTCCGAAGCCCACACTTCTCTACGGTTATGAGAATGCGGCCATGGTCGAATCTGTTTAGGTGAGCTGCCACGGGTAGCTTTATAACTGATACTGCTCGAGTCAAAGAGAGCTCGACGAACTGTTGGTGGCAGTGGTTCGGTTTGGAATCGAGACGGCAGCAAGAGTTTGGCCATAGTTCGTAGAGCTGGATAACCCATGATGGGCGATACTCGATTTTCTTTGTCTTGTGGCAGACCAAGATAGAATTCGACATCGAGTCCTGGCATTATATCTTGCCTAATGATCTGACCTAACGTTCTACCATCTACTCGTCTGGCAATTTCATTGAGATACCAACCTCTGGTGACAGCTTGGTAGCCTTGCACCACACTTCCGTTGAAATTATGAGGTTGACGAGCTAGTAGTTCGGCCATTTGATCTAGATCAGATATTTCCTGGAGAGTAGGCTGGTTGTCGTTGTCAAGGTAAGTGACACCTGCTCTATGACCTAAAAGATGAGCTAAAGTGACGTTTTCCTTGTTCCCTTGGGCGAATTCAGGCCAATATGCAGCGATGCGTTCATTATAATCTAGCTTTCCTCGATCTACTAGATAAGCTATAGCAATTCCTTCTACGGCTTTGGACGATGAGAATACGATCTGAAGAGATTCGTTGGTATATTTTCTCTTGAAGAGACGCGAGTGGTAACCTCCAAACAAGTCAACCACAGGTTCTTCTCCAACTAGGAATTGAGAGGAAGTCTGTCAAAAACTTGGTTCAACGAAGAAAGATAGCCGACTAGCGGTCAAAACCACATACCATAAGCGACAAAACTGGCACCCACTTCATAACCATCCTGAAAGTTCTGCCAAAATGCTTCACCAACACTCTCGAATCCTTCCTTGATAACACCTCCAATAGGCCAAGTAGGACTAAGATTATATTGAAATTAGCAATTGTAGGATGACATGCGATGACAGTAGATCAAATTGTCAATAGCAGCAGAAACAGCAAAAATGGTAACAGCTGAACAAGCAACAACGGCAGCTTCTAAATCCTGTATGTAGCATTCCAGGATTACCAAATACATGACGCTTACCAACGCATTCCAACAATGTTGCAGACCAAGGGCTGATTAACGGCACCTGTCCAGTACCGCCAGTTAACAAAGCTGAGTATTCCAGTCCAGATCAGGAATCTTCTGATTCCCTTGGACAAATATGTCCTCTTGGTGTGTGCATGTGAATGTGATGCCAAGTGCTCATGAGACTTTGTTCTCTTAAAGAGCCTGTGGCCAGCTTTGAAGAGTATCCTGCTTCTAAATGGTCGTCTAAATAGTATGGATGCAGAGGGAGAGATGGGACTGATCGGCGGGGGAGAGTTTTGCTCGTCGTTGAGTTGTAGCGGATTGTGATGATCAGTAGAGGGAAGAGATTCCGTGCGAATATGAGGTATTATAGGCTTCTCCATTGTTGATTCAACGGCTCCTATTATTACAAAAAACTGGTTTTAATCTGACATGTGCTCGCTCCTTGCAGAAAATGTCAATGATCAATCAGCATCACAAGACAGGTCAGATGTATGGGCTCAGATGCTCATATAACGAATGGAAGATACAGCAATACGCAATGTCGCGTCACGGTGCCTTGAAAGCGTATCTCGAAGCGCCAAACGCCAAAAGTTCAAATGTAGAATCATCAGAAATCAGTTAGTCACGATTACGCGTTTTCAAACGTTCAAACGACATTGGTACATGATATAATTCAATTTAATCATCCTCTGCGACCTATTTTCTAGTAATCTGCAAACAATTCAAATCATCGTTCAAACGCTCATAATTTGACAACACGAGGAATAAGCGGAGGACAAGGAGAACTTACGACGGTCGATCGATAGTATGGCGATGCAGACTCCAGCACCACCAGTCAGGTTACAAGAGTACTTTGACAACATCCTGCCAGCAGCAGTTGCTCCACTCGCAAAATCATACAAGAATTTGGGCGATATTGCCCTCCATTGTGAGCAGTACTCTCACGACGAATCCACCGTTCTCAATCAAGACAGACGTGCTTACGATGAAGCACTCAGTAGCACCTCGCAGTATGCTCTCAAGGGATTGTCGGCTCTGGCATACCAATTGTCAGTGGCGGGCGCGACATTGCAAGAATGCATGGACTCTATGAATGCGGAACTGGGCAGATCTGTCGTAGAAATGGAAGAATCTACTCAGGTACACTTGGATCTATCAAGATCTACTCTATTGGGGTTGGGATGTGTTGTTTGCTATTGTCGTTCATCATGGCAAAGCTACCCCTTACTGATTCTCCATGTCTTCATAGAGATTTGATATGGCTCAAGAAGCTATTGGAAGAAAGGCATTGGGACAATACAATTATCAAACGACTACTACTACTCGCAAGGCCAAAACTGCCAAAGTTGAAGGTACTGTCTCTATCGTGTGTATGATCATCTTTCGTTCGACTAACCCTACTTGTACATCTAGCTGCAGCTTACGTACCTCGGCAAGCAACACCAGTAATAAACCTCCATGCACTCGATTCAATCGGAACACAACTGCAGCCATTCGGATTTGGTGGTTTACAACGAATGAACAGTGGAACAACATTAGCCAAAGATACTGTATTGGCTGCCACTTCAAATCCTTCCTTATCTCCCGGCACACCAAACTCCAGCTCACCAGCATCAGCAACCACCCGTGGATTCCAACGAATACCCGCAATGGCACCACCAACACTCGAACGCCCATCCTCCCTTTCCGATGTATCTCCTACAGGATCAAACACATCGCCCGGTAGACCTTCTCCTATGGGTATGGGAACCATTCGAGGTGCTATTCCACCACCACCAGTTTTGGAAGCGACTGCATCTGTTCGTGCAAAGGGCAATGCTGGTGGGATATCTCGTTTGTTGCTGTCTCTGACAAAATTCTCACATAAATTCTGAAAAAATCAGCTATTGCTTTGCCTCCACCACCTCCTCCAGATAATCTGTCGACGTTCTTGGCCACGGGCACGGTTCGGGGACGACCTGCAGCCAAAGGTGAGAATTTTCTTGTTGCTGGACATCTCGCCATTCGTTTTCTAAATTTCTTTTTCTCTGTGATCTTTTCTTCGCAGAGGAAGGCATTGCTCCTGTTGGAAGCACTGGAAGTTTAGCACATCTAGCTGGTACCATTAGAGCTAAGCAATTGCTAGGAACTCAAGGCGGTGGACCTATGCCACCACCTCCTCCTACTCAACCACAGGCAACTTTGCCGAAGAGTATGTCGTCAACTATGCCATTAAGTGTGTCGTCCAGATCCATAGCTGCAGGTATGTCCAACAATAGAATATAAGTTGTTGAAGTCCGCGACACTCACCGCTCGTTTCTGTTAGTTGAACAAGAGGAAGCTGGAGATGTCGTTCCTCCTCCTCCTGCTCCAAGCATCCAAAGTGGTACATTTTCAAATCATGTTCGCAACAAAACAGACTTCATTCTAAGACGACAAACCTTGATCTCCAAAATAGGTATGGCTTCGTCTCGACAGCAACCATCAGTTGACGATTTCGGTAGTTCGTCCTCTCTGTCTCGAGCATTAGGAAATGCACTGAGAAATAAACAGGCCAGAACAACCGGCGCTCCTGTACCTCCTCCTATTCCCACAGTTACATCATCCTTGTCTCGACATGGATCACAAGCTGAAATGAGTGGAAACAATGTCTTTGGAGCTCCTCCTCCGCCACCACCACCGCCGCCGCAGGAACCTGACAGAGATTCTGCTCCATTCGCTCCACCTCCGCCGCCACCTCCAGGAATGGGTGGTCCACCTCCACCTCCTCCTCCATCGTTCGGAGGTCCGATAAAGGCTGCATCTTATTCTGAAGGTGCTTCTGATGGTATGAGTGATTAAATACGTTGGTGCAGGTGCATCATTATTCACGTATGTCAATAGACGCTGGAAGTGGTAATGAATTACAAGACGCGTTACGGAATGCACTCAAGAAACGTGCGAACAAGCCTTCAGGTATGTAGTTGAAGTTGTGATATTTCTGATTCAGATTCTAACTCCTTGTGAGAAGATGGTGCAAGCTTGGAAATACCCTCGGCCAGCAACAGTCCTTCAACACCTCAGTCTGGAAGTGCTGTATCCATTCAAGATGAATTAAAAGGTCTTCTCTCTGGTGGTGTCAAACTCAAGAAACGAAGCGACAATGGTATTCGAAATGTTTGCTGGACGATTGTTTTGTCCTAGGAAACAGTCAATCTAATCATATTCGTGGTTTTAGCCGTATCACCAGACAAGTCGAATTCACCTGGATCTGCAGGAGCAACTATTACAGGTGGTGGCAACTTCCAAGACCAACTCAAGATGCGTTTGCAATCTCGTGGTGATTCCAAGCCAGGTACGATTTTCAAATATGTATGACCATAGTTACAGAATAGTGAATTAACATTGATCATTTCAAGTCAATATTCCATCCAAGGATACTTCGCCAACTCGTTCGGGTGTACCTGAATGGCAGTCCCAACTCAAAGGAAAACTGGCGAATCGTGTTCCATCTGCTGATGTTGTAGCGACTGAAGGCTCTGAGTCCGCTACAGACACTAGCCCACCTAGAGGTATTGACCGAGGACAATTCAACGTTTGGTTCGCATTTCTCACACATACTCTATATACCTTCTAGATCAACCTTCTTCACAACGCTCCGCCATGCTCAGACCAGTATCCAGCTCCAATAGTCAACCTGCGTCTCGTAAACCCTCAGGATTGTCCCCGAACGAACCTGTTGAGGAACCATCTCCAACTTCTGCTCCAGGCAGTCCATCAAAGAAGATAACTGGTGGGGGAACTATTAAAATCAAGGCTAAATCATCAGCAACTCCATCACCAACAAAGTCAGGTGACGCTGCTAGTGTCCATAGTGATGACATGTCTACGTTGGGCAACTCGTCAGACATGGCCGATACTTCACCAACTCGAAACAGCATTGTCAATCAACGAACATCTCTTGTCGGTCAACGAACCAGTGTTGGTCCATCTATCACTGGACGAATTAGTATTGCTCAACAAGCAGTAGAACGACAATCTAGTTTCAGTCAGCAACAAGAGCAACCTCGACTTAGTGTATCGCAACGACAGCAGCAGCAGTACGAGCAAATCGAATCACCGTCTAATCTGCTTGATGATTATGCTGCCAACCCATCTCCCGTACAAGATGCTGAACCAGCTGCTGAAGAACAGGAATATGAACTTCAACCTCCCAGTGATGGACAAGACATGGCTGTCGCTTTAGCTGATTATGATGCTACTGGTGAGGGACAGATGGCTCTTGTAGCGGGTGAAACGATACGTGTTGTTGCTTGGGAGTATGGTAATGGTTGGAGTTACGGAGAGTCGTTGGATGGTACTAAACGTGGTGTCTTTCCACAAACGTGGGTAGCTTCTTAGTATTTGGCACAATCCAAATTTGTTTCTAACTCTGATTTTGGATTAGATATGTGGATCCTCTGTAAATAATGTCCTTATTAGATGTGAACATTTTCATACAAGTCTTTCTGTAATAAAAACAAACGTTGGGGATCTATTTTATGATATATTTGATACGGCGAAGTCAAGTTTAAAGATGTAAGATTAAGCACATAATGTTTCTAAAATATATTAGCGATGATTCCAAACATTGGCTAGTGCTATATCACTGGCTACACCCAACAACTCCCAGAGCACTTTGACCTCGCAAAGAAAAGGAAAAGTCATTTGTGGGTTCGATCCAAAGTGAATCTTCGAGCTGTATATTTACCAATTGAGCAAAAGCGCCAAGAGTCCTCATACGATCTCTACAACTCCCTGCAATGTTGTGTTGGGACTGATGTAGTACCTGTAATCAACTGGCTCGTCGCTAAGCTCCTGTTCATCGAAATAGCATATAAGATACAGATTGACAGGCTCTTGGAAAATACGAGTCACATTGTCTTCATTTGGTTTGTGCACTACTAAGAGTCCTGCGTTTGTATGCAATAGCACAGCGTCGTTTGAGGCTCCTGTCGTCTCAATAGCTATAAATGCATGTGAATTGGCACGGTAGATATCCAGATTGTCTGGCCAGATAGACACATCACTCGTGAATATTGTCGAAGGCTCACTACCATTGTTTCTCTTCTGATGCCAAATAGCCGTATACCCATATTCACTAAAATCACCTCCATATTGATCAAAAGTCTGACCTCTCAAGATCACAGACATCATATGCTTTCTAGGGTACTCGGTAGACACAGTCTCATACTTGACAAAGTCTTCTGTTTTAGTTTGGCGAAGGTGTAGATAGTGATAAAGTTCCGACCACTTTGGCTGCTTGGTTTGGAGACTAGAGTCAAACCAGGATCTTCCTGTGGAAGGCGAAGACTGGTAGTTGATTATCAAGTGGCCTCCTTCTATAAGTTTACGCATCATAAGCTCCACAGCTACTTCGAAGGGCTTCAGATCGTTTGGGTCCGGTTCACCGTTATCAAGACGCTTGGAGGAAATATATGGGAGGTTTATGTGGGGAAATACCAGCTTGATTGCTCCAAATATTAAATCCTGCTTCAAGGAACACTCCTTACTCATTTTGGAGGCATCTGTCACGTCAACAGTCCTAATCGAAATATCGTCCGATAAGTAGTCGTTTCCAATGAGAGCCATAACCACATCTAAATCCTCATGCATCCCCGCTAACAGCCTTCTAAAGTCTATTTGAACAGCCACGACTATCTGTTCCATTAAGTAAGGGTCTATCATAGGCCCCGTATTGAGTACCTGCTCCATTGAAATTGGGGTTGCAATAGGCTTTATATTGGCGACAGATTCTTCCTCCAAGGATGACACCTTAACTTGCAATTCATCAATGACGCGGTTTATGTGTCGTCTTTCCAATGTCGTGTCGGTTCCAACGGCAATATATACCACGTTTCGAGAGAGAGAAAGGCCTCTTGGAAGGTCCACACGCGACCAAAATACACGGTAGACTTGATCTGATCAACCAGGTTGTGCAACGTCTTTTGATATTCCATGCATGTGCCCTCGACTAATTCAGCTTAAACTATCGGTGTGTCTATACGAAGATCCACCACTGTAGCCAGGTATTCACTAATTTCTTGGACCAGTTCCATCAGTTTATGCAGGGTTTCAATAGTGGCAGGCTCCAAGACCATATAGCATTTGGAGGCACCTTCATATATTTTATTCATGATGCTAACTTGTGCTTCCTTATCAACATCACTGTGCTGGTGAATGCAAAAAATGTCAATCCACAGGTTTCCAAATTTCTGAATAAGGGCCAGGAAAGCTTCCAGCTTTTCTTCACTGCCAATTAGCACGCCTAATCTTGAATCGTTCACTTTTGTGCTCAGCGTTCGTACTGTATCCCATGTGTGGAGACACAGTTCAATAATTGTGAGTGCCATCGAACGGACTGATTTCGACTCCTTCGTGATTGTAATTAGCAAGCTTCATATGATCTTTCAAGGATGGCAATATAGAAGCTGGTACATTCATAGGCTCTGGCTAAGAAAACGTGTAGAAGTTGAATAATTAATTAGATAGTATCACCAACATTCCATAACTTCGAAAGTTGGCAATACGTGTATGCTCCAAACGTTAATCTACTTTTGATCCTTGCTGGGTCCATGAGTGGTAGTAGTTACCTTAGCGAGGAGTTGTTTGGGCGCCGTTACTTTGACCTTTTCAGATGCTGCCGATTTGCTTCGTCTGCGTCTATCCTCATCAACTGTATAACAAAGGCGAAGCATTTCTAGTCAAGCTAGAAGGTGCTTGAAATCCTACTGAATTTTGAATGCTTTGAGCGTTGAGGTTGTCATCGTGCGAGGCTCAAGTCTTGTCAAAGTAATTTCATTCGCTCGGGCTTTGATGAGTCCATTAGTTGCTATCGAGGACAGAAAATCAGAACGACTGCATTCGGCAGCAGATCAATTTGTTTCGAAATTCAGTTCTTTTAAATATAACCGTTCTCTGAAAAAAACACCATGTCAATCTTATGCGGTCGCTGCTTACGCGCATAGACCGTCTCATCGGCATACAAGATTAGCTGGATCTGACGCTTGTCCCCTCCAAAACACCCTTGACAGATGCATGTGTGACTTGCTAACAAGTTTCAGCATCTTGTCACGTTTTGGATTCTTGTCACGTTTTGGATCAACAACACCATAGTCCACCTAGTTCTCGATCTCGAGACGCTTAATCAACAATGTCTGGCACAGCACAAGTCAGAATCGCCCAAACAATCGAACATTTAGCTCCAACCTCATCCCAACGATTCCTTTACACAGTCGACAAGTACGCTGACAAGGTCCTCACACTCGCACAGCGAGAATTCTATGAAGAAAACGGCTACATAATCATCAAAAAACTCGTTCCAGAGTCTGACCTGCAAGCATACAAGACTGTACGTGATGATCAAGCACATCGTGGGAATCTACATCTCTACTAACATTCGTTCCGCCCGAATAAACATAGCGATTCGTGGAGCTATGTGATCGAAAAGTGGACGCTCCCAAGAATTTGTTAATGATGAGGGATATCTCGCTTGTGAGGCAGCCTGGTGGTAAGAACTCGTGGGGTGAACACGCTATAACGAAAATGCAGGGGTTTCAGGACGAGCCGGTGCTGTTTGGGTACTGCAAGACACCGGAGGTGCTGAGATATGTGGAGGCTTTTAGTGGGCCGAATATTATGGTTAGTGTGCTTGGGGTTTGTGTTGTGTCTTTGGGTGTGGTTACGAACGCATCGATCAAAGAGGTTCTAACGATTCGTATTAGGCTGTTCATACGATGCTAGTGAATAAACGTGGGTGAAAGTTGTCTTGTTGTGAAAGAAGATTTGGCCGTGTTGCTGATTGTATTGATTTACTTTAGCACCGGGTGTTGGGGCAACTGGAAGACACCCTCTACATCAAGACCTGTGGTACTTTCCTTGGTATGGCATTGAATTTTCGTTTACCCCTCTTGTTACGGCTCTGTCTGTATGCAACTCTGAACAATAAAACCCACTGACGAGATTTGCAACCACCACAGGGGCCCTGCTGATCGAACCGTCTGTTCTGTAAGTTCAGTTACAACCAGAGTATTCTACCACAATACTCAACAAAACGGGCAATCATCGTAGTGGACAGCAATGGAAAAAATAACCCGTGAAAACGGGTGTCTTGTGGTTATACCTGGCAGCCACAAAGGCAGCCTATTAGACCACGATTATCCAGATTGGAGTGCGGAAGGAGGAGTGAATCATCAGTACTTGGGAGTGAAAGGAATAAAGCCTGAAGAAGTCACACGAGTGAGTAGTTTGGAAATATCTGTTGCCAAAGTCACAACGGTACACAAAAGCTGATGTGTTTCTGCAGGTGTATGCTGAAATGGAACCTGGAGACACGATCTTCTTCCACCCCGTGTTGATTCACGGTTCTGGAGCTAACAAGGTCTTGTTGTATCATCTCGATACCCAACTGCTGCTTGTACTGATTTCAATCCCATCATAGACAACCGGCTTCCGTAAAGCCATATCCTGCCACTATGCAAGTGCCAACAGCTCGTGGTTTGAAGACATGAATGCATCCACTATGGAAAAAGAGATCAAAGAAGAAATGGACCAGGTCAATGCAGAATTGCAACGAGTTGGTACTCGTGGGTCCAAGGTCAAGGCGGTGGAGAAGGCTACCACAGATGTTCGACAGGCTAAGCGTATAGCAACGGTGAGTTTGGAGAAGTTTTGTTGTTGTAAATATGCGACGATACTGATTTGTCTGTTTATCACAGAGGTTTTGGCAGGCTAAAGTTCGGCTGGTTGCTGGTGAAAGGGGGACAATGACCCAAAAGGTTTAAAATGCGTGCAGTAACGGTATACCCAAATGTAATGATCTAGCGGTTTATGGTGAAAAGTACAGTCAGAAATGGCTTTAAATCAAGCGTTGAAGTCATTATATAATCCTTAATCTAAGCGACCGATTGTTGAAAGAATGCCTCTTTCTAGCTGTCATTTTGTCAAAACTCGCAACTTTATTTGACCAGCAGCACCCACAGCGCATCACACACCAAAGCGGTGAAAGCCTCACCTCCTTCGGCATGGCTAACCGAACTTCCACCGATCGCCTCTTGCGAGTCACTGAAACTCAAGAGATGCAAGAGTTTACCACTACCACAACCACCTTTGTGGCTGGAAATACCCCACAACGAACTCCAACGGCCAGTCGGGCACAATCTGCACAATCTTCGACTCCTGGATCTCCAAGAACGAGAGCTTCATCTCTTGTCTTTCAACGTTTTGCCAAACCACCCCCTCCAGTGGAGGTAAATGTCACCCCTTTGCACAGCACATTACAACACCCAGGGGCTGATTTTGCCGAACGTTTTCATTCTGATCTAATCATATACGTTATATGAATGGTTTCATATCTCTAACCATATACCCCGTTTAAGTGTGGTCACTGTGATCTAACTCTATTACATTGCTATAGAACGATGACCCGTCCATTGACGACTTTCGATCAGTCCTCAGACAAAGAAAACACAAAGAACGACTATATCAAGCACCAATCTTCAGGTTTGAACCAAAAATTTGATCTTCAAAATAATTTTTCTAACATGTCCTTTGACTCTTCCGCAACACTAGACCATTCACACCTACAAGGAAGAATCCCTACGAGAAAGATGTCAAGATCAGGACAATACTGGCAGAGCTTCAATACATGAACAATATTCAGCTAGACGAGGTGCCTGCCCCTTTGCAGTACAAGGAGTACCAAATATCGTTGATTTGGAAGGCAGTCAACGACGGGGACGTATTCAAATTGATGTAAGAATGCTCTCTTTAAGTTGATTTGGCAGGAAGTGATTCTCAAACCAGATGCTAAACAGGGCCATGGTTGAGCGCTATCCCTCTTTACTGAACGAGTCAGGGACACAGCACGAGAGCTTGCTTCATACGGCATGCTTACAAGCAACGCCACAGCATCTGTTGTGTGCTAGGTATCTGATAAACAAGGCCACAGCTGTCGAACGGGCGGGCATTCTGCCAGGCTTTTGTAAGTGAACCAAAATTGAATACAGGCAAAAAGAACTAACGCGCCCTTGTTTTCAAAAGCTTGCAAGGCGTTCATCGACCGATTTTATGGTGAAGGACCAGTCGTAGAGTATAGGTATCTTGGTGAAACCGCGGCCCACCTGATCGCCAGTAATGCGCCTGAGAAGGACGCCATTGAACTTTTAGCATTATTGGTAGGTGAAGGATGTATGTGCTGAGAAGAGACCTCCTATTGACCAATTCTGTTGTAGTACGAAAAGGGTGCCGTGTTAGGCTGGACTCGAAAGCCTGAAGAATACTCAAAGCAAGACCTATATTACCAAATGCGACGACTTGCGCAAGGAACGTTTTTCAGACAAGATACCGGGAATGCGTATATGGGGTGCGTATGCTTGACACAATTCCTACAGTTCATAGCTGACCTCAATCTTTCAGTGATTCGGTCTTGTGTTTTGCTGCTCTGGCTGGAAAATTTGAGTTAGTGAAATACCTGTGTTGTCAAGTACGTGCTCAATAAAAAAGTTATTTGAAGGAACGCTACCAACATTTTCACCTCCGTTTAGAAACCAGGATATCCAAATCTTGACTTAGACGCCCAAGATTCCTACGGCAACACCACCTTGCACATGTTGGCGTATTGGAACATGTTTGACATGTACAGAAAGGTGCTTCATATAGGCGACCACGGTGACGAGTTCCATTACCCGAACGATTGTATGCTCAACGGCTGGGTGGGCTCATCGCGTCGACTGAATCCGTTTCTGGTTGCTGTCGAGCGGGGCAATCATGATTTTGTATACAAGTATATCGAGCATCATCGTGAGCACTTTTGGACGTTTGGGCACGTTAGTGCCTATATCTATGACATTCAGGTGCGTCCAGTCTTGCAGTTTAAGTGGACCGAATTGCGTCTAAACCGTTTCCACATTCAGGACTTTGCACTCTGGCCAACCAACCCAGCACCGAAAGATCACGGTGGACCAAAGAAATCCAATTCTAGACACATACAAGAGAGACTACTGAAGCTGCAGCACGATGTGCAACGACGTGCCGATAGTGGATTGTTCGACGACGACCCAACCAAAGATATTATAAATCGTGTCAGGTCGGAATTAGAAGAACGAGACTCAATTGATCGGCTGGAGGCCGAGGTAGACGCCTTACGAGAGAAGCTGTCAGATAAACTAAAAGACAATGAGATAGACAACAAGAGTGTGATATCGGAAGTCATGGACGGGAATCTATATCTTGATCAGCTGAAAAAAGAGATTGAGATGAAGCGAGCCAATGCCAATTTTCCAAATGTGGACAAGAAGGATGGGTTTTATGAAGTTAAGAATAAGAGAAGTAGGAAGCATCATCACTTTGCGTATCAAAAGCCGACACATTCGGCCATAGACCTTGCTGCTGAGAACTCGGACAAGGAAATGGTATGTTTGTGTTGTTCGCAATTGGCAACTCAAAATACTTACAAAAACTATCAAAAAGCTATCGCACCACTTGTTCCAAATGCTGCTTCTAGTCAAGTGGGAAGTCTATCTCTGGAAGATATTCAGAACACGACTACTGCTGACCCTCATGGTCATGATACTCTTCTCATTTTCATTAGTACTTTTGCCAGTAGACGGAGCCGCACGTAGCGTCGAGTGGTTTACGACAGTCAGAGGAGGTTTCCGGTTCGCCCTTGAACTGATTGTAGTGATTTGTGCTAGTATCCAGATGGTGACGGAATTCGTTGAGCTTGTAACAAAGCCAACACATAAACATGGTCTTATGGCAGCGGCAAGCAAAACATGGCAGTATTTCAGAGGGTGGAGTGGTGCAAGAAGTACGTGAATCCTGGTTTTCTCATCGGAGAGAAATGTATGAACTGCTATTTGGACCCTGCTGACACTATTTTGCTGAATAGACACAATCCAATTGTTTTGGTGCAGTGCCATCCTGCTATGTATTCCATTCAGAATCTCTGCAAAGGCCCGAGGAGAAGATGTTCTGCTGATATTTTGTGTTGTTATTGGATGGTTATACTTGCTGTTCGGATTCGCAGCAGTGCACCGTCGATTTGGACCACTCGTTGTTACCTTACAAGACGTCGTCGCTAAGAACTTTGTCTTCTGGCTCCTCTTGTACGCAGTATTTTATATTGGGTCTGCCCTATCACTTCACGTCGTCAGGCTGAACTCTAATCCAGGGGCGGGCGGTGGATTCGATCGTGCAGCTGCTCAGTTTGTTTATGCCATTCGGTGAGGACTATAACTGTTTATATGATCTGATGTATTTCTGTTGTCGACTTTTTTCTTTCGTTTCTCATCCTTCTCCCTCACAACCAGGATTACTCTTCAACTTGGTGATTTCTCTGAAATGAGCGATGCGGTCTTGCCTTGGATGGTGATTGTGTATTTTGTACTTCATCACAATTGCTTCAAGTTAACTAACAATGCTTACGTCCATAGGCTCAACTAATCGTAATTTTGCAGTTTTATCAACCGCAAGTCTTCAAATTAACTAACATACATGCGTCTGTAGTACTTGTACTGGGCCGCCATGTCATCAATTTTGTTGATCAACATGTTGATTGCGTTGTTGAATTCTGCGTACTCTCGAGTGCTAGAAGATGGTAGTCAGGGATGGTACTTGCGTAAGTACTTCCGACTTCAAAGATATCATTGAGAATACCTTACCTTAATTTTCTCGTCCAGGTTGGAGTTTACTGTTACTTGACTTGGAATCGGGAATGCATGCATGGGACACTCTCTTCGGATGGATGAATAGGGGCAAGAAGAATATTTATGATATGACGCTGGACGATATTGGTATGCTCTAGTCTTAGTTGAAGTTTTTTGTTGGCAGAGAGTCTCAAACACTTCCTTAAGGTATCTTGGATTCGGATGAACCTCACACGAGGAGAAAGCTCTTGTATGAGCAAGTTAAAGGCCTCAAACGCCGTCAACGAACAAATCCGTATTGGGTGAGAAGTACTTCAGGCAACGACAACGAGGCTGAAGTTCCAGTCAAAATCGTCTTTTCCGAAGTCGGGGTCATAGATCCCGTCATATTTGAAGACGAAGATCGGTTTGCATACGCACGAGCTGGTGGTTTTTGGTCGAAACTGCATGGGCTGTTCTAGCTATTGTCAAACCAAACTGGGCAGGCTTTAGAAACTCAATTGCAATAGCCTTAGAAGTCATTGGATTCTTTAATTATATCATTGTATTTGCATCAACTTCAGAACTCGTTTTACATACAATCACTTTTTCCGCTTCAGAGCTTCAAATCCTATAAAAGTAGAAAATCGTCAGTTACACACACCATGTATCACTTAACGCATGATAATGATTACTTCGTGTGAGTTCATCAAAGTCTGGCAAATCACCAGAATCATCTCCTGCATTTCCATCTCCACCAACTTTACTTGTAGGTATGTTGGGGAAGTTTGGTAATCCTGCACTGGGACTCTCTGGTCGTGGTGGTGCCTGGAGAATGAAGACCATGAGATACGAATGAGCCACAAACAATGGAGACACATCGATTTCATGAAGAATCAGGTACTCACATTGGACGACCCAGGCTGCATTCTAGGATCCACATATTGTGGTTGCTGTTGTTGTCCAGGTATACCAGCTTGCGAATACCCATCATTCCCAAAGGGCGATGGAACCCTTGGTTGTTGAAACCCAGGTGGTCCGTAGTTTCCTGGTGGTGGAGGCATGAAATATTGCTGTTGCTGTTGTTGCGGCTGTTGCTGGAATTGCTGTGGTGGTTGTTGACCACCGTACTGGACACCAGGTCTCAATTGCTGTTGAGGGAATTGTTGTGGGAAGGTATATGGATGTTGGAATGCAGATTCAGCATTGCCCAATTCTGGATTCAGTAATGCTGAATCAATCTGTGGGAAGAAATTGTTTGAAAGCGGACAAAAGAGAAGCGAAAACCTGCGGTCAGAACGTACCCCAACGAGAGCATCCGAGTTACTTGTATCTCCATCCCATTCAACATGATAACTCTCAGCTATAGCTTTCAAATACTGGTTGACTAGTAAAGGATCTGGCGTTTGAACTTTGAGTTTGGCTATTATCTGAGTAGTGTTTTGAATGTGTTACTGAGTCGATCAGCAAAAAAAACCCGATCTGACCCGTGTATTCATACCCTGTTGTTGACCACATCATTCCTGTTCTCTTGTGCAGCCATAGCAAAGTCCTTGCCATACTTTTTGACGAATTGGTCTCTCAACTAGACAAAGGAATGGAGCGAAATATTGAGAAAAGTACTCAAAATTCTAGTTGACCTAAAAAAGCAGCATTCGAAACTTATTGGGAATTTTTACCCACCTCATACAACTCCTTGACTTCTGATCGTGGTGCAGCGTATATGATTGTATTTACAGCTTCAGCAATAGCAGGATCACAATGTCTAGACAGTTCAAAGGTAATAAGTTAGAAACTCGTTTTAAGACGCCACATCCTTAATCAACACGTTGAACGTACTGCATCGTTTCCAACAATCCGAAACGGGCAAGCAGCAATTCACAATATAATTCCAAGATCTCCATAGCTTCCATGTTGAAATCCTCCCTTATTACATGTTCAACCTACAAATAAGAAATGTCTTAGTTCTTGTTTTGATGAGGGGTTTCGCGGTAAGATAGACCGAGAAGGAGAATATAGAGTATTTGCTACGATCCGATGTGATCTAAAACACAGCTTACCTTGATACGAGCACTCTCTTCCTTCTTCTTGCCCAACAAGTCAGCAATCTCTCGCTTCATTTGCTCATTTAGCGTAGTCTTCTTTTGACGGAGAAGCTTTAGTCGGCCTGACGCCAACTTCAAATTCACCTTGCTCTTGTTCGCATTGAACTTGTTCATACTGACGGCCGTAAATGTATGTTGGTTGAACGAATCTAGTTTACAGGCGTTCTGATTCAGGAACACGCCAAGCTCGTCAAAGCAAGGAGCAAAACATACTTGGATATGCAATCATCCATTCATGTCTATGCTTACAATGATTTACGCGATTTTGCTATAAATTGGTTGCTATTTGGAACCTATTCGAATGTTTTTTTATGTTCACCACCCATCAATAACGTCGTCTACGATCACCATCACGTCGATCACGGTCACCACGACGGTCTGAATCATTATTCCTGTTTCCCCATCGTTCTCCAGCATCAGGAATCTCTGTACGTGCTCGTTTAGCTGAATTTGGTGGTGGCGGCGGCAATGTGGGTGTGGTAGCAGACGTTGCTCCACCCGCAGGAATGCCAGGATTGACTGATGTTTGTATTGGATTGGGTGAGAATCGTGTTGAAGAGGCGGCTTCTATGTGAAATAAAACAGAACGCATCTTGATCAACAACCAAACTTGAGTTTTTAATTTGCTTTTCAGCACTTCCTTACCCTCTGCAGCTCTTTTCAACGAGTTTCGAGTACCAGATCCAAGGATCGAGAAGCTTTGACGTTGTACATCGGCAACTGGAATGCTGGGAGTTGGAATACTCTCTGATGCAGCTGCAAAAGGCTCTGGTGAATCAGCTGGTCCATCTGAAACAGAACAGAGGTCAGAAGGGTTGATACAGATCGTATCTGTGTCCAGACACACCGACAAAAAAATGGACGTGAAAAGTGTACAATGCAGCCATTCGTCACTCACCATCACCATTCCTGCTCCGCTTGACACCAGTGTCTCGGTCATCCTTACCATCCCGATCTCGTTTACGTTCTTTACCGGTACTACTGGTACCACGATCTCGTTCACGTTCCTTTTCACGTTCCTTACGACGTTCTCTTTCCTTGGATTCACCACGATCTCGTCGTTCATCCTTTTCTCGATCTTTACGACCACGATCTGAGTCTCCATCTCGTTTGCGACTCTTGCTGCCATCATCCTTGTCTTTTCTATCCAAGTCTTTATCCCGTCGTTCGTCTTTACGTTCAAACGTGACATCTTTATCCCTTCGATCATCTTTACGATCCTCTTTGCGATCCTCCTTACGATCAGATGTTGATGAGGCATCTTTGTCTTTTCGCTCAGCGTCACGTCGTCGACTAGCACTGTCGGTTGCTGTTGGTGGTGTTGCTGCTATCGGTACTGTTGGTGTTGTTATAGACTCGGATTCGACTGGCCTCGGCTGAGGACCTAGCCTATCAGAGATATTCATTTTACGTTCACCTCCTGTTGTAGACTGAGTGTCCTTCGTGTCTCGAGCATCTCGTCGTGTTGGACTAGATACGTCGAAATCACCAGGTGAATATATGGGAGTCTTTTCACGATCATCTACAGTGCTGAATCGTGATGTCTTTTCACGACGATCTGAAACATCCCGTTTGGTTGATGATGGGGGAGCGGCATCTTTGTCTTTCGTTGTGCTAGTATTTATTCGACGTGGAGACGGTGATCTATTACGATGATGCTTTGGCGAAGTAGACCTTTTGTGGCGTGTACCATCTCGATCATCTTCAATATTGATGCCATGTGGTCGAGTATCTCGAGTATCTCGTTTGTTGATGGTGCTACTTTTACTACCACCAGGTGAAGGTGAACGTATACTTCGCTCACGGTCACCTCGAGTATCACTACGATGAGACATCGCATCACGGTCATAATTACGATCCCGATTATTGTTATTGAACGATGGCGGTTCTCGATGATGCACGGATTCTCGTTCAGCATTGCGTTCATCACGTCCAGTAGGATCTCGGGAAGATTCTTGTCTGTGGTCTCTTGTATCTGCTTTGCCTGTTGCATCTCGTGAATCTGTTCTACCAGTACTAGACTTCTCATCAGGATGATCCGATTCACGACGATGCGTAGACCCACCACTACTGCTGTCTTCCATAGATGGTCGTTTACCGTCACCGTTGTTCATAGGACTATCTTCGGCTTGAATAGGAGGTCGAGTGTACCGTGAAGACAAGGCAGAGTTTGATGGTCGAGGTGGGAGATCGGATGCTGGAGTACGTCTCACTTCTGGCCTAGGCATCGCTGACGGAGTAGCGGCACTTGGAGTACCTTCCGGTCGAGCAAAACTGGAAGTTCCAGGAGGAAGCATTGGGGGTTCTTGTCTAGGGCTAGCCGTTCCTGTCGCCCCTAATGCGGTGCTACTACCTTCTAGTCTACCACGGACGGTGTTGGTTGCTGGTACAGTTGGTGGTGCCATCGAGTCCACGTCCGTTTCATTTGGTATGACTGCTGATGAACCTGGGAATACTAAAGATAGCGTGGGTGTCGGACCTGGCTTGGTTGAGACAATCTCTACATCAGCCACGCCGTTGTTGGTCCTTGAAGTAGATCGTCTTGTTAGTAGTTCAGAGTTCATCGTTGCTTCCAAGATTCCATCTGGAATAGATTCAACAATTATCGGTACTGCATTATTTAAAGCAACTACAGCTGGTGGCTTCACTGGCACTATCGGAATTTTACCTCTCCAAGTGTGCTTCTCTTTATAGATATTGCCTCGATAACTTATGGCCAGCTGCTTGAGATCAGGAGTTTCTTCTTCTGCTACATACTCTTTCAAAACATCCAGCAACGGGATTCCTTGTTGATTGAACGCTGGGAATAGGCCAACTAGCCCATTGGCGAATAGCAAGGCATTTCTTTGCTGTACATATATGCCTGTTTGCAAACTTGCAGTAATGGACTGTTTGATTGAGAAGAGTAAGGTGAGATGACTTAGCTCTGTGAACTTCATGCACACAAAGTATTCACAGAGCAATGGCTTACCAAGGAGATTCGTACATGCCATTTACCCACAGCTAGACGATATTGTTCTAAAGGAACCAGCTTTTCCTTTGGTACCGCATCATGATTATGGAGAACCTCTCCAGTCCATTTGCGGACAAAACCAGGTCTACCTTCTCCTTTTCCGACGTCTCCTAATGCTTTAATGGTATACGACGTGGCGTCTTGCATCCATCCCATACAGACTTGTAACAGCCGTTTGTAGAAGACCGCTAAGATAATCAGATAGTTAAATCAAGAGCCTGACGACCAAAAAACTGAACCCCGACAAATATATGCTTGATTAAACACTGCAGGATGCTTACCCAGACATCGTATTTCCAACTCGGTACTTGACGCAAGCAGCGCTCGAAGTGCCCCAGCGTTGAACATCTAAGGAGAAACAGCATCAAAATCCATACAGTTGTTCACCTCACATACGAATCTAAAGGCTTACCCTTTCCAAAACGAAAACAGTGGGAAAGTTACGAGTTGGAAGAGTGTGCAAGAGGAATATAAACTTGGCACAATATTCTGCATCGGCATAAGACATCATGGCTCTTGGAAGCAGGCATTGCTCGCAAAAGAGTTCTGTGGCTCTAATTCGTTCATCTAGATTTGAAAGACACCGGCAAAATAAGCATTTGAACAAAGAGAAGGGCGCCAAACAAGCCAGTACTTACAGTCAGGAAGCCAGTATTTCCTCTCACGTTCCAACCTCTGCTTGACAACAGCGTTATGTTCAGTATGTATCTTGAGTTCCTTCCTCAACGCATCAGCAGCAGAAGAAGCTCTGTTTGCTTCTGATGTCTTTTTTGAGCGGTCTTTACTATCAACATCAGGCCTAGAAGCTTCGGCCATCAATTTCTTGGAATTGCCGAGTTGTGTTCTCATTTCGTCTTCATAGCGTTCGGTTGGCACATGTATATCGTACAAGGAGAGTTGCCAGAAGGTGACGAAAAATGGTACTGGGAGTGCATCGGTGAATGATTTTGGAAGTAGTCTAGTGACTGCTTCTATGGTTGGTAGTAAGGCAGGCTGCCATGGCGGTATGTTTGGATCTGTGTCTTGATCTACATCCATTACTTCGGCAGCTCTGGCAACTTCGTCAGGATGTGGATTTTTCTAAAATGTAGAAAACAACCTTGTTAAAGCAGCATGTCGAAAAACACCGAGAGCTCTATGAATCACCTTGACAAGTTGAGCAAGTGTCGGTCTCATCAGATGGAAGGCATAATCCATTTCCAACCCATATTTATCAACCAGTTCTTCCAGTGAGGGAAATGTTCTAGCATAGGCTTCAACATCTGCACTTGTAGCGAAGAATTCTGTATATTGCAAAAAGACTTTCTTGATCTATGCAAGAAAAGAGATGATGAGTGAGCTTCAAAAGACAAAAAAACTTCTTGGTACTCAAACCCACCTGATCGACTTTGACAGCAACAGTCTTCAAATCAGTTGACGATGCACTTCCAATGAAAGGCAAATCCCGTAATTGCTGTGCAAGCAAGATTGCAAACTGATCAGCCAGCTTCGATTCATTCAATGCTGACGCCAATCGTACAGAATGCTTCTTGAATTGTCTTTCGAGCTGAGATGACTCTCGTTTCAAGGCCTCACCACCAGCCAAACCCTCCAGACCTTTATCTGTTGGATTCTCGATGTATCGTAATGTACTCATTTGTCCTACAACTTCAGACAAGACGAGCATATCATATAATTCAGGTTCCTCGAATCGATTCTTGAGATATGCCAGCAAACCAGCTAATTCGGTTTGCTGATGTTTACGATACACAGTACCCACAAACTTGGCAATGGCTGCAAAGTTTGTGGTGGGTGTCAAACCGTCTTCAATGGTTTTCTTCAAGCTTTTATCACCCAATTGTCGAACGAGAGTGTAGGCCAATACATCAAAGTCCAGTTCAGACAAGTATCGTGAAGCATCGGATACGAGATTGATGAAATTATCCATATTATCACCAGATATTTGTTGTATGAGATAGTTCAAGGCTGTGGTTGGATTAGAGTGAACGATTTTACCAATACCACGGCCATACACTTTGATGTTCTCAGCTGACAAACGCCTAAGTTTAACAAGATAATGAGTAAGATGATACGTAAAGCGATGTATCCGGTGAGAAATGTGTCCTTACTTCATGATGAATCGAATGTCATTCAGACAGATGGTTCTTGCATTGTATAATTCTGGACAGACAATATTATCCTGGCTTCTCTCATCCCAATCTTGATACAAGTTCCAACGAATCTAATTTCAGAGGAGTGTCAATTAACCATGCTATAAACAACGCAGGACAACTCGATAAATACCTGATACGGATAATTAGCCATCAATTTCCATATTTCAGACGAGAAGGCTGGATTTGAATCGCTCAATGACAATGCAGGTAAAAGATGTTGCGAGAGTATATACAACCATTGTTGCTTCATTTCTAGTGGAGCATCATCCTTTGGAACCAAAAATGTCAGTAAACTGTTTGGAATAAGTTCGACCTTCGACCAATTGCTATGTAAGTCTGACCTTGGTGTAGTGTATTCCCATCCTAGCAATCTTCACAGCCAACATCAAATCCTTGTTCAAACCCGGTCCAATATAAGTCAACATGGCTCGAAGATCTTTAATAAATTTAGGAGTTTCTGGATGTGGCTTTATCTCGTCCCTCCAATGTGGAAAGAAGAATCGCCACCTGATGAAGATGAACAGTGTCAAACCCAGCACAGTGACAAAATACGCGACTATCAACTGCCTTCACAGTCAACTTACTTGGGTGCGACCAGCTTCTTGCCCTGTGTGAGAGTATCAAATACATTGGTTGCCAAAGGTGATGTCCTTGTCTCTGTTGTTGCAGCTGGAAACTGAGCCTGCAATAGGGCAACAGATTCCTTCGTTGGCACGAATCGAACCTTTGTCTGTGATAGTAATATAGGACATATAGGTCGGTAATAAGGTTCGATATACTCGTGTAGACATCGTAGAAAGTTTTGAGCAACATCAGGAAAGATGGCCGCCATATCTGGAAGTCGATGCATCACGCGGGTTGCATCTTGGAGGGCTCCTATTCCCAGCAATATTTCTGTTAAGTTTGCCTTTTGATTTCGTCTCAAAGCTCTGGCTCTCTAGAAATAGTACGAGACAATGTATATCAGTTTAGCATGTTTGGACTGCAATTCTGCACATCATGTCGACGCTTACCTCTTCAGTCACTCTCTCTGCCGTTACAATGACACCACCTGCTCCAGTATCTACTATACTAGTTCGCTCGTCTAATCCACCTGCCAGCGCCAGTACGTTGTCCTTAAATGATTAAGGGTTGAGAACAAAGATACAGGGCTTGAAATCGTAGGATGATTCTCTCTCATACCTGAGCATTTTCGAATCTTGAATTTCGACGACTCTCCAAATCCTTACGGTAAGCGAGTCGCTCTTGTTGAAAGTCTGTATCAGCCGGTGATAGATACGGATACAACTCTGCGAAATCCATGACCCTGTATTTAATCAACAAGGCAGCAACTTGATATAGCGATCGTATGGTCTGTTGCACTGTATCTGGGTGCTATATAAAAATTAGAAATGTGAGTGTTTGTGACATCAAATTGCCCCGTCATCAAACTTGATACAACCATCGGCCCATACACCATCATAACTATCATCTTGCAGGTCTTGCCACGTATCCGCTCCTCTAATACCCAACAACAAATTCTACGTAATTGTATGTACATCCAAGTCCATCCATCGACTTACAGAGTAATGCAGAAACTTGAACCCGAGAATTTGAGCAATACGATCACGTTCAGGCTGCTTTGCATCGTTTTTTCCTTTATCTGGTTTAGCAGGATCCTTTTTCTCCGATTCTTCAGTCTTTTGAGGTTCCAGCTGCTTAGGCGGTTCAGGTACCGGCGTCCTCCTCTTCCAAGGACTAGCCAGAAGTAATTCCAGAAAGAAATCCCATTGGTCCTTGACATCCATAGCAAATACATCGAGTATGATATCCAGTACTCGATTTGGATCTAGATAAAAGTATCCGATAATAGCCTTTATATTTTTTAGCATGGAGGCTACTCGTGTTTTGATGCGACGTTCACGTGGCGATGATTCACCGGGTGCAATATATGCAGCAGTCCATGAGTCGACTGGAGGTGGTAGATCTGTCGTCAATTCGGTAATCAGTTTGGCATACCCTTCTGATTCTTCTCGTAATAGATTGAATTTGGTTTGTTTATAAGAAGTCATTGTAGAGTATTTGACGGCGCGTCTGCTAAAGAGGCCATAATATCCTGGAGGGTTTGGTGGTACTCGAACACCAAAGTCCGCAGCGAGCGCCTCTATAAAGTCTCCTTCCAGGACTGAGAGGAACTTTTCGATTGGGACAAAGTTCTCCTTCTACAAAAAGGACGTGATGTTAGATTCCGCAAGACAGAACACTACGGCCAAGTGAACCTGACTAGTCCGAAAAAGCAAGACCGGTCGCATTACAAATAACCTACCAATATAGCCCTCGCAAACTCTTCAAGCCTCACTCTAGGAGCATCACTCAGCCGTTCGTCACCATCATTATTTTCGGCCATTAATCCGTACATCTGGGCCATAGACTTGTCCGTGGTAGCATGGAATGTATCCAGCGCATCCACAACAAGAGATCCAATACTCAATCCTTCTCCAAGCTCAAATCCTTTGCCCGATGTTGCGAGACTCGTACTTGTAGGGTTAGCAGCTGTACTAGAGCCAGCACCACTATTATCATTGTCCTGGCCATGAGAGACTTGTTTATTCCATTCAGAGAGGAAGAACGCTGCGGATGTAGGAGCTAGTCGTCGTTCTACTACAGCGCGAAATATGTCACGAATGATGGATAGAATTCCGAGATGATTTTCTCGAGCGACTTCGGGAGATGGTTCGTATGCGCTGTATTCTATAGCAGTCTCAAGCCTATAAATAATTATGTCAATCAGAGATCTTGTTAGTTAATCTTGAATTTAAGAGGCTTGACCAGCTTCTTCGAGTACTTTTTGGTAGAGCTGCACAAGCTTAATCAAAAAAGGAATAAGAACAGTCGACGATGACTTACAGTGACTTGCGACCACCTGTTTCCCATGTGTCCAACTGTCTCTGCCACGCCATTGCTATGTTCAGTGTCTTGGAAAGTTTGGAAGTTGCGAACGACTTGCTGAGCTGGAAAGCGAAAAGACAATCTCGCTGCATATTTTCTGATCCTGATCTTAAAAGACATGTTGATTTAGAACGTGAGTTGTGTTTCGCAACGTGATGTCCAACCAACAATACGGCCAACAAGACGAGCTGGTTTACAACCTAATGTAGTCTTTATTTTCTTCTGCTATTAATACATCTTCATCCTTTGTACAATGAGGGATACTTTTTATAATTATGTTGCGAGTTACATCTCCCGTTTTACCAGTTTGGCGACAGCAGCTCTTGCTGTGGCGGATCGCTGGCGTTCAGCATGAAGAGCTCGTTGTTCCTGTATAAGTGATGAAGTTCTAGTTGCTGAAATCATAGGTAATTATTTCAAGATCAACGATCAAAACTAACTTACCTCCATCTGGACGCCATGTTCTCGTTGCATACGGGCAAATTCCTCCTGTTTGAACGGAATGAATAAAAATTTGGGTGTTAGCAGCAAGTCATACGAATTGCTCATGCAACAGAGACGACACTGCTTACATTCTGACGTTGGAGTCGAGCAGCGTCGACTTGCCACTGTTGTTCTTGTTGCAACCTCTGTTGTTGCTGGTGTTGGAGTCTCTGTTGTGCTTGTAGATGTAGCTGGGCTGCTCGTTGTTGAGCTAGTTGTAATTGGTGTTCAGCTCGTTGTTGAATCATTTGTTGAGCTTGTAGCTGGTGTTGTTGTTGAATCTGAAGTTGTTGTTGAGCTGCTTGAATCCGGGCTTGCATTTGAGCAGCAGGAGGTGGACCGCCAAATATGAGTGGAGCTGGCATTGGCTGAGGTGGCACTTCAGCAAGTCGGGCAGTAAGGGTACGATGTCGGCGACGATGATGAGGAGGTATGGGAGCGATATCATTAAAGAATATTGGGGGCGGATAAACGCCACCACCTGGTAACACACCTGGTACTCCTGCACCTTGGAAACCCATTCCTATCATGATTTGACCCGGCAACGCTGCCAATCCACCCAACACTCCAGCAGCTGGTCGTACGAGACCGCCCTGAGCTGCTCCATAGAATGGCCATTGAGGTATCCCGTTCCTTTCTTCTGGGATGTCAGGGATATCGACCTTGATTTCTGGCGCCATCTCCGGATTTTCCTAGAGCATTACAAACACGAGAGGTCTGTGAGCCTGGCACGATTCGCGTCACATTTTTGGTCACAATTTTGTTCGCCTACCTCTGCAACCTCCTTTAGAGCTTCTTCCGCTGCCTTCTTGACATTCTCTGCATTTCGTTTCATTGAATCATCATGTAGAGGACACTTTTTGGAACCTAGCAAACAATATTTGTATCTTTAGCTGACGTAACGTTACAATACTTTCGACGGAAATAACGATAGAGCCCAGGTTTACGTACTGCTGGACTGGCCTTCTTGAATGTGTCTTTGGTCGAAATGTTCATAACCGATTGGCCCCTTCCCACACACGTAGCAGAAAGCCTTTCCACATGGACAACTAAAAAAGTTTGTCGTTAGGACTGTAGTGACTTTTGCCAAACTTTGTATTCCCCGATACTGATATTACGCTTGTGAAACTCACGTCATTTTGTTGCAACCTTCTTCCTGAACACGATTGGAGTATTTCAGAAAACAAAGAACGAAGAAAACACGGCCTCTTTATAAAGCTCAACGCTGCATAATACCTTGTAGCAAGCACGTTTGCAACTGGGACATACTCGCAACAAGGCTTCAGTCATTTTCTCTTCAATAACATGCTTGACATCCAATACATCATCAGACTTGGCTTCTTTGCATGTTTTGGGGAGGTGATTGGGCTTTTGACACTTTCGACAGCTGATGACTCCACATGCATTCTTCCCAGTCAGATTTTGACATCTGAACAAGCTGTCTTCTTCAGGAGTCTGCTCCATAACGATAGCATAATCACAAAAGGGGCATTTGACGAGACCTTCAATATCCGCCTATTGAGTTCGAAGATCAACGAAGGTCTCAAATACATCGCTGCAACATTCGACCAAAGGGAAGAAACTCGTCTTACGTCTTGAAGAACTTTCTCCGCAATCATCTTCTCATAGCCTTCATAGACAGCGGGCGACAGGAATCTCTTCAATTCAGACTCGGGGAATTTGGCTGTGCAGCCAGACGTGTCAAGACACTTCATCTCACATTGCCCTAACAATCAGAAATGGATATGAGCAATGTGTAAAGTGGTTCTCTACTCGTGAAAAGAGTCTGACACATACTCAATCCAATCCTATTCTCAGATGAAGTGCGAGCACAATCCATACAAAACAGATGCGCTTCTTCGCATTGAGTCATCTAAATCAGAATTGTTCATGGTAAGAATTAGAGGCCGGAATTCCTTTTTAAGCGTCAATTTCTCACCTTTGACATTGAAAAATCTCCATAGCAACATCCACATTCAATGTCTGCTGATTCGTCTTCTTCAGGCTCGTTATCAGCTGTGGTTGCTAGTTAAAGACGGATTTTGTAATTCATGTCACTGACGTTCAATAAAACGAGCGTAAATTATAAGGACATCGACTCTTAAACTTGCCTTGCGATAGAGAGATTGAAAGCCCACTTGTCTTTTGAGTGAGAACCCAAGCCAACTCTTCTTCAAACTCTTCATCATATCTGCGACGCTTTTGCTTCTTATCTCGTTTCGAGGGCGGGGCTCTTCTAGCTGCAGCGCCATGGTCTTGAATATTTTGATAGGTTGGTGCATATTGATGATTGTGCCTTCCAAGAGCAACATCTATGTCCTTGTGCTGATAAGCAAATGCGTTAGACTCAAACTATAGTGCATTTGAAGAGCCGAAACTGCAAAAGGTACGTACCAGCTCATTAGGGAAGTCTGTCTGCAATTGAAGTCGACTAGATAATGGAAAAATTATGAGCGTTCGGTTAAGTTAGCAGTACCTCTACTCGCATTACCATGATTGTAGATAGGCCGTCGATGGGGTGAACGAGAGATCAACATCGGCATAATTCTTTCGGCGTCGTTTCTCTTGATTCTCAGCAGCTTCTTCCTCGTCTCTCTTCCTCTTGACTTGAGCGGACCTTTTCGGATATTTCCCATTTTCTTTTGTGATAACATCTAAAGCCTGAGATACGTTTCCATCACAATCTTTCAAGGTTGATTCAAGCCACTCTTCATCAGCGTCTTGAAACATTTCCTTGAGGGCCTGAACGTTTGCGTTCTGTTCCTTGTCTGCTGGAGTGACTGATTCTGCTTCTAGAATGACTTCATCACCATCATCATCTACGGTTGAAGATATTGTACTGTTGTTGCGAGCTGAAGTTGATTGCGTACTGTTGTTGCGAGCATTATTTCCACTCACAGCACCACCTGCTGGTGTGATGATCGTATGTTGGCCTCGAGCAGCAAGAATGGGTCTATCAGGTATTACAAGCGAGTCTAGAAGTATGATATCACGGCCATTTACAGTTTGTCGAGGAAAAGTTGGTGCTGGTGCTGCTATTGTGGGTGGTGTTGGAGCTGTTTTCTTGATGACATGATCAAAGAATCTAGGATCTTCAAATTCATCTTCACCGTCAGCATTATGATTGTCGTCATCACCAGCAGCATATCCGTAATCATCATAATCTCCGTCGAATATGGCATTTGAAGCTCGATCAGCATCATTTTGATGTTCTGCCAATGCTCTGCGAAGGAGGTCCTCCTCATGATGAGGGAAGAGTGCTTGTAGATCGTCCATCTTTCCAGGGTATAATCTTTGCTACGCTATTTCAATACAATAAAAAGTCAGGGTCATCAAATCAATAGGTATAAGTTGTTGTTGTTGCAGCTCTCTGTACACTACCTTGAGGCAGAGTCTTGGCCAAAAGCTTCGATGCCCTTCAGTTGAGAGCTACAATGAAGAGGACGCCTCGTCAATTCCGTCGTTCGAGGCTGTTTGTATGTGAAGGCGAGAGGAGAGTCAGTGACAGTGGGAGGAGCAACAAGAGGTAAGCGGGGAGTGGGGTGTTTGAAGTGCTTTAAAAGGACAAAGGCGTGTTGAAATTCGTGTGAAAACACGTGCAATTGCTATAAATATCGTCCAACTTTGTCAACCTGTTGCTGCGTTTTCCAAACCTTGCGAAATCAGCACTTTGCGATCAAAACATTGGACACCATTCGCTGTATATAGGGAACTGCATTTGACTGCTCAGTCATGGCCTGCAAACACGATGATATGTCCGAAATTAACATTCTACTGGGACATTTCTCACGAAGCTACGACTCAAAGGACTGGGAAAAGCTTCAAACACTCATTGCTCCACGAATTTTGGTAGACTACACAGAGCTCAACGTGCCAATACAGACTACGGACCCTAAAGGCTATGCGAGAATAGTGTCTCATCCACGATCCTTGGGAGATAGCAACGTGACAACCCAACATCTTTATGGCAATGTAATGATCTGGTTCCCGGAAGAAGAAGAACGCGTAGCTGCAAGTGCAGACGTGTACTTTGTAGCTGCGCACATGAGGTGAGATCTTTGTGGTTTCGTGGTTTGCCACTGAATTGAGGCTGTAAACACTCACGTTCCACGGCCTGTCTTTAGGAAAGGTGCCTCGCAAGAATACATTATTCGAGGCAAATATCTCTTTGCATTTGAAAAGCATGACGGGAAATGGCTGGTATCAGGCCTGACCTTTAGGCAGTTCATCAACAGTGGACCTAGAGCTGAGGTGTTTGTTAACCCCAACAAAGCTAAATTGTAAAACAACCACCTCTTAAACGCACTACGCATTGGAAGTATATTGAAATATTAATTCATTTGAAGATTTACATGGTGGGATTTCCGAGTTGAATCGGCTGCTGGCTCCAGTGAGTGTTGAATGTATGTTGTGGAACATCACACATCAAGCAGGACTACATCAGGAACCACAAGCACTGACATGTCAAGGTGTGGTCCCAAAACGCTAGTTAGCTGCTGTTGAAACCCAATAGATCCAACTCTGATGTGGACAACGTCACGGAAACCTGATGCAGTCTAAAGTGTTGAAAGTCGCGTCCAACACAGTAGTTCCCGTCGAATTCGATTCAGCCGATCGCCTAATTCACTAAGTTTCGCATCGAGATTGCCCCATTTGCTTTCAGCGACTGCTAGCACAACGGCGTGTTTCTCTCCTGCAGCTGCAACTTTTAGCAAGCTCAAAACACCACACACGCTTCAATTGTCGCAGAGTCCAAGAAACCCAGGCTCCAGTATGGCTGCAGACTTGTATGAACGACGCTTGTTTCCTCAATACGAGTCAAATCATCCGTTAGAAGTCGAATCATGGGAGATGGCAAAATCACTGGTTCAGCAGAACTGCGAACGGTTCAATGTAGAGGTAAGGGCCAATGTAATCATTGTGTAAAGTACTTTTTGGCTCGAAATCCGTCTTTGAACTCATCGAATTGGGCCACCTGTTAAACTGTTTTAGCAGCTGCTGCACAAATCAACTATAGCATCTAACGATTACATTTGTTTCTACGATGTAGCACAAATCAACCATGAGCAACCATCTAAGTCATCACATATACGCCCTGTACAAGATTGGAGCAACTCCAGAACGACTCAAAACAGCATTCGATTACCATGCTCGATACATGGAACCAGCTTTAAAGAGGTCTCGAAGGATTAGTTTAGAGAACTGGATGTTAAAACTCGGCCAAAAAACATATTATCCCGACTATCTCGCATTCTTCCAAGCTGAAATCGCAGACAAGGGCATGTTGACAACACTGGAAGAGTACTTCCCAGCACTCATACCCGGTATAGTTGGGTCAGCCCTACATCCAATGATACATCTTGGATTTGCCTGTGAATTCCTAAATGATAGTCTGATGGCAGAAGGACTAGCGTATCTGGCCATATCCTATACGAAGCTCTCAGATCTGCCGGATCCGCTCAGAGAAAAGGCCGAAAATCACTTGAGTCTAAACCAGATCTTGATGCAAGTGAGAGATGATGGTGATTTCGTTGGAGTGAGTATACGGACGAACCACTTTGACAATCGGCAAACGTGTACTCAACTGCTGTCTTTCTCGTAGATATTTGGAAGGCACCCAGTCATGAGAATACCAATACAGCAACGGTTTCGCATATTAGGTCAAGAGCGTGGATATGCGCTTTCTCTGTACGCCCAGAAATGGACTTTTACATCAGTAAACGGCAGTATACATCCCTCTATAATCGCTACAAGGCTGCACGAGCTGACCCTGCTAGTCTTGCACGCTTTTGTGTGCTCCTCGCCCTACCCGAATCTTCTGGATTTCTTCTTTCTTCATGGAGTGGTATGTCAAATATCCAACTCATTCTGCACCACGAGAAGCCTAACGCTTTGTACTATCAGACAGGTCTACATGCTGTCAGGTGTATTCTTCCACACCTAGTTTTATCATCCCAGATCGCGCTCTTGAAAAACTACTTCCAGATCGTCATCGCCCTTTATGTTACTCAAGGGAGGCCTATAATTGATGTATCTAGGGTCAGCAATGTGGAGCTGAGCCCCAAGATGAAGATTAGCAGGGGTGATGAGTGGAAGAGTATATTCGATTTGGCTATAGCTACTGAGGATGATCATGTCGCAAAAGGTAGTACCAGCGCGGTTTCAACATAAGTCGTTATTTGTAAGTAACCACGTACGTTTTCTTCGCTAGTCGTAAGCGTCTTTGCCTTCCAGGAAAAGCTCTACGGATCAGACGATAACGGAATTCAGAATATATACATCAAAGCTGCGAGACGGGTCGTAGATACGGCCAAATCTTATGAGAACTGGAATGGCGACGGAATAGGATACATGGAGCGTCCAGAGACGAAGCTCGTCGATACTTTGACATTGAAGATTGGAACTCCAAGCAGCAGCAGCTCCACGCCTAGTACGTCCAGTAGTAGTAAAATGTAAAGTGTAGTTTTCCAAGTCCAGTGACTTTTACTTAAATAATAACAATACTAGTATCATGGATGCTATGTCTTTATGCGAAATCATGCCGTGTTTACAAGTATCTTATATAATTTGTAGATTAGTTACGTTTCCTAGACAGAGCTGCAAGCTTCTTGCTCAAACTATTTATTACATGAGGTTTCTTGGCTTTCTTGACTGCTTCAGTTTTACTACTAGTACTTTTGCTGTTCTTGTTGGAAGCGACAGACTTTTTCGACCCAGTCTTCCTTTTCTGATCATCACTATCGTCGTCACTGTCACTACTAGCCTCCGAGCTCCTCCTTCGTTTCTTGCCGTGAGACTTGCTGGCAACACTCTTACTCTTAACCTCCTCAAGAAGAGCTTCCTCATCACTAGTAGAATAATCTTTGTCTTTTACGTCGACGGTAAAGTCCTCGTCGGCATCATTGTCCTCCACGTCGTTTGGATCTTCGTATGAGACGGCTTCACCAGGCGGCGGAAGTCGAAGTAGAAGCTTTGGTTTGTCCTCTTTGACTGGCTCCGACTTAGATTGGATTTGGGGAGATGGTTGATTCATTGCAGAAAGACGAAGTTTTATCGATTTAGGTATCTGTAGTGCTGATGCGGGTACCGCTGTACCAGTACTACGTGATGGTGACGCTGTTGCCGTTGTATTCGAGACACTTGACGTCTCAATTTCAACGACATTATCATGTCCCAAACTCGACGTCCTTGCAGCTCGTCGAGACAATTCATCTCTGGCCATACGACGAATATCCTGTACATATACAAACGGCTTCCGCAATTGAATGGCGACTGGAATCTCAGCAGTCAACCGTTTCCGTTCATTGACATGCGACGGTTCGTCCGATTCAATGACGGCCAGAAGATGCTCTAGATAATCAGCTAAGTGACATAATCCGTCCAGCTCAAATATACATAACTTTTGTGCATCACCTACAGAACATTTGATGAAGTCAGTACCATGAATGCTAAACGCAATGATTTACCAAAAAAGGCCGTCGTACCTTCAAGAATAGGGGCATACTTTTGCGACGCATACCACATCATCTTGTCAAAGAATGGAAAGGTGAATTTGACTGGCACGGCCGTTCTGAGCTCTATTTTCCGGACTTCAATCTGACCACCGATATTGAAGCCGTGTAGAAAGTTTCCGCCAATAACTATGGAATCGACGGGTGTATACACAGCATGAATCCATCCTGTTGGAATCATCAATCTATGGATTTCACCAGTCAGATGGAGAAGCGATGTCAACTAGTACTGCTACAACTTACGTGCTTCCAGCCTTGATACGGACCTTCACACACTTGTCTACCAAATCAGGAAAGAAAGTATCGGCCTGATTTGGACTGACAGACCACTTTTCATAGACTTCCAGGTTTGCTGGAGTTGGCTCGACAAAGAAGAATATCTTTTCACCCCTCAATATATGATAATATACAGAAGAGCCTCCAAAATCGATATGAAAGCTGGTTTGTTTTGGTGTCAAGTTTCCGTGTTCTCGAAAATAGAGCAAATGTTTGCGATTAGGCTTACTCCGTGTACGAGTGCTTGACACTCATGAGGCAGTATCTTTGAACTTTTGGATAATTAGTCTCCCTTTTATGAGACGGCCAAACCGTCTCCATCCAATCGATTTCTCGAACTATTCGAGGCAATTTGATCATATTTCCGAGTCGTGTTTTTGAAACTTCCAGTGAGATGAGCTATATTGGGGTTGCGATTTAGCGAGATGCATAGGTCGAATGCCTCGGCAACTCTGCCTTACGTTGAGTATCCGAGTTCTGTTCACTGGAGCGTCAAAGTAAACGGCCCATTGACCAAGATTCATCAGAATCTCGCTTTGAGAAGAGACTTCCATAGCTTCAACCACGACGTCTCGGCCAACCAGATCGGCGATTTGGGAAGCATTGAGACTAGTTTCTGGCATCATCATATCGAGGCCCTCTGGAGAGTCAATGACGATCGGGCTAAGTGTGGACGCGAAATCAGCCTCAAGGAAGGTATCGAAAGATGAGTCCAGTGAAAAGAAAGTACCTTCTGAAACCAGTTCGTTTAATCCATTCGACCGTGAGCTCCAATCCAGAGATGCGATCGAAATCATCAAGTCCAAATGTTTGACTTTTCAGGATTTCAGTAAACTTGTGCAGTAAAGGAGAAGCTGTAGCATCTATAAAATCCAGCATTAAGAATGTTATACCTGATCTTAATAGACAAGAAACCGAAGACAAGATGTTTTACGACAAAGTGAGATTTTGTCCAACCTGTTGCCATGCCTCGTGCGAATAGTGCAAGCTGACTGGAATAATAATCAGCACTTTCAATGACTCAGGATTCGCCGTCTTGTCCAAAGCAAGAAGCCAAACGTGTCAAGCAAGATTGATTTGCGTTTGTTAAGATCAACAGCTCTCAAGAAACCGTACAAGTCAAAACATCAGATGATTTTTTTAACGAAACTAGAGATTATTTATTAAACTGAAAAGAAGAAAGCACATCTAAAGTACTACTACAACCCTCAAAACACGTCCCCCTTCCTCATGCGAGCTGTCAGCTGCAGCCCCACACCCTTCATGATAGCGAACCCAATCCGGCGAAAAACAAATGCAGATGATACATTATCGCGAACAACCTGAGATTGGATGATTTTGGTAGAGGCCTTCTTATAACTATATTTTGCAGCAAAATACGTACAATGCCGACCCAACGCACAACACCCACATATCCACACACGATACTTTGACTTCCTAGTCATTATCACTGACGTTGAAGTACAGACCAAGAGGATCTGGGTCCTCCTCCAGATCACCATCTTAAGGTTCAAGTTCAGCTTCATCAACGACACCAGCTCCGTCCTGAGCCTGAGCGACTATTTCTTCAAATGGAGCCGGATCATCCTCAAAAGTATGAAACTCAACCCCCTCTCCCAAAACATGACCCGCACCTATACCAAACTCTTTTCCATCACAGATTTCTTCTGCAGCATCACTACCTAATTCTTCGGCTGGGGCAGCTTGGTCTTCATCTTCATGTTCTGGTATGGCTGGTTGTGGTGGATTGTTCTAAAAATTGCTTGGCGTTAGGTTCTGACATATTGTTGAAAGCGAATCAGCACTTACACCTCCCAGTTTCTTGACATCAAATGCAGTCGCAAACAAACTTGAGTCCTTTGTCAGCATACCTACAAGTTCTCGTGTTTAAACCCATCACCAATGAAAAATGCTCTGACCATATTATACCCAAACGATCTGCATTTCGAATGATCAGAGCTCGTTCAACTTAACGTGGGCATATGAAATGAGAAGAGGCTAAATGCAAACATTTTCAACATGACCGCACATGTTCCTTGGCTTATAGCATTAACCACCAGAATGTACTCACCAGGCGTCCTCCACTTAAACACGAGCTTCTTGACCTCATCAACATCGAAGACACGAAGGAAACGCGTGATATCGATAGTGCATCGAGGACCCTACGACCAATGCTAGCATAAATTTCTGTCTCATGTGAATGGTTGAATGCCAACTCTCTGAGATCATCAATACACCAAGTCGCTTTGTTCTGTATTGAATGGCGAGATGTTCCAGTACACTCCTTGTCGACACGGAGTGGTATTGACGGTCCTGTGGTGGTGGTTTACTTTAATATCACTACGCCGATACATACGTCCATTTTGTTTCTCATGAACAGCCAGGTGTATTCCCAATGCGCTCTTTGGCGACACTGAGTTGTTATTGAAGGTCCTGTGGTGGTAGTTCACACTATCACCACGCTGATGACTACGTCCTTCGTGTTTCCGAACAGACTAGTGTATTACTAATATGCTCTTTGGCGACAATGAGTGGTATTGAAGGTCCTGTGGTGAGTGGTATTGAAGGTCCTGTAGTGGTTATGCTGATGTTGCAAAGATACGGATCCTGATGCCAATCCTGGATCTTTACAAACCACTGGAGGACACTTGTAGTCTGATATAGTACGCCAATTTTGCAACAACAGATTTGCCAAAAAACACCATAATAATCCTCATGAAAAGTTACCATTGTTTAACTATCCGAAGTGGACACATCAGATTGCTGACATTACTGTTACAGTTTAATACCACCAGCTTTAGCCTCCATCCCTGTATGTTTACGCCAATACGTGGGACACACACCCTTGATGAGTTGCCATCCCTCGTCAAAAGCATCACAAATCGTCGACGGCAGGGGCCCGTCCTCATAATCCTTGAGATTACTAACTGCCTGCTCATACGACGATACAGCAGTGACGATACCATCGACACCAGCACGTAACTGAGAATGATGCATCAGCCACCGATGAGATGCGTTCACTAGTGATATTCCCTCCTTGTCACAAGCTGCTTTGGCGATATCTATAGCTGCGAAGTATTCTCGTTTCCAGAAACGAGATCTGTACATGTCGCCTTGTCCGTGTTCTCCAAAACGCCCCTCAGACGGTGGAGATGTGTATGAGTATTTTCCTGTAAGGAGACCTCCACATAACGGGTTGTAAGCGTATAGTGATATGTTTAGTGCTCGACATGCTGGTATCAGTTCGTCTTCGATGGATCTGGTTAATGGATTGTACATTGCCTAAGAATGGTCGATTCAAGTAGGTCACAGCTATGTGTTGAAATTGTTTGGACTTACCTGACAAATCGTTGGTAAGACGTAATTGTTCTGCTTGGCGATATGCCAAAGATGCGTGAGCTCCCAAGCAGCATAATTTGAGACTCCGAGCTCTGTGAATTTGTTCTGAATGGAAACAGAATCCACCGTGTAAGGTTGCAGAGATGTTTACAAGAAAGATCGCAAACACGAGGTCGAAACCAGTTTCTCTATCAATAAAACACGTACCTCGTTGTAGAATGCTTGCACTTCGGCCAAGGTATCCTCAAAAGGTGTTGCATGATCCGGCGCATGCAAATAGAAGGAATCGACATGCGTCATATTCAAAGCTGTAAGACTAGCCTCAAATTGAGTTCGGATTTGAGTCCTAGAATGCATCCCAGGTTCAAACGGAAAGGCTTTCGTGGCTATTTTGTACTTCGTCCGTGACAGATTCAAAGAGCCCAGCAATTTCTCGCTATTCCCTCCAGTATACATTCGGGCCGTATCAATTTCGTTATGACCGTGCTGGAACAGTAGGTTGATTATTCGTTCCACCTCTGTAGGAGACGTGATGCGACCTCCAGTTCCTTCGCCAAATGGCATTGCACCGAGAATGATTTTTAGACCTTTTAGACTTGTCATTGTAGCAGTAGACGTTAATTTCTTGTAAATAAAGTACTTGTGAGTCCTAAAGATGACTTGCAAAGGCATTTTTGCAGCAAAGTTCACCCCCAACGTTTGCAACTCCAATTCTCACAATTTGAATTGATGGCCCACTCACATGCAGCCAAGGACGGTTGGATGCCGGTCCTGCTCTTGATCGTCTGTATGTCCTTCACACCGTTGCTTCTTGTGGTGAGTTCGCAGTCTGATCTTATCTAATCTATAAACTACTTGAGATTTGTCGATGATGCATTGGAATTGACTGATGTTTCTTGTTGCGAGACTAACACATACATTCAAAACTAGTCATGGGCTGTATCTGCCGTGATGCTGACGATAGGACTACCGATACTATTGATGATTGCAATAGCAACATTTACATATTCAACCGTTTTGCACGTGGTGAACGTTGCAGTGTCGCTTCCGCTGAGACACACCACGATGCATACAAAAGGAATCAAGACTAAACTCGTATCAAAGTCATCACATATTCACGATTCACCGGAAGATGAGCAACAATCACATAAGACGAACACGTTTATGGTATCGTCGCATTCACGTCGAATGTCTCAGCAATCATTACAGAAAGTGTTTGCCTTGTCGTCATCACCAGAAGCGGCACCTGCAACGGCTCCTGTACAGCCGACTGTCAATACGATAAACACGTCGAGTATAGATCCGGGTATCATAGACGCCTTTAGGAACAAGTCTGCATAGAAATTCACAGTCTAAAGCCAGTAATAAAGGATATCCGTATCATGAGCTGTTGGACAATTGTATTATACTAGAGCTGAGACCGTAACAAACACACATATCCTACACAATATATACACTTTCATAGTATAATCAACATCAATCATCGTCATCACCTGCATCTATTAATGTTCCACCAGCTCTTGCAAACTCTTTCGGATGTCTTGCAGACACTGTCGCTTTCAGAACTCTGCGGAAGAACAGTGTGAGTAACGTTTGAAGCTTTAGACTGCGATAATGTGACATGTTCAGTTACCGAACACGTCTGAATATAGAGTCCAAGTCAGTCTTGATTTCACGTAGCAACTTGGTGTATCCTTCTACACTTTTAGCCTCGACAAGATACCGTGCTGCGGAAAACTCGTTGAATGTATCAAGAGCATCATTGGTAGTTCTTAATCTCTCCAATCTATGTAAACGTGAGAAAAGAAATACACGTTAACGGTCGCGCAAGATGATGTTCCAAAGTCGTGCTTGGCCTGCTTTAATGTCACAGCTCCCAAACGATAAGACTTACGTGTCTTGTTGGACTTTGATGATTTGATCCATATTTTCATCTTTAGAAAACATGGTAGTGAGCTCCTTTGCGAGAATGGCACTTGGCGACTCTTGATGTTTAGCTGATGTTGGAGATGGCGATGATAAAATCAACGAAGAAGGGCGTGAAGGGGGTAGTTGCAATGGCGTTCTTTGCCTTGTAGGTGATGTTGATCGAGGTCTCGGCTCCATCTCTCTATATTTCACCTGGTCGAATTGTCGAACTTCGTGACAAGATTCGTGAAGTGACCAAGAGAGCTTCTCCACAGGCTTCAATTGAATCTAAGATAGCAGACAATGTTGACAGGTCTAAGGACGCCCTATAGTAGTAGCAAGCGCAGCACCAGCTTTTTACACCATCGCAATTCCTCATTTTCAACCAATGCAACTGGCGATGAACTACTGGATGGAGACTTCCAGGACTTGGTAGATCAGCTAGATGCTGAGGAGTTTACTGCTGTGGGCGCTGCTTTGCAGTCGGATTGGAGAAATATTGACTCTAGAACTGCTCTGAATCAATCAACATCAAACAAGTCAAATCTAGTCTTTGGACAGGACGAACTAGATCTATTGGATGATGCAGAAGGTCCTAATCCTAATATCGACAAAAACAATGATCCTAATGATGGAGCTAGTGACGTGGAACGGGCAATCCAGAATATTCAAAATATGGCTATTGACAACAACACTAGCAGGGTCTTGGATCACGAACAAGATCTAAACGGTGAAGACGACGATGATACTCATTTGGGAAACTTTTCTAGATTAGAAGGTCTCACAGATCTAGAACTTACAGAGTATGGAACTGTCGGCAAACATCCCAACGATCACGACTCTATAGCTAGTGACCAAGAAATAGATGACGCAGGCCGCATAGATGCCAATCATGATAATGCTGCTACAAACTCGTATTTACCAACATCACACCCAAACCCATTCGAATGGGCTCAATACCAAGATGATGAATACGATTCACCACTACAACAACAGGACGAACAAGACCAGCAGAACCACGGAGATTCTCCTGTTATGAGCGAAGACTCGCCAGGTGGACTCGTAGGTGGTATGAATGGTATCGATGATATAAACGGAACGAATGGAATCAACGGTATCAACGACCATCAACCTATAAACCATGACTATGAGGATGTGCATCCGCTGCTTCAGACTCAGCTATACGGCAAGCTCGTAAATACACCTACTCCAGCTCCGTATATGCTAGCTAGAAGAGCTCTCGCACATCAACATCAACCGATAATATCAGCAGCAGGAGCTACTCAAACCGAATCGGCAGATATCTATTCCAGTACTCCTAGATCTGATTACGCACCAACAACGGCGTCATCGTCGTTCGCTCATGATACACCTGGACAATTCGATCAGATGGTGGAAGAGATGAGAAATGAGTGTAGGAGTCTCAAGGCTTTGAATGAGAGATTGCTCAATGCCAACGAGGAGTTGAGAACTAGCCAAAGTAAGCTGCTCATTAAAGAATGAGACTCTATATTTTTTGGTGTGAAACTTTCATGTCTAAGTTTAACAATTTTATAGCCAAATCAACGCTGGAACATGAGGCATCATCCCAACAGACTCGGAAAGAGTTTGAAGGCATGTTGCAAGCCTTGCAGGTATGTCTACTTGTGGAGCTTCAAACTCCTTGCAAAACAAATTGACATAACATTTGCTCATAGCGGTCAGAGGAGGATCGCAGATCTCTTCTACAGAAACGTATTGAGCAACTGCAACAGGATCTACATCATTCCAAAGCTAGTGCTTCTCAACTAGCATCAATCCGTGCAACAATGGAACGAGAAAAAGAATTGGACATCCTAGAAGTCAAAAAGGAGGTCATGTCTCAAAAAGAACGTCAATTGCAGGAGATTCGACGTGAAATGCAACGAGACAAAGAGGAAATGCAACAACGTCTGAGAGAAGATATTGAACATGAAAAGGACGAACGAGCAGCTGAAAGAAGGCGGCTCGAATCAGACTTGGCACGTACGAAACGACTGGTAGAACAAAAGGAAGAAGAGATTAGAAGTATGGAACAACGTTTGATTGAACGTGAACATGCAGTAATGAGACGTCCTGTCTCTCTGGAAGTAGCCACACAGGTGGATAGTCAGCCCGACATCACTAGTAATGATTTAGCATTCTTAAATCGTGAATTGGATACCCTTTTTGGTGCCGATAACGCTGCTTCCATCAGATCTTCGACGGGATTTAATGATACTCTAGTTACAAACCGAACTCGTCGTCTTATTGATCGATGCCGTGCATATGTCGAATCAACAGAACAGGCCATCTTACAGACACGGGGTGATTTAGCTCATGCACTGAATAAGGATCGACGAGATCAGACTGAAGCTGCCCGTGAGCTTACTGCTAAACTCGAAGAAAGGCATCGTAAATCTATACAGGATGTCACGAATGCTCATAATGCGGAAGCTGAGAGTATCAAGGCTAGATATGAAGCCCTTGTTGCCGAGCTAAGGAAGAAGGCTGATGATGCACGTTTCCAGCTTCATAGTCTTACCAGTAACCAACAGGCCGCTGCTAGCTCTAGTCCAAAGCCAACCACCATTGACGAATTGGAAACCGCCTTCCCGAGTTTGATCAGTCGTCTCAAGTCCAGCTTGACGAAGCAGCACGAGTCTGAGACCGATGCACTACTAGCTTCGGCTGAGAATCGACGGCTTCGAGATGTAGCTGAAGCCAAACAATTAGCATCAGAAGAAGCCGAGCGCACTACCACGAAGATACGTGAACGGTGTGCTAAAGCTTACGAGACAGCCGTCACGAGACTGAAGGAAGAGTATGTCAAAGTAGAAGCTCAACTACGCGACAAAGTGGGAGGTGATTTCAAGCAGGAACGTGATGCTTGTAGGCACGAGGGCCGTGAAGAGGGTAGAAGGCAAGCCCGAGAAGAGGCTAGAAGGGATGTTGAAGGTGATGTTACTCGTCTACGGCAGAAGATTATTGAGCTTGAAGTGAGTTACTTCCTACGAAGGCGCCTCTGTTACGTTTTTTCATCTCACACAACTTTTGACGATTAGAACATGACTTCCGAATTGAATCAAGCTCACCAACGAGCAGTATCAGAGATCCAAGCTAGATTAGAAGCTGAGCATCGTGAAGCTCTTAATCAGACAAGGCAGCAATATGTCTCAACATTACGAACTATGAGAGATGATGTCGCTGCCAGTAAACAACGTGGTGTTGATCGATTAGAAGATGAATGGAGGAAGAGGAAGGAGAGGATGGAGCAAGACTGGCAAGCAAGGTTTGCAAATCAATAAAATTCTTTTTTTTTGCAGGCCTTTAGTTGGCTAATACTTCTTGCGAACAACAAATAGGTTGGACGACTTGAAAAAGCAGTATGAACAAGAACTTCGCCCACGTGGTGCTCGATCTTCTTCCCCTTCAAGAATTTCCTCATCGAATAGGCAAGCATCTAGGTCTACAAACATAGTAGCACCCGCGACAACATCCAGTAGCTCTCGTCCCCGTAATCTAGATCACGATGATTTGAGACTCAACGGTAATGATGTAAAGTATCGATCCGAAAGTCATCACTATTCGTCGACTCCGTCATCCCAGCATGACAAGAATTTCAAGTCGGGACTTGATTTTGATGATCGATTTAAAGATATTGGACTTGGTTATGGTAGCAGCAGCAGTAGTGGTAATGCTGCTCATATTAGGCATTCGAGAAGTACTGGAAGTAGGACCACAACGAGCAGAAAGACTTGAGGTCATCTATCCTGTTTGTTTATTATTAATTTGTTTATAATTGTTGTTTACAAATGAATCTGTACATATCCCTTTTTGTGCATATACAAAGGATCCAGACTTACGTACCATGAACATTAAAAGTTGTTGAATGTGCAACTTCATCGCACCGATACAAGGTCGCAATGCTTCCCGAGTACGACGAGGCAGTGCTGCTTGGAATGCTTTGCTTGTTTACATATATGAGGCTTTGACTATCACGAGTTCCAACATGAGCGAAATTCCATTCAGAAACTGGTATAGGCAAACTTATAGGTATTTTCGATTATCTGAAATGCCTCAAGACCCCGAGCTGTATGATAGTGTAGTTGTCTTCAATCTCTCTGTATCTCCCTCTGCGTCCAAATGTGCGTTGCTGAAAAGTTAATGCCAAGGACCGATTGCTGTAAAGAAACTTGGAAAAAATGTTGAACATTCATAAGGTCTAGAAACTGGTACTGATATTATTGCTGTACTCGTTAGCTGACATGAACCACATCGATCAAAAACTCCAAGTTGGAGAAACGTCGACGATCTCACATCGTTCTGTAAAAGAAATGCTTGGGGCGAATACCTCTCCAAGTCCACTGAAGGATAGTGGGCATGTTTTGACGCCAGGTGGGTTGATTTTGCTCCGCATATAGGGAATTCGATCATCGGCTTACATTGTGACTTTTTTAGATCTGGTGACGAATGATGAGCCAGTATCCGATCGTGATACTACCACAAATGAATCATATGGATCACAAGCAGGTTATCTTGAGGCCACCACGCTTTACCCGTTGTACTGGTATCGGTTGTGACAGGCAAAGAACCTAGTATCTTTGAGCCTGTTTCGTCTCTGTTCATGCTCAGTAGTAAATATGGCTTTCAATGCTATCTTTGTAATTAATTCGTATAGACGTATAAGTCGGTAGATGGTAGATGTACCGCCGACGGATGTAAAGCAAAAGATACCAGTTCAACGACCGAGACTTTTCGCGAGTAGCATTAGATTTTTGTGAGCAATCAACTTGTACCTCATGTATTACGGTTATATTTAGTGGCAAGCACGTGAATATATAGCGGAAGCGAAATATACAGAAAACATCCAACAGGTTTGTGACAGCATAACACGAGACATTCGACCCAGGAATATATCTACACGATCGCTCTCTTCACGACAAGAAGAGACCCGTATATTCATTTTGGAGCATTGAAGATTCGATCCCACGCTTCTCCCGTCACAGCCGCTCTATTGTCATTCGTCAGATCTTGTTCAGTCACGAAAGGTGAAGCTTTTAAGGAGTAAACCCCGGTATTTTGTAAGGACGAGCCAGGGCGCAGGGGCATAGCAAACACGACAGTATTGAAGGCATAGGTGGCAAGCCCAAGGGGGTCACCACCCCCCTGTTGCTCGAAAAGTCACTCGTTTTTTTGTAAAATTCGACGAGTTTTCCAATCTTTCAGCATTAGCATGATGATACCACAGCACCGATACCGACAAAGATTCAAACATACTCAATAATCTATTTGACTTTACTGTTTGATTCTATTCTGCATTGCGGTCTACTACCATTTTATCTCCTCCCTCCTCAGCCTCTCCACCATTATCTTCAGCACCTTCCCCATCATTATCATCATTACTATCCTCCTCATTTCCTCCCTCCTTATCATTCTTGTCACCTTTATCAAACAATGGTGCAAACCCCTTCCAATTTGGATCTTGAGCATCATCGATACGTCGATACACAGCCAAAAATTTGTCTCCGTTATTCCTAGCTACTTTTTTACCTTCTTCGGTATCGTTCATGACACAAGGAATGCATGGGTCACCTTCTAGATCCTTGTTTGGGATTCGTTCAAAAAGTGGGTGTGCGTCAATGTGTTTTACCATCCATTCGTGTAGTGCGCGTACGTCTGTGCATGTGTATAGGAGACCGCCGATGCGGAGAGTGTATGCGTATTCGGCGAGTAGTTGGGGAGTGATGATGCGGTGTTTGTGCTTTTTGGCCTTGAAGTGTGGATCAGGGAAGAGGAAGAACATCTTTGTCAACTATAAAATCAAATGGAAGCGTGAGTCATATTTCTCTATCAAGTGACAGACGGACATTGCATACCTGTCCCTTCTTGAAAAAGTTTGACAGAAACCTCATAGCATTCATACGATGCACTGCAACATTCTGATATGAGCCAGTCTCATCTCGTTGCTTGTCCATATTCTGTTCTCGTAGAGCCTGTACACGCCGATCAACGTATTCTGCGACCTTGTCGCGGATCTCCATGCCGAGAATGAGAGTATCTGGGAAGAGAGGCGACAAGGACATCATTAAGCCTCCATATCCACAACCTGATTTGGCGAATAAAGGGTTAGTTCGAGCGCGGTTTGGCGAGAAAGAATGCAGTGCATGTCAAATACCAATATCTGCGAATTCCACTACTTTCTGACCAGTGACATGATTCGAGCTGGCTTCTCCAGCAGATTGAGACTCTTCTTCCTTCTTTGGGAAGTGGGCTGGATAGAAACTATGCCAGTCATACTGTTCAGGAGCGCTAGGACTAACAAAACGGTGTCAATGTTGTTGGACTAGTCGTTGACAAAGAGTTGGGAGAGATTTGGAGATCTTACTAGCTCAGTTCATAATCCGAGAATGGATTCACATGGGCTCTAATAAGTGAGTTTTGCCAGTCAGCGTCGATCAAACATTTTTTTTGAATGGGGACAATGAGCACGCACATACCTCTGTCTGAAGAACTGTTTCTTTGGTAGACCCGATCTTTGACTGGTCACATCCTCGGGATACTTGCGCTTACTGAGACTTGTACCTCCCGTCATCTTTAACGATGTACCTAGTATGTTGTGGGAAAGTTTCGCAAGCAGCACAGCAAGTCGAAATTGCAAGCCGGAACATAATCCAGTTAAATGCGTGATTTAACACGTATTTTCGCCGTCTCGAGAAATTTGCGCGTCCCTTCTCATTCCAGCGAACAACTCAAGAACACGAACCAAAACCAACTTCCAATAAACAGACGACGGGAGGCTTTCACTACGAGGGCACATCGTAAGCTGCCTGGTGTGTGGCAACAAATCCATTTTCTTACTTTTCCTTTGATTTGTTGTTTTGTCAGACATCTTGCAACTCATTTCAAGTTGTGCGGTTGACGATGCAGTTGGAAAGTCTATCGAACGCAGCTTTTTTTAATCTCAAAGCTAATATTTTTCATACGTAGAACTGATATCCAGTCGAGAACTCCCGTGATGAACTCAGCATCAACTCCAGAGCGAGAAGACAATGTGTTTGTAGACATCACAAACATCCCATACGACATCCAGCGAAGTCATGTCTGGGCTGCTGTTAACGCGATTGGACTGAAGCCAATGTCCTGTTTAGTGCTTCGAGCTCAAAACGTAAGCACTGCCGAGACCTTGTTTTGTAACTTCACCATCACGCTAGAGGCCCAATACGCTTCTTCTTTCTCCATAGCCCCATGAACGCTCTTATGCCAGAGTTCGCTTTTCAAACACACAGCACGCTGTCATGCTGGTCCAGCAAGGTCTCGTAATCATGAACGAGTTTAGATGTACAGCTTCTTTCACACCTCCTATTACCAGCAGTAGTCCAGGAGGATTTGCATCAGCAGCATCAATAAACTTCTCATTGCCTAGTAGACCATCTTCTGAAAGCTCGATACCTATAACTCGAAGCTCGACACCTGTTAATCGTGTAACTCGAAGCCAGACTCGATACAATACGACGGCAACACCACCTCCCGCATCAGCACCAGTAGCAAACTCCTTCTCCTTTGTAGACAGACAATCCGCGGCCACGGCAACGGACGGATTAGCTGCACCATCAAATGAACCACCAGCGGTAAATCCTTGTGATGTCTTGAGCGGCAGTGCCGTCCCAGAAGGTGTCAAGGACTATACACACTGTATAAATGGTGTCTATCCGAACGGTATGCCGAGATACGTGGCTGAAGCTGATCAATATGTACGTAAACCATGGTTTCGCTGTCTTTTTTGTTCTTCTTAAATTTCTCGGTCTTAGATACGTAGCTTCATTTCATATATCGCCCGTCTACCTCATGATGCCAGACCAAAGAGTGGTGATGAAATCAAAGAGAAGTTCCGATACTTTAGAACATATATTAGTAAATCCATTGGGATAACTCCTGGCTCCGCAGTGCATCACATGAACCAGCTCAAAGTATTCAAACATACCTCAAGACACAAGCTTGTATTTACCAACTTGGAGCAATATGGCCCACAAGCTGGAGACGAAACTGGAGCTTCCAGTCCTAGTCGTAACGGCACTCTTCATCGTCCAGGACAACGCATTCGAAGGACAGATCTGGTCATATTGAATAGCTCCAGGGCTGAACTTGAAGCTGATAAGAATGGTGTAAAGATTGGTCAACCGCAGGAGGCGTTGTCAGTGCTCAGTGAGAACGATCCACGCTTTATTGGATTAGAAGACGATGCGCTTACTATAAAACAGTCTGACGAAGTCATCAAAATCACATTTACCATACGAGTGGATAGGGGAAGGCCCGACGTCACTCTTACGAAACACCCATACTTCCTGAATCCAATGGGTGATGATTTGACTATAACGGTTAAGTCAAGAGATGATCAGTCTGATCCTCTAGTCGTATCCTCACGTAGGATGACCTTTTTGGAGTTGACCTTAAAGCCTCGTAATGTAGGCTACTTATTGGGGGTCATCTGTTTCGAGTTCGGAACTTTTGTAATCTGCCGTTATGTAAATGTGCATGTACAGGACGGTGCTTATATTACTCCAGCAGACGAACCTCGAGCATCTGAATCAGTCACCACAACTCCTATTACCGCTGCTATTTCTTCTAATAGAAGGAAACTCCGTGCTGTCAGACCCGTCGCAGATAGCAACAATCCACCATTGCGCGGGCGACCTCCGCCGAGACCTAACTTCCAAGCCTTTGAAAATCCGCTTCTTCAGTATCATGTTCCGAAAGAAATGAGAAGGAGGTTTGACCTGGGAGAATATAAAGAACTCGACAATATGACCTTTAGTCTATCATATGACAAGTATTCTGCCACATTCGCCACACTGTGTTGGTTGGAGGAACTTCAAATGGAAGTTGATATTCGCAAATATGATATGCATGGTGTTGAATTGATTGAAGCTGGGCCTCTTTATCAATTAAAGGGTAAGATAGAAATGCAACATCCTGAAGTCAGAAGAAGCTGAACTAAATCTCAACCGTTTTTTTAAAAAAAGTACCTGGATTGGCAGAAAAGAGACCATCCGTGATGTATGGAGACAAAGTTACTGTAATGGCATCGGATGATCCCACAGAAACTCGTTATGAAGGCTATACACATCGCGTAGAGCAGGAGCAAGTGTTACTCTCGTTTCACGACAGATTCCGTCAACGGGTGTTCGTCAGAGGACGGAAGTAAGTGCTACGTGCCGGTTGAGCTTGAAAATTGTTAAAATCTAACTTACGTTTTGCCTTAGATTTAACATCATGTTTCAGTTCAATCGAACTCCAATCAAACGTCAGCATCAAGCTCTTGATTTGACGAAGACCCTTCCGAGAGAAGTGCTGTTTCCTTCTATTGCACCACCTCGAGCAACATCAGCAAAACCGGCTGATTTAAGTGGCCTGCGTGGTTTGAATGAAGAGCAAACCGCCGCCGTACGAAATGTGGTGGAAAATTCATGCTCGTACTTGCCAGTAAGTGCGATGACATTTCGCTGCAAGGTTTGGAGTCCCACCTTCGACATCCTTGAATAGTACGTTATCTTCGGCCCTCCTGGAACTGGCAAAACTAGGACTCTCACAGAGTGGTAAGTCACGAATTCCTCTGGCCCTGTATATGTCGACTCACACAACTTTTGTCAGTATCATGCAAACGTATCAAAACAGGAAGAGCGATTCAGTGCACATTCTCGCTTTTGCTCCAAGGTACTATTGCTTCGAAACAGTCAATGTGAAAGTGCTGACTCACTATGCTGCTTTATCTAGTAACTCTGCCGCGGATCAAATCTGTGAACGGATCTCTGGAATGTTTAGTCGCTCTATGGTACGCTTCAGCTGGTTTTTTGATAACGACACTATCTCACAATTCTCTGTCGCTGTAGATGTTCCGACTGAACGCGTATCGTCGAGAACGTGCCGAACTCTCCGCAAAAGTTATGGAGTACTCGCGGTACTCAGAGTCCACTGGTATTTTTGACACCCCAACCAAGCAAGAAATGATGGCGTACACCGTGGTAGTTGTGACGTGTGTAAAAGCATTGTTATTTGCGAGAATTTTTCAGAACATATCGCTGAAATTCGCGTGTGTAGAGCCGTTTCTGGCGGGTTGCTGTACTCGATGGGCCTTCCTCGGGGTCATTTTACTCATTTCTTCATTGACGAGGCAGGACATTGTATTGAACCAGGTATGTCGTCTGTGCTGATCTACAAATGTTGTATGTAGTTATTTACGCAGAATCATCTCACACTATAGAGTTCTGGATTGGTATTGCTGGTCTGATGGATACGACTCCAGGACGCTCGCAGATTGTCCTTGCTGGAGATCCAATGCAATTGGGACCAGTCCTGAGAAGTGATATCGTAAAACAGTTTGGTCTTCACCGCTCGTACCTTGAACGTCTAACCGAGCTTCCAGTGTACAAACCGAAGCAATCTCAAGACGGTTCTCATGCACAATACGAGAACCCACATCTGGTCACGAAGCTCGTTCGTAACTATAGATCTCATCCGGCCTTACTGACGTTGCCAAACCAGCTGTTTTATAACAGTGATTTGATACCTGCTGCTGATGTAGCGATGCGAGAAAGTTTATCGACTCTTCCATTTTTGCCTAATCGCAACCAGTTCCCGCTGGTATTTGTCGGTGTGAATGGCAAAGGTGTGTATCTGGTGGGGGGTTTTTGCTGTCATTTGCACCTCTAATCCAATCAATGTAGATATGCAGGAAGCTGCTTCTCCGTCGTGGTACAATCCTGATGAAGTGAGCATGGTTAATCAGTGGGTTGACAAGTTGAGAAGTGCTCCGAGGTCGTATGGCATTAGCTCGGACCAAATTGGTGTTATTACACCGTAAGTATCTTGGAGTGTAAATGGTCTGGCAAGTACCTCTGGCTGATCGTAATTATCAACTCAATTAGATATCGTCGCCAAGTACAACGCCTTCGTAACAGACTGCAGCCATCTCATGGTGACGCCATCAAAGTGGCATCTGTAGAAGAGTTTCAAGGACAAGAACGGCGTATCATCATCATTAGCACAGTACGATCCTCAGCCAAATACTTTGAGCATGACTCGGTGCACAATCTTGGATTTTTGAGAAATCCAAAGCGATTTAATGTCGCTATCACTCGTGCCAAAGCACTTTTGGTTGTGATTGGGTAAGTTTTTAAGATCTGGAAAGAGTACGACTGATGTTTTGAACTATTCGAATCCGTTCTAATCCTTTGTTTTGTCCACAGCAACCCAGTTGTCTTGTCGAGTGACAAGCATTGGAAGGCTCTCATCGACTATTGTCGTGACAATAAGGCTATAGTCGGATACGATCCACAGTTAGCTGACCCTACGGATGCTATGAGTGGATTGTTGACTGCTTTAGATAGAATGAGGATGGCACAAGATGAAGATGACGATGATAATGCTCAACAACAAGGCGCGAATGGAGCATCGCTGGTCACGAATGTTGAAGAGCCGGAATGGAATCCGAATGAATAGTTGTGGTGTTTGGATAAATCAGGTTTTGGACAGTTATCATATAGAACATAGTAGAAATATAGTTTGCTTTCGTACACTGTCAATGTATTGCTTGTTGCATATTTGCTTGTAATAAGGTCTGTCAAGGTGCAATAAGATTGCTGGTATGATTATCACTACAACACAAACGTTCAGAATTGCAAAAAGACCCTTTCAAAGTCAGGCCTTCCTATGACAATGAGTCCGACGCATGGCGTTGTTCATCAGCAGAGGTCGCATCAACAAACGCCAACTTCTTTGATGTGGTTTCTTGCAGTACACACATGATTTTCAGCCCAAGAAAGCATCTACACGATCTCTTATTCTCAAGCGAGAGAAACCTCGACTGTTCATTTCGTCGCTTTCAAGATTCGATCCAGCGCTTCTCCCATGGAAGCAGGCCTATTGTCATTCGTCAGATTTTGCTCAGTCACCCATAGTGAGCTTCATAAGGGGTAAAACCTTGTAATTTGCAACGACGAGCCAGAGCGCAGGGGCATAGCAAACACGACATTATTGTAAGGCTAGGGTGGTAAGTCTTCGGGCTTCACCACACCCCTGTTGCTCACAAAGTCACTCGTCTTTTTGAAATTTGGAAAATGAATTTTCTTTGGAAAGCGTGAAAAATCCTGCTATGGCCACTTCAAAGTTATCTACATTCTGCCCATTTATTTCTGCAAATGAATGTATCTCCCTTTCTGTGGATAATTCCAAGAATCTTAACTCGGAGACAGGACATTTTTCCAAGCCCAACAGACAGCGTTCAATCCCACCAATGTACAGTGGTCAAATTTCTCGGCTACCACGAGGTAGTACAATGTCATCTTGGTGCCTTCCTTTTGCTGAATCTCCCTCTGCGTCCAAATGAACGTTAGCACTGAGTTGATGCCACCAAAGCCCTCTGTATTTAATCAAAATTGGAGTGTATTGTTGATATTGGTGACTTAATTGCTCCGCCCCCTGTGATTGCGACTATTTGCTTACCTGTTGCCCTTCAGCCAGATGACCTTACACATTGGACACTTGATGGGACATTGAACATTGTTGTCAATACTAGAACGGGTCTATATGTTGACGCTCTGCAAGCAGGAACAAAGTGGGGCTAGGACATTGTATTCGTTGAACTGGTATCCGTTGTAACAAGCAAAGAACAAGAAGCGCTATGGATGCAGCAAATGTATCAGATGTGAGTGTGAGTGTAAAAAGTTCTAGACTGTTGACACAGCTTTGTTCGGAACGTGCAAAGAGTGGAAAACGTTGCTTGACGCGAGACTCACGTCTGTCAAGTTCTACTCTCTCTTGGTCAAAAAAGAGCACGTCGTTTTGCCTCGTTCGAAGAGCTGAACTGACTTGGATCCAAAGAGGAACAACAACACGTGTAGAGCCTAGCAGCCTCGTGTAGAGCAGAATCACTAATACCAGGATGACTCCGTATCTTCCAGGTCTCTACGGCAGAGTTCATGCTGTGAGCATCGAGTCAGGAGAAACTCATTCAAGCGGACCATCTCGAGGCAGAATATTTTCATTTCATCTGCTATATACGTCCATATCCTAAATCATCTGACATGTTTTTGGAGGGTCTCCACTCCATAGATGGATTGAAATCACCACTGGAACCAACATCAGCATCACACAATTGGAATCAGCTTATTGCTTGTTTGTCAAAGCTACCACTCTTCAAGGCTTATAACAAGCGTATGTTGGTGTTGAGCATCATGTCATCAACGAAGAACTATGTAGTGATGATTCCTCGCACTCAAACTCAAAAGCTTAGCTGCAATTCACGAGACGGTACATGTTTCAAGCACAGAGCATCTACTTGGAAGGCCTCGGAAGCGAGTGGCTAATGAGAATGATGAATTGAATCATTCTTCTCTGAAACCCACCTGAGCGATTCGTTGGAAAGTTGTTGATGTTTCACCACTTGAAAAGGACCTGCACGAGTTGAGGAGTGCACGGCTGAAGTTTCATTACCCAATTCGGTACTTCCTGAGGATTTCCTGAATGGGCATTCGAGTGCTGTGTTTAAGGAATAAAAATTAGTAATTTGCAAGGACGAGCCAGAGCGCAGGGGCATAGCAAACACGACAGTATTGTAAGGCATAGGTGGTAAGCCCACGGGGGTCACCATTCCTCTGTTGCTCACGAAGTCACTCGTCATTTTAACCTCTATCATTTTTTAGACTTCTTTTTCAAGGGAAGGAATTGCATCAATTCATTCTAGAGTCGTTGAATAACCAGCAAACATAACTCTTAAATTAAAGTAGTATTAATCTGTGCTCAAATAACATAGTCTCTGTTTAGTATGCAGGATCTCTCTTCACTTTCTGTAATAATTCCTTTGCATCCATTCTAGGAGGGACCGGAGGAGCATATCCAGGAACAGCAAGCCCAGTAGCTGCCTTCACTTCCTTTCCAGGTGTGACTGCCCGACTCTTTTCATTTCTTCTGAAGGCATCTCCTGATTTAAGAGACGTTATCAAGTCATCCATGACTCTGTGATTGACAAGAAATGGCATTAGGAATGACACATTAAATTAAACCACTGAAGGAAGTTAATCTTACCCTTTACGCTCAATCTGAGTCGTTAAGTCAACATGAGAAGACTGCTTCTCGTGAGTCTGGAGAATAGTAGCAGTCAGTGTCTCAAAGAACAACATTGCTATTTCAAATTTAGAAACTACACTTACTCCAAATGCAGGCGCTCGCTGTGCCCCTTTTCGCAAGGCCTCATCAGCAGCATCGTTTTCCTTTTGTGCTTTCTGATAGATGTAGTCAAAATGATGAGTATCTTAGCCTCTTCTTACTTCTTACCAAAACATCCCACCACATACCTGAAGGTTATGAACAAAAGTTGATAGCATGCCGAAAAATACTTCTGGTGTAGTCTTGGCCTCTTCTCCATAGAATTCCAGTGCAGATTTGAATGTAGTTTCCATATCAGTCTTCAGCTTTTTGAGCTCATCAATACTCTGCTTGTTTGCTGTGACAAAGTTCTGTGATGCCACGATAGGTGTGAGAATTTGAAAACCCAAAAAAATGTTTGGACTTAGCAGATAAATAGAGACCTTGATGACTTCTTTCAACTTGTCTTCTTTGGGTAGACTGTCCTGGCTGTTGGCTAGTCGTTCTAAATCTTCAAAGCCCTTGAGCAACTCGCCGATTTCTTGATTGATACCTTGTAAGGAGGCTATGAGTTTACGGTTAGCCAACATATGTTGTCCGGTTTCCAACAAAAAAAGTGGGTACGCACTTTTTGAAGCTTGATCTATTCCAGTGAGTTCTGATGCAAGATCCTTGGCTTCTGGGAATTTCTTGTCGACGATGCGAGTCAAGTAGTGCAGAAAGCTCTTGCCATTTGCACCTTTAGTGTCTCCCAACTATATATTGATAGTAGAAGTCAGAGCAAGCCTCCAGCACGTAAGATTCCTGAACACTGTTCTTCTACCTTCTGCAAAGTGTCGATAGAGAACCCAAAGGCAGCACCACGGAAACTATCAGCATTCATCCAATTTCCAACAGCCAGAATAATCTAAATCCCATATCGTCAGCAAGCCGACTCTATAGCCCACATAAATCCTCTATGCATATACCTCCAATATTTTAGCAAATTTCTTGCTTTCCTTGATCTGCTTGGAAGCTTGCAGAATACAGTTGATTTGAGGTTTGACTTCAGAAGTTCTTTCTCCAAATCTGAACTTGAATACGAGAGCCTTCAGACGCTCTTCATATCTTGGAACCTTGAGCATCTAGAGATTATTGAGGAAAGTGTGACATTAGTTACAAGTACAACAAAAAACCTGACCCGAGCTTTACAGTACCTCCCAGAAGAATTGTTCAGCTTTACCCAACTCAATGAGTTTGCTCTCATCATGCCCAACATAGTCTCGTATCATGTCTGATTCTTCAGCAGTAGGCACAGAGGCCAAAAACATCTTGATCAAGTTCTCAGAAATCTTTTCACCTTCCATGTGGATGAGTGATTCTCTGATTTCCTTAAACGGCATCTTGACACGACCAAGCATGATTGCTACGTGACAAAAGAGTTAGATGAATGAGACACTTAAAGACGAAAAAGTTTACTCACAGATATTATTTGACCTCTTGGAATCCAATAAAGTAACCACCTTCTTTTCTTTACCAGCAAGACCTTCCTTTGAACCACTCTTGGCAGAATTTAATGCACCATCAGAGCCCAGAGAAGAAGACGCTGCAGGAGCAGCTGCTGCAAACATCTTTTCCAGTTCGTCTAGATCGATTTTTTCTCGACGAAGTCTGTCTTCAGATTGCGGTTTCTCAGCAAGAGTACGCCAGAAAGTATTTTGGATTTGAGATGGTGGTAGTTTGGACCATTGCAGTTGACGCATTTTCGTGTGTGGTTGTAGTTTCGGTTTTGGTGGGAAAAGCGATGCTTCAGCTAGATGATATGGTTGAGATTAGCATTACGAAAGCAGCATTAGAATGAAGGACATATACCTGTAGCACCAGGGGGTGGTGGTGGACCTCCCATTCCAGGCGGCGGCGGTGGTGGTGGTGGACCTCCCATTCCCGGTGGTGGTGGAGGCGGTGGTGGACCTCCAATTCCAGGTGGTGGAGGCGGAGGAGGCGGTGCACCATCCATCATTGGCGGGGGAGGTGGTGGTGGAGCAGAAGCATCGATTTCAGCGTGAGTAGCAAGTGTGTCGTCTGAAGACTTTACTGATGCTGCAGTACCATGTGCTTTTGCGCTCTTGGGTGGTATAGGAGGAGCAGCCCTAGATGGTGAGCTCTATATTTGGAGGGTTCGCTTCAGTTCCTTGAATGAACAAAAAAAATTCAAACAAGCTAAACGAACCTCTTTGGCCTTCTTGACAATTTGATCAACATATTGTTGTAAAGCTTGTCGAGCTTCTGGAGATATATTTACACCTGATGGAAGTGGAGCTGCACTCAGATCAATGGTTGCTTGACCAAGTGCGTTGGCAACCTGGAAATTGACAAAAACAGTTGAACGTATATCCTTTGATCCGAGTCTGCAATGACGAAATCGTACCTCGGTTGTGATGGCTACAGTTAAATTGGCTCCTGATGTCTTGACTGGAGAAGCAGGTGCATCATTATTCTGAGAATCTGGTGCCACGTCAACCTTTAGCTTCTTAACATCTTTGCCTTCCAATTGAGTGACTCTGGCTTCCCATTCATTGATTCGTGATGCTGATTCCTTGACACTCTTAATGGCACGATCATATTCATCTTGACGGACAAGTTGATTGACTACACTTTCCATATTGAGATTCAGTCGAAGGATATCTGGAACCAGACCATGTCGTTGAAACATGATTTGAGTAAGCACCATTTGAATCAGTTGCCAGTGTTTGGGTCTAATCAAAGCGACGCGTTTGAGGTTGCTATTTGTGATCGACTTCGAAAGGAAATCTTGTTTGTTTCTCACCCGCGATATTTATCCAACGGCATGACAAAGAGATGTTGTAAAACTCTCAGAAACCATTTATGGGTTTCCGGATCGCTGATGTGAGCTTTAATTGAATCAAACAAAGCTTCAGGATCTTGCATGTCGACCTCTTGGAGATCCAGAGCTTCAGCGATCGCTTCATTATCAGCGGAAGCTTCATCTTCAAAGATCTGCAACTGAGTCCTGACGTTGGAATTGTCAATCAAACGTAAAGCCTACATGATCATCAGATGTTAAATGTTAGGTGATTGACACATTGGTGGATTTAGAAAAAATGCTTAACAGGTAGCTTATCAAGAATTCCTAGATCCATGAACTCGTTTCGTAATATGACCCGCTGATCTAATTCTTCAGGAGAATTCACTATAGCGTTGATGAGCGCAAGACATCCAATCTTTTCAAAAATGAGTGTTAATTTTTTTGCGACGTAACGGGCGACCTGACGAATAAGCCATATATACCTGACATTCAAGATAAGCATAACTCTCGTCACTGACTTCAGTACTGTCTTCGTCCAAATTGAGCAACAACTTCTGAAATCTATACTTGTGTTTCATCACCTCTGCGTAGTAATGCATGCTTTTGAGGATCAAGCCATGTCCATTTGTCACAAAACAAACAGCTGCAAGAACTTCAAGTACTAATGTCTGGACCTTTAGAGATGGTGATGCCAGCGCGAGGGCGATATTATTGATACCGTCCGGGTATTGCATCGTCGTGATCAACCCGTACGTGTTATTCATCATAGCTTTGAGAGAACGGACACAATGATTTTGTGCTTCCTTTTCATCTGCTGATGGACTGGAAACGTGCGTGAGCCAAAACCAGCTATGATCAGCATCAATTTGTGACGATCTAACCTACTTGGACTTTGTAAACAACTTTTTCTGTAAATCCAATAATAGTGGCAGTCCTTGTTCAGCTACAAATTCTTTGACCCAAGATATAGGTTCTCCTCTCAAATCCACTTCAAGGGATTGCAGTTCTCGAGCCAACTCTTTAGCTTGAAGACTACCCTTTAGGACCTCTACGTACTTCTTAGGCGTTGACTTTTCACCATCGACAGTACCCTAGTTTAATCGTCATATATCAGATTCGAGTCTACAGAGTGTCCAGAGAGTGAACTTAGAAGCTTGCCTTTTTACTCTTTTCTTGAAGCAAGAGCACCCATTTGCGGTCAAGAGGCATTGAGCGCATGGCGCTGAGTTTGTCTTCTGGTAGCGCCATTTCAGCCTATAAAGAGAGGTCAGGTCAATCTAACCGTGGTGATCGATCAAAAAAAAAGTCCTCTTTCTCGTCAGTTCTAGCCTGACCCATCACAGCAGCGGATCGTTCAACGTTGTAAATCCATATGAATTCGATTATTCTACTTGATCTGACCACTTTTAGCTTCATCGTCGGCCAGTTCAGCCGTTTAATTTCCATTCACATTTTCTCAACAACTTGTTTGATGTTGACCCAACTGTCCACGACCATAGTATCATTTAAACTTGAAATAGCGATCAAAACCAGTACCACGTACCAGGAACCCTTCAAAGGCTGCATTAACTTCTCCTTCAGAGGGCATGATCTCATTGAGGCCACCATTTGAGATTTTTGTGGAAGACACCACTTCAGATGGCGTGCCAACTACTATTGGCGCTCCCGGTTTAAGAGACGGCTTTTTCTTGCCAAATAGTGTCGACATATTATCGGTCGACCGTATTGTAGACTTGTTCAAACTATGTTACAAACCGCTGGACTTGTTTGAAAACGCGGTCAAGTGCGTGACGGCCGATCTTTGGATTTCGCAGTCGGACGAACCAAGCGATATCCTAATGTTTTATTCTTCTATTTAAACACTCGAAAATTTATTGTGGCCTTACTTCTTCTTTATCAAGTACTCGGATACATTTTGCCAAAGTCCTAACGTACGTGAGCAACCCTTCAGATACCACCTCATTACCTTCTAGATACAGCTCGTCCAATCTCACAGCATCCCGGAGACCCAACAACCCATCTCTCCTATTTATCTTGTTTCGTTTTAGAGACAAGGTATCCAACAGTGGCATACCTGAGAGTCCTTCTATACGCTCAATACCATTATCATCAAGACCTAGAATCTTGACAAAGGCAAAAGCTCTTGCAGAGGCCATCGACCTTAACGAGTTTTGAGAAAGGTTGATTGTGGATTGGAGTGTCAACAGGTACGGTTGCGGTATAGTGGTCAGTTTCTGATTTGGGTATGATACGTGTGCAGCATGTATAGCTCTCGAGTAATCAGCCAATGTAACATTGTTCACTCGTTTCGAGATGTTGGCTGTCAACTTTCTCCAGATGAATTTGGAACCTAAATTTTGGAGTTTCAAATGAGTCAACCATTTTCCAGTTTTCATCCAAATTGTCAATCGAGGGGAAAAAAAGGTCAAGAGTAGCGAGAGAAGGTTTCGAACCTTCGACCTGTGGGTTATGAGCCCACCACTCTAACCAACTGAGCTATCTCGCTGAATGCGGAATGGTTGGAGAGATACGTGAACAAACTGGATGAAGGCTTTATTTTCTTACGAAGGTCTTCAAAGTAGTGCTGCCTCAGGGGATCCAATAGAATCAATTCATTCAAAAGTGATATGGCGTCATCAGCACGATCACCTAGCTCGTCCAGTATATAGACGATTGTCAACTTACACCCTAAAAACCACGAAAGTGAGAACTAGAAAAATCGTTGAGATCGACAAAGCATATGAACTTACAGTCGCTTGTTGGCTCAATTTCAGAAAGCTCCTTCAGATTTGCATACTCTCGTTCCCATACTTCTCGCGGCTGAGGTAAACTCGAGTCTGCTAGTTGAGTTGTGGCAGTTACAGCCCCATCTTCGTCAATGACTTCGTCAAATTCCATCACATTGAGATTGCTATCTACTTCAGAGATAGCTCGAGAATGTATTGTGGCTAGAGATACCGTAAGTAAATGATTGAACATATCCGTTGTTGTAGAAGATGCAAACTTTGGGTTAAGCAATACATACCACTGAATTTAGCCGTTCTATGAATGTTTCGTTCCAGCCTAATACCAAGTTTACCCTCTAAAGATCCAGCTTGTACGTAGAGATCAACAGACCGTTGGCCCACTTTGTGTTGAATAGCAGACGGTGTGAGCTTGATGAGTTGCACACACTCGTATGGCATCTTAGGTGGTATCGGTATCTCTTCGTCGTCAATCACCAGTTTGAAAGCCGATGATGACAGAACCTGGAGATCGGTTTGGTATGAGCTTACTCAAAAAAGGGCCGACCGAGATCGCAAAAATTGCTCCATACCTTGACTGGTTGATTAAATACGAGTACGGCATATAATTCGATAGAAGGATCTTTGGGAGTCCGTAAGAAATACATTCCACTCATTTCGACGGGTTCGGGAGCTAAAAGTCAAATGTGAGCAACCGTAACTCATACCAGATAGAGCATTCGTCCTTGCCTTTTCCGAGAAGCCATCGCTGATATAACCATGCACTTTGATCTGATGGTTCTGTCCATATAGCACTTCGAACAGTTTCAAAATCTAGCATTTGCAAAGCTTCGTTAGTGATATGGCCCCGAGTGACTATTAATGAACCTGCCTTTCGAAATCTCTTTGTTTCTATCGGCTTCATCAGGAAAAGCATTCGGAAAGAGTTTACTGCGATAGTGCCATGCTGAATAATTTGAAAAGTTTTGCTCAATCTTTTTCGACGTGTATTTGAATTCCTCTTGAGGTGAGCGAATGCCTCCCGAAGCTTGCATTACGTATCGACGATAATCCCAACCGTGAACTACAGGATCATATTTTGAGTTCGATGTCGTTCCAGGGCTGACGTTTTACCGTCGACCACTTACAGTTTCTGGAATCCAGATTAAGCATGGCATCTAATAGATCACATTCACGACCCCAGTTTGGGCGAGGCATGACGCTCAAAGTCCATCGTCGATGATTCCACAACCAATACGATTTTGGTTGATGACGTACAAGTTCTTGAGTCAAAAGCAGCTCTGCAGTACATTTGGTTTGCTTTTCATCGTCCGTTCTAAATCAACCATATTGGCAGCTGTTCGGTTTAACATATAAAGATCATCAAGCTTACAGACTTGTAAACCACGACACTAGGATTTCACGACGATAGTTCCATGCGGTGTAATAGTCTGAATTCATGATAATGGCATGTGTCGTTAATTCCAAAGAGCCTTGATCATATATTTGAGCAGCTCTCTATTATAAAGACGGCAGCGTGGGATGAGCTTATGAAATGTTGATCCAACGTGTCAAAAAGAGACCAACTCTAGTATTCATATCATCGACAATTGTCAGGAATTCCTTGATTTTAGCAGCTTCTTTGGCTAGATGGGCCTTCTCGGCCTCTTCTGACACAGCTTGGATGCTACTTTTTGATATTCCATGCTGTTTGAAAGTGAATAATGGGTTATTATGAACCCTCAAAGAGAAAATCATTGATGACATATACGTACGCTAAAACCTTCCGACATAACTTCTAGCTATCGTATGTTTTCTGCAGCTGTTTGGAGCTAGTTTGATATGAAACAACACTGACACTTGCGAGGACGAGGAGTGCAATACGAATGAGACGAGTACGCGTTGCCCGATACTTAAATTGCTAAGGAATCCTACTGACGGCCCTGTGTCGATATCTTTCAGGATCTTTGTCTGTTGGTCTGCACACTCAAAACGTGAATGGAGGCTGTAGCAGTCTGAGGGATTTTACATCTGTATTGTTGACGGCTTTCTACATTATATATAAATTACTCTCTTCCATACACCCATGACTCATACCGTTTTCATCGGTGTACCTCATATCACGAGTATATCAGCCAAACTATCAACATCCCTTCCAGTCCCAGAATTCGCCTCATTAATCCTCAACCCCGTTATCTTGTGCAAACCAGCCAACAATGGAAAAAACGACAATTCAAAATCAACTGAATCCAACGGCGGCACATCACCAACCATCTTTTCAGCAATCCCACACAACAACACAGATCCCATCTTGCTCTTTACAGCAGCGACACTCAGTTTGAGTGTTTCACCAGCAAGATTATTACGTACTCGACAATGTAGTGTGAATGGTTGTTCGGATTTTACCATGTTTGGGAGAGTGATTACGGATATATCGTATGGTTCGACGGGAGGTACTTTGCGTGATAGTTGGGATGTTTGGAGGCGACCTATTTGACCCATTTGAGTCCGCCACATAATGTCTAGTTTGCCTAGTGTTGATGTTGTTCTGGCCAATGGGTCGTTTGTGGTTTTTGGGGTTAGCATGTATAGGTATTGACGGGTGTCTTGAGGGTTCAAGTATGGGGCATCCTGAAATACCATTGGGGATTCGTTTACTGGTGTGGCCGTTGGTTCTCGTTTTCGTTCGGTGTTTGTGGTGTTTGTGGTGCTATTTTTATTACTATTACTCGACGTCGTAGCCCCTTTACTCTTATCTGCTAGTATAACACCATTCAAGTCCTTAAACTCAAACAGCTCTGACGGATCAAACTTCATCCTCTCCAGACACATGACACCAGCCGACACATTCTGTACCTGAGCTTCCAAAAACACTCGTCCATCTTGAAGCGTATTGACTTTCGTTTTGACAGCTAGTGGATTCAAGACCTGGAATTTATAAAATTTCCTAAAATACCGTCGTTCAGTGCCAGCAGTGTAATGTACCGAGCAGACCAAGATATGTACACCTAATTCCTTGATTTCGTGCTGTATAATAAACTCGGCGGACTGAGTAGGTAGTAACGAGACTCTAGATGGGGATGTGTTGTTTCCTCCAGGTGACGATGGCGGTGAGGCACCTCCCGTCCTAGTTGGAAACATGGTACTACCAGGTGACGTTACAGGTTGTATAGCAGCATTTGGTTGAGTAACAGCTATAGCTACTGTATCTGCCAATGTAAATCGTTGGGATGCAGTTTGAAGCTCGGCCTTGATCCCGACATCTTGTACAGCAGTTGGGGATTCATTGTTGACACATAAGTAAGATATAAATGTTTCTCCTAGATGTATATTTCCAAATGCGGCTGGTAGTGCTAATAGATCTGATGATGCGACATCTCGAATCCTCACCGTTGATGGATCTGTTGTTGATGTTGTTGATGGCGATGATGATGCTGAGTCGGAGGATAGCAGAGTCAAGTCATTCAAGGCTGCAGCTTCCAATGCTACAGTTAATGGATCGGTTGCTGGTTCAAAATATAATGGATTTGATGCCACAAATGATGGTCGTGACAGTCGCATCACTTTCAAAGATAATAAATGTTCCTCCATAGTGCCTTGCTGATTTCCCAGAGAAGAGTATTATCACTACTATGTTTTGATATCCTGAATACTACGCTGTCGGTTCCGGTTGCTCTGATGCAATGTTTGGAACTCAAGCGACACTGCGACTCGACTAGGCAGAACAAGCGCAGCCCACGCGTTATTCACGTGAATCTCACTTAATTATAACATTCCATTGTTTTCCCTTTCACCAATTTACATACATATTCATATTTGATGATGCATTTTTACATACGAATTTCACTCCCAAACATTCTTGTTTCTTTCTCTAGCTAACGTACTAACGTACAAATGACTTGGATCCAGAGAATGATGAGACCTTGTTGTTGATGCTGTTGTCAGAGATCTCTCTTAATTCCGACGAAACGATCTCAACATGGAATGGATTGAAGTATTCCTTGATGGCACCTTGGTGAACGCCAATTCTAGCTTTCTTCATAACTAGAGTTGAGTTAGGATATTCAGTTAGCAGAGTACAAAAGAGTCCAACCGAAAACGTCCAACATAGGACATTAATTTCCCAACGTGCAACAAGGCACACGAGAAGGAAACTTACCAGACACTTCAGGTCCAATCCAAGTAATGAAAGCAAACTTGATTGTGGCGATTCCTTCAATGACATCGATCTAAACAATGTTAAGTTAGTCGCGTTGTCGTCTGTGTTTGCTTCACCCACACGCGAATTCTTCAACTTACCACTTTGACGTAAGCATAAGATATAGCATCAGGCTTGAAATGTGTTTTCAAGACGTCAACACCTTCACCTTGAGCAGCCTTGGCAGTAAGCGATACTGGTTTAGCAATATCTCCATCCTTGTACGAAGCCACGACCCATCTACATTCAACTTTATCATCACGGACTGCTCGAATGGCGTCAACGAGTTCAGGAGCGATCTGTAGAGTGGCTGATTGAGTAGCGGCCTGTGGTTTTGTAGGTGATGTTGCACTGCTGCTGTTGGCTGACTTGGATATGGTGCTTGTTCTAGCAGTAGGAGATACGGACGTGCTTGTTCGTTGTTGTTGATCATTTCCAGGGGAAAGAGAGGCACCTTCCGCCGTTGGTTTGGTGGGAGATACGTGAGCAGATCTTCCAGTAAATCCACGTTCTTGCTTGCCAACCACAAAGTTCTTTTCTCGCACGTTATTGGCGACACCTGCAGCCTGGTTGACTTTCTCAATGACTATGTTTTCGGATATTTCTCTAGCTTCGTTGATTTCAAAGTCGACGTGATATGGCTCGAAAAGCTTTGACACGGATCCTTTAACTATTCCCATGCGTCCCCGTTTGACGAAGGACACATCGGCACCGAGATTGTATATATAGACAAATCTGACTACCTTTGACAGATCCACTGTTGTTGTTACTCTAATAAGAGCATATTGGACTTGATTTGAAGCAAACTTGGACTTGAGTTCGTCGACTCCTTCGTTCCCGGTAGCTTGTAATGTGACTGTGTTTACATCATCATTCAAGTGGCCTATGATGCACCATTGTGCTGGGTTGGCATCATCTCGGACCTGTAGACACGGAAAGTTCAGTTAGAATCAGAGCTGTTGCAAATGTTGCAGTTGTGTAGCTGATCTGAAGGTGATTCCGGGCATATATATCACGGGACCTCAATTCAAGTACTCGTATGACATGATCACTTTCGTTTCGACCTTCGCGCATGGATAGCATCACGTCCAACAGCTGCCCGCTTACGTTCTTGATGGCACCAACAATGGCGGCCTCATTGTCCAGCTTGACTGAGATAGAAGACATGATGTTCAGGTAGCAGATATACCTAAATGAAGAGAATTATATAACGCGTTATTATCTACGTTTTCCTCCTTGGTTGTAAAATTACAATGTTGGTATACTGTGTTGTTGTCAAGACACACCGTCAAATCAAGAATCAAAAACTACGCAAATAGATAGACTAGGCACGTATATACTCACATTGGACTCGTCAAATCCAATACCAGGCAGCCATGTTTCAGCAACAGCAGCCAAACCAGCTGGAAATGATGATCCGTACGTGCTTGTGAATGACCTATTTGATCACTTTGTTTAGTCTTGTTTACTGCATCTTCTGATGATGAACTGACTACCTCTTTCTTCAATATTGCTTCAATGCAGAGTCCGCATGTAATCCCGAGTTCTATGAGCCAAATCTCGCTTTGAATATGGAAATCGTCGACCAAATAAACCAACGGGCTACCAAAGGATTGTACGTGTTTGCTTGTCTATTCATGCTCATTTATTGCTGTATTGCTGCCAATGTATCCAAATAGGCCATGTGTCTATGTGGACGTGTCAATACATCCACGTTGAACTAATACCTTTTACTGAACAGTCCACGGCAAGCTGCCCTCGCCATCGTCAAGCTGGTCAACGATCGGAATCCAAACAGTGCTTCTCTGGCTCTGAATGTAAATGTCTATCTCGCACAGTTCATGGTCATTGATCATCCTTTTGCACTGTCTCGCACAGTTCGTAGTCATTGATCATCTTTTCGCAGTTTCTGACGCTGTTTGCTGCATTTTCTAGCTGCTGGATCAATGCGTCAAGAACTGTGGCTACCCATTCCACCTCATCGTTGGGACAAAGGACTTTTTGAATGAGCTCGTTCGTCGATTTCCGGAAAGACCTTTGCAAGGAGTGGGGCCAGTCCAATACAGGATCCTAGAACTCATACAGCAGTGGAATGCAACTCTTTGCCGGCATTCGAGATATAAAGAAGACTTTAAAAACATTAATGACATGTACAACTTGCTCATGTACAAGGGCTACAGGTTTCCACAGCTCCAGCAAGATAGTGCTAATGTTATGGCGCCGAAAGAAGAACTCAAGACTGAAGAAGAGCTGGAAGAAGAAGATAAAGTTGCTCAAGGTGCTAAATTGCAAGAATTGTTGAGATTAGGAACTCCTGCGGCTTTAGAGCAAGCGAATGATCTTATGAAAATCATGGCTGGATATGTATGTAAATTGTGTTTCGAGGTGTATCGTGAACTTCTCGTCAACTCACTTTCCAAAAACTTTGTAGGATATGGAGAAGCGTCCGGATTACAAGAAACAAGTCAATGAAGAACTGGATAGAATTGAACATCGTGCCATGGTCTTGAACGATGTGTTGAATTCGAAATCTCCGAAAGATAGAAAGACTCACGACCCGAATTTAGAGGTAAATGATATGTTCTTAATTCGGCGTTTTTCGCTGTGATCTCAACCACTATGTATAGGAATTACACGCAACTGCCAAAACAGCTCAAACAAGAATCCAAAAATTGGTTTCTGATGGAGACGATGACAGCAGAATTGGTAAGAAACCCCACGAAAAAAAGCGTACAGTAGTCACTCCATGTATTCATCAATACCTTTCACGCACTAGGTCGTCTACTGGAATTGAACGATTTAATTAATACTGTGATTACCAAGTATGCTGACTACAAGGCTGGAAAACCTATTACAAGAGATCTGCCTGGTTTGTAAGTGATCAAAGTTTCTGACGGGGGGCCTTGGGTCATGCGTTGAAAACAGATCGACTAACTCATGCTGCCACCAGCGCCTTTCTGGATCCACAAGCAAATGAATCACCACGAACAGGTCCCATCAGTCTGATTGACTTTGATGGGCCACCTGCTACACAAACACCTACAGGCTCGTCATCCTTGTCGAATCCACCAACGTATGCTAGTAGTAGTGGCTCTATCTCACCGTCGAAATCTGTTTCACCATCGAAAACTCCCACTAACTTATTGGACGATTTGAGTGGGTTGAGCTTTTCTGTAAGCATTGAATGCATTGAATCACCTTTGTCATTTTTTTGTCCTTGCTTCAGCACTCACTCTTCCTTCTCGTTATCTTTCAGGACAATCCAAATCAACAACCTTCATCATTACCGTTAACCACACCATCATCACTCCCACATACACAACAAAGCAATGCTGCCATCCTCGCCAATTTTGGAAAGTCGAATCACAGCGGTGCTTCTACGCCAGTAATGAATTCAAGTATACGGCAACAGCAGCAAGCACCTGCTGGAGCATCATTATTGGGTGACTTGACTGGAATCATGTCATTGCAACAACAACAGCCATCATCAATAATGTCTGGTAGTGCTGGTGCCACCAAACCGTTTACTGCAACGTTGTGGCAAACCACTGTACCGAATGCAAATCTATCTATAACGAGTACTAGTAGTGGTGGTGGTTTATCCACGTCAACACAAGATCCGTTTGATGCATTAGGTAAATTTTGATCTTCCACGTCTGATTTTTCAAGCTCTGTTTTTCGTCCACGAGTTTTTGTTTGTCTTTGGCTAACACTCACATGTTTTCTTGTAGGATTGGGATTATCTAAGCCATCAACATCATCCATGCCTGTTATTCCTGCGAACACAAATTCAATCACACCACAGCAGCAACCAAACCAACCACCTAGAGCTTCCAACGAATTTTTGGAGTTTCAGTCCGCAGCACCTGTACCACCACCAACATCATCATCAAAATCATTTGATTCTCAAGATGGTACGCTAGCTGTGTTCATGATTTGTCGATAAGTTTGTTGTCATCCACAGCTCATGCTCATCCGTTCTTGTTTTCATCTTGTCAAACAGTGGTCTTACTAGCCAAAAACGGTCTTCGAGTCGTATTACGACTAATGCCAAGTGACAGTGGGTACCAGATACAAGCTGGTTTTACGAATACTACACCTGTACCATTCACACAGTTGGTTTTTGCTTTGGCTGTTCCCAAGGTAATGACGAATGTTCGACAATCCAGTTTTTTGCCTCTGCTGATGACGTCCTTCCAATTCAACTAACAGACAATGAGCTTGACAATGGACAATGTCTCATCAACAACAATTCCACCATTGGGAACTGGAGCAGTGTTTCAGAGTATCAATGTTGTAAATTCCGCCAAGGTGAGCACCAGAAAAACAGAACATATGAACGGCAACACTTGATAAAAGTGTCTCGTTTCGTTTTCTCTAACAAATTTCGTATGCATTGTTAGGATTCATTACGAATGCGCTTCAAAGTATCATATCAAGTCAATAACATTCCTGTTGAAGAGTCGGGTGAATATGTGTACAAGTAAGGAGATGTTCCGTGCGTGGGATGGTCTACTTGGTTGAAACAAACATGACTTGTACATATAAGAATGGCTGGTTTATATAGACAAATATATAATTTGTTCTAATGTCAAATACTAGGAACCTTTCTTTGCGTAAACTCTCAAACTTGTGCGCCTGGTGTTTTACCGAGTTTTGAGACACCAACACTGAGCTGCAATGAATAATGAACACGTCCACAAGTGTTGGCAGTGGTCGTGCCTAATAAGTTCAAAGCACATGAATCTTGTCAGGCAATATATCGATATTCGTTATATGATTTATGATATATGTATGACACAATCGATATATCGCGATGTATCGCAACCTTCAAACACCTGCTAGACCACCTGCGAACTCAACCTCTTGAATCATGTAGTAAAGCACAATGGCCACCACAGAGGGTACCACAGCGGTCTGGGCGAGTTGCATGTTCCAACGTGATGCACAAGGCGCCTTCACTCCTGTAGCGGATACACACCAAGTAAGGTCAAATTGTCTCAAACTGGTGACATTGATGATTTGCTGCTGCCTCTGTTTAATGACACTCTCTATACTGCACGAGTGTACGCGTATATGAATGCGGATACCATTTGGGAGGCTCCTTTGAAACCAGGCACCAGAAACCTCTGAAACATCACGTGTACATATGAGAATGGCAAGTTTAAATAGATAAATATACAATCATTCTTAACGTTTTCTACATGTCAACTACTACGGACTTTTCTGAACGTAAACTGGCGAATTTGTGTCTTGTTTCATCGACCATTTGAATTTCCTGACAAGGTCAAAAAAAAGGACATTAACCAATGCTACGCTACTTGCAATGTAAATCATTGTTAACGTACCTTGATACCAATCTTCTTCAAGCTATTCGAGTTCGTCAGAGCCTTCAAGATTGTTTGTGCACTTTGTTCCGTCAATGGATTATTTGAAAACTCGACCTCTTTTAATGCCTGAGATGTTTCTAATGCACGTGCGAGCGATGATATGGCTGCGTCAGATAGTCGCGTGAAGGTCAAGTCCAGTAATTGTAATGCTGGTGACTTGGTCATGAAGAGTGCTAATGGTGCTACTGAGTCTCCTATGCCATTGTGCTACGAGGTGGGAGAGGTTGATTTTGATTAATTATGAGCTTCAAGTTAAGGCAACCAAGAAAAGTCAATGAGATTGAACCGTGCTAGTACGACAACGTACATGAATGCGTAGATGGCTTAATGTGACATTGTCCTAAACGAATACCAAAAAAAGAACTTGAGAAATGGCAAAAAACATGTCCCAATACAATATTTGTATACCCTTATGGAGCTGAAGAAACTGCTGAACCCAGGTATTCTGATATTGTTCCAAGCTGGAGATGAGAGTATGTCAGCATTGTGAACTTCGAAGTGTATCAATAAGATGGACTTACAGATATTAAGCTCCTTCAATCCATCATTTGCTGATAGACTTTGTCCAATGCTGTGATAGAGGGGCAAAAAAATTAAGATATCAGGATTTGAGAGGCGGGATTCGGTGTAATAACAGACAAAGAACACTCACGCTAAAACTCCTATATCTCCAATATCATTCCGACTGAGATCAAGGGCAGTCAAGCTACTGTTTGATCGTAGTCCCAAAGCAAACAGCTGAGCTCCCTTATCGCCAATATGGTTCCCTAGTTACAAAAGGTTTGAGAACCCCACATATGCCAAAAACAGCCACACGGAGTCAGTAATCATACCTCCAACATTCATAGTCTTGATGGTCACATTATACTGCAACATGTCAGCCAGCTCTCTACATCCCTCGGTACCAAGATTGTTGCCAGCAACATCCAGATACGATAATGTTCGATTGATTTGGAGAGCTAGACCTAAATGAGCTGCTCCTACTCCTAATCGATTATCCTGTTTGAAAAAATTGAAGAGCAAAAAGGACCTGTAAGACTAGCCTATGGCAACTTGCATAACCAACACATATGACACAAACTCACAGCAAGATCCAATTTAATAATTACAGAATTCGTCAATTTCAGCACTTCAGCAATAGCTTGTGCTCCTTTAGGTCCAATACCATGGTATCTCATCAGGATTTCGGTACTACCCGAGTTATACTTGTTTGCAAAATATGAGGATGGGACAATACCCAATGATTTACACGCTGCCATATAAGGATCTGATTTGTTTCCGGCCTTTCGAAGATCTATAAAAGTTGGTTGCGAGTTTCAGAAACCGCCAAAAAAACACTACGACAGTGAGCCAATACCTTCGCTTGAAGATTCTTCTAAATCAGTATCCCAGCCATCATCAACAACTTCATCCTTCATAGAATCTCTCTTGTCATGGCTGGTAGTAGGTCTGGATGTGGCAGCCGAGCCACTGATTTCAGTATCAACAATTGCTGTTCCATTATTCTTGGAATCAGATGACGAATCTGCTGCTTGTTTACGATGATTTTTACCATTCTTGGTGTTTGTTGCTGTTGCGGATGCTCCTCCTGCACGTCGTGTTGTGGCAGATTTTGAAAAATCGGGTTTACGCCTAGATGAGGTCGATCGGGTATCTTTATTGGTTTCGTCTGCCATGGTTTGTTTTTTAGAGAGGGGGAAGAGGGAAAAGGTTTGGTATCGTCCTAGATATGTAGATAGTAAATCAAGTGGTCGTTTTTGGGTTTTGTGGTGAATCAAGCAATCCAAAAATCTCCGAAAAATTCAATGTTTCTTACCAATCAGACTCCAATAAGAAAGGTTTGGGGGAGTCAAGAACCTATTAGGAACCAGGACGTTTCGTCAACCAATGAGAAACACATTGGCGTATTTGTTATTGGACGAGTACCTTGGAAGCAACCTCAATCAACACGCTCCTCCAATTTCCCTCTAGGATCTTCAGTGACTTGAAGACGATCAGACCCAATATAAACAATCCCAAGAGCGCATGAAAAGATGAAGAGGAATCGTGCTGCTGCGGCGGTGGTCTCGGCTTCTCGAAACAGTATTATACTTGTAAAACCGACGAGAGCGTTGAATGCCGAGAAGAAATTCGGAAAGAAGACACTGACATTGAATTTGGTCATGGCCTGTTGTTTGAATACCTCCTAATAATCGAGTTGATAAAATTAAAACCCAACTGAGCAACAGTTCAATGGGTCATACGCGAAGTACCTGAACGACTATGCTTCCCACCAATATCAGTACCAGTGAAATGACAGATACGGTTGCATCTTCAATAGCTTTGGCATCACTATTGGCGCTAACTCCTGCCAGGCAACAAAAAAACACAGAATTTAGTACCCATGAAAATAAACAGCGTTACCAGCACGACACTTACGAATAAGAGTACTCAATATCTTGCTCGTATTAACGACACAACATCCAAACATACTTGAAACAGCAACAAACCCTCCAAGCGTCTCCTTCTTAACCACCAGAATACCATAAATTACGGTCGCAGATACCAGACACAACGCTCCGAAAGCGATAGTAAATCTCAGAGAGTTCACTTGAGCAAGCACCTCAGGTATCGTTTCACCCAAGGACTTTGAGGTTTTAGGAGACGCTATGAGGATAAAAAAGACACCGAGGATGACGAGTATGTATCCAGAGCGTTGACGACTTGTGATTTGTTCGCCGAGAACGTATTTGCCGAGTAGGGCATTTACGATTACTGCGATGCATCCGAGCTATTTTGGAAGCGATTGTAAGATGCATGTGTTTGAGGAGGGAAAGAAAGTCGAGGATATTATATTACTCACTGGAGTGACAATAGAAGCACTGATTAATGACAAGGCAGTCATATTTCCAGCAGCTTCACCAAAATCTAATCAGCGAAAAATGGCATGGGTTATTTGGTCTACGAGCCAAAAGTTGACTATTCCTCATTCGACATCGGACGCATCTTGCAGCCCAGTCGGCCAACCACAGAAAGAGATATTTCAATCCAAATCAACACGTACAGCACAGTGCCATTCCAGCCCACCACAATGGAGATCCAAACCTCGTTCTCTTCACCACACCTTCATCACTTGTTGATGATGTCGATGGCGACGACTGTTTACGACGAGGTCTCTTGATTGAAGTTGGTAGATTTGATGTTTCAGCATCTAGCTTATTCAGTGCATATCTAACAATTGAATTGGATTGAACAGAAATCAACAATCCAAAATGTTTTGAAGATTTATGTTTGGATGAACAAGATAGATCACGATCAATGCTTACTTTTGGAGTACTTGTCCACTTCCAATGCATACGTTCCCTAAAGTGGCTGCCAAGACACCCAATACAAAATTCGACATGTTGCGTAAGATGTTTTCAGCGGAGGGACCCCCCCTTGACAAAATATTCCACTATCAACTTGTGATTTTGCCTCATCTGAAAAAAGAATTGGCTTCCGAATCGTTTTGCCATTATTCTTTTTGTTATGGCTTGGTCAGCGCACAGGCTCGAATCTATACCGAAACATTAGATTTTTTTTTCAGTGGAAAAAACACAAATGAACGATAGGAAACGTGATATCAGTGAATTACGTGCTCTAATAGCCAGAACTTGGTAGATTCTATTTGCAGATAAAGTCACTATCGAATCGAAGAGTTGCGGTGGTGTGTGGAGGAGAGGTATGATGTTGCGGATTCCTTTGGTATGCAGCCTTAAATCTCACTCTAGATATCATCTATACGTTGAAAGACGCGCTGGAAAACCTGCTCTTCACTTGTGTGTAAGACAGACGAGCTTAGTTTCTCGATCGTTTGCAAAAACACCAACGTTCGTCCAAAACACAATACCCTCGCAGCAAAAGCAGCTGTACGAAGAATAATCTTCAAAAGAAGATCAACTCTTTGAATCGGAATCATGGCGTCTCTTCCCATTATTCCTTTGCCCAACAACGATAAAGAACAAGCCGTAAGTGCAACATGTTCCATGAATTTATACATACACGGAGCTTTGGAGGTGTCAGTCACTGTATTTAGTGTGCTATGAAGGCATCTGCATTGTTTTGCTTATACCGTACGCGCCAAATGACGCTGGTAATCAACATTTGAAGCTACCCATTTCATCGTCGCTCACCAACATTCCCTCTTTAGCTTTCGTACATGGCCTTAGCTATAAAGCATGCAGCTATCGACAAGGAAGATCAGAAAGCCAAGTCATCGGGGGCTGCCTCCTTTGATGCGTAAGAGCAAAATGATTGTTTATTTAATGATCGATCTCTTGGGTGTTTTCATTCATCAACTGATCGATTGATGATTGTCGAATATAGATATGGTGCACAAATACCTCGTTTCAACAAGGCTGGCACCGTCAACTACATTGAAGCATACGGAGCCGTGTTGACAAAATTCCGACACTCCAACCCAGAATCATACGTTTTCTTGAATGGTGTGTTCTCATTCTTTTATTCAGTCAAAGAAATAGTTCTTTTGTAGGCTCGTATCTAACGGACCTCTTATGATTCCATTTGCAGAAGAATCACCAGATCCAGCCTACTTCTCTTTGGCTGTTATGGTGAAAGATGAAGCACTATTCAAACTTCTCTTGGTCATGTTACAAGAACGAGTACGTCCTGATCGTGTATTGATCAAAGTGCTCGAGGGCTGTGACTTGATTACACCCAACATTGGCTTCGATGAGAACGTCCTGGTCAAGCTCGATGATGGTACTGAAGCCCTTCTTCTCGGTCTCGCCAATCCAGAGGTGTCTCCAGCAAAATCAACTGTAAGCATCCTTTGTGCATCAATACGCAAAATCGCGGCCAACTCCTTTCATACTCTGGATCGTGACTGACGATCGTTACGTTGCCTGAAACCAAATCTAGACATCAGCAACGACATCTGATACATCAGCCACAGATACGTCTACAACTACGGATAGCAGCACTACTACAACCACATCTACGACACCTTCATCATCTGCTGCGACAACACCTGTTCGTGGACAAGTAAGCGTGCCATGTCTTATTTCTTGCTGTCAACCACCCAGATTCGACTAAAACAATGTGTCCATACCCATTCTTCTTGCAGGCTCGTGTTCGCAATCCAACTGCAGTTCTCGACGTATTACCTGTTCCCGATAGTACCACCCAGATGGTAAGTTACCACAAAGAACTCTCATTCTAGTCACTTTCATCTCTTGCCAATTCTTGAAGCATTACACTTGAAATCTGAATCTCATCGTTTTGGTAGTTCCACATAGGAATTACTTTCGCCAACATGTACTTTTCTCCAATGGTTGGCATCAAAATCGGCTGCTACAATATTCAGGTGAAGGCAAATGTGTTTGAGAGAATCAAGGGTGTCTGGATTCCAGATCTCGAGACTCTTCTCTACCCATGCTCCATCACTACAGTTGGAAAGTCAAGTGACAAGGCATTTGATATTGTGCATATGAGTGGATCGAAGTCTCATATCCGAGCTGTCACCAAATTCTTTGATGCAGTTGCTATGGAGTCTGATCGATGGGTGTTCTACGTAAAGGGTACTGAATGTTAGGAAATCAAGGGCAAACATAGTAGTAGAAATCAGAAAAAATGTATAGTATAGGGATGCACATACGAGGAGTATTGATATATAGTGTAGGAGGTCACAAAATCAAGCAATATAGTACATAACTTTCCAATTCAATCCACAGTATTCTTTGATTTTGTTTCTTGTTGGAACAGTCGTTTCAGCCAAAAAACCATCTTACGTTGCATATCACCTCTCCATTCCTTTATTTTTGTGCAATTTTTACAAGGTGTTTTCATAGTCCTACACCTTCTAATCGAAAAATCTTGCCAACCAGACCAATAAAAACCACTCTTCATTGTAGCAATCACTTGAACCTAGATGAAGATGATTTTGTTAGAGTTTGATGGCACAAAATCCAATGCGTAAGAACCCACAGTTTTTTAATGGACATATTCTGGTCAGAATCCTTCTTCATGACCTAAATTGACGTAGATGGTTAGATATCAGTGACAGGCGATAGCAGGTCGTTGTGGATTGCATGATCAATCATCACAGCCTCCTCTTTTCTTTACTATTATTGTCTCGTCTCGTCATCGTCATGCTTTCGAAATCACCAAATGCAAATATCGTCATCTCCACATCAAGCAGCTTAAGTTTACCTTGGCAACAGCCATTTCAAAGTCCTCTTGAGTAACATGAACACGACGTTCTCTCAGAGCATACATTCCAGCTTCTGTGCATACGCCTTTAACCTCAGCACCACTAGCACCAGTCATTTGCTCAGCAATCTTCCTCAAATCAATTCCACGAGTGAGGTTCATCTTCCTAGAATGAATCTTTAAAATATCCAGTCTAGCAATTTCATTTGGTGGTGGAAACTCGATTTTACGATCAATACGTCCCGGTCGTAGTAATGCCGAGTCCAATATATCAATACGATTAGTGGCCATGATCACTTTAATATTCTGCGTAGGTTCAAATCCATCCAATTGGTTTAACAATTCAAGCATGGTTCGTTGTACTTCACTATCACCACCACCGCCAGATTCACTACGGCTAGATCCGATAGAGTCGATTTCATCCATAAAGATGATTGATGGAGCAGCTTCACGAGCCATGACAAATAATTCGCGAACCATACGTGATCCTTCACCGATATATTTCTGGACAAGTTCGGATCCTGATACTCGTATAAAGCGACAGTCTGTGTGGTGGGCTACTGCGCGTGCTAGCAAGGTTTTACCCGTTCCTGGAGGACCATATAGCAATACACCTTTGGGTTGATCGATACCCAGTGCTTCAAAGAGTTCAGGATGTTTTACGGGGAGTTCAATGACTTCTTTGATTTCTTTGATTTGACGTTCTAGACCGCCCACCATTTCGTAGGTCGAGTCTGGCACTTTTTCTACCATCATCAAGGATACCAATGGATCGACCTGGTATGTTTTTGGTGGTGAGCATTGAGTATGGCCTGATTGCACCAATGTGTGTTCGTGACTGATGATGCAAGGGTGATCATCAAAACATCACCAACTCATCAACCATAGTCATTCAGCTCATCAAAAAGCAACTCCTCAATGACACCACATCACATACCTTGTTTGGCAGTATCTTGTATAACTCATAATTATCATGTTTGAGCGATACCCGTACAGTAGGAGTCAGCAACGCAATATCAATATCCTGATGAATATCCACTACATATTTTCCCTCTGGATGTACTTTGACTAGGACCTTCTTCTTGCCCATCAGTTTGACGACTTCACCGACATACGAGCCAGATTCTTGCAATAGCTGTAATTCTTCACGTAATAATCTCACTTTGGCATTCAGCTGATTACGTTGTGCTTCTAATCGTCGCAAGTTTTGAGTCTTTTGGTTGACTGTCAATTCCAATTCCTGAATGTTAAGCGGAAATGTTTAAATGTCGACGATAATGCAAGTGTGGTTCATATGACACTGTGGTAAAGACAGACAGTAAAATCCATCAAAATGAATACATATTGATACAGTAATCTCTGCTTCATCAACCACTCGCCTCAATTTGCTGTTTGTAGTAGGAATTTATCCCCAAAGGCTGCACTTTGCTAACCATTGTCATCGTGTCAAGAGGCCAACTATATATGATGGTAGACAGCTAGTAGCACCTGATATTGTTTTACTATCAACCTAGATTTATCTCTCTGCACCGATGCTTGGAATCTCACAAGTGACGCGTCGATTTTGAACAAGTGAGGACAAGGAACAACCAAACTTAACCAAAGCCTGGACCAAAGCGCAAAGAGAGCGTATCAATTATTTTACGCGTATTTATGTGCAGATCATAGACCGCAGTTTGAAACAACGCCGAATGCATTCACATCGGGGGGAAAATAACGGCAATCACAACATTGCAAAGTCTTACACATTTCTTGGTTTTACTGAAAAGCGACACTATTTAGGTTACTTTCAACGTTCAAAAGCATCTGTAATTTGTGATCCTCAGTTAATCTTGAGCAATTCGACATCGAATCTAAACACAAGTAAACGTATGAGAATACAATCAACATATCAGCATGCACCAACTGCCATCCGGACTTACATCAAGTTTGACTTGGGTGGGATCTACCAATAGTTCGTGGAACAAAGTGTTAGTTCCAACAAGTACTTTTCGGGAGGCAAAGCACACAAACGTAGTGAATTGACTCTCTCGAAAACGAAGGCATATAAAAGCTTACGATTGGAGGCATTCCACGTTCACCATAAGCATAGTCATAAGAGATGGTCAATTTGGCCCGTTCTCCAAGAGAAAGTTGGGGAACTCCTAAATGGTTTTGTTGTAATGTAAGACTTCCGACAGTTGCGAAACGCAAGGTAGCAAACGTGAATATTGTTTGGCTCGTTGCATAGAATCCAATCCTGCTCAGAAACATCACATAATGACGAGACACTTGTTGATGTCACAATTTTGTACCTTCATCCCAACCTATTCAGAGAAACATACATTAGACGGGAATGACAATGGTTAAGAGATCACAAAGGCGAAGACACTGAACAACGTGAGATGGAATACCGACGAACCGAAACATGTCGCAGTAAAACCTTACCTTTAATGACTTCACCAACACCAATCTTGCAAGTAAATGGCGAGCCTCGATCACGAGAAGAATCAAACTTGCTGCCGTTGTCGAGCTAGTTGTTGATGGATTAGTCAAGCGTTTCGGTTGACAATAAGAAACAACCTACCGTGCCAGTGTCTAATTGAAAAGATGAAGTAGGAAGAGGAGTAAATATAAGCAGACATAAATGGTCATCAGAGATGCTTGAGAAAGGCAGTAGATGATACTCAACAATGAATGGAAACTCGGTCGCCCTGTAAAGAAAACTCAAAATGTTCAGCAAAATGTGAAATCGACAACCACGACGTAACCAACAACTCCAATAAAAAAGGAAATATTTGCCTTTTTAGGGAAGTGAGTTCCGTCACCAGCTTTAATGGTCTCTTTTGTTACGCCCTATTTCGAACAAAGTTTGTTAGAAAGTGGGCATGGAGCTAGCTCTGGGGCATATCTGTTGTATCTAGAGTGACTAGATGAAAAAATAGATATGATAAAGCGTTACCATGTTTCTTTTCAATATGGATGATACTTGTAAATATGGGAATCCCTTGCTTGCTCGATACATTCAAAAAAGTAAATCAAGAAATCGGGACTCAAATGATCACAAACTCGTCCAACGCGTCCCAGAACTTCAATCTTCATTGATTCATTGCTTCATGAAAAAATAATAGAATATTCACGTTCGTCTGGGAACTCATTTCTTCAACGAACCAACACAAAACACGAAAACTTTGAAGACAAGTTAGTTACAAAAATAAGTAGTGTACCGATATCTGATATTATAAACCCCCCTATTTCTCCTGTGGTGGTGGGCCCCTCTCATTTTCAAACGACATTGGCACAGACACAGATCCTGTCCATCCAATGCCGTAATAGTTGATGTTCCACGAACGACTGTTTCCTGAGAAGGAATTACTTGGAAGTTCCTCGTACGTAAGGTGCCGCGCTTCGTTTCTCCAGGGTTTGTCAAGATGTCCTGTTGCAAATAGATGGCTTAAGCACTGACTTTGGTTGAGCAACATCTGACAGCAAGCCTACCAATATCGTCTGGGCCTACAGCAGTAAGGGGCCACTGGGAGAAATACCGTTCGAATTCATATCGTGTTGTAACCTCGATTCCGTCTGAGTTGGTGCTCATTTTGGTAGATCTTTCGTCCGATTCAGCTCTCTTTGGGGCGTCCATCAATTGACCCCAAAGAAGCCTATTACTTTTTAGTTTGAAAAATCCTTGGTCGAGATGTATGAGAAGGCCGGCCCAGTTGAAAATGATTTCCTGTTCTCGATCGTCGCCCATGATGGTATTATATCTAGCAAAGTTTGGGTAGTCAGCTGAGAGTGCCTTTTGTCATGGTTTCTGAGTTCTTACGCTGCATTAAGCATTGCTCTAAAAGGGAAAAAAAGACGACATTGGGGAACAAGTTCAATTCGAAACGAACTGAAATTTCTTACATCAAAATGTTAAGAAGCAGGATAACAGAGAGCATAATCCATACAATGTAGACGATTACAGCCTGTCTTCCAAGCGTAGCACTACTGGTTTCTGTTTGATAATCCCCGATTTGCAAAACTATACGAAACGCGTAAAAAAGCGAGTCGAAAAAGTTGCTGATATCTGGAAGCGAATTCGTTGGATCCAGAGTAGCGACGTGTAAAGAAAGTCCAGCTCCCATATACATGACGACAACTAGACAGAATCGAAAATGACTGTCAGCCTCTACTGTTGAATCCCAAATCTTCCAGTCTGCTACCCACAGAGAGTGAAAAAGGACGCCAGATATTCACTGGCAAAGACCCCCAAGACGGCAAAGAGCAACCCGAACTGCTTCCGAACGCCAGGAGCGTATGTGAAGATATACAGCCATCCAAAGTTGACAGCACAAATTATTAACGTATCTTCGACTCCCTGAGGGCCAATAAAGCGACAAGGCAAACAAAATAGTATCAAAAGACACCATATACAAGATATCCAATCTAAAGATAACAAAGCAATTTCAAAAAGTTTTCGTGATATTTTCAAACGATCTGCAATTACACGTTTAATATCATTTTCTAATACACCTACTACGAATAAAGCCAATTCCGAAAAAGAACGACTTGAATTTCTGAATGAGGTTGTGGCCTTTGCAAAAGAATAGGAGCTCCGTCGTCTGCATGCACAATTTTGCAAGCGCTGCGAGACACACGAGCGATTCGATCACTAGACGCCCTATTCCAATCGATGAAGATAGCCAATTCATTCTACTAGACAGGTTTCCTGGTAAAAGAGACACTGCGGTGGTCATCATGACGACGACAATACTGGACATGGAGAACGAAACCCTGAATCGACGCCAAAGGTAGGCGTCCTCTTTTACTCTCAACACCGCTTCGAATAAATGAAATGATAACTGCGACAAGAAAATGGCATAGTTGTGAGTCTCAACAAAGCAACGATGATGAAAAATACTTGCCAGTTCTTTGTCTCTATTTAGCAAGGCCAATTCAATTGCAGAATGGGTTGGACGAGATGCATCTGGTTGCGGTGGTGTTGGCCAAAGATCAAACTCCTAAACAGTTCATAAGAAAGTCTTCACAAAGCAAACATACATCCAGATGCGTACCTCAATGTCGTACGTAATCCTCTGTAAAGGGGAAAATCTAGAATACGTGGCCTCAACCCCCTGCAGTGGAGGGGTCGACGAGAAGCGTTGAGCATGCCTTTGCACAAACTGATGTTGCTTCGCGTTGACAGCACATAGAAACGGAGTCAAGCGATACTCGTCTCCAATTCTTCCATTAAGCAGCCTCAAATCAACAGGATTCGAAACGGGCTCTATTCAATGAGTGACACGTTAAAAAGGACTCAAAACAGGCAACTCGGTAGAGTCAGTACCCACTCATTGAAAACATGTTTGGTGTGGTGAGTTGCAAGATCCGCTCAAATGTACTCCAGTCACCTCGTAATGCAAGCAAATGCATGATTGTGTTTCCTACGAGACTTTACAAGTAAACTCACATCGGCTGCGGTGATCCAGAGACATACCGTAAGAGTCTGGACAATTGATATTCAGCATAGGACCGTCCCTCTCTTGTGTCAAGTACTCAACGACTTGAGTTTTGCTTAGACAGGCGGCAAAAGATAGCACTGAATTCCTGCATTCAATAACCGAAATAAAAACTTGCAATCCCACGTAACTTTTAAGCGCAAAATTCCTCACCCGTAATACAGAGCACCGTCCTTTCTGAAATTCAAACCTCGAGCCTGCCTTTCTTCAATCCACTCATTTCGATATGGTAAAGAACGAGGTTCAGCTCGAGTTGCTCCCAAGTACACTAGCTGTCGCCCAGCGTTCCCTGGTGTTGCGTCATGCTATACAAGAGGACATTAAGTCTTTCAGAAACGTCCTAAATCCAACAATTCTTTTACCAAAAGGTTTAACAGCTCTCTTGCGTCTTCGTCAGACTGATATAGAGTAACAACATGTGCAACAGTGAGTCCTAAGTGCCTTTCGCCCCGACAGAAGGTGTTGAGTGCTGGGAACTTTTCCATTTCAATAGCCGCAACCAGCAGAACTCTAAGAAGCATCTTCTGTGAGTCCAAACTAGTGAGCGCGCTGGCCTATTCATTGAAAGGAGAATTCAGGCTCTCCCTTCTCACGAATGTAAACGACGGAAATTGTTACCAACAACAGAATTGTTTGATCGATAGATTCAGTATCCGATATTTGGATGTCAAGAATACATGGATAGTTGACCAGTACGTCAATCATTTGGGTCTCCAGATCACCTCTCTCTGATCTGGTTATTGGATTCCGTAGGAGGTCGACTGCGTCTTCATATTTCTCCTTCACGATTTGAAGCTTGCGGTTTGAAGCGTGCTCCTTGCGCAATTTTTCGATACTGGGACTACCATTTACTGACAGTAGAAGGCCCACAGTGTGCAGTTCAAGTGGATCAAGCGTGATGGATTGTTTCACCTGTGCTCAACAACGGTTAGGAACTGAGCTTTTAACTTTCGAAAGCAGAGAACGCTTTCAATACCTGTTCTAATGAATTCTTGATGCGATCCGCCAGCAAAGGAGTAATGGTGTCTGAGCTTTCCGAGCTTCTCTGATGATACGATCTCTGTTACAACTGATCCAACATATAGACCTGCGAGACTTGGACTCACCAAAACTGGTTCATCTGCTCTCGCGGAGTCCATGAGGGGACTTGCCTTTCCTATTTCCACAGCAAAATGCTTGAAATTTGCATGTTTGAGGTTTCAGCCTTGCGATTGAGACAAAAACTGAGGCCTTACATCGGCTTGTACTATTATGAAGACTTGGAACTTGGAAACAAAAGGTTATAAAGAGTTACCATGCAGTGGTCCTACTGAGTCCAAGACGCAAAGCTTTTCTGAGCCACCAACTGAACACTGGAACCGATGCTCGAATTGAAACGTAGAAACGATGGGCTACTAGCACCTAGCACCCTAACTGTTGCCTCCTTCTCTCCTTGTTTTAACAAAAGACTTCAACTAATGGGACAAAAGTAACAAGCGACAAAGCCAGAAATTTCGCACTACAAAATCTCGTCTTAGAAACACACTTTCAACTGTGATATGGAATTCAAGATATTTAACTATTTACACCCTTCTAAACACGTTCACATTCTACACAATCTAAACCACCAAACTCCCGTCTTTACGAGAACTCCACACTCCAAGACTTGCCAATAACAGCTCCCTCCGCTCCCGGATCTTTAACTACAATCTTCCACGACGATGCATATACATGCTTTTCAACAGTAACTCCCAACTCTTTACCATTGATACGTGCACTCTTCATCTTGTCCTTGCCAACCCCAACAAGAATCAATCGTTCAACCCGTGCTTCAAATACTCCTGAGGCACCAGCGTTACTGCTAGATCGTAGTGCTGCGGCGGATTTGGGAGATACTACGGCAGTCAATGTGTTGTGTCCAAATGTGAAGGTCGTGTGGATGAATTCGCCCTTTTGGAAGGCAAATGTCTCGCCATCATCTAGATACAACGAGCCTGTAGCTTCACCCTGCGATATTGTAATAACAAGGAGGCTGTTAGCAAATATGTGTCGTTCAAGGACTCTTGTTCAAATAAAAGTTGGAACCCCTAAACGAACGAAGTCAGCACTTGCCTTCTCATCCAGAGCAATCACCAAAGTAAACGGATCTCGCTTCATCAATGATGATGAACGACGGACACGATCACGACGAGGAATAATAGATCCACCACGTATAAACACAGGAATATGTTCCAGTACAGTAGGTGCCACATATCGTGATTGGGATGTTGGAGTTACTTTGGTAAAAGTAAAGTAATCATACCATACCTATAGGTCGATAATCGTGAGCTTTGTGTAAAACGAAAAAGTCACCTTCATCATCCGTTGGAATACATGTTTTTGCTTCTTACATCCTGTTTGGGAAGATACACATCAACACTCTTAGCATCCTTGGTGTAGATACCCTTGACGACAAGTGAATCTCCAAGCATAAATTGATCATCAATTCCAAAACTGGCTTCATCATCTGGATATCCCAACATCATAGGTCTCATAGGAGGCAAGTTGGTGATCGTCCATTCTTGGAACAAAGTATACCAGAATGGCAATAATCGATATCGGGAGCGGATTACTTCTCGTATACGACCCGTTACTACATCACCAAAGAGCCATGGTTCTCGTCTCTTGGTATCAATATGGGCGTGTGCTCGGAAGAAGGGTTGGAAGGCTCCTATTTGATACCAGCGTTCCAACAAATCGACTTCTGGATTGCGGAAGAATCCTCCAACGTCAGCTATAAAAGGAATATGTTATTGAGATAGTACCAGTGATGGACGAGAGGTTTTACAACTATGCATAAAGCGACCGAGTTTTCTTTTTCTCGCCCTTAAAAATCACAAACCTCCAGCAAATGCCATTCCAGAAATACCAGCACTGAGCAACATGGGTACTGATGCAGCAAGATGTTCCCATGATGCATCATTATCACCAGTCCATATAGCTCCGTACTTTTGAGACCCTCCGAAGAAGGCTCGAGACAAGACGAAGGCACGTAGTCGACCATTGGTACGTTTCATTTGTCCCTCGAATGTTGCTCCGACCTGAATTGTAGAGTGATGATGCTCAGCATGCATTTTTGATTGGATTTAAACAGATATCGAGATAAAACAAGATCATCAAAGAACCGGATACTCACCATGAGCATACCATACGCATTGTGAATATCACGATGCTCCCATCCATTATAATGCAGGACATCCTTGTGCATGGTAACTTCAGGTCCATTAAATACAGATGGCTACGATTGAACAACCCAGTGAGAAAAATACTAGACTTGGGAGTTGAGAACTTAAGAGGACGAGAGGGTACCTCATTCATATCATTCCATGTATACAAAGTCTCTGAAGTACCTTCATATTGATCAAAAGCGAATTTACTAGCCCAATAAGCTCTACCTGCTGGATTGACATAATCAATCCAAGCGGAGTTTCCTAAGAGTGTTGAAGACCGTGAGAAAAGAAGGATGTATGGATTGGACAAACATGTAAACATACCTGGCCAGCACCACCCTTCATAGTTGACATTGTCCTTGCTCTTGACTAGTATATCCCGATCTTGAGCTTCCTTCAAGATGTGATAGGAATCATCCTTCTTCAAGTGAGGATCTACGATCGTCACCAACTAAATTTACTGTTAGCATCCAGAGAGCAGCGAGAGAGAAAAAGCGCAACGGTAAGTCACTTCATGTTTACCTTTCGAGAAGTAACAGCCAAACTCTTTTGCATCTCAAGAGGAGTTGGAAACTTTGCCTTATCCCACGTGAAGTACTTTTTACCATCGGTATGTTCAATATCCAACCAAATCACATCATAAGGAATATCGTATTTGTCAAAGTTGGCGTCGACTTCAAGCACATCTCGTTGATCATTATAATTCCATCGACATTGGTGGTATCCAATAGCGAATGATTGTGGCATGGGAGCAAATCCAGTGATGGTGGCATATTGACGTAATACTGATTTGGTGTCTGGGCCCAAAAAGAAAAAGACATCTAATTGTCCACTTTCTGCCATCCAGTGAGTGGTGGTTGTTTGCACGTTGGATGACGTTGATGAGAATGGGATGTATGAAGCCAGGTTGCTCTATTTAAGGAATTTTTTTGTTTGGTATGTCGCTGCCAAAAAAAAGTTCATAAACCCATTAATATCATACCAAGACTCCTTTGCCAGATCTCTCTATATCGATCCACATTTCCGCAGAATTTTGCCAATACATACCAACAGAGCGACCCTTTTTGTGAGCAATCATCAAGGGAACAGCACCATACAAGGACATGGGATCATCCAGTTCATACTCGAATACATCCAAATTGTATAGACGGTATGGTTCAGAGTACGATGCTCCTTCACCCCTGAAATTGTTTGGAGTTCGATAAGAGTGAGAATTTGATACTGAAATGACAAAAAACGGCGGCCAGATTAAGAGCAAATACCTCGTGCTCTTGAGATTGAAAGAAGAACCATGTTCTGAAAGACCATATACATGGGAAGAACCAGGAAATGAGACGTCGAATCCAATTGATTGTGGTCCTAGTATGTGAAATTTAGTTTTCAGCCTTTGCTATTAAGTTTGAACAGAACAACCAGTTCGCAAACGCATACCGTGAGGTTTGGAGTCCACAAATGTTTTGTACGTCTCCTCCCACAGATCCCTCTTTAATTCCTCCTTGAGTTTGTCCAAGTCTGAGGGAGTAGCAGCAGTTTCTCCACCAGTTTGATCGACGACAGCAGGTGGATTTGCATCATCCTCCTTCTTTCTAGAGTGCTCATAGTATAGATAGCCTCTACCATTGAATGCCATGACAGGATCACCATCAATCAAGAATTCAAACTTGAATGGTTTCGGTTGAATGACAAGCAACACTTCCAGATTATTTGGAGTACCGCCCAGTTGAATACGTAAAGGCGACGTAGCAGACGTGGATTTAGTATAATTAGCAATAGATATCGGTACATCCTGTATTCCAGTTCGAGTCAATGCATCGAGCATGTCGAATCGAGGGTACAATGGATTGGCTTCTCCAAATTTTACACGCGCTGTGGCGTCTTTGAGGAGCGAGACATGCAAGACGTATGGAACATTTCGTTCAGTATCGACTACATCTGCTTTCAAGGTTCCAGCACCGTGATCTACTTGTACGGAGGATGGGATCAATTCATATGGGGACGTGAAGGATGGTGATGTTGACGTGTCAGCTATAGAAGCGTATGCCTGTTGACGACGACAGAATCCAGACTGATCGCAGGCCTTGAAGTCTTCTCGTTTGACCATTTCTACGGGTTTGGATAGCAAAAGTAGAATTGACAGAAGCAAAAAATATGGTTTGGCTCGATGCAGCGACATGGTTCCCATCGGAACTCGGGGTGCTAATCATAAATGAATGTAAGAGAGAAAAAGTAGAATTTTTCACAGGGACCTGAACTGTTGAATCATGCGTTTGGATATGTTCCCTCCTCGCTCAATTACAATTCATTTCCCCATCAAACATAATGCAGCCAATCTCATTATCTCATTTCTCGTCTTTCGCAAGAGAGAGATCATGAGAAGAATCGTGTACTTGCCTGTACGTGGGATGGCGTCCTTCCCTCTGTTTGTTCGATTGGATTCTCTGCTGTTACCTTATTGTGATTGAACTAAACATAGGTGAGACTCTTTCAGTCGGTCCTATGGAATGTTTTTCCGGCAGAACAAGAACCACAAGCTAGACTGCAAGAACGTGTCATCGCTTTTTTTGATGCAACGCCGGCCTTCATCACGAGCAACGATCAAAACCCTGATGTGGTTTACTTCCGTTGATTGGCAGAAACGCCGTCGCATGCCGGGAGCCCAGAACTGACTATAAAATCGTCAGAGTAGGATCATTTATCGTATACTTGGAAGTCACGGAATGAATTTATTGCCCAACAAGAACAAAAACGATGGTTTTGGTGCAGAGATCACACACTCGAACTGCTGATGGATTTCCAACCAAATTATCTGTTGTCACCAGCAAGTTTGCCTATATCTATCTCTCCTCAATCTCTCCAAGGAAAAGTACATCTTCTCTGATCTTCTATCACCATCCGTACCAGCGAACCCAAGTCGTCGTAATTCGGCCGCACTGCAACACTCAGTCCACCCCTTGCGTTTAAGGAAGGGTGACAAGCTCATCCTAGCGTCGTACATCGTACATCTCCATGCGTATAGTTGCGAGTAAGAAGTGCAATCACGGAGACCATCGGTTGTTGCCACTTGCTAAAACTTGCAAGTCCATGCTTTCACTACGACCGAGAGACAATCTCTGCTCACCGCGAGCGTCTAGATCCGTTCGAAGTAATCCAATACACGGCGTCAAGTCTTCATAGCCCCATATAATAACCGTTTGGTCGTGTATCTCCGTTTGTTTGCTTGGCACTGTTCTAAAAGCTCTACAGATGAATCGTTAAAGAAGTCCCCAAGCGCTAATTCACACAGATGTTATTGTTGCGACGGATCAAGAGACTAACTTGTTGGCCTAGATATGATGAAGTTGCGTGTAATCACACGTGTGGTCGGACTTCAAAAGAGGACGATGGAGGCGTAAAGTGAGCCATATTTTTTTATTTGAAACTAGAAGGGAATCAATTTTAACTTGGAGCGAGTCTATCCAGAACTGTTCTTGTGGGGGTTGTTAATTTCCTCACTTGTCAAAAACCAAGAACCGAAAGCTTTGATTTGGACGGGGGGCTCAAATAAGATTGCGACGGCAGTCATCGCATTGTATAGCGGAGGATGACGAGTAATACTCCAAAGAGGAGGTTGCTTCGTGCCTTTATCAGGCCATCTCCGAGGAGAGTGTCAGGACCAACCCAAAATGATCGGCCAGTTTCTGTAAGCTTTGCACAGCCTGGATGCTTTCGCACACTTTGCTGATCTATTATGAATTCGTCATTTTGTAGGCTCTTATGGCAACGAGCTTCTTTGTCGGCGGCGATAATCCGCATGTTGTGAGCTCATTAGAATCACAACACAGCAATATTGTGAGCTCTTCAACTTCATCTTCAAACTCTTCGACGACACCAATAGCTGCGAGTCCCAAGTCAACTATCTCTACTGCATCATCCACTAATGGACCTTCACCGTCGGCAGCCACACCTGTAAGAGCACCCGTTTCGAGCCGCTTTTACCCTTCTTTCTCAAAACTGCTTGGGATCATTGCTAATCTTCTTTTATAAACTCATAGCCATCGTATGATGCACATGATCAACGAGATATATACGAGAAACCCCACGGGAATAGCCTTGGGCAATACCGGGTCAAGGAACCCTATGTGCCACGAGAGCCAGATGAGCTGATTTTGAACATAGGAGATATTATTTTGGTGACTGGTACATTTGGCGATGGTGCGTGTAGTCGGTGTGAGGAGTCACATTCTTGTGCAAACATCGCCACTTCTATTATGTGGCATACCTCAATGTAATGGTGGTGTGATTTAAACCTTCTCTACACATTAGGGTGGGGACGAGGTTATTCTTTCGAAAGAGGGATGGCGGGAGTCGTACCAATGAATCTGTTACAGTATATGGGTCCAGGCCAAACCGGAACACAGAAGCATTCACCATCACTTCGTAACATCCCCGCTGCCTCGCCTTCTTCGCCAGCAGAGAATCTTGATGGTCTGGCTGAACTTTACCAATGGCTTCAACCACCTGATTTTAGATTAACAATATTTAGACTCAAGGAGAAACGTCTAGAATCAACTCGAGGCTGGTTACTGAAGGCACTTCGTGAATGGGTAGCAAATCCTTCTTCTTCCCAAGTATACTGGCTATCTGGAGTAGCTGGAGTAGGGAAGTCTGTCATAGCAGGTTGTTTTGCAGATGAACTTCGTCAAAATCATCAGCTGGCTGCCTATTTCTTTTGTAAACACGATGAAATGGCCCGAAATGATCCTCTTCGCCTTATTGCTACGTGGGCATATCATTTAGCGACCTTTGATTTGGACGTTAGAAAGGCTTTGAAGGATTTGCTTACTGCTGAACCAAACTTTTTGCAAAACACACCATCGATTGGGCTTCAATTCGAGCAGCTCATAGGTATGTTGTTGCTTTTTCTCGGTGGAATTTGTACTTTTATATCACTGTCTGCGTTCTAGATGCGGGAACGCTTCTAATGCTGATAATCTCATATTTGTTAGTAAACCCACTATCTCACTATCGTGGCGAAAAGGCCGTTATTATACTAGATGCTCTTGATGAATGCGCCACTGAAGGATCTGCAGTCCGAGAGGAGTTCTTAAAAACTATCGCTCGACAGTTGGCCAACATGCCCTCAAACATCCTATTCTTCCTCACCAGCAGGCCACTTCCAGACATTCGTAAAGAATTGATAAAACACAAACCTCACACACTTGTTTTGGGTAGTGAAGACAATCTCAACGATATTAAACTGTATGCCCTTGCCCGAATGTCAAAACTGGAACCATATCTGGATGCAGAAAAGGTCATAACTCTGGCAGATAGGCTTGCAGATATGGCTAACGGGCTATTCATATGGCTATATTTGGCTTGTGAAGAAGTCGAGAATAGTGATGATCCTATACAGACCTTGTATGAGCTGGAACGACGTGTTTTAGGAGATTCAGATGAGAAGATGGATGGCATTTATACTAGAGCTCTAGTGGGAGCCAGAAAACGTTTCCCTGAATCATCGCTTGACAACCAAAATCAATTAACAGGTCCTAATTCAGCGCTCGAAACGCAGAATCAGCTAATAGGGTCTGTGATTGTCTTGAGGGAGCAGCTGTCTCGAGACGATCTCGCTTTTCTATTGGATATGTCCATCGATCGTGTCATAATCACCTTGTCACGAATCGAGTCCCTCCTGCAGATATCGAAATCATCGGTACAATTAATGCATAAATCCGTCGCTGACTTTTTGACCTCGCCGACTCGATGTACTGGAGACGCTGCTGCCTTCTATATAGATCTTGACAAGGCCGAGTCTTTGATGGCCAAACAATGTATGACGGCCTTCCCAACTAGTCTAGAATTCGAAATTGTACAGTCTCAGATCGAACGCCTCAAGGGATCTGCTCTTCAACTTACTCCATCTTACGTACGCTATGCTTATAAATATTGGGCTGATCATTTAAATGCAGTAAAAGATATGAAAGATGACTTGAAGCAAGCTCTTGCTGATACAGTTGCTAACTTTGGTCGACCGATGCTTATAGTAGCAGTAGTCAAAGGTCTCCCCAATGCCGTAAAATATATATTACAAGTCGGTGGTAGAGGTCGTCTCCTCAAACAGGCTGAAGCAGTTGGATATTTCTTATCGCCGATGCTGTTTGAAGCTACAGTAGCAGTCATGCCTCAAGTCTGCGAGGCACTCTTAGAATACGGAGAAGCTGATATTGACTGTCGAAGCAACGACTACCTTAGAACAACCCCATTATACATATGTGGGTTTCAGCAAGACTCGTTGGACTTGCTGAAAGTGTTTCTAAGATATGGAGCTGATATGGATGCCAAGGCTACCACTGGTACTAAGGCAGAGCAGGTGGCTACTGGTGCTGCCTTACAAGTATTATCTGCTGAACAAGCACGTCGTCGCATCATAGCCGAAGAAAAGCTTATGGTATAACAATCCGCTCCTATGTTGTATCCCTTTTGGTTATTTACCATCGTTTCTTACTGGCTAGGATGAAATCATGACTGCCACACGGAAAAATGATGCTAACCATGTCAAGGATATGCTGAACAGTAGCACGTTGGATCTCGATACCAATACCTCAAAAGACTCTGGCAAAAGCTTACTACATATAGCTAGTCAATATGGCGCTGACCAAGTCGTAGCTTTGCTTTTGGCTGCCAAGGCCAACCCCAACGCCAAAGATCATCTTGGATGGACGCCACTGCACTATGCCTGTCAGAATGGATCATTTGGCATTGTAAAGTCACTAGTATCTGCAGGAGCCATTCTGGATATAGAAGCGGAGGACGCACCGATAAACTTTTTATACAAGGCTACAGTACGACCATTAGATGTAGCATGTAGACACGGTCATCTCGAGATAGTTACTTGGCTTCTCGATGAAGGCAAACTGTTGCCTGAACCAATGGGAAAGGACCAGGCTCATCCTCTACTCCATGCAGCTATCGGTGATAGTGTTGACGTCGCTCGACTCTTGATAGCACGAGGAGCTCGAGTAGATTATCAAAGCACGAATTTCGGAACAGCCTTGTTTGCAGCTGCCTTCTTTGGTAGTAGAAATGTAGTGTATTACCTTTTAGAGTTAGGAGCTGATATGGAGCTTGGATGGTTTGCTCCCGGGCTAGAGCTGCCCGACGCTATAGGTAGCCCAGATTTATCTCCGTTGTATGTGGCGTGTCGTAATGGATATTTAGAGATTGTGTCGAGACTTGTCTCGAACGGGGCGAATAAGGAATCGAAATCATCGTATTTGACGTGGTATGGTGGTCGATGGCTGAAAATCCAATGGAGCCTACTTGCAGTAGCCACCATACATAAACATCCACCAGTAGTCCAATACCTACTCGAAAACGGCTGTGACAGTGAGGAAGTATCTCCCCATCATTTACCAAGTCAGATTGGTGGTACGCCTCTCCTAGATGCCTGCTTCTTTGGTGTCCGAGACGTGGCTAGAATGCTGCTCTTATCAAAAGTCAGCATCAAGATAACTAATGCCACTCAAAGGACGGCCATGCATTTAGCAGCATGGAGTCCAGTAGTAGGAGATCGCATCAAGTCTGATATAGTACGAATGCTGAAGTTTCATGGCGTAGGACTGAATGATGTAGATTTGGGTGGGAATACGCCATTGCACTTAGCTATTACCATTAAGGCATCGCAAACTGTGAGTACGTTGTTGGAGTTGGGTGCTGATCCAAATATCGTAAATGGAAATGGAGATACTCCTCTTCATGAAGCTGTCAAGCAGCAAGTAATTGGGATTACTAAACTGTTGATAGAGAGAAACGCTGCTACCAATGTCGTGAATGGGGAAGGCATGACGCCATTAGATATTGCTGTAAGTAAAAACTACACGGATGTAATAATCCTGTTTAAATAGTGATTTTGAAATGTATATGAAGCACGAAATGGGGCCTCCGCACATATAACATTATAAAATTAAATAGAATACCCGTCTCATACCTCAGTCTCGTCTCTTCAATGTCAATTAGGTGTGCTTTATCCAATTTAAGGTATCAGTACAAGATTCTATACAATCAAGAAGTTTGGTATATTCTATAGGCTTCATCGCACCACCTGAGTCTCTTACTGTGGTACATCGTCCTCAACAACTGCCAACAGCTGGTGTCTTGAAGACGGCTGTACCATATGATTCTCCCTCTCCGTCTGCTCAATGGACACGTGCTTCTCGTCATAAAGAAGAACTTCCTCCTCCTGTTCGTCACTTAGTTTAATGTGCTTGACGGTCAAGGACACCAACCATCCAAATGTTACAACAGCAAACGCCAACCATGAGCCTCGTCTCCAACCTTCTACAAATGAGGCAATAACAAGTTCCAGAGTTTGAGGATCTAGATTGTCAATAACTGCGAGATTGTAGAGGTTGATTCGGTCGGCTACGCCTGCCTATTGTGAGTCGTGTGTGAGAACAACAAAAAAGGGGTTGCTGTTTTGGGACTATTTGAGGGCCTCTTACCCCAAGTGTTCTAGCGATTTCAGACTTCCATGTTTGGGTTATCACAGATCCCATCGTCGCGACACCTATGAATAACAGTCAACAATCAGATAAAACCGTGACAAGCGCTCCAGCAACCTACCTATAGCTCCACCAAAGGTCCTACAAAAGTTAACGAAACTGGTTGCCTCAATCATCTGAGAATGTGGTGCTGTCGCTTGAGCAACTATAGTATACGGCACAATCCTGTGTTCAAATGTGTTGGGTAAGCTACCTCTAGTCCAAACAACAAATGCGGTCCAGAAGAACGTACACTGCACCAATCCCCAGTCCAGCAACCACTTGATATCCAATCAATTCACTAAGCGGGGTGGCAGCATCCCAGGTACTCAGGAGGTACGTCCCGATAGGAATCAAAATTCCAATGAATTTGATCATGGCTGTGAATCGACCAGTCACGGACATTAGTATTGAGGTTATTATGACTGATACGTCCACTAACGAAGGCATAGTGGGACAGTCAGCGTGAAGACAGTGTTGCAAAATGCGGAAATTTTGGATTTGGCATACGCACAAGGAAGTATCACTGCCAACATGCGAAGAGCTGCGGTTGTCGAAGAAGTGTGATTCACAATGGTGAAAAATACTGGTATGAAATTTGGGGCTGCATAATATCTGGGAAAAATTCAGTCAAATCAAAGATCACAATCACCGTGCAAAACCTAGAGCTTACCCGAAGCCCCAACAGAATGTCGAAATAGAGAGAGCTGTAAAGTTGGGATACGAAAAGAGGGCGATGGGCACTACCAAGTCGGTGCCTTTGATCGGTCTAGCAAAATACTCGCCTAAGTTCACATGACATCATACTTTTTGGCGATAGGCGAAAACTTACGGATAGACCTCCACTAGTATAAAAATGATTAAAGCGACGACACTTGCACTCAGACTTCCAATCACAAGTGGATCATTCCATTCTCCAGTATCAGCACTGACTCCAAGCGCAACCAAGAAGAGAACAGAGCTTGTGACAAAAAAGAACAGTCCAATGAAATCAACTCTTCCGTGTTTTACAACCTCCTTTTTAGGGAATTTCACCAGCGTGATGGCTACAAAGGCCACGACGGCAGGTATCAATGTAAGAAAGAAACAGAGCCTCCATGTTAGATTATCACTGAGTAGGCCACCGACAATAGGTCCAACTGAAACGAAGTCATTGTCGTCAGGATTTTCGTTTTGGGCAAACGACAACACACATGAACGCACGACACATACTTAAAGTCCCTGCGAGAACAGCGACCATGTTGCCAGCCAAATAACTGCCCCGCTCACGCGCGGGAACCATTTCACCCAGTGCGATGTATCCCAGGCCCAAAATCCAACCACCAGCAAGACCTATTTTGATGACAATGTTACAACCTCATTCCCTGAAGCCTCTGCGACGATATTGCTCGCCTTGCCATGCACGAGCAGCAATCAGCCATGCGAGGTTTTGAGCAAATCCAGCAAGCGTAGTTGACGCTATAAAGGAACAGCACGCGATGGTAAACATTGTTCGTAAGTTGACTCGAGTTGCCAGTGCCGAGCAGATCTATTGAAAAAGAAATTTATAAGTGAATTTTGATGAAGAGCAAGGCTGAGACGACATATACTGGAAGACTACAGGCCAGACCGAGATTGTACACAGCTGTGACAAAAGAAAAAGTGAATCATCCCAGAACAGAAATTCGACATTCAATTTCATTGATTTACATCCAATCCAATACCTAAATGCGCTTGCGGTTAGTATTCAAACTCTTTTGACAAGCGCGATGTTGCCTTTTTCAACTTACAGTTTGTCGACTCGATTGAATGCCGTGGCAATCTGCGGCAGACTAACATAGATGATTGTCAAGTCGAAAAATGTCAAAAAGTCCAATACAGATATTCCAATAACCAAGAGGATGGCTTGACGATTCATAACTGTAAGGAAACAGAAAATACTGTCAGCAAGCTCTCACAGAGAAGCCCTGCCTATGTTAGATGGATGCACCGGTTAGTGATGACGTAGCAAGAATATTAAAGTGTTCATTTTCTATGCGTCTTCCTTTCGTACCTTACAAGTGTAACGGAAAGAAGAAACCCCAAACTTATGTAGGGCCGCCTCACGTCGCGTTGACTGCCGCCCATCGTTCGAGTGGAACAATCTCAACGAAACTGGTTTCAAAACACGTCGGAAATTGATTTGAAGTGTTCCTTGCTCTAATTGGCATCTGCTTTCAGCACCTTCCTTCGCAACTTCTCCACCAACCCCACGCTCGCTCGGCAAGTTCATACTAGACCGATCGCCCTTGTTCGCTTAGTACGAACTGGTTCGGCCGAAGTAAAATATCGATGCATGGAATCCAGTTACCAGGATCTTCTCTCCCACACGCGTTAAATGGTGTTTTCTTGATTGCCTTCTACGTCTGCTATAATTGGCTGCAACCAGGATAAGATCAGCAGATTAAAGACCACGGTACTAATCTGTGACAGGTAAATATCAACTTATTACGTGTAAATTCGTTGATGTGCCCTGGATGCATCTCTCTCAATTCGTTGTCACACTCCAGAATTCTCAATACTGAAACGCACCGATGGCTGTAGGAGCTGAACTGGTAGCTAATGTCCTCCCCGAGGTTCGGGTAGGACTATCCTGACTATCCTGACATGGTCAGTACTGGCCCGACCTCGCCATGGTATGATAATCTGTTCGGGTTGCAAAACGTGTGGGCTCACCTAGCACGTTTTAGCTCGCCCAGAGATCTGTTATGGCGAGACGGAGACTGCTGCCTCGATTTTGAACAAGTTCAGGCGATGAAGGGCCTAGAAACACATGAGGGTTTTGTCAAGGTAGATGTGTTTTCTAGAGGACATCGTGGGACAGCAGTTTTCTCAACGATCTGCTTTAGACTGGAGTGGGTACCATTGTACGTGGCAAGATTGATCATCTTTGCAATTGCTCCGCGCCGATATGGACCGCTTACCAGTCCAAGAAGATCAGACGAAACATGCTGCAAAGAATGTGAGGACACAGCCGAATCGGCTGGAACTGTACGCTACACTGATTCTGAGATTCAAAAAACGATTTAAACTCGCATTGAACAAATTACAGAGGGTGAGATTGTGCTGTCAGACTCATGCTTCGTGGTTTCTCAAAAGGTGTTTTTTGAAATGGGGATCTCGCTAGCATACTGTTGTAAATCTACTGTTGACTACAAGGTCGCCTTTCCTCCCACTGTTAACGTTGGCAAAGATCAGCATAAGCTAGTTCTGGAGGCGGCTGCAGCAGTAGGTGAGAAGAGAATACACCTTGTTAGTATTGGCGACTTGCTGTGGGGCTTGGCAACAAGGTTCTTATAGTATTAACTGGAAGCTTTCTATAATATTTGGATCCAAAGGAGGTAGTAATGGTATGGAGATTTTAGCTTCTCCTTGCATCACAAACATGGGAATTTCTTCGTTGTTGGTGCAGCCCCAACTGAAACCCTTCGTGCCAATCCACACCATTTTCCACTATTTGACATCGATGAGCAGTGTATGCTAGTAGGGTGCTCTGTGTTTGTGGAGCTCATTCGACGTCGCTTCAAGCGAGAGTCTAGATCTAATATAATGTATGTGGTCCTGAAGTACCAATTCACGTCAAAATAGCAGTATAGATCTCTTATATTTGTACATGGTTGTCTGGCACCAAGTGACCGTACAAGCTCAATCTCATTCCATAGTTTATTGTTGAATGGACGCAAATTGACAAACCAAAAGTTTGGTGGAATGTAGCTCGATGTATTTATACCTCGACTCTCCCGCGTGTCGCGTGCATAAATATCCTGATCCTTGCTGCATCCAATATCTTATTGTTCCAACCGAGACCCCACACGTTGTTCGAATGAGTCAAAAACCAAACCTAGAGCAAGAGTCGGCGCGTCACACCCAAAGGGATTTTGACAATGAAGTCTAGATACTTTCAGGCACGTCATTGTGGATCCCTGTAATTCCACTGAGGACTGCCGACTGCTGGACCAAGTCTGGAACAATGTTTCAAGGATCGCGTTCCGAGGAATGCCCAGAGCCGTCTTTGTCTCGAATGCTCCAACGTCTAAATTCAGTAAGGAATCCGTGAATTTCCCGTGCAGCTGTGAGACGGCCCTGTGTCAGTAACGAAAATCCTCGAGTGCCGACCACCATCAATCACGAAAACCAGTGAGGACATGAGGAGGTATCCGCACATCCTCGAATCAAAGATTGCAGAAAACTTGAGGGGGGACTTCAATGGCAACGAAGAGTGTCGCGTTTAATAATTTCGTACATTTCAAAAACACCATTCTTCTTAGGACCTCTTAATATCAAACACAAACCATGAAGGACGTTGAAGGAGTTTTACGAGGCACTTGCCTTAGCTGCAATGGGTGCACAGAGTACGCTCTGAAGGAGAAGTCCAATTCATGTGATGAATGTGGATGCTCTGTCACGCGTCACAAGACTATTGATGAATCAGGCAAGCCTATATATTTCACGTCTAGTTTATTTCGTTATGGTGGTTGTTTGAAACATATGAGAACTATGGACAAGTCGAGAAAACTCTTAACTGACCCTTGTTTCATTGCTGTTATTTAGTTCGTGGACGAACTGGAAACCTCTCTATGGTCGACCAAGCTCTTCAAGGGAGAGGAGAAAACCGATTCGAGTTCGTCGCTTGGTGGGTTTTCTACAGTGTCTGCCTGTGGGGTGCCATCACTGCTCTCCTCACGATGTACACACTGTCTGGTGCCAACCGTGGAAAGGCTCAAACCTTTTTCAACCGCGACGAGGGCTCGACTATGTTCAACAAGTTTACTTTCATTGGGTATGTGTCCTTGCCATTGCACCCTCGCCACACCCTTTTGAAGTAACCTATCATCTAACACGAGCTTTCTTCTGTTGCAGATACACCTTCGGAATGGCCTTCTCCTTCTTCTCCTACATTGGCTCTGCCAACGCTGAACGACGATCCTTGTCTCTGGCTCTCTTTGGAATCAAGTTCATCGCTTGCTCCACCTACTACCTCCAATGGAAGAAATTGACTCCCGCAGTCATGATGCCATCCGGTGTCCCATGGTTGACTTCCCGTAGTATGGAATGGATGTTCTGTACCCCTGCCTTGATGTGGGTCTACCGTCAAGTTACATGTGCTTATGATCCTATGCACAACTCTCTTGCCCTCGACATTATCATGGTTGTCACTGGTTGGTTGGGTGCCATCATGAAGGAACCTTTCGCTACTTGGATGAACACCGTCTCTTGTTTGGTCTACCTTCCAGTTATTGACCACCTTATGGACATGTTCCAACGTGCTATTGAACGCAAGACTGACTGCCGATTGGACAAGCAATCCTTGTATATGGCTAAGTGGATTGTCTGGACCGCCTGGTGGGGAAGTAAGTAGAACTTCTCAAAGTTGTGGTTGTTCGCTCCAAGGTTGTTGCCCATCTTCTAACTCAACAATTGATTTTTTTATAGTGACTGTCGTCTACTATTTGCAACGTGACAAGTTCGTTGACTTTGCTACCGGTGAAGCCTTATACTTCTGTTGTGACATGATCGCCAAGGTTATGTTTACCTTCACTGTCTTGATGGCCACCACTGAACGTGTTTAAAAAATATACCCGAAGTGTCTTGACATCAACTGTAAAACAAACAAATCAACACTCAAATATCAGACAAAAATGATACCCCAATAAACACAACTTGAAGCAATGTAAAAGAAGCATAAATTTTGCAACGATGCTGTTTGAATATGAATCAAAGACAACGTGCTAGCGACGAGAATTTATTATCGAGTATCTCCCAAAGTGATCTTGCGGACCGCATGCTTGCATCGACTCTTAACTGAACGCAGAACGAGTGAAATGTGTTGTCAACAAAAGTACGCAACTAGGAATATTGAATAGAAATTGAAGCAAACTCAAGGCGTAAGCTAGCGCTGAATCCCAGAACTCTGAAAATTTATCAAATTCAAAGTTCTTTTATCTGTTTCCTTGGATGTCACATCACTCGTTATTCCAGCGAGAAACACCACAAGAATCAAGAATCTCAGCTCGAGTAATAGATAGAATGCTGGGTCATTAATAAAACACACCTTCTGATACGTGAATGCACACATAAAAGACCTTTAAAGTTCGTTCTCTGTAATTCCAGCGTTTCCATCGGACTGATACTCTTGACTAACACCACCCCCAAAATTGCCCTGATAGAATCCGCACCTCCTCGAATCAACCGTTGGACCAACATGAGGGGGGATTCAAAGGGGATTTCCTTACTTTCAGACAATTGATTTTTTTTGCTGAACGGTCCCCATCCTTTCTCATTTCTTTTTTGGAACGTTTCAAACGTAACAAGCAGTTTAATTATGAAAGACGCACAAGGTGTCGCCCGTGGCACATGTCTGCAATGCAAGGGATGTATGGAATTCGCACGCAAAAGCGAGGGTAATCAATGCGATGATTGTGGTTGCTCTGTGACGCGACATGAGACTATAAAGGGTGAATGTAAGTGGCAATTTCGTGTTATTTGCGGTGCATGAGATGATTGTTCAATTTCTTTTCACGTTTTTGTTCCTTTTGTATCATATTTGATACAAAACAATGAACTAACTTGACCATCAAATTATAATAGTACCTCCTCCATTCGCACATTTGTCGGTAGTCGACCAAGCTCTATTAGGAAAAGGCCACAACAAGTTTGCTTTCGTCGCTTGGTGGGTCTTCTACTCCATCCTCGCATGGGCATCCATCACTGCCGTCATCACCATGTATACCATGTCGGGAGCACACAAGACCAAGGCACACATGCAATTCGTCAACGACACTGACTCGACCATTATCCACAAAATCTGCTGCATGGGATACTCGCTTGGAATGATATTCTCCTTCTTTTCATACATTGGCAGCAGCAACCCCGAACGAAAATCCTTGTCCATCTCTCTCTTTGGAATCAAGTTTATCGCCTTCTCCTCATACGTTTTACAATACAACAAGTTGACTCCTGCTGTTATGATGCCAACTGGTGTACCATGGTTGACTTCTCGTAGTATGGAATGGATGTTCTGTACTCCCTGTTTGATGTGGGTATACAGACAAGTCACCTGTGCTTATGATCCCATGCACAACAGTCTCTTCCTTGATGTTGCTATGGTTGTCACTGGATGGTTGGGAGCCGTCATGAAGGAGCCTTTTTGTACTTGGATGGATACCACTTCTTGCTTTGTCTACCTCCCAGTTATTGATCACCTCATGGACATGTTCCAACGTGCTATTGAACGCAAGACTGAATGCAAGATGGACAAGAGATCCTTGAAAATTGCACAAAACGCTGTTTGGGCTGCTTGGTGGGGATGTATGTATCCATTCATCGTCACACGGTCTTGTCCTTTGCTCATCACTGACTCGTTCTTATTTCAACCTAGTCACACTCATCTACTACCTGCAAAAGGACAAGTTCGTTGACTTTGCTACTGGTGAAGCTCTTTACGTCTGTTGTGACATGATTGCAAAGGTCGTCTTCACTTTCGTCGTCTTGACAGCTACTCAAGAAGCTGCCTAAATATGTAACAAATATCAAAAGCAAATGAAAAGAGAAGTCCAATTTGATACCCGAATAAAGTAAACCTCACTCGCTGAACAACTTTTTAATTACTAACGCAAGTGAAGAAAATGAAGGTATAAAGACGTGATTGCCCGTGTTTGCAACGCTGACATACAAATTACGCGTATATTGTAAATTTGGCTGGTCAAAATTGCGTTCTTCAAATACAAAATCAGCAAATCAACTCAAGCTGTTGTATCCAACAGTACTATCAAACACAACTCAATGAGTCAGAACGAGGCTTGACAAGAGGGTCATTCAAGAGTGCTCAAAACCTTTTCGGACGATTCACTGTATACCCTGAAATGAGTCTCGAACATCCCTAACTTTGTCTACTTGGATTCACCCACAAAAACCCGCACAGTGACACTGGAAATCACCTTCGTCCTGCCTTGAATCAACGGTAGCAGCAACATGAGGGGGGATTCAAGGGATTTCGCTTTCTACGTGTTTGATTGTTTGTTGCTGTTGCAAGAAGGAAAACTCTTGCATTATCTTCATTTTTTGACCTAGTTGCTCTCTTTTGTGGAAAGCTCAAAAATGAAGGACGTGGAAGGCATCATGCGTGGAACGTGCGGTGCATGCACGGGCTGCCCTGAATACGCGGTTAAGACTGATGGTTCAAACACCTGTGAGGAATGCCAATGTCCTGTTGGGAGACACGTTGCAGCTGATGGAAATACTGGAGGTAAATTGGTTTAATCATTTCGCGTAATTTATGAAGAGGCTTATTTGAACGCGTTCTCCCTGACTAATTTGTTGTACCTTGCACTAGACGGCACTGGTAAAAATGCAAAAGGTGAAAAGGTGTCGCTAGTAGGTCAAGCTCTTGCAGGAGCCGACAACAATCGATATGCATTTGTCGCTACCTGGGTATTTTACTCCATCCTCGTTTGGGGATCCATTACTGGCTGCATTACTCTATACATGCTCTCTGGCGCACACAAAACCAAAGCTCAAGCTATATTTGAAAATGACCACATTTCCACTATACTACACAAGTACTGTTGTGGTGGCTACGCTTTCGGTATATGCTTCTCCTTCTTGACCTACCTCGGTACCCGCAACCCTGAGCGTAAATCGTTGGCAATTTCACTTGTCGGAATCAAGTTTATTGCCTTTATGTCATACTTTTTGCAATTCCACAAGTTGACTCCTGCTGTCATGATGCCAAACGGTGTGCCATACTTGACTTCTCGTAGTTTAGAATGGATGTTCTGTACTCCTTGTTTGATGTGGGTTTACCGTCAAATCACTTGTGCATACGACCCAATGGCCAACAGTATTGCTCTGGATATCGCTATGGTTGTCACTGGTTGGATTGGTGCTGTTGCTCCTGAGCCATATGGTGCCTTCTGGAACACCGTTTCTTGTTTGGTCTACCTCCCTGTCATTGACCACATCATGGACATGTTCCAACGTGCTATTGAGGAAAAGACTGACTGTCGATTGGACAAGCAATCCTTGTACTGGGCTAAAACCGCTGTTTGGGCTGCATGGTGGGGATGTAAGTAAAAAGTGAAAGCTTCGTCACCTACGAAACCCGATCGAATCTCATACAACATTTATTGCAGTCACTGTTGTCTACTACTTGCAAAAAGATGTCATCGTCGACTTTGCCACTGGTGAATTTTTGTACGTCTGCTGTGACATGATTGCTAAGGTTGTCTTCTCCCTCATTCTCATCAATGCGTAAGAAATTTGTCTGCTTTTGTTACTGTAATCAAAGCAACTAATCAATTTTTGGTTCTTGCTCTTACCTAGCTCTCAAGAATCATCCGCCGCTGAACGGGTCGGCAAGCTCTCTGCCGCTGCTGCTGAACTCGAAACTCAAATGGATAACTCTGATGCTCTCTTGGAGAAGATGATGCCCGCCAACGTTTTGGAACAAATCAAGAATGGTCAAGGAACTGAAGCCGAGGAATTCCAAAGCGTCACTGTCTTCTTCTCTGTAAGATACTGCTTAATTCGGATTTTTTTTGGTGTGATCATCTTATGAAAGCCCACTCAACCCCACTTTCGTCTCATTAGGATATTGCCAACTTTGGTTCATTGTCAAACAAGGCCTCTGTAAGTTCCGAACTTGTAATACTCAATAAAATATTCAAATGCACTCACACGCTCATCAACAAACTATAGGCTAAGGAAATGATTAACATTCTCAACGCTCTCTGGCGTGAATACGATGTGGTCGCTAAGAAATGGAACGTCTACAAGGTCGAAACCATTGGAGATGCTTACCTCGGTGTTACTGGTTGTCCCAAACGTTGTGACGGTAATTCCTATGCTCTTTGCTGTACTTGACTTCAAAGTATCAGGTATCCTCAACACCCTATTCTCTTCTTTTATAAGGTCACGCCGTACAAGGTGTTAACTTTGCCATTGATTTGATTGCCATGGCCAAGGCCTTCAAAGCCGGAAACTTGGATGAAGGAGTTCAAATCCGCATTGGTCTCAACTCTGGATCTGTTACTGCTGGTGTTTTGGGTGACTTGAATCCTCATTGGTGTTTGGTCGGTGATACTGTCAATACTGCTTCTCGTATGGAGTCCACATCCAAGCCGTTGTGTGTACACATTTCGGAATCTACTTACAACTTGGTTAAACATGATCCTGTAAGTATCATGATTCGTCGAGCCTCTAGGTGTGTACTATGAATTGAAATATGATAATAACATTTATCACGCTTTATTAGACTCTTGACATCTCTGCTCCTGATGTCATGAACGTCAAGGGCAAAGGTGTAATGAACACCTTCTGGGTCCATGGACGCAAGTGAACGACGGCTGAGTGAAAAATACCCATCCCACAAGGATTATATCAAAGCTTTTGTACAATTATCATAAAAATTTAAAATTTAAAACGGAACATGAAGGGAAACGTAAAGCAGCTTTGCGTTTGAAGAATGGATCAGGTATCTAACAAAGATCCTTGTTTTCTCACTATGCGATCGCCCTTTTGGACGTGTTTTACGTGAACCTTCACGTAGTAGAGATGTAACAAAGCTGTGATCTGGCGCCGTTTTGTAGCGATTGCCCTCTGATCACGTCGACTAAACTCCCAAAACCTCTTTTTTTGCATGTTTGTCATAAAACAGAGCTTTAGACCTTTGGGCCGTTTAGCGATATCTAGGCCAGCATACACTGTAGCAAGGGCGTCGAAATCACTTATCTATCATCAAGGAGCTCTCTTTAGCGTGATGAATCCATTGAAAAGAGCAACCGAGCAAACACCATCAATAGTCAACAAGAAGCTGAAAATGGATGCATCGGAAGAAGATGCAGAAGTAGTTTCAATGGATCAGGATGTATCCGAAGAAGCTGGAAATGCCGTATCAACTGCGCAGTCTGGACGACGACCACAAATCAAACTCGAGAATCTGTTGAGGGCTTGGAATGGTGTGGATTTTACGCAAACCGTTTGAGAGTGTCGACAGTCGACTTCTGCTTATCTGGATTTTTTTTGATTAAAGGTGTTGATTTACGCAAACTGTTTGAGGGTGTCGATGTCAAATTTACGAGATTCAAGAAGCAGCCAACTTGGGATTCTGCTTATCTGGATTTCAATGTACGCGATCCGTCCATGATTGTTTTATTGCACACAGCTCTCCATACGCTGACGATCACCATAATCGCTTAGTCCTTTGAAGAACGTGACAAGGCAATACAAAAGTTGAACGGCCACATGTACAAGAACAAGAAACTGGCTGCCTCGATACCTGTGAGTGCACAAGACAACATCATGCCCTGCCTCAATATTGACTTGACGCTCCTTTTGTACAGCCTGTCAAAACTCCTAAAGCCAAAGGAAAAGCACCAGTCAAGAATGTCGAACAAGAAGAAGACACTAGAACACCTGCAGAACGTCTCGCGGATCAAACCACGCCATTATGGAGGTATGATCGAGCTGTGCGCAGTTTTTTACTCCTCAACGATCGCTCCTAACACTTGCTCAACTAGAATATCATATGAAGATCAGCTCAAAGAAAAGGAAGAGGACATGAAGGCCATTTTGCTGAAGTTCAAGCAAGAGCTGATGAAACTGGCTGAAGGATCTGCAGCTGCTAAAAAGGAGATTGCTTGGATACAGAATGCAACGTACGACACCCAAAAAAGACACGCCTTGTATAGATTGATGACGAGCAATCAATTTACATATGTTATTCTTGTAGAGATCCTACTGGTCTGCCGTGTCCTGTCGAACCGATTGTCCCGTCACCTGTTATTAACGGGTACCGTAATAAGTGCGAATTCTCAATGGGATCGAACTTTGAAGGTACAAGAGCATATCAAGTTGGTCAAGAAGTCCTTTAATTTATGTCTATGAAAATAGGTGAAGATGTTGTCGGGTTCCTTGTCGGGCTATACAAGGAGGGATTGGTTCAAGTTCTGGTAACTGACTGCGATCATTACTTCAGTGCCGTTATTGGTCGCTCAACTTCCATCCTTGTCTTATAGGAACCCGGTGAACTCAAACATATACCACCAACCGCCAAAGCTATTGCTGCAGCCGCACAGGTACGCGAGTCAGTACAGTTTTCAGACAGTGAGCGGTTAACACTCAATCCGAGAATAGAGGTTTATACGTCAATCTGAGTTTGCTGTGTATGACCGTATAACCAAAAAGGGCTTTTGGAGGCTGCTGCTAGTCAGAACACCTCGTTCTGGAGATGGTGAGTTTGCTTCTTCACGCCCTTCGACTCGATTCACGTTTGCTCATATCTGGCTGTTTTGTTAGTCATGGTTTTCGTCCAAATCAACTCTCAAGGCTCCGACTCGGTTCTAGTCGACAAGGAAAAGATCAAGATGAAAGCCTTCTTTGAAGAGTGTGTCAAAGCAGGAGAGTTTCCTCTTACTACGCTGATCTTTCAGGTACACCGAACTTTGCACGGTTTTGTTTTGTTTTGCGCTTGCTTTCTGATAGCTCTGGCCACAATTAGGATACTGATGGTGTTTTCAATGGTATAAAAGATGACAATCCAGTTGAAGTGGTTATCGGGCCTGGCGAAATTCATGAAGAGATGCTCAATCTGAGGTAAAATCAATTGTTTGGTACTCTTGGCATCCTTTCTTTTGACACCAAATTTCATCCAAACATAGGTTTCGCATATCACCATTCTCCTTCTTCCAAGTAAATACACCAGCCGCCGAACTCCTTTACACGACAGTCCGAGAATGGTGTCGACTAGACAATGCAATACAAACCGAAAATTCATCAACCACGCTCCTCGACTTGTGTTGTGGAACTGGAACAATTGGAATCACGATGGCCAGCCAAGTAACTCGTGTTGTAGGAATCGAGATTATAGCATCAGCAGTCCAAGATGCTGAAAAGAATGCAGCAGCAAATGGAATTACGAACGCTGTGTTTGTTGCTGATCGAGTCGAGGCTGCTATTCAGAATACTATCAAGCAGCACTGTCCTCCTGGATCTACTGTTATTGCTGTTATGGGTACGTGTGTGTGATTGTGAATTTTGGTGAATTGAAGAATGAACATATCTGTTCTGACTGTTTGTTTATTTGTTCAGATCCACCTCGACCAGGTGTCCACGCCAAAGTCGTCACAGCTGTACGAGAATGTGCATTGATTGATCGAGTGGTATTTGTTGCTTGTGATGCCGAAAAGAGTATGCCAAACTGGATTGAGTAAGTCCCATTCGAGACATTCGACGATAATCGAGGTTTTTTTTTGCTCAACCATATTTACACAATCTTACTAGTTTATGCCGACCTACTGGTGGACGTATTCGTGGAAAACCATTCAGAATCGAAAGAACTCAACCGTTTGACTTGTTTCCGCATACTAAACACGTCGAATTCGTCCTCGAGTTTGTTCGCGACAAAAAGATGTAAATTGCCAACATGCTGTACACTATACACGATCTGACATGAACATCTATTACACGTGATTTTATTTTGTACTTTGAAGCGATTCGTTGGCTTGCGGTTAATGGCATCTCCCTTTTTTTCGTCTCGTCATTGAAACAAGCCAAGCAAACAAAGTCCGCTATCCAGAAATCAACACGAGGAGTGGGCAATTAGAATCAACACATCTCCACATAGAAATACTACTAATACATAGAACAGAATGGGTCTAACCGTCTGTATCGTTGGTGCTGGGTGAGTTAGAAGCCAGACAGTCTGGAAATATTGTTGTTTGTATCTTTTTCGAGCTCTTGCTGGTGTTTTAAGGCAACGATCTGATCGTTAATAGCCACAATTGATCATTTGGAGACCAAAACTAGTAGCTGATCGCTTAATTCATCCTTTAGATGCTCTGGTCTCTGCGCTGCTTTGAAACTGCAAAATATCTCTAATGTCGACTACCAGATTTACGATTACGGAAATGGTGCCGGTGGAACTTGGAACCACAATAGATATCGTATGAAATTAGATACTCTCTTTAAATCGGCGTCTTCTGACCTGGGGGCCTGTGATGGCACTCGTTTTGTCACAAGCCTTTTCTTGAGCCTTTGTGAGCTAAACCCTACTACCATTTCTAGCTGGAGCTGCTTGCGATGTGCCCTCGCATCTATGTAGGTGGAGTTTCTGCTCCACAATTCCAATTCTGACAACGAAAACCAATTTGTCTGAATTCAACTTTATCATACAGACTCATACAGTTTCATTCCAAACCCAAACTGGACTCGAGTCTTCTCTCCACAACCAGAAATCGAAGCATACTTCGCCAAAGTCGCCAAAACGTATGGCGTAACGCCCAAGATTCAATTTAACACTGAGGTCGTTGAAGCACATTGGAATGACGTGTCAAAGCTATGGACTGTAGGGATTAGGAAGAATGGAACTGATGTTGTTACAAAAGCTGAATTCAATGTGCTCATTATGGGTGTTGGGCAACTCAACAGGTGCGTAGGATAGATACGTGATCGACCTGGCAGTAGTTGAATTCACCCTCTCAATCGTTAGACCATACTATCCATTTGCACAAATCAAAGGCCTCTCGGAATGGAAGGGCAAGATATTCCACAGTGCGCAGTGGGACGAATCGTATGATGTTTCTGGCAAAGCAATTGCCGTAATCGGGAACGGCGCGTCGGCAGTACAGTTCATACCACAAATCGCTCCCAAAACCAAGAGTCTCGACGTTTATCAACGAACTCCCAATTGGTGTATCCCACGTAACGATTTTGCCTACTCGGCGGTCGCCAAATTCTTGTTTTCATATGTGCCGTTGCTTCGATGGTGGTGTAAGCAATTCCTTTCACTTGTTCGAATTCTTCCTCAATTGACTTATTTGCGTTCATGATTGTAGGGCGATTCGTCATTTATTACAACGTATGGATCTCTACTTGGAACACACAACCTATACGCTCAGCTAATTGACGTTCCTTTCCATTCACTGCAGACCGAGCTATTCTGGTTCAATTTCTCAACACCAGGAGGTGCAATAAGCAAGGCTATGACTGCATTGGCAACTTCGCACTTGAAGAATCAAGTCAAGGATCCAAAGCTCCGAGAGACTTTGACTCCAGATTATCCTATTGGGTACATTTAGATCTTGCGTCATGATTTTGGTGCCTCTGCGCGCATGGGCTGACAAGCATTTCCCGTCAACAGATGCAAACGAGTACTCATCACCGACGACTACTACCCATCACTACAACTCCCACAAGTTTCTCTCATCACCGACAAGATCACATCCGTAACGTCCGACTCTGTAGTTACCGAATCAGGAAACACACGTAAAGTAGACGCAATCATCCTCGCTACCGGCTTCGAAACCACGCGATTGTTGTTTCCAGTAAAAATTACTGGTGCAGGTGGTGTTTCCTTGGACGACAAGTGGAAGAATGCGCCTTCGAGTTACTATGGCATTACGACGAGCGGTTTCCCGAATATGTTTATGTGCTATGGACCGAATACTAATTTGGGTATGGACCACAATCTCTGAAACCTTTTTTATTGTCGATGGTTTGAGACTGACAAAGCTCAATTCTGGATAGGTCATTCGAGTATCATCTACATGATTGAATGTCAAGTCAACCGTACGTGTCTTCCCATCTTGTTTGTAAATGCTTGAGACGGACGATATAACCAGAAGCGCGTATCTTAGATATAATGCAAATGGTTCAATCCCTCGCTCTGAAAGAAACAACCTACTTTGACGTTAAACCTGAAGTAGAAACCGAATTCTACTCTAAACTTCAGCAATCTTTGAAGGTATGTGATCATTTGAACATTCTTTGCCAAACTGCCGCGAGAGCATTAAAAGCGAAAAAACGAGGTTTTCAAGACATTATTTCAACCCGTTTTACAATTGCTTCTTCTACACTTCTCATCTGACATCGTTCTCCCTTGTCCATCCAGACAACAGCATGGGCTTCATCATCCTGTAACAGTTGGTACAAGACAAAGGATGGTCTGATCACCAACAATTGGTCATCATTGTAAGCAATCTGTATGCGATTATCGATGTGGTTTTCGATCTATTTTTTTGTCGTCTTGCAACCCGTCAAATCCTGAAAACACTTCACAAAAGCTTCATCTTGTGCGCACAGAATGATTCGCTCGCTCAATCTATCTATTTCGCACTTGTAGCATCACAAAATACTGGCTAGACACCCGTCGCGTCAAGTGGAACAACTTTAAGCAAGACCCTCCGTCACTATTCACGTCACTCCGTCGATACGGAAGTGACAATGCACTAACCTTGACTGCAATCGCGGTTATTGGTGGTGCTGCAGCTGCTCGTCATTTCCTCAAGCAATAATGTCATACGTCTAGTTTTGAGGACTGTTTTTGTGGTGGTAAGGGTGGAAGTAGTATATGAACATACAGAGTTGTTTCGTTATTAGAATGTAAGGTGGAAAGAAAATAGATCTTGGGTATTTTCGAGGCAAAGTTGATAGTCATTGGTTTTATGAAGATGATGTAATGTTTTTATTTAACAGTTTTACAAACAAACAGCAGCCGGATGTCGACCCAACTTGTTTCAAAGACAACCTGCTCATCCGAAAAACATGTTAGCAGCGACATCCGGATTACCTCCTGAAGCATCTAGTGCAGCTATAGCTTCAGCCCTTGTCGCGCCCAAATCAACTAACGACTGTATAGAAGCTTCGGGATATTTGGCTGCAGCTGGATTATTACTATTATTGGCACCTCCTACACCAGCAGCTCGTGCTGCTGCAGCGTTCCCAGCAGCTTGAGCAGGTGGTCGAGACGATGGTGGTACTGAGGATGATGATGACGAAGGTCCACCGAGAGGCTGACCGGATGGTTGTGTTGGTGATGTTGCCATAGGAGAACCTGAGGTTTCCCATTTGGCTTTATCGGGTAGTTCGTGTTCGGATAGGAATGGAATGTCTTCTTCGTTGATGACGAGGACATTCTTCTTGAGGTCTATACACGCTTGATGGCGTTTCAGCATGTCGAGACCAAAGAGTAAGTCAACACCCTTTCCCTGAGACAGAGGAGATATTAGAAAGGAATCATTTGGAACAAGCTGAGTGAATGACCACGGTCAAGATGACCCACTCTACCAAAAAATCGCCATATATACCTCCATGATGGTGAAGGAGCACATCAACACCTGACCTCCAATCTTGAATGGAGCTGCATGTACACGACCCAAGATCTTTGCTTGCCCAACACCAATAGCCACACCTAAACAAAAGTCAAAATATGATGTTAAAAAAAGGACATTGAATGCGAAACAGCTCGCAAGCTCAACCACAAGTCCAACCGCTAGAATATCCAAATCAACTCTCTTACCAGCAAACCTCTTATCCAACAGATGCAATATTTTACACTTCTCCGCACACTCTGGACTCATAATAGTAGCCTGAGCACCTGAATCCACGAATGCTTTGACAGGTATCGAGTTGACTTCGGTATTTATATACAGCATGATGACACGACCGAATGATTCAGGATTGTATTCCATAGCAGCTTCCATGTTCTCGTCGACATTCTTTTGACGAATTGCTTCTTCTATTCGGCGTTGCGCTTCTGGGTTGAATGGGTCGTCGTCTAGTGCGGCCTAGTATATGGAGGGTATTATGAGTTGCGATTGGGGAGTGATTCCAACGGTGGAGTGCGATCTGTGTAATTTTTTTTGGCATACCATTTCAGCAGCAGCTCGTTCCTCATATTCACGTCGTTGCCTTTCAATATCCATGATCATTCTCCTGAATTGTTCAGGATCTTCGAGTGCTGCAGCTGCGAGTTGTGGATTTCTCTACAGTGTGTGTTGGGTGTGAATACGATGCCAAAAACAATTCAATCATACAACCAAACGACACCCAACTGATGCCAATTGTGTCATCGCACGTGGATCCGATAGCAGCTGTTGCCGTAATGCCTCTGCAGGATCTCTGTATATAAGGAGCGGGGGGTGTAATTTAGTCACGGTTCTCGAGATCAAGGGAGGTGCTCAGCATTCAACACACCCAACAGGCCTTCCTCCAGCAGCACCGACACCACCCGCAGCAGTACCAGCTCTCTTTACAAACAGGATGTCATCCTGAGCAACGCCCAATTCCTGCAGCGTTTTCGATACATCAAGCAATTCGACCCCATTGTGAAGAATGGTTTGTGCGTTGGCTGGGATGCGTAGTTCTGCTTCGGCTAGTGCTTTGAGATTCTGGATCTAATGTATAGAATATGGGTTGAATTTTGGTACATGATGAATGCGTGATTTAAAATCTAACAAAACATTAAACAGCTATAGAAAGCCACATACGCTAATAGTAGAGTCCACTTCCAGATTGTGCAAGTCACCGAATTCATTGGTGAGTGATATCCTCATTGCCGTATCTGTCTCTCTTCTCGAGTCTCTTGTCTCCTTGTTTTATGCTGCTCGATCCTCAGGTGTTTTGACAAAATGAAGGGTTGCTTACGCGTCGACTGACCTTGACAGTTCGGAATATGGTCTCGGAAAATCAAGGAAGTCAGGAAATCAATCAAATTGTCTGGGACTCAACTCTCCACTACCAACAGGACGTGTCACCTGTGCTTCTTTTCAGTTTAATAAGATAACAATTGTCACCAACTGACACACAGAAAAATACAATTCTGTTCCAAAAAGACCCAAATACCAATGAGATTATGTGTAAAATGCAATAGTTACGTGTTCTGCGACGGTTTCCCATGTGTTTGTCACGTCATGGGCGCACATCGATTTGATCTGAGGATTTTGAAGCTTTTCCATATCTTCCAAACTATGTATGGAGATAATGGGTGAAGCATATGTAAGCAATACAAAGCTTTTGTAGCTTACATAGGTTTTTAGGAAAACTTTGTTGTCTAGAATCCGAAGTATCGTTTCTGTACTTTGTTGCGTATAGCGAGAGACTGTACTGGCTACAGCGTATACACGATTGATATGGCTACGACGTGGAGATTACTGCGACCAATACTCTCGCAGAAGAGTGCATCATCAGCTCAGTTCTCCGCACTCCGATTTGCATCATCAAATGCAAAGAGAGATGCTCAACTGGACCAATACGGGTAAGGCTGCCATGAGCAATGTTGAATAGAGTCTTTAATGTGTACATTTCATTGCTATTATTGCTCTACTTGTATTTCATTAAGAGCTTTGTGTGCATCGCTGGCATCAACCACGTTTGGGGTAAAAAGGGTGTTTAACAAGACAGAGCGGAAGAAGCACCACTACATATTAATACTCATCATCGCTCAAATCTAATCACCCTATCTGTAGGCCTCTACCAACTGCAGACCCATTCCTACCAGACCCACTGAAACAACCTGCCTCTGACTTATGGCCAACTGAAAAAGACTTGGCTGCCACACCCGCTGCATCACAATCCACTCTCCCTCCACACCCAACATCATCTCCCGACTTCCCCTTCTTCCAACACCCACTCTACATCCCCCTAGCCCAACCAAAAACAGGTCTAGGCACCATAATCCCTCCTCTCAAATGGCCCGTATACGACCAATCCGTGCTATCTGCACAGCAATCAAACCTGCCATCTCCTCCACGATGGTGGTATAGCGAATTCGGGAATCGCGAAATGGATCCTATAGGTGATTATCCACGAGATGTGCCCATGCAGTGGACCCAGTTGAGAGATCCATACAAGTATTGGGATCAGCAGGGACGGAGAGAGTATGGTGAAATCATGTATGATCACGATAATTATACAGATTTCTTGGGTATTGGACCTGAAGTCCATTGGTGGGTACCGTTTATGGGTATGATGAAGGCATTTGGGTTTATTGGGTTGGTGGCCTTTGGTGTCGCGTGGTATGATCCTTCGGCTCATATGCTCTTTGTAAGTGCTGGTATATCTTGATCTGTTGCCACAAGTGGTTTAAGAGTGATAATGGTTTGTTCCCTAACACACACACTCTCTCCTCACCTCCCTATACTATTTAGACGGATCGAGACTACCCACATGATGGTCTAAGAGTCGAATTGGGTGGAAATCCAGAGGAGCATGATGATAATTGGATGGCTGCTAGGAAACTATAAGCTATACACCATTATAGAACAAACAAACAAGAATAAGTAGTACGAGGATCCCGAGAGAATGAATGACAAAGAAAGTTCAACTCCAAATATATCAATTACAAATGACACAAACTGTGGTTTGCCGCGATCAAAGGCTCAGTGGACAAGTGAAAAAAAGTAGCGCAGTGTCAACCATACGCAATGCACGCGTTTGCCAACGCTACTCAATCAATGCGCTTCGTGTTCTCACACTTCTCGTAGATGCCAAATGTAATAACATTGTATTCTTTTCTATACAAAAGTGTGGTAATATTGGTGATATGAGGAAAGCAAAAAAGATGTTTATGATGATGACATGGCGGCGATATCTCGTGTCAATATATGATAATTATATACATTAAGTAAAAGATGTCTCACTCAACATCCATTCCTCAAAGGTCTTGACCACTATCAAACAGTATATCATCAAACGACTGTACATCCCCAAAAGTTTCAAACCCTTGCATGATAGCTGGAGACAATTCATCATTCGACATTTGCGTTAAAGGTATCATTTGCTGTAGTGATTGATCTGCTATTGGTGTATGTGGTGCTGAAGTAGTAGGGGTCAAAAAGCTAATGATGGGTGCTGATTCTTCTTTCGTATGTTCATTCCTGCTGCTACTGCTGCTTCTACCGTCGTTTGTTGTGCGAGAGAATCTAGATTGTTTTCTTGTTGGTGCTCCAGATGCAGATGGTTCTGCTGAAGGTGGTGGTGACTGAGTACAGAAAATGTGAGTAGTCAAACAGAGGGGGGAATACAGTTCGCAAAAGTGAGAAATGACGAAAGGACGAGATTTCTTACCCTTCCATTGCCTCCACCTCCAAAACTGCCAGTCGAATTATCCGCTCTAAACGTCGCACTATCAAACTGATCATCCAACCTACTAGCTCTATGATGGTGACGATTCGGAGAATGCGGTGACAAGGCAGTAGACCTTCGTCCCCACTTCCATCTGGTTCTTGTAAATATGGGTTTTAACCATTGATTATCAAACGATATAAACCAATGCGAGAAATCCTCATCTCGTGCAAGCCATGGATGTCCTAATAATGCATGTATACTGCTTCCGATACTCATTCGACCATCTGCTGATGGCAGAATGTTGCTTGATGACGACTGTCCTGACCTAGGCAACGGCCGTTGCTGTTGTCCGTTACCATTCATATTCTGTTGACCTTTCCGACCACCACCACTAGCATCACCATTAAGCAAATCATCGGATCTCGGAGATACAATATCATCATCAGGTAATACATGATCACTCAAATCCACATATTCTGCTTCTTGTGGATGCCTTCGACCTCCGACAGGTGCTATATCAGCATCAGTCCAATCTAGAGCATCATCTCCATCAGACGAGTCTGTATCATCTTCGTCATCGAAATCATCCATATTGCTATTGTTGTTGCCGCTGTCACCTCCTAATAATACACCATTCGACGAAGAGGACCTTTCAGACCGTTTCTTACGATCAACACCAGTCCGAATCCCCAACTCTACTATCACTCTCGGCGTAGTACCTCCCAACACAATGACCGATATAACACATACTACTAGAGTCGTGGTTCGTATAGCTTGTGCTGCGGGGCCCGAGACATCGAATGACAAAGCGAAGGCAATAGCACCTCTCAAGCCTGCCCACCATAACATGAGTTGATGGTTTCTCGGGATGGGATCCGGTTTGTTTGGATACATTCGACGATTCATAATGTTGATTAGGTTTGCAAGTGGGATTACAGAGACGTAGCGAGCAAAGACCATAAAGACCAGAGTGAAGACTATTAGGCCTGGTAAATATAGTGTGTCGTCACTCGTAAACAGTGTTACACCGACTAGTTGAGAATGGAGATAGAATCGGTAATTAAAAAAGAAAAAGAAGAGGCTATTTTCACCAATGTCGACGACAACTCTGTAACGCATCATAGCATCAAATTACATTGGCTCTGGATTCAATACTTACGGTAGATAAAGACAAAGTTCTCAGAGAGCTGAGACAAGACTCGAAACATGTATTTCGTAGTTCGACGTGATCGAACAGACATGTTATCATAAGCATCTGTATATGGAAAGAGACAAAATCAGTCACAGTTGTTTGAGAAGTGCCACTTGTCGAAGATGATTCTCCAAACAATCGGACCAAAAAAACCTCGAGCAAAACCAGAACAATTCTTACAATGTTTAAGAATAATCCCACAAAACAACAATGACACAATCCCACTAAACTGTAACCCATTCGACAAGAGATACGAAGAATACGCCATGATGATAACAAGACAAGATTCCAATGAAGGAAACTCATAAAGCTGACTGTGTTTCAACATCAATGCAATAATGAGTGATACTACAGTTCCACACAATATCGATCCAAGAAAGACACCAAAGAAGGTGACTATTCCAGCAACCACATTTCCAAGTGAGAATTCTTTGCCCGTGAATTGTCCCAGTGTGCTATACAAATAAGGTGTGAGTACGGAAAAGCCTTGCGCGATAAGAATGCTTGACGAGGTGTGAGTTTTTTTGTTACCTAAACAAGACAATCGCAACAGAATCATTCAAAATCGATTCTCCGAAGATAATGGCATAAAGCTTCGGATCAACCTAACACAGACAATTTGCGGTCAAGATAGGCAACAAAAACGAGGAAAGGAACTTTTCAATACCTTCATCTGTTGAAAGAGCGACAACACAGCAACAGGATCAGTAGACGACAAGATAGCTCCAAATACAAGGCAATCCATCATCGTCATTTTTAATCGATGCATTCCAGCCAAAACTAGGAAGTAGACCAGCGTACTATGAATGAAAATGCATGAGAAACAGAGCGAGAGAAAAGAACAAGCCCAGAACGTTGTCATGGCATCCCGAAGGCAAGAGACGCACCCAATGATGACAGTGCTTATGAATGTACCCAATAACGCAAATGTCATGATCGATCCGATGTAACGAAAGAAGCTTTTCTGATAGACAACAAAGGATCAGAAATTGAAAACTGTTTGAAATGTCTACCACAAAATCAGCCACTGCTATGCTGTGAAATCATACCTTCTTCATGTCATACCCCGAATTCAAAATTATAGGAGGTAGCAACAAATTGAAAAAGTACCGATGATCAAAAGCCACGAAGCCTTGTATAGCAGCTATTCGAGAAGAAAGATGGCTTTCTGTCAGCAAAAAGTCAACGTCAACGAGAAGAATTCACGTCAACATACGCGATCCAAAACGAATGATGAGGCCGACGAAAATTCCTGCAAAGAAGGCATTCGGTTTAGCACTTGGCCAAAGCAAGGGAAAAAAGGAGTAACCCCAGAACTGGGAATGTACCAAGGAAGATCGACACAACACTCTCATGAATAATCCTAATACGATTGATCTGCAGATAATAAGAAGTCAGGAGCGTCACCACCAGTAGAGATATGAGAATCAAGAGCGCCCATGCCAAAGAGATCTCTTCTTGTACTAAAAATTCAATATTACATTAGCAATTGACGGGAAATACGTGCAAGATTCCCCTAGTTAAGACATGCCTGGCGTTGGAGTCGGTGAAGGTGAAGCAGTGGCCGTAAACGTGGCTATGACTGTGGTGAATAAGTCGAAGCTTTGTGTAGGAGAAGGGAGCCAGTCAGGTTGTGCTGGAGAGAGATAGTCGCTTGTTGGAGACTCCATCTGCGCGACTGGGTGATGTCAGTACGCAAGGGGCATACGACGGATCAGAGCGAAAGAATTACCTAGGTGAATTTAGCTTCCAAGCCTCTTATTATCTCTAGAAATGTTCGATTGTGTGATGTCAACCTTTGGGTTTGAGGTTTGACAGCAAACACAGATCAGAACGGAGATTACTTCTTCTTCAAGTATCAATCAAGTATCAATACGACTCTTCAGTCTCATTCTCCTTCACCAAGTTCCTCACAAATCAGAAAGGCTCAAGAAAAGTTGATTGTGCAAATTAAAGACTTTGTCCAGAGCTTTATGACAAGAGGCACACTCCAAAGCTCTTGGTGTATGTATATCGCTCCAAGTTCTCTTCCAGTTTACAAGACAAGTCTCTAACTAACAAACGATTAGTCTCAAGAAGGGTGAAGCGTTGAAAGCGTTAGAGTTAGTTCCAAACACAACCATTAAAAGAGTCGTTTTTGATCTATACCATTTGATTCGTATCGCGTCAAATCACGTCGATGCTCGATATGCATCTGAGATCACGTATCTTTTATTGCTATAGCTTCCGATTACATATTTACAATGCAAACCGGTCACTTTTCAGCACCCTACTTACAAATTACCATTATTATTATTTTTTTGTTTTTTTTACACGTTCTTCATCTATGTTTAAAGAGTGTCGTCAGTTCCTTCCTCAGCAAAACGATTTCCACCGGAATTCTTAATCCAAGACTCACATGCATTACAACTTGATATTCATACAAAGCCAGCTTCTCAAACAACTTTGCCACATTTTCCTTGTCACCCTTCACCAAAACACCCTATATTTGATACTTGTTAGCACACACAGCTCACCTCCAAACCAAAAAAAAGGCCCCCCCCCCCTCCCAATCGATCTAGTGAACTCACATTCTTGGATCGATTGAAAACCAACTCAACATGATCACCCCAAGTCTCACCCAACTTCTTGACAGCACGAGTAATATGACATTCAACCTCATACGGTAAGTCCTTGACAACACACTTGCGCAAGAAGTATGGTCGTTTGACTACACCAGTCTTGGAATCTGCTGTTGTTGTAGTCGTCATATTCGTAAATGGAGACGATGTTGCTGATGATGATTGTGATGAAGAGGATTGAGGCATCAAACATTCAACTGGAGACTCACATTGAGGCACTTCCTTGAAAGGAGTCACCTCTTCATGATATGTAGACTTCTTCACTTCCTTAGGATATCTGATGATTCATCATGCATGTCTCGATCAGCAGAGGAAGTAACTTCTCGATCAGCAGCAGTAGTAGTACTAGAAGAAGGCACCTCCAAAGGGCAACGAACTGGTTCCTTGCCTTTCTCCTCAATACGCAATCTTGCCATTCTGGTAGAGATCGAGTTTATATCACGCGAGTACATGACGTGCCGATATTCAAGGCTTCATTGAATGCTGCTACTGATTCCTTCGACGATACTGCTGGTGCTGATTCCTTCGATACAGATGCTTCTGCTGATTCCATCAATACTGGTGCCTCAACCGATACTGAGACTGGCTCAACAGACGATGCTGAAGCAGCAGCAATTCGTCGTGCAATAGCCATTCGTACAGACAATGGTGGCGAAGGTCGTCTTTGTTGTGATGTATTATTGCCGGTAGGACGAGCTGATGCCTCCTTCACACTTACAACGATACAATCGTCATCATCTGCTTGTGATGACGGTGTTGCTGTTGATGGTGTTGAAGGTCGAGATGGTGATGAATCAGTCTTATTTGAGGATACGGGTGTATTTGATGATGAAGGTACGGGCGTACTCGATGGTTCGGGAGTATTGGGTGGTGTTGGCATATTCATTGCTGCTGCTGTTCCGACTGTTGATTTGCTCGTACTCGGGGTATTACTATGTTTATTGGAAGCCAATTGTTTAGGACTTGACTTGAATCTCCAATACTTCTTGTCAACAACAACATTATTCTTCTTTTCAGAGCCTTGAACAGTAGTATCGTATGTGTCGAAATATACTCGAGGATTGGGTTGAATATGATGATGGCTGCCACTAGTGGTGGGAGTGGTCTGTGGAGGATGATAGTGATGATGGCCATTACTAGTACTAATAGTGTTGTTGTTGCCAACATATTCGCTTGTGTCAATAACAACACGGTATGAGTCTGTACAATGATCCGATTGGAATACTGTAGTGCCTTCGGGCATAGGCTCGTCATCATCGTTCATAAGCAAGCACCTTTTGCATGCTGCGAGTCTAGGCGACAACAAGTCAAATTTGTCAGTGCTAGCAAGTTAGCGGCAGCAAAAACAATCGGGGATATTATTTGTACGAACTTACGCACATCGGAGTCCAGTTTCCTTGGTTGAAGAGATGATAATTTGTCGTTTCTTCTTGTTAGTCCTGATTGTCGACTTTGTATCTTTTTGAATTTGACTAATAAGGGGCAATGGTCAGCTTCAATAAATACTTTGATTTCACGAACGGTCACGATCACAAGTCAGGTTCTTGATCGTTCGTTGACATTGACAACTATGAGGCCGTTCAAATGATCACAATCACGAGTTCCTCCATTCACATATGTTTGTTTACGAGTTCCTTCATTGCTCAATTCTCACGAGACAACCCCAACTCGAGCTTTCACCTGAATTGATCGAAAACATCCCATATGAAGTTATTCGACAGATTCTTAGGAATGTCGAGAATATCTAGAGAATGTGAATTTTGGGTTGGTATCAGTAACGAGCAAAAAGAGACCAACACTCTAAGGACTATGGATGTTGATGTTGACAACAGAGGGTGATGCACCGTATAACCAAACTCGAAAATAAAGTATTCACCAAATAAAATAATGAAGACTGCTCAATAATTACGAACACTTACTTGTAAACTCTCCACTCTTCATAGCTTGCTCCAATTTCAGATGTACGGTGACAAGGTTTGAAGCTCTGAGACGAAAGCTCAACACGAAGGAGGCTTACGAGCAAAGCAGAGTATAAATATTCAGGAGAGCATAGCGATGCTTGGCTCTTTCTACAGTGGCTTGATGATGTTGCTGGAAATCGAGACGAAATTGCAATTATTGAGCAACAAGTCTTCATGGGGTTCTTTCTCGTGTATCGGCTACAAAACGTTTCATTTACGCGTCAATTAGACTATACAATTACAAGCAATATTGATATCATATTGTGATAAGAGAGCTTTTTGGCAGGGACGGATGCTTGCTAACAGACGCATCAAAGAACGTCTCTCATACTGTAGGGAACTGAATAATACCGAATCAAAATCACTGTCCTTGACCTGGCGTTTTGCCGTTGAAAGCTCCCTTCGCCCTTTTCCATCAACTTTTTTTTTTTTTGGAATCGTGCCAAAACAGCTGAAAGACAAGATGATCAAACAACCGTAAGTAAAGCCATTCAAAGCTGTAATAATATCGATACTAACTCATTGATATCATGATAGGAAGCCTCGCACAGCCAAAGGAAGGCGAATCTATGACGCTAAACAACCTCAAATTCATGAAGGAGTCAAGAATGCATTGTTTCTCAAAGGGACTTCGACCTCCCAGACCGTCACCACCGCTCTAAAAGATCTGGTATGTACAATGATATATATGGTTTGTAGTGGTGTGCGCTGATCTTCAACATCAGCAAAGGGACATTCACTTTTTTTGCTCGTCCAAACTCACACTTTTTCATAGTATCAACTGAAACGACCAAACGGAGTCCTATTCTCACGCAAAAACAATCTACATCCATTCGACGATATACGGCCGTTAGAATTCTTCTGTGAAAAGAGTGATGCTGCCCTCTTCTCTTTTGCTTCTCACTCTAAAAAGAGGCCAAACAATCTCGTTATGGGACGCATGTTTAATAAGGAGATCATGGACATGTGTGAGTTCGGTGTTGAGTCAAGTGTTGCCATGTCTGATATCAAGGTAGTGTAATGTGTTGTATTGAGGGCTTTGGGAAAGATGATCTGAGCAGGCAAAACGTTTTTTGTGCTGATCCATCTACTCTGAAAACAGGGCCCAAAATGCTCCTTCGGAAACCGCCCACTCCTCGTCTTCCACGGCGACGCATTCACAACCCACCCGGAAATGATACACGCTCGCTCCCTCCTCATGGATTTCTTTCGCGGCGACGAAGAGGACCATGTCGATCTAGCAGGTCTCGAACACGTCATATCCATCACAGCAGTATCACCACCATCATCAAATAGTACGACGACTACACAACCTAAAATATTTATACGCGTGCATCGAGTGACCTTGTTAAAGAGTGACAGTAACAAGCTGCCTCGTGTGGAATTGATTGAAATGGGTCCTAGATTGGATTTGGTGTTGAGGAGAAGTAGATGGGCTGATGATCAGAAACGTAAAGAGGCTATGAGACAGCCTAAAGAGATCAAGGTATGCTGCTTGATTAGCAACGGTTTTTTGCGACAACGCGCTCAACTTCACTATCCCCAATTTCAAATAGCCAAAGAAGGTGAAGAACATTGAACATGATCCCATCGGTGACAAGTTTGGTCGCATCCATATGGGCAAACAAGACTTGACAAAATTACAAACACGCAAAATGAAGGGTCTAAAGAGATCTCGGGATGAAACTGAAGGTGGCGATGATGACGCATCAGAAACTGAACCAGGAATGAAGAGAGTCGCTCCTGATTCTGATATGGATGATGAGGAGTAGCAAGGTTTTGTAATATACAAGTAGTAGTAGTAGTTGATCTGTTGCTTCGTAAACAAAGGTTTTATTCTTTTGCACCAAAAAGTGAATAGACTTGATACGAGCATGTTAAAGACTAAACCAACAAAAGCCCCCACTAGCACTTAAGCAACTGAGTGTCTTTTCAGCATCAATGATTCATACATCGTATACGGAAACGATTCATCCATCCTATACAGAAAGGGATGTTTTAGCCTCACTCGCGCTATATGTGATTCATCTTCCACGGTTTTTCTTCCATCAAAAAGAAATTTATCATCACAAAAGAATTCAGCTTGTTGAGCTTGACTTTTTGCTATATTTTTATCATCATTTGGGTGAAATTGACCAAAGGAAACGACTATGCAAGCGAGAAACGTACCCTCATCATTCATCAACAAAAACGACCAACCACGTTTTGATTGATGTCAAGGTTGACTGCTTGATGCACCACCATACTGCAACGGTTCCTACAGATACATCATAGCAGTTCGAAAACGTCCGCAGAGGCAGGAGTACGTGAGGTCTTGAAGAGTTCAGAAGCTAGAAAGTTGTGTTCAAAGCACAAAAAGTCCAACAGTCCAGCTTGTCAAGGATAGAAGCTCATCAAATCAAGGACTTTCAACCGGCAGTCAAAGGCTCCAGGTACTCGTCCGTTTCATCCATTAGCGGTGCAGGTCGATGAAGCTCCTGTGAAGATGATTGTGAAGTGTGAAAAAAAAAGAAAATTCTGATGACCGAGCAAGAGAGGATCTTACACGGCAACTCGTCAGATCTCATGCGCAGATCGCTTCCTTGGTACAGATAGAAGAGATGTACAGGTTGACTATACCAGCCTTAGACGGCGTAATTACCTTAGGTCCGCCATATGCATACTGTTTGAAACGGACGCGACCTGGGTCCGCTGGGTCCGTGAGTCCGGTCCGTGGAAAGAATGCGAGTGGACCGGACCCGGCCCTGGACCGGACTTCTTGCCAGGTCGAGTCCGCTGAGTCCGTGGACTTATATGAGTATAGAGTAGGGTTCATAAACGGCCTAAAAATGAAGAAATCTGCTAGTTTAAAATGTTCTACGTCGTAGCTTTTGTGGAAAAATGTCTGGTGTACCTACTAAAGAAATAAATATCACAAACACACGCATTTACCCCTATGAACTCGTTTTTCGTAAAAGTCAAACCCTGATAGTACCCAGAACGGTAAGCTCCGCATAGTAAGGTTGACGTCCGCTGTTTTTCATACAGAATTGTTAGGAGATGAGGTCGAACGAGGATTACCAATGCCTGCGTGCAATCCAGTGAAGGAGCACTTCGAATTTCTGCTACTTAAACGTAACGCTTTGCCACGAGAATTACTTCCATTTGAAGCACAAATATCTGAATCACAAATATCTGAATTTACCAGCTCAGGCTACGTACCTCTCTCAATGAAGGTAGTGCCATAGACTAACAAGTCTAGAAAGCCGTTGCTAAAACAAAAAAATGCTGAATAGGACATCTTGGAGGTCGTTGCAGAATCAGTCCAAGACGAGCCTGTTTGGCGAGAGATTTTCCATTCCGAGTCGTTCCTGTGAAAATGTGGTAGGATTCTTCATTGTTAGCTCCATGCACCATTGTCGACAAGTATGTCAAAAGATAGAGTCTCTCCTTGGGATCAGGTTGGATGTCTTCCAAAAACGTTTCAATTTCTCGTCGGATGACTGTATTTGATTCGGTAGGAAAGTCGTACCCCACGCTGAAGCTTATCATATCGGAAGGCTGACCTGACCGGGTTGTGTTCTTGTCGATATCAAAAACAAGGTCGTTGAACGCCAAAAGATGAACTACGGAATCCAAGTCTGGAACAAATTTGTGTTTGGAAAAGCGAGGTACTGCGTCAACTTGGATTGTATGCTTTTCGTGATTGAGAATTCCTTTAATGATTAGTTGGATTTTAGCACCTTGTTTCCGAGTAGTGTCACCGTCTGGTCCTTTTTTTGCATAGTAATCCTTGATAGTTTGCAACTTTTCAATTAGAATTGGTGGGATGAAATCGAAAACACCCTGGTTCAATGGCTTCCATCGAGGTGCCACGAATTCATACCATTCTTCATTTTTCATTACCCCATGAGCAAATCGGTCTTTGGCCAAGTAATGAAACAAATCGACTAGATGTGTTGTCGTGCCATCCAAGGCACGGTAGACAATCCCGTTGAGATCTTGATTTGCCGT